ATTTAGCTATGTTGAGCAAACAAGCCTGGCGCCTTCTTACAAATCCCTCCTCTCTAATCTCTCAGATGTTCAAAGCAAAATACTATCCACACTTGGATTTCTTTGGCTCTTCGCTCGGCACGCATCCATCATGGACCTAGAGAAGTATTCTTGAGAGCAAACATATCCTTCAACTAGGCTGCAGAAAGTTGATTAGGTCTGGTAGAACTACTAGAGCTTTTCGCGACCCCTGGATTCCCACTGGACCCGACTACTTGGCAGCACAACTCAACGACTTGCTTCCAGAAGATGCGCATGTTTCATTTCTGATAGATGCGACAGAGGGTTGCTGGAATGTCGGCTTGGTGAATCAAGTTTTCCCGCCTGAAGTTGCCAATGTGGTTTTAAGCTTGGACATAGGACTCTCTTAGGGTCCAGATCTTTGGTGTTGGCACTTTACACACCATGGAAAGCACACAGTACGATCCGTTTATCATGCGATCATCTCTTTGCAACCTGATCCGTTTGCTGACCTTGTTCGAGACCAATTGTTGACGTCTAATTCATCTCTCTGGAAACATCTTTGGAAGCTCCGAATCCCGCCCATATTTCATCACTCCTTATGGAGCTTTTGTACTGAAACTTTACCTTGTCTTGAGAATCTTCTTCGTCGTGGTCTATCATAGCCGTCGCCCTGCGGCTTTTGCAATTCTGATGACTACTCTACAATGTATCTGTTTTGGAAGTGCAGTTTTTCAGAGTCTGTTTGGCGGTTAACTGGCGTCTCGCCACACATACTACAACATGAAAAGACCTCAGGTGTTCTTTGGATGGCTACACTTATCATGTCACTTCCCAAGGAGGTCATGGAGCTGGTGGCAGGGTTAAGCAATGTAATATGGTTCAGCCGCAACCAAAAATATCACAAAGGAGTTAACTGGTCCTCTCAACAAGTGATCTCCTCGGCAAGTACAATCATCAAAGGCTTCCATGATGCGCATTTTTGGCCGAAAAGGCCATCGACTCTGCTGGACCATAGTTGTTTGCTTGGCAGAATCCCAGTTGGTCTAAGAGTCTGGTTTGATGGCTCAATTTTGACCCTTCATCGCTGTGCCGGAATTGGAGTTTGGTGTGCTACGGTGGACAGAGTTTTTATACGCACTAGAGCTCACAGGAAGTATAGAATCCAAGACCCCTTTGTAGCTGAAATATTGGCTATGAGGGAAGCTCTTGATCTGGCGGTAGAGGAGAAACTCGAAGGATTCACGATCCACAGAGATTCGATTAATGCAATATTGTCTCTTCACGGCGATTATCCATACCCGGATATCTACAGGCACGTTGTGGAAGACATACGGCGACGCTTGAAGAATTGCTCCTGCCTTGGGATATTTTGGAGTCGACGAACGGAGAACTCTGTAGCTCACGAGATAGCCTTCTATGAAAAAACATTGGTTCTTCGTTTGAAATGTGGTATGAACCACCCCACTTTTGTCAATCGCCGTTGGGCGTTTCCCAGCAATCTTAATAAGATACCTCTTTTTCTTCAAAAAAAATAAAAATGAATGAACTTGGGAAGGTTTATTAGGAATTATTAGTAGCATATCTAAAACACACAGATGAATATATACTAGATATTAAACCCGTGCGATGCACGGGATTTATCTAAAAACAATATGGTAAAATCATTGAAAAAATAAAAAATGTGACAAACACAAATTATGTTAAAGAGTTGTGATGGTATAAATGATATGACTAAAAATAATTTATAAGACGTACTTACAAATATCAAAATATGAATTTGTATGTAATGTCAAATTAAATATTGTGCAAATTGTGAAAAAATTTAATCTTAATGGTGATGAAAAGTAGATGCCATATTATGTTTTTTAATAGTATGGAAACAACTAAACAAATTAATATTGTACTTAAATTATATTAATTAAATTTATGAGGACTTTATTTATTATTACACAAAGTTTTTCTATTTTACATTTGTAGAATCATGCCACATATGATTTTGGCACTCTAGGAATCATTAACCAGTTTCTCTCTCTAATTTCTCCGTTATAATATACCATAGAACTAGATGTTAAACCCGCACGATGTGCGGGATATGTTACAATTTTTTTATACTTTTTTTAAGAAAATATAAAAATGTGTATAATGTGTATATAAATCTCATGAAATATTAATTATTAAGATTTAAATACAGAAAAATGTGATACATGAAAAAGTAACATATATATTTATATATATTCACTCCTGGAAAACAAAAATAAAGTAAGTCTCGTAATACATGATTTCATTTTCCGATGTATTATATAACAAAAGAAAAAAAATTAATTAAAAGAATGATTATCATAGTGTAAAAGCGTGAAAGTAATAAAATTTATGCTCAAAATCATGTAAATCAATAACTTTAAAGAATAATTAATTTAAAATAAAATATTGTTTATTAATTATGATTGAATGGATGGAAATACTCAAATATTGAATTCTCAAACAGTTAATAAGGAGATAAAAAGTATAATTTTTCCTTAGAATTGATATCGAGAAAATGGAAATTGCACCGCACATATATAACACACCACATTCACCATTAACAAAAATTAATAAAAGAAATTCAACACAAGAAAATTAAAACAGATTAAGTAAAAAAAACATTAAGAGAGTGAACCTTTATGTTTTAAGTTAACACATGTGCACTGTGCACAACAAAGTCCGCAATGTTCATCTTTCATCAACACATAACGCAAAAACCATATTTTAAAAAAAATAAAAATAAAAATCTTGGTCCATGCCTCTGCTGTAATTTGTCTTCTGTCGATCGATGCTCTCGGTCGCTAGAAGTCAATCTTGAATTTGTTGAAATTCTTATACGTCTTGTACCTGTAAAAAGAACACAACCAAAGACAATCAATTTCAATCATATTTAATTAGGTCATATGATTAGAGGGAAGAAAATGAAACAAAAACTACTGAAGCATGCAAGAAAGTGTGAGGTTCTGCTCGAAAATGTTTCAATATTTATAGGCATATAATGCTCAACCTCTCGTCCAAAATAAATTATTGATAATATATGTTTGTTACGAATTTTTCGAATTTTGAAATAATTTTAGAGTGTATGTCGTATATGATTTTTCAAGCAACATATATATAACTCTGTAATTATTGTAATTAGGTGTAAATTATAGTTGAGGCTGATTTTTTGAATTTTAAAATTAATGAAAGGCTAGAATATATACAGATGATTCTGACATTAATTATATTTGAATTTCAAAATATAATTAATATTGTTTAATGTTTTTTTTGTATGTGATAGATTCATTCCCACCAACCGAATCATATCAGATTACTTAATGAATAAAATAAATATTTACTTTTTTGGGGGAACACATAATGGGGATCTAAAGATTTTCCGTTCTTTTTTTTAATTTAATCATCACGAAATACAAAGTTTTTTATGTTTATGATTTTTGCTGATTTTGTGGGTTTGTTAATTAATGACTGATATGATTGTCTTAATTTCAATCTGATAACAAATGAATCACTTAAAATTTAGAGGACTATTGGTGTAATTGTTGGAAATATTTTTTATTGCAACCAATTGGAAATTGACACATAGGATATTGTCCTACGTGTCAACGGGAGGAGAGGTTTGATTTCCTCTTTCTGGTTTCTCTCTTAGTATAATACTATAGATAGAACTAGATGCTTGCCCCGGGCATCGCTTGTATTTTTAAATCGATTAAATAGAAATACGAATCATTCTTTAAAAAAATAAATAAAAAATAGAAGAATAAAAATCGATTGAAAGGACAGGAAGTGAGTTATTACACATAAATCTATGCCCAGATTTATAATATTTAATTTACAACAGTTAACTTATGCTTGGGTTTATATAAATCACAAACTAAAATCTACAACAGAAGAATAAAAAAAATCATCCTTAAAAAATCAAATTTCTTTTATGACAACTTATTTTTTCTCTGTTGTAGAAAGAGCTGGATTGATAATTGATGTCAGAATTTAAGTAATTGATTTAAAGGCCCGGGTGTGAGAAAGGAGCGAAATGAAAGAGATCTTTTGAAATTGGAGATTGGGAAAATATTACTGGTGTTTCACTTTATTTGAGGGAATTTCCTTACATTTGATTTTATCAACTAAATGTTGTTGTTTTAAGGGATTAGTATATATCTACAATTAATGGATTTATGTATTTACTTATTCCATTTTTTTCTGATTAGTTAGAGTGCCACGTGTCAAAAATGATTTTATACTGAAATTAACTTTTGGCGGGAAAATTTTCATTATGGTGCTGACAAATGTTCTTTTTGTTTGTTGTTTTAATTAAGTACTATAGATAGATTCATCAAAGATTTTTACTTTCAGTAATTTTTTCCCTATTATATATATAGTAAATAACCTGCCGTTTCAGATTTTGTTTACTGATAATATATGAAGTGTTATTAGTTTTGCGAGCGGCCTTCAATGCAAGTTGAAGGTTATTCGTAACTTCATAAGTTGTGCTGCCTCATGGATTAAAGTAACGGTTTTATATTCTTTTTCCTTGAAACCAAAGAAAAACAAATATAATAACAGTATTATTTAGATGCCCCTTACAGGATAAACTCGGGGGTGGGTCCATTACGCTGCCTATCAGAACCAGGGGGAACGTCCACGTCATGCAAGCACGCAAACTGAATAAAATGCGCACCGAAAAAGCATCGTCTACTATTTTCCCACGAACCTCCCAACGGAATATTTCCCCTCCTCTCTCTCTCTCCTCTCTCTCTCTCTACAGTGCTGTTTCTTTTCCGCCTTCTTTACTCTCCTCCGTCTTCCTCGGTTTTTTTTTATCCATTTAATCTTTTCTCGGATAAAATTGGAAACATCTGATTAATTGATTTCACGGCAATTATGGCGGAGGAATTGGAACCTGTTGATTTGCGGTAGGAGTTTCAATTTTTTTGTTGTTTTCGGTTTTTGGAAAGAGTGTCGTCATTGGTGTTGTAACCATGGCGATTGATGACAATGAGAGCTGCGGCAGCCGCGCGGTGGAGACGGCGTCGCCGAAGCAAAACCGGTTAGATAGGCATCGTCTTGAAGTATACAACGAAGTGCTGAGCCGGCTCCAAGATTTGGATCGCGAGGAGGTTAGGCTCCCTGGCTTCGAGGACGAACTCTGGCTGCATTTTAATCGCCTTCCTGCTCGGTTCGTTCCTTAAACCCTAGTTCTAAACCCTCTCTTGTGTCAATCACTGTTTCTTTTGCCTACTTAACATATGCATGTAATTTGTATGACATTGACATGCACGGACTCAACCGCTGCTCTCAACTTGTATGTGTGTGATGTTTGTGTAATTTTGTCTCTTATGCTCCGTTTGCTCGTTTTTAAGCTGCGTAATTATTAAATCTTTTTGTGTAGGGGAAACAATTAAAACAAATAGTTTCGTTGTTTTCTGAATTGAGATTCAGAGTGTTTTTCTTTTGGTCAGTTATGCGATCGATGTGAATGTAGAAAGGGCAGAAGATGTGCTCACACACAAGAGGTTGATGGATCTGGCTCGGGATCCTAAAAACCGACCCGCTTTTGATGTTCGACCTGTTAAGGTACTTTGCTGAAATTACTGCTTCCGGTAATTATTTGTGCTCATAGGGAGTCTACATTTACCACTAAAGTTGGTTGACATGTGCTGTTATTCTCTAATTAAAGAGAAGAAGAGAAGTTAGATGTGTTGTTATTCCCCCCTGATTGTTGCATTAGAAACATTTGTAAAGATTTGAATTCGAGGCCTACTTAGAAAGAAGTGCAGCAGAGGATCCTGGATACTGGTATGGTAGGGACTAAGGGGCAAAGATTCAATGAAGTAATTACATATTTACATAGGGAGGAGATGAATGTTTTCAACTTCGGGGAATTAATGCAGAACTACATTTCTCAATTAAATAGTAAACTTGAGTTGGCTATCTTACATTTATCATCACGGTGTGCAGGTTCATCCTACTTCAGTTGATGAATCAGAATCTGTTCATACAGATTCACCAACTAGAGAAGATGCTCAAAGTCGGTTGAATGAGTCAAACCAATGGGGGTACTGAGAACTCTTCAATTTGCTCTGCTTTCAAGTTGTCATAAGATTCTAAACTCCTACTTTCATCATCAAATTTTGACTTCATTTTGCCTCTTGTCTGATTGTTTGATATGTCTTTCAGAATCCATGCCCCACCTACATTCGGTTCAGCATCTAATCTCGAAGCCCTCGGTCTTCAAGCAAACGGGGCACATGATGGCTCCATTGAAAATGACGTGAATTCAATCATTCGAACTTCTAGGTAAAAAGAGAAAATTGCAAGGATTTATTATTTTTGTAATTGTTGGGAGAAGAAAAGAAAAAGACCCGAATCGTATTCAGACAAGAAATATGAAAAGACATGATGTATCTAACTAAACCTTCACGAGATGATATGACTCCTTAGAACGTGATGTCTAGATATGATTCAGATAGCCAACCCACAACAGTGTTTGTTGTTGCTGTATCAGGAAAATAAAAAGGACAAAATCTATTTTGCTGAAAATTTTCAAGTACTCTTATATCTATACTGTACCAGTTGGTTTGGAGGTCATCCTCAAATCATTGTTCCGTTATGCCCTTTCAGTGATCAAATTTTCAGATTCAGCTAAAGATTTCCTTATGATATCTTATTCTGCAGGCCCATGCATGAGATCACTTTCTCAACAAATGACAAACCAAAAGTGCTAAGTCAGGTTGTAGCATATATCTTCTAGTGCTAAATTTTTATTTAGTTATTTTTTTTTGGGGGGGGTGGGGGGGTTGTGGTCCTTCCAGAAAAAGTTGTTTTCAGAGTTAGGCAGAAGTTAGGGCAGCATTTTGTGCGATGCCAAGTTTTGCACAAAACCTGCAGTGTTCCAGAGTCTTAGTCCACATCATACTCTAAGAATTTAGTGCCATATATTTTTGGATGCCATTTCTAAGTGATTCTTCTTTGTTTGGATACGCAGCTGACAACATTACTTTCTGAGATGGGACTGAATATTGAAGAAGCTCATGCATTCTCAACTACTGATGGGTTCTCATTGGACGTCTTTGTTGTGGCTGGGTGGCCTTATGAGGTAATAACTTCTTGTTTCTTTGATGTCTTCTCCCATTGTGGTTTTCTTCCTACTATCCTAATCAATAGCAACTGAAAAGTGGAATTATATGCTTGGTGTACTCACACATATGTGGTGTATTTTTCATTTCTGATTTGTTGTGCTATCATAGCCAACAAGATAAATCAACTTAATTTTATAAGTTTTGCAATCTTCTCTTTATCTTTAGGTTTTGTGTATCATGCTTCAGGATCAAGGTAATTCTGGAGCATTTCTCTAGTCTCAGGTATAAGTACCAGTACATCCAACGCTCTGTTCTTAGAAGAAGGTTGTAAAGAGGAGAATTCACTTCCTCTCTTTGGGTGAAAATTCCTGTGATCGATGTCACGAGAATGGTTTACATATAGTGTGTCTCACTCAAGTATTTGATTGAAATATAACTGTAACATTCTCTAAGGTGAGCTTTGGGTCAACGAAGTTTTGGTGGAGCATATAGCAAACATTTTGTAATTGCTATGACCCAAAAAGTAATCCCAAGTCGATTGTGTAGCTATATCTCAGGTTTGTTCTTCTGTTAAGTGAAATATTTGCCTCCCCCAACATCAATAAAAAGGAAAGTAGAATGGTTGACACTTTGTGCTTAGTAGCTGAAGTGTGTTTTTGTCATTATGTCAATGGCCAAGTGCTTTTAAATCATTAAAACTTATTCTACTGGTGCTGAATCTAACTGAAACGTCCTATAATTTACATTGTATTCTCACACACAATTCTGTTTGTGGTTCTGTGCATGTTTTCCTCCTTCCACTCTTTTCTTTTTCCTTTCTTTTCCGAAAAAATGTCTTTTGTTCCCTTGGATGTACACAGAATACATGCTAAATGTCTATTCAATGTGTAGGAGACTGAATTGCTTAAAGCTAAGCTGCGAAAGGAAATTTTGAAGAGTAAGGTAAATTTATTTTACTTTCTGATGTTTCACGTGGATAGTGTCCCGTTTCTGGTATGAGAGCAATCTAATGATTCTGTGGCAGCAGGAGCTTTCAAGTGAACAAAATACACAAAAATCGACAGTCAGTAATGACGGGAGAAAGGTAAATACATCAATAACCGAGTATGTAAAAATACCGACTGATGAAAATGATGTCTGGGAGATTGATGTTCACCAGCTGAAATTTGGCGATAGGATTGCATCTGGAGCTTTTGGTGATCTGTAAGAGTGGAACAATTTCCTTTTTCCTTTTCTTTTCTGTAACTTATGACAGGAGGTCTAATGGTGTTCTCTTTACAGGTACAAAGGTATCTATTGCAGTCAAGAAGTCGCCATAAAAGTCCTCAAACCTGAGAGGGTAAATAAGGACATGCTGAACGAGTTCACCCGGGAAGTCTTTATCATGAGGTTGGTTGAAATCTTTTCCTACGTTTTTTCAAGTGCCAAGCATTTTCTTTGGTCTTGCTTAACAGACTGAAATCTATCATATGCTGATTTGAAATGAAAAACCATTTTAAAATGTGCTAGCCCTTTTTTTCTGTATTGTAATCTATTTATTGCTGCAGGAAAATTCGACATAAGAATGTAGTTCAGTTCTTAGGTGCATGTACTAGACCTCCAAACCTCTGCATTGTAACAGGTATGTGTACTTTCATTCTTATGGTTTAGATCCCTGTTATTCTGTGTTTTGAATCTTTCCCTTCTAGTCAAACTCTTGTGCTTTCAGAATTTTCCTAGAAATCAAGGCAGATTATACGTTGTGCATTAATGCTCCCTCTTGTTACTTGCCTAGCTGTAGTTAGTTTCGATTTGGAATTAATCCCTATTTTTATGTATGCCCTTGGGGGCACCTGGCTGTATTCAGTTTTTCCTTCTGTGATGCTTCTATTGTTCGCGAGTGATATTCTTCTGTTTTGTTTTTTAACAGAGTATATGTCCAAAGGAAGTGTGTACAATTTTCTGCATAAACAAAAGGGAACCTTTAAGCTTTCTACCCTGCTGAAAGTTGCAATCGATGTTGCTAAAGGAATGAACTATTTGCACCAAAATAATATAATCCACCGTGATCTCAAGACTGCAAATCTTCTAATGGATGAACATGAGGTTAGGGACCTGTATTCTCAGTTGCGTACCATTTCCTTACTCAGCTGCCATTCGTCTCCCACCCCTCTTCCCCCTTTTTACCCTTCCCTCCTCTCCCATGGCCGCCAAAAGAGGTTTTTTATAATGGTTACATGAGGTTGCTCGTAGAACCATCTTCTATTTGTATGTAGATAGCAGTATTCCCTTCCAGCAAAACTCTTCCATCTCAGTTACATACTTACATTCCTTTTATGCTTAATTGGCAATTCTAAAACCAGTTTCTTTTATGCAGGTAGTAAAGGTTGCAGATTTTGGAGTTGCAAGAGTGGTGTCGCAGACTGGAGTTATGACTGCAGAAACTGGTACATATAGGTGGATGGCCCCTGAGGTATGCAACTTAGACTGTAGCTGCAACAGTTTCCAAATTCATCTATGCATTTTCTGTAACTTTTCTTTTGCGAGTGCTTTCTTCATGTTGGTACAGGACTATTAAAGTGTGTGAGTGAACGAAGACGTGAACGCTAATAAATCTCTTAGAGTAATGAAGGCTCTGTTTGAAACATTTCGTTACTGTATGTTTTCAGTATTGGAAGTGTATTGGGAATGTTAAAATTACATCAACATTGTTTTGATGAGGAATTTTATCTGTGTCTCGGTGTCTGAGACCCCCTCCTCCTCTCCTCCCTAAAGAACATATCAGGATAGAGTTTGTGCAATGAAGTGCAGTTTGGTGCAATTTTGTTAGCTTCCAGTTCCCTGCAGTTTAGTGGGTGATGGTTTTGATATTAGCTTGAATATTATTATTGCAGGTAATTGAACACAAACCATATGATCACAAGGCTGATGTTTTCAGCTTTGCTATAGTACTTTGGGAGCTCTTAACAAGAGAGGTAAGCATCGACTGCATCTGAAGTTAATTGTGCTCGTGCTTTTGTGTTGTTATCACTGCAATTAACTTAACTTGTATACGTGTTACAGATTCCTTATTCAGACTTGACGCCTCTGCAAGCAGCGATAGGTGTGGTGCAGCAGGTAACTCATGCAATTCCTGTCATCTGTACCATCCAGAAAACTTTATTTCAAACTTGTCTCTCATACTTCTTGCAACTTTTAGGGCTTAAGGCCTGAAATACCCAAGGACACAAATCCAAAGTTGGTGGACCTGCTTGAGAAGTGCTGGCAACAAGAACCAACCCTGAGGCCTAAATTTTCAGAGATTTTGGAGACTTTGCAGCGACTTGCCAAAGAGGTAGAGTATTCTGGATATTTGGTAACATTCTTCGTAGTTTATAGTGTGTCAAGAGTCGAATAAAGTTAACTTCTTCTGGGAAAACAGGTTGGTGACAAAGCAGAAGATCGCCACAAAGACAAATCGATTGGAGGATTTTTCTCCTCTCTCAGAAGGGGCCATCATTGAAGATCTTAGTTTCACAAAATTTCTATTCCTGTTGTGTACAGCATTCTCTTCTCCTTTTTCTGTTTTCTCAGCTGTCATGTATCTAGTGTTCTTTTTCTTTTTTTCCCCCTTTTCTTCCAATTAAAATTTGTTGTTTCGGATATAAAGTTCCATTTTTTATTCGATCAGCTAAGTGTAAATGGAAAGTTGTTTGCGCCTTATTTGAGTCCTACTGTTCTTCGCCTTAGGAAAGTTCTATATCGGAAAATGTATTCATAGTCATCTCAAACATCATTTCAATTCTCATGACACTTGCAGTGTATTTAAAAAGGATTCAATAAAGGGTTTCTACATCTTTAATCAACATAAATGCATTAAACAAGAATGAACCCGAGCACGCTGGATATTACGCTATCTGCCAATCCCAAGTACAGAAAATTAAGATGATCGTCCGAGTAAATCTCAGTGTCACACAGTATAAATCCAAGATCCGGGTGCAAGAGCGTTATAATGTAATATCTTTGATGTGTTTCTGGTCCGAGCCAATGATCCTTAGCTAGGGCGTGAGAAGTTGTCGAGCTCGAATTGTCACCTGCAACCTGGCAAGTGCGTGCATGCAGTGTAAAGCAATTCGTGCCTGTTTCCTCACGCGCACCCCGCGGACAATGGCCTGAAGCCTCACAATGCTCTTCAGCGCTCTGTAAGCCCTTCTTGCCTGTTGCAGTACCAAGACGTCAAAAATCGAATCAGCATGAATCTGTACTAAAAGTAGCTCTTACCTAGATGATCAAATGGGAAAGAATTACTAAAAATGAAAGTTGAGAAAATGATGGAATAGAAATAGTTACTAGGTGGCCTCTGAAACATGCTTGGATTTGAATCGCGGCGTGTTCTTCTTTAGTTAAAGAGACGGAGAAATGTTCAATGCTGGGTCTTTGTGTTGCTGTGGTCGTGGTTTCACTGTAGCAACTCCGGCTGGCATTGTTGTTGTGGAGGACTATAATGGTTTCCTTCGCCGATGGTCGGAAGATTTTTCGACGGGCAACTCGAAACCAATGCTTTCTTGGCACCGTCATTTCCTTGGATCGCTGTTCAGATTCTGTCTTTGGTATTGATGATCCGATCTGATCTACCCAGAATTCTGTACGTACATTAGTTAGCACGGAAGCTTGAGTTTGTGCCTAACATGTTTACTTAAATAGGGAGTTTTTGTCAGATTAGTTAAAACTGAGAACGTGGCGGGATGACTGTTTGTTTGTGTTGTTTTGAAGTTTTCTTTGCCCAGAAGGATCCATCCAATCCAAAGGGCCATCATATATAGGACTGCCTAACAGTTGCCAGTTGGGAAATTGGGACATCCTTCAATCTTCTAAAATTTTTAATAACCAACAGTACCTTTTTAAGTTTGCCTCTTATTCAAGATGCAACGTTGTAACACCCCTTAATCTCACCCCCCTTGACAATTGGCCTTCATCTATGATCCAGTTCTGAATTTGTAGCATTGGTTTCAGTTATGTAACGAATCTAATATTATGATACTGAAGGACCGAATGATACTTATTAATCAATAAATTTAAGGGTTGTTTTCAATTTACTACAGGTTCTATTTTATTTATTTATAAGGCACAATTTGAACAAAAGGACTACGATTGATTTATCATAGATTTTAGCTCTGCTTTAAAGTGCTTTGATAAGTACAAAGGTTTCGGACTTGCATTAAGAAAGACCATTAACTCTCTCAAGTCTAATACTAGAAAAGACCCCATCAACCTTAGGTTACAAGGGAAGCAAACTTTAAGGAGTTGCCAATTGCCATCCGATGATCCGAGTCATTTGAACCCACCTTTTCCAGCTTATTAGGTTAATGCCATTGGATTTTCGAAGTCAACAGTCGTTGACATCTGCAAGTCTTTTAGAACATGTTGCAGAGCAGTAAAATATGGAAGAATTTATGTCCCTAAAATTAATCAGTCTCTCCATCTGAAACCATCATGCAAATAAAGTGAGGCAAGAAGTTAAAACTAATATCTACATGCCATGATTTCAGCATTTCACTGTGCAACTTTCATTCAGGTTATATTGTCTCCAAGACTGTAATTTTCTGTACATTGCATATGTTATTTGAGCTCTTGGCTTCTGTTACAATAAAATAGCCAAAAGCCATATTTGTTATGTGCCTTCTTGAAGTGATCATGACTCTGTTGGAAGCTCATTCTGCACCCAAGCAGCATATCCACCAGCTATATCAGTGATGCCAGTAAATCCCTGCAGAATACATCCTTACATCAGTCAATTGATCTCAATAAATATCACATTTAACACATATGAAGTTTCAAGGGATATTTCTCAAATTATTCAATATTAAACTTTGGAATTTAACATACTGCAGGCTTTCTTCTTCTTTTCCAACAATGTAATGATGAAACAAGGAAGTTGACAGTAGTGTTCACAAACTTACAGAAGATATTAGCTCCGTTGCAGCCATTAATGACCTCTTTCCCAACTGGCAGCCCTGTAGAGAAGGCCAGATGGTACATTTGGTATAAACAAGAATGACTAGAAACAAACTAAGGTTGAAATCACTAGGCACTTACAACAATAATCTCATCATCTTTCCTGAATTCCGCCAAGACTTGCTGCACAAAGTTCGGGTTTTTGGTCATACCTGTATTTGGTGTGCACAAGAAAAAGGTAATAATAATTCATGAGATGCAGTAGTGCTTGAATTGAAGAATTTTACTCAGTTTCTCTTAGCCAATCCCCTCAGTTTTTCTAGGTCACTGTTTTGGTTTACTTTATAGGCTTTCACAGACAATAAACCTCAAGTAGAGATTCTATAAACCAGGGCAACAAGTGTCAAGGTATTCAATTCACTAGTATTTAGTAACAAAAGCTGGAGAGGCGCAGAGTAATGATGTTCCATGCTACTTCAAAACTTGCAGTCTAAAGTCTTAACCATCCAAATACTGATATCCTCATCTGATCAACTATGGCCAAATCGTGAAAGAAAACATAAGATATTAGGAAATGGACTAATGCGGGTAGTAAAAGACCTGATCCCACTCTAAACATGTAAGGAACATTGATAGCTCCAGCAGCATGACCAGCGCTAAATTCTTCAGGTGTCCTGCACACCGAATGAAAATACGATCAATTCGCTAAGATCCAAGGGTTCAGATCCTGGGAAGAAGGAAAAAAAAAAAAAATAGAGAGAGCAGCATTATGTACCTGACATCCAAATATTGGTGTCCAGCCTGAAGAAGTTCATGTGCGACCCGAACCGGGACTGATGTGGGCACCGGGCTGGATTGAACATTCTCTCCTACCGTTGCCATCCAACTGCCCCCACAACATAAATTAACAGGCTTTCAGAAACAGAGAAATACGAAAGTGGATAAGATGACGGAAACATAAACTTTTCTTAAGTCCAGCTGGGATACCTGAAGTTGGAAGTTCTCTTGGTGGTGCCGAAATTTCGATGCTTAGAAGGCTGAAACTGAGGCCTCGCAACTGAAGTCGATGACATCGAAGAAGCAGGGGCGTAACTACAGTAAATGAAATGAAAATGATTTTCCAATTCTTAATTACAGAAGCCAGGAAAAGAAGCGAATAAAATCAAAGAGGATACTAATAAGCCCAGAAATGGAATTCACCTTGTCTCGAAATTCCTTGGAACATTCAGCCGAAATGATGTTAAAGAAGAGGTGTAAACAGAAAGCGTCCTCATTGTTTGTGTTATCTTCTACAAGAGCACGGGAAAACAAAACACTGAGCGCGGTGCTGTATCAGTTTTTTGGTTTGTTTTTGGGTCCAGTGTTTTGTGGACTTTTCTTTTTTAAAGAGGTTTCGTTCGCTAACATACACACAACCTTGTATGAGTATCTCCTTGTTTTTAGTAGGAGTACTATTTAATATTTATATAACAAAATTAGTGTTTTTATAATTAAACTGAGGGAATGAATACAAACACCATAGATGAGATCAACGCAAGCACACAGTCATCAGCATCATGCTTAACACTTTAAACACCTTCCAGTTCCGAGGTGGCATATTTAAGACTTATCACACTGGCAAACAACAATTGTGAAGATAAAAACGTTTGACCAGGAAATGGGCCCATACGTGCTATGGGTCGGATCGGATAAGTTCAATTTGGGCATCTGAAAGATATTTTTATCTCCCTGAGGCCTGAACCACGCCACACCTCTCAATGGCTCAAAGGATTATCTGGCAAGCTTTCAATTTATAGTTTTCCACGTAGTATAAAACTATTATAGTTAATTGAAAAAAACGCTCATATCTTATCCTTCTTTTCTTTTCTTTTTTGTCGAAGCGCATGCATATCTTCCACGTTATTTACTTATTACAAAGAGCTTTGAAAAAAAGCGGAAGAGAATAAATCAGCGCAAATATTTAACTTATAATTGGTGGGGTGCGCCAGGCCCAAGCAGTAGTGCAACGCAAGGGCGACGCGCTAAGGCCCGAGTAGCAAGCTACCCGGATGGGCCTTCCCCCTTAAAAAATTCATTTAATATCATGTGGGCCGATGGCCCACGTATCAGATATTAAACTGATAAGAACAGATACTACACTTGATCTTAGCCAAAAGGCCGAGAAAGGTATGAGCCTCTGAGGACTCCTGGGCTGCCGTTTTATATCAGGGATACTCACAACCATCTTGACGGAGTAGCAATGTGGGACGAACACAAACCAAAAACCACCGACTTGACTGTGCTCCTCTACTTTAAAAGTCTAATTTAGATTAGTCAATTCAAGGCATGTGTCTAAATGCTTGTGAGAAAACATTATCTGAGCCAACAAGGATTTGTTGACAATGAATCCTATATTTGGCCTTTCGTGCCCTCATGGAGGTAAATTTTGCCAACGCCTCCGAGCCAAATCCTCCGTTTTTTGCAGGCAGACTGTGCAACTCTAGCACAGTCTTAGAAATCCTTTGTACCTTAAAGCCATCAGACTTCCACTTTATAAAAGAAAAAAAAAAAAAATGTTGTCGCACAATTTTAAAAGGTATCAATTGCAAAGTTTCAAATTTACATACCAAACGTATTGTGATAGAGGTAAAATAATCATAATCAAATGTTCTTCAATATAAATATTGGGTGTTCGAAACTTGGAATATCATAATAATATGGAACAATTTTAAATCTCTTTAATCAAATGTTTCACCCATTAAATTTTCACATTTTAATGAAGAGATTGATCGTTGTTGCATATGGTCATTTAACAAAATAATTAGGACTTGTTTGGCTAACATTTTGTTTTTATTTTTGTCTTAATTTTTTATTTAGTTTTGAGATGTGATTTAAAATGTGTTTTAAAAGAAAATTTAAAAAATTATTTGAGTAATATTTTAAATAAAATAATAATATTTTTAGACTACCATCAGACCACCTCACCACTGCCGGCGGCGATGGGCGGTCTGGTGGCGGACGGTGGCGGCGGAGGTGGTCCAGTGGTGGTGTAAAAAAAATGGTATAAAAATAATGTTTGAAATAAATTTTAAAAAGTAAATTAAAAAGTTGTTTGGATAGTATTAGACTTTGTGCTTGAGAAGTGTTTTAAGAGGTAAAATGAGACAAAATAGCAAAATAAGACTTGACCAAACAAGCCCTTAATCATTTAACATCCGGTATGAAAAATTTCCCCTATTTATTTTTCCGCAAAGCAAATGGCAAAAAGTTTTTCAGGTTAAAGTAAAAATTATAACTATTATTTCATTAATAAGTTATATAATTCTGATCTCTCAATTCAAATAAATTTAATAAAGACACACGAAGATCTGAATTTAATAGGATGACTCTTTCTGCCTTTCCCTCCCCCCTCTATCGGAAAAAAAAATAAAATTCCCAAAAAATATTTTTCTTCTCATCCATTCTCCATTAACGGTGGATGGGGAGCTGACATATTTTCTAGTTTTTCTTTTTTTTTCGAATTTTTCTTGTTTAGTGAGCTCTATTTGGAAGTTTAACTCCTCTATTATTAGCATGTCTTTTGCTCTTCCATTTTGAAAGTCCAGATTTCTCATTTTAAGATTTTTGGTTTCTGTTTTGAAGTTTTTTTTCCTCTGCTGGGAAAAGAGTCTCACGTTTCATCTGTAAAATTTGTGACCTATTTACAAGTTTCTTCAACCATTAAATTTATTGTCAATTGGTTTTGATATTAGACCCCAAATTACTTTTGGCACTGTGGATGCTGTGACTCATTGTTCTCTGTATTGGACTAAAAAGACCATTGAGCCTTCAAAACCATTGAGTTTGGGAAAAGAATCTCAAAATTGTTTTACCTCCGTTTCAATTTATATAGGTAGGGTAATAAATATCTGCACGATTAAGATGTTTTCTTAACAATTAGACGATAGAATAAAAAAAAAAACACATTACCTGAAGTCTACACCCAATTCCTTAAATTAAATAATTTAGACATTGATTACAACAACAATTACTCCCTCCGTCCCATAATCATTGTTCAGTTTGGTTTTGTATTTCTAGTTCAAATTATACTAAAAGTGAAGTCTCAAATTAGACAATAATTTTCAAATTGTACTAAAAGTGAAATCTCAAATTGGACAATAATTTTGGGACAGAAGGAGTACATGTGTCACGCCCCGAACTATTTATGTATTAGATTTTTAGAAATAGGAAGTAGAAGGACCAAAGTGTCAATTTAGACAATAGCTAGACTATAAATAGTCGTCAGGGGTTGTAAATTAATTATTAGAACTATTACGCCTAAACTGAATTTTTCAGTTCTATATTTCTCCTTCGTTCTCCATTTTCCCGAAACCCTAAACCCCTCCAAAAATTCTATCTTTCTCCTTCGTTCTCCATTTCCGCAAAACCCTAAACCCCTCGGAAAATTCTCCTTACTCCTTTTCTGTATTCCAGCCATATCTCCATCCCCCGGTGCCCGGTCGTGACAATATGATAACAACAGAAGTTATTGGACTGTGATTTGGTGGGGTGCGCCAGGCCCAAGCAGTAGTGCAACGCAAGGGCGACGCGCGAAGACCCGAGTAGCAAGCTACCCTGATGGGACTTCCCCCTAAAAAAATTCATTTAATATCATGTGAGCCGATGGCCCACGTATCAGATATTAAACTGATAAGAACAGATACTACACTTGATCTTAGCCAAAAGGCCGAGAAAGGTATGAGTTCTTCTGAATGCACGAGCTGGTTTTTTATACTCCATCTTGCCGCCTCTTCCTCGATAGATGAGCGATGTGGGACAACAGCCACAGGCCAACAAAGACTCTGTAAATGTCATGGGAGTTGTGAATTTTCTGGACACAATCAAACGAGATTTGCTCCGGACAATTAGACACCATAATATAGTGAACAAAGAGACGTGGGATTTGGGAATGATCTCATTCATACTCATTGTCCAGATTTTCTTCATCTTTTTGCTTGTCAAACTCATGGAAACTTCTCTGTTTTTCGTGGGAGTAGCGTAAGCACTCAGTAGTCAGTACTTGCCGACTTCAGTCTCATTAAAGTTTACTCAATTTGATCCTCACACTTGTATTAGTAATTTTCTTTTTATCATTTGACTAAATCAAATGTAAGTAAAAGTGGAATCTCAAATTTGAAACAGAAAAGAAAAAAGTCTGAATCACAACATCTAGTCAAGTGCGCAATCTTGTTATTTTCTATTACAATCTATAGGATTAGAGCTGCAAAAACTTACGTATATGTTGATAATAATAAAAGATTAAAATACGAAAATTGATTGAAAAAATGAACAAAGAATCACTACTTTAGTCGGGAAATTTTCAAAGATGATGCTTGTTTTGTGATGAAGTTTATGCCTCGATTTGTTCACATAGTAGTGTTCCTCGCTTTTTCTTGCGTTAATTTTGTGACTAGCATGGATTTCTTGTAAAAGGGATCCAATGTTGAAACCTTCTGTGATCTTTTTCAAATGAATGATTAAATTTTGAACTTAAAATTGTAGGGCTTTACCCCAGAGGGAGCCTTTCCAGAAATTCTCGACGGCCTTAGGCTAGCCCAGGCCGAAGAGGGGGTTTGGAAATAGTTTTCAACCAGCAATAGACGCGCCTCGGTTAGAACCTCATAAGCTGCGTCATTGCCCCAAGCGCAAAGATGGAAAATTCGTTGGCAGTAAGCTGGTTTTTATATCAAACACTACCCCAGTTTTCTCTGAGAGCAGCCGATGTGGGACAATTTGAGCTTCCAAATTATTATGTCGGTTCCTTCAAGACCCAATCATCACGAACTTCTAGAGCCGAATTGTGGATATAATAAATTCTCAGAGAGTTTGCAAGTAGAGATAAAACTTGTCACTTCTCGTGGGGAAATAAAATTAAATAATCAAATGCAAAATGAGATCTCATATCTTTTTACATCTAAATTGTCAGTTTTTATTGAAACACTTTGTCCTGCACATTTTTATCGATTTTTTCTTTTCCATGGACAAGGAAAATAATAAGGAATACCAATAATGTGAGTAGATTTCTTTTTAAAAAAAAATAAGTCATTTGATTTAATATACTTATATCAAAACAAAAGGAAACTTAAGGAACATTACAAATATCTTTCATTTGAACCCTAATTACATTAGTCGTGGAAAATGCCCCCATGTATATGTATTAGTATAGTAGTTTCGGAGTTTATAACTTCAATTCCTCCTCACGTTTTCTGAATCTTTTATTCTTTTAGGAGACAGATTTTGTCAATTCCTCCGATAGAGTAAATTCATCTCACATTCATAGAGATGTTTTATAATCAAGCTCTTAACTTTCCCAAAAGGATAAAAGAATCAGAATTTTGACAACACATCCGCTACCTCATTTCGACCACGATAGTATGCACGATTGAAACTTACCATCAGGTTTAATAATTCTATAATTCAATTTCAATATTAGTTATGTATTAAAAAATGAAAAATATGGCTTAAAATCATGTCTCTTTTTTTTTTTTTAAGGACAAAAGACGAAGCTTGGAATACAAAAGTGAAATCAATTGCTTCAAATCAGGTATAGGCATGAAAAGAGGCACTAGAAGCCCACTGCCATGCCTCTGGATTATTTAGGAGTTAGATTTTATGACATGGAAAGTAGAAGAACCTAAGTGTCATTTTAGAAAATATGTAGATTATAAATAGTGGTTGGGTCTGTAAATTTGATTATCGAAAATATTGTATAAAATTGGAAAATCCCAATTTTCTTTTCTCCCTCGTCGTTCTCAGTCCCTGAACCCTAAATTCTTCACGACCTCCGTCTAATTCTCCGTTTTTGCCTTTCCGGCCACTCATCCAACCATTGGATCGTGATACCCACCCAAAGAAAGTTCTCTACATGATGAGAAAGCCCAGAGCCCATTTGGGTGTAAATATCCTCCACCCCGTCGTGATTGTTGTCCATGCCAAGTAATTTCATAACCCATTCGATGGATAAGTTTGAGCGACATTCGATATTCAAATGGTAATCGCGTATATTTGAGGGGTTACATATTTTGGCAACACCTCAGATCAGTGACTGAAAACTTATTCTAGATAGTCAGCTAGCTCTTGAATCAACTCTCATCTAGGGAGTTATTTTGTACATTAAGCATTATACTTCCTCGGTATATATAAAAAAATGGTAATCTCGTAGAAGTTTACTCGATTTCAACCAGATATATTCCTTGATCCTTTGACTAATAGTAAAGAATAAATGACAAGATAATAATGAGTTTAAAAAATACTATTGTTTGAAAAGTGAATTTTATATTTTGTTTGGATTTATTCTCTAGGAAGTAATATTCAGCTAAAAAAAAAGAAAAAAAAAAGTGTAAGCGAGTTTGGATGCAATAAGGTAAAGTGAACTTTGAGATTATAGAAAATCTATCATAAGAATCAAACGTTAGTTCTTGCATAGCCTTAATCGATTGCAAATATTAATCACACACGTTTAACTTTAAAACTTACCCTTGCCCGAAATAACAATGGCATAATTATTAAGTCATGAAAAGATACGAAGGGTAGTGCTAAAACGCCATTTATTGCTGTCACCATTAGGAAGATTTTTTTAGGTTGCTCTTGAAGTCGGTTAATTAGATAGAACCTTATGACTTATTATTAGGAGGATTTTCGTTCACCAAATTTTCCATGATTTCAAATGTGCTTGTAATGTGGAGTCAAACGAAGCCAGGTTAAGATAAAAGGTGTAGAGATAACATTGATTCACCTTGAAAAAGTAAAAATGACCCATGTTTATTTATTTCCTTTTTTTTTTTTTTGCCCTTGGAATGGCAAAGTTTGGAGGCGCAAGTAGATATTTCATTACACAAATTCAATAGAAATTCTTTTAATGGAATCTAATACTACAGGTTAATTTACGGAAACATTGTAATTTGCTGCAAAATAAATATAAAAAAACGAAAAACATGCATACCGTAATTATTACTATTTTATATCCGTGTAGAAATTATCTACTGATTAACTTACGTATTTCTCTTGGTTATTAATAAATGAGTTAAATTCCGTTACAACATTTAGATTATTATTATCCCACAAGATTTTACTATAAATAATAAATAAAGAATACTAATCCGGAAAAACTCTTATCTTATGTGTTGGGATCAAGCTCACATTGAGGTGCACAATCGATAATGTAGCAGATGACACAAGTCGGTGAAACCTAGTACTCCAATGTTAAAAAAAATAAATAAATAAAAAAATAAATAAAAGGTTGGCCAAGCAACGAGCCGCACTTCACGGGAATTCTTTTGTGATTTGTCTTGCTCCTGGTTCAACCCGGCCCGGCCCCAGTCAAAAACTCCGGAGAAGTAAGCGCGTCACTCCAAAATGCGTAATTCAAAAAAAAAAAAAAACCGAAGATTCCATCCGAATATTCCCCTTATACCTGAATCTGACGTCAACCCTCCTTTGTCTCTTTCCGCCGAACTTCATCCGTTTCTTTTTTTGTACTCACCTTCCCAAGCCTCAAAAAAGGATAAGGTTTATTTTACTAATTACTAGTACCAGACTAATTTACTGCTCCTATCTCCCGATATCTATATGTATATATACCATTTGGCCTTTGCTTTTCGTATTCCACTCCACCACCTTTTTTCCATTCTCCGTTATCACTGCACATTGTCAGATTCCTCATCGATTCACTTTTTGTAGTAGGGAAAAAAAAAATGGCGTTGGAAATCAACCAAGGTATGCAACTCATCGAAAGAGAAGAAGTCTTCACCGTCGCCGGCAGAGATAAGAAGGGCCGTTTACTTGTCACCGTCATCGGCAAATATTTCCCTGGTAATTAATTTATTCTGATGGTTCATTGTGATTTTTGGCCTTGTTCTAACTGCTTCTACTTTGGTGGGGTTAATTTTTTTTTCCCAATTTAAAAAAAATCTAATTTGTGTTCCTCTGTTGTCCCAAATGAATATATAGTTGGGCTGGTGAGCGTTGATAGCGTGAAAAAGTATCTGGAGGAGAAGGTGTACCCTGCTCTGGATAATCAGCCGTTCTCCGTAGTGTACTTCCACTCCGACGTGGAGAAAAGCGACAACAACATCGGAATCTCTGCTCTGAGGTCAATCTATGATTCCATTCCGATCAAAATCCGGGATAACCTCCGAGCTGTTTATTTCGTTCATCCTAGCTTCCAGTTCAGGCTGTTTATGGCCACCGTCGGCAGGTTCATGTTCGCCGGAGGGTTATACGGGAAGATAAAGTACGTAATCAGGTTGGATTTCCTTTGGGAAAACGTGAGGAGGAAAGAGATTGATATCCCAGAATTTGTGTGCGATCGAGATGAAGAGTTGGATCGGGTCCGGTCGATGGATTATTGTATAGAGAGTGATCACCCGAGAGTTTGCCGGGCTCCGGATGTGGATTCCTCCATGCCAATGTATTATTCTACCAGATGCATCTCTTGAGTCCTGTTTTCTCTTCTCTCCCGGAAGAATAAAAAGAAACAGAGTAAATTGTAGGAATCAAAGTTTTAGCCGTTTCCTTCATGATGTTCAAATTTCAAAGTTTCCATTAGTGTACAAATATCTTTTTAATGTTGATTGTTAATTAAGCAGTTAAAAAGTTTATCCCTTTTCCCCGTTTTCATATCCTCAAGATATGCAGCAGAAAGAGTGTAATGTACAGTTATCTGTTTTCCTGACACAAGTGTGAAAATCAAAAAGATGCAAACAAATCCGGTCCCACCAGATAAAAGTACAATATCTCAATTCAAATCGAACATCTCAATTCAAATCGAACCCACCTTGTTTCGGAATATACAAAAGAGAAGGAAAGGGAGTTACAAAGTTCCTGGAAACCTTGAAAGGCTCTTCATATTGAAGATATGCAAGTTACTTGTTGTTTGTAGATCAATGTTCGTGAAATTAAGGGAAATCATCAATGTAAATTTTCTGTAAAAGGGAAAGGATAAAAAAGACGGTGAGAATTTCTGAAAAAGATTTGTTCAGTGGTGGGATGAGAGTTATTGTGGTCATCGGTATGGTAGGGTGGTGTACTAGTGTTACTACCATCGCCAGACACCAATGGTTTCAGCACGTGGTTTTGGTCCACTGATTTCATTTCAATCATCAAATTGAAATATGTGTACTGTAAAGTAGTAGAAGCTGAGGTAAAAGTTAAACCATGGGGTAAAACACAACATGCAACAACGTTATATCCGTCTTATTATGAGATCTTGTTTGTCAATCTTTATCCGTTTATCCCAGTAAACGTACTACCAAGTTCCCGAAACGAGTTCAGAACTTGAATACTGAAGTTACTATATCCAAATCAGTACTCTCTCCATTACAACTTCCAGTACTAAATTCTGTCTGGGACGGAGAACGGAGGGAATAATGTTTACCAGTTAGGAACTTGGACGAAATTGAATATATGCATTATTTTGCAGGCTAAACTTTTAGAAGTGTATCCCTTTTTAGTACAGCAACACACCCATTGCACTGAAAAATATCTTGACCCCCCTAATTTTGTGATAACTTTCCCGGTAAAATTACAATCTTGCTCTATTCATGTGTCTGGCTGCACAATCTTATGTGGTACAGCAGCTGTATAGAAAATTTTTCTCAAAACTTTTAAAGTTTCAACTGCTCTTTAACGGTTGAAAGAGTGGAAAAGAAAAGGTACAATGGAGGTACTACATAACTCAATTTGAAAAACCTGGACTGCTCTTTTCATCCTAAGCTGATGATGCTAACCTAAAGGTAGTGTACACAAATTCTAACCACCTAGTCAGGCTAAGTACATTCCCCAAGTAGCAAGGCCATGAACAAGAAGACATCAATATTCTCCATCCTGTTCTGTTCCAATTCTTCAACTGCAATTCCCTTGGTTCAATAATCTAAATGAATCCTTAGTCATAGAGAAATGTACAAGAGGATCAAAATATCTGCAATTCAATTGGCACTCTCTCCTGATTATTTACAATTTCACGCGCTCTTGATGGTTAATCCTCAACGATTGTCAGTTGAATTCTTCGATGAACTGTATTGTTGGACAACTAACACTGAACTACCAAGATCAAAGTCTGGTGAAGCCAAGAAATCCCCTACAGTACCAAGTTCCGGGCACTCTTCCCAGTCACTCATCCCAGTTGTCAGCGGCGAATGCCTTCGTCCTCCCATTCCTACTATAATCATTGAATACATGTCTGCCATATCCCTCAAAGCTGATGCAGTCTCTGCACCATTTTCGACATGCTTCTCTACAAATCCTATTTGTCCAGATGTTACATACCTAATAATAAGGCAATGTGTAGAAGCAGTGAGTATTGAGTCACGTTGATAATGGCAAACCTATGCACACTGGCCCTGGTCAGAGAAAAATGTTTTATGCTATTTACATAAACTACATGCGATTACAGTAAACCAGATACAGGGGACTTAAGAAAGCAAATGAATGACAGGAAATATTGCTCTGAATGACTGAAGGCATTAGAAAAGGAAATGACTATATTGGTACTACAGCAATTCATCAGCAAACCATCATCAGCGTGACAATCTGCACCTCAATAATCAGAAATACATAAAGAGCAAATCATGTCGACTGGAAGACAGAAAGATGGAGCAAGATTAATCTAAACAAATTACCAGGCAAACAAACTAACAAAAAGAAGAAGAAGAGGAAACAGACGGATGAGTTTGGCCCGTACCGGTTATAGAACTCGGACAAAACTACAGAATCTGCATTGTTTTCTCTATCTGGTACTGCCATCGTAACGTCTCTCTCCTGGTTAGCGAAATTAACCCCTACAAGTTCTCTCCTAGCTGATTTTGGGATGAACCTAATAATCGTGAGGTTAATATGATGATGCATGCCAAGTCGTTTACTGAATCCCAATGCCTCACGATCATCGGGTCCCCCAAAAAACAAAGTTGCAACATGCTGCAAAGAATCAGATCCAGACAAATGAGAGCTATTAGCTGTCAGTCCTCGATCTACAAGAATGGCAACCGAGCATGGGGCATGTCGAAGGACTTTCTGATTTGTTATCCTTATACCCTCCTTGCCACTCTCCAACTTTCCATCAATTCTCTGATGCTTGTGGAAGGGAAGGATAATTATTGACGCTCTTACATCTGTTGCCCAATCACACACATCAGAGTACATGCCAACAAATGGTGACACCACTTTTACTTGATGAATCATGATTCCAGTCTCCACCGTGAAGATATCCACTGCCTCATTGATTTCAACTACATCATTACCCCCATAGTCATCATCATCACTGAGTTCATCTACTTCTTTCTGGTGATACATCAAGTTGCTATTAGTTTTCTCTGGCAGCTCAATCAGGTGTACAAGGTAAGGGGTTACAGGGACTCCTTCGCAAAATTTTAATGAAGCAATAAGTCCGACCATGGTTCCAACTGATCGAGGACCACTTACACAGGTCAGTAATCGTATCTCACCATCTGGATTTTGAGATTCAAATGCTATATGTTTGTACCCTAGGATCTCACGTTCTCTTCTAACCATGTATGATATAATTGGTCCCCAGATCAATGTATTCAGTACTATTGCTGCTACCATCAAGTCACAGAATGCAGAATTCGCCAACTGCACAAAGAAAAGAAGCACCTGAAATTAGACTTCCGATGACATCCCAAGTAGATTAAAAGTATTAGCAAGTGGAATAACAGAAAATGCCAGGGGATTTTTTTCATGACCTGGAGAAAGGACTACTGATTTGGTTCTTTTTTTAACAGCCATTCCTTGGTACTTTAAAACAATAAAAGTCGAACTTTCAAAAATGGAGGACATAGTTTTGCAAAAGCAACGGTAAACCCGATATACCTTCAACACAACATGGATATCCATAATTAATAGCTCTTTCAAATCTCAATACGGTAAGAAAATAAATTAACTCTCCCAAATGCTGGTAAAGTGTGATTTTGTTGGCCACCCACTGATGGAGTTACAATAAGAGATATCATTTTTTTAATATTTTTATGTAAGTCATAGAAAAGCACTTACTGCATCTTGAACGGCCAAGCTTATTGTCAGGAGATCAACATGTCCTTTCAAATTCATTAAAAAGGCAATGAGGACTCCCTCATTCAGTGGAATCTTGAGGTGAGAGCAAGCAGCAAGTGTGCCAGTGATCTTCCCACCAAAGCTCAGTAAAAGAACCACAAAAACAATCAAGAATTTTGTCAGATCATCAATGGTACTCATATCTGCACGGAACCCAGCGTAGCCAAAGTAAACAGGTAGTATGAAGTTATGAACTGCGTAAGTGAGTTTGATTGACAATGTCCGAGCTGCTCTGCCTCCTCTAGGGAACATCAAGCCAATAAGAAAGCAAGCAGCTATACTACTGAATCCCATAGATTCAAGACCCGTGGCTGTAACAAAGACAATCGCCAGCAAACCAAATATTTCAGTGTTTTTCAAGTACTTCTGATTCCTATTCCTCCTGTTCATCCACTTGGCAACATGTGAGTTGAGGACAATAACTACAACAACAATGACAAAATAAAGGATGCCCAATAAAATCCATTTCCCCGTAGTATACGATGTTCTCCTGTGCATCGTGTTTATAACCAACAAGAACACAGCATACATGTCAGCAATTAGGCAAGAAGATACAGCCATTCGCCCAACATCTGAAGTGGCAATCTTCAAATCACCAGCTAATCGGACCACAACAGGTGATGCTGTATTAGCCAATACTATAGAAATCATTATGCCCATCATAACAGCAGAACCGGAAGAGCTGGTCTCTTGATAGATGAAGGAAGTCATAGCTATCGCAAATAAGGTACACATTAAGCAACTACCACAAGCAATAATGCTTGCTTGGCGTAGGTTGCGTATAAGATAAGGAAAATCCATCTCCAGTCCAATCAAGAACATGATTACAATTCTAGCCTGCATCGTCATGATTTCATAGAGATTGCCAGCATCAGGAGGAAAGAAGAAATCTTTGATAGATTGTATTCTTGACAACCCTGAAGGACCTATAACGAAGCCTGCCTGCACAAAATCACATGCAAGAACACCATTTTAAGATATACCACATTCTTACATAACATCATCCAATAAGGAATAAATGTGACAAAAAAGTAGTATAATAAAAACAAAAACCTGCCGGGAAGAAAAAAAGGATGGAGCTAAATCCAGAACGTTCCACACATGGACAATTCTAACAGCAAAGTCTATCAAAAGTATAACTGATAGACCAATCTAGAATATCAAAGAAGTTTCAATCGGACAACTTAACATTCGATAGATAAACACTCAAAAGTCCAGAAAACATAAAGGAAAGTAAAATGAAAGGAGTCTAGATAACTTCATTGGGTAACTTCTTCCCATCCTTACATATAATCGAGGCACACTACTAATTGGAATTCTACCCATCAATTCCCATTGTGAATATATGAACAATCTTCACTTCGAAAAGCCAAGTACATCACTTAAGTTATACTTCAAGAATCAATTAAATGTTAACATATCATACTAATAATTAGAAATCTATTGTAGATGGCAAAATTGCAATCACATTCATCCATGATTGAAACCAAATTAAAAAAAAAAAAATGTGTATAGATGACGTACTTACGAGAATCTGGGCGACAGGCCCTGGCTGGCCTAATGGCTTGAGCAAAATGTGGAAGAAGTGAGAGATGACAAGAATGCATGAAACCTGTGTCCCCATCGTAAGGATGGGATTGACATCAAAAAAGGTCCGACAGGCTCCATGCGAATTACTCATTTTTTCGAACCCAGAAAGTGTCTCTCTTTTTTACGATCGAAGAATTAAAGGGTTCTCTTCAACAAAGGTCGCCATGAAGAATCAAAAAACTATATTTTGAAAGGTTCTCGGGTTTGATCAAAACATGCGTTTAAATTGAAAAAAAAAGGAGGTCAATTGGGATTTAAGAATGAAACAATCGTTTGAAGAAATTCTCCTAATTTTATTATTATTTTTTTAATGAAAACAGTTTAATTAGGGATTTTGGGGTTGCTGGATGTGGAATTTGACCAGTGTCATGGAAGTTTGGAGGAAGAGGAAGAGAGGTCGCTGATGCAGAGTTCTTCATTACTTCTTCCTTTTGGGAATGGAGGGCCGTGCTTGGCGGGGTGATGATTCATTACTCAAGTCTATGAGACTATAACACTTCTTTTTTTAGTAAATAGTCTATAATACACTTCCTCAGTATTGGACTTGGATCATCTTTTTAGAACAGTTGAATTTTGTAGAGTTTTTGTTACCCCTAATAACCTTCAATAGGTGGACTTGATTACATAATGATCATATACCTCTTCCGTCCGTCCCAAAATAACAATTATATTTTTATCGCTATCTCAAATTGTAATGTTAATATGGAAGAATAAAAATCATATCGACCTAATTTAATCTTTGATGAATGCTACGACATTCTAATGAGCCACAACATCAGCATTTCTGCAAAGCCAATGGCCAGCAAAAGCATTTGCTCAACTCTTTGAGGTAGCCCTAAAAAAAGAAAAAATTAAATAAAAAATCGCTAAATGTAGTCAAAATAACATGGCCGAAGCAATGCCTCAGGTACAACAAGCGCTGATGAAATGAAATTATATCACATGTTGTTTACGTTCAAAAGACCAAATATATATATATAAATATGTTCTCATCGTATCATCACTTAGTAATGTTTGTGGGAGTTGTTAAATGTTAGCACACCACAGGCTCAATGTTTATAATTTATTTATAAATTAGAGAGCTCGGTTATTTCGTACATGATGAGAACAAATCAGAGGTCAAAATTACATATAAATTGACTCGTTCATGATCACGTTTAAAATCAGTGCCAAAAGCTTCTTCGTTCTGACCATAAACATTAAGGAAAATGTAGACAAGTGGTTTGGACTAAAAGAGTAGATGGGTGTGCTTAAAATTATAATTTACTCGATGATAAAGATCAAAGCACAATTTTGGTTATTAAAAATTTAGGACAGAGTAAAATAACAGCAATTATTTGTCCCATCACAAAAAAAGAAGAAGATAATAGAGCTAATAATATTCGAAAAGGCATGAACACTATTTTTTCTTAAAAAAAAATAAAAATAAAAATAACGTTATAGAATGTGTAATGCAAAAGCCAAAAAGTGTTACAAGTCATTACAAGCCCGGCGCAAGTCATTGCATCAATAGTATATACAGAAGTTTGAATTATTAGGGAGTCATTGTATTAAATTATTAATAGAAGCAATTATTACTCTATAATGATGATGATATTATTAAAAAATACTAACAAGGTAGATAAGATAATACAGAGAAGTTGTTGGAATCAAAATAATAATTTAAATTTGATCATTGAACTTTTGGTAAACAAGTAAAAAAAAAAAAGAAAAAAATAAGTTGAACGTAACAATTTAAAAGCGATTTCCAGAAAATACAATTCCAGAAAACATTGCATTTATTATTTTCAAAAAAGAAAATTACTGTATAAAAATTAAATGCGCAAGTCCCCAATCCATAAACACAAGACACAATCTGAATGAATCTGTCTGGTTCGCCCTATAGTAGTCGTAGTCGTCGTCGTCGTCTTCGTATTTGTTTTTTGTTGCAGTTCCATCCACACTTTCCCTTCTAGCTTCTTTTTCTTATATACGTACATCCTTTTCACTCTCTCTTCTTCTTCAAACCCCTCTTTCTCACTTGCCCTTTACCACGATTCAAGGGCCGGGTTGTTTTTTCCCCCTGCTCGTTTGGGTTTATATTTGTTTCCGCCATTAATTTTGTATAAAGGGAATGAGGATCGTTTGAATGCATAGGATAATAATGGGGCAGCTCTGTGGTAGCTCCATCCGGGGCAGTTGGGATGGTTTCTGGGACCGTTGTTCTCGGTTCTTTCCGTGTCTCGCCGATCCTGGTAACCCACGGATTATTAAGATATTCGTTCTTCTTCTTTCCTTTTTTAATGTTATTATTTAATTTAAGAATGATTGTAGTGATTTTGGGTTTTCTGTTAATTTTTTTTTTTTTGGGGGGGAACGGACACAGCTCGGAGATCTGCTTTAGGTTTGAAAGTGGCCTTGGTTTTGCTGCACTTGATCTTCGTGGGTGTTCTGTTTATTTTTGATGAAGATTTGGTTGGACAAACCAAACGACATCCTTGGTAATGTATTACCGCTCTGCTACTTGTTATTGTTCTTTTTGTTATTTTATTTGCTGCTCCACTGCTTTGAGAAATTGTTCCAGTTCCAAGATATTAGGCAGCTCAGGAACCATGTTAATGCAGACAAAGTTAGGTCTAAAAGTATTTTGCTTGCTTGAAAGTTTTGAATGTGATTTCAGAACTCTGAGACTGATCTAAGACTTGGTTGTTGTACATTGATCACCCTTTATAATGAATTTACTCGTGATTGTGTATGTGTGACTGCCATCTTTGATTAAATTATTGAAGCTTGCTAAATGGAGCTACTTGTGCGAGTATTTTAAAGCCTATTGACTATTGCAACTATTGGCAAACAATGCGTCTCTTTTTTTCGGGATGCAGTTGAGTTCATTGAGGGGCTTGACAACCTTTAATACGACATGATAGCTACGATTTTTCTTGATATTTTCTTTAGTAATTGTTGGAAAATAGTGTGAATTTGGAAGCTTTAATATGGTTTAGTGATGTCGGAAAAGAATTGTGTCAGCTGGGAGAAGAGATTGAGTTACCATTCTTGCCTTTTTCTTTTTTTGGATGCCTGTGTTGCTGAATATCTTACTCGCATTGAATCCCCCTTCTGTCAATTGCAGGTATACGGCTATTTATTTTTTATTGCTCGTGGCTACATTAGCTCAATATTTCTTGACTTCCTGTACTTCACCTGGGTATTCTTCTAAAGCCTTTTAAATTGATTTTCCCCAATTTCAAGCTTTTTCTTTGTATATTCAACTCGCTGTTTATATAATTGATAAAGAATTCTTTTTTCTTTTTTCCTTCTCCAATTTATTATAGATATGTTTTGGATGCAATGAGGGCTGTCAGTGAAACCGATGCTTTAGTAAGGCGCACATCAGTGACTTCGAAGTACGGTATTTTCTTTTCATGTTCCAAATTGTAGACAAAATAGATAATTGTAGACAAAATAGATAGGCATTATTAGGAATTTTGGTTGTTGTAGGAAATCATCTTAACCATCATGTAATTATCTAATGGCTGTAAATCTTTATGTTGCAATGATCAAGAAAAGACAACCTGCTTCAAGCAAAAATGGTAATGTAGTCATTACAGTGGATCGGGACCATCTGGAAAGAAATCTTCTATTGCCACATGCAAATACCTGGACAAAGCTAGTGATGGATATGTACCCTCCAGGATCCTCCGTTAGGTAGGGAAACTTTGAATACCTGGTTGCCAATTTCCTTTTATTTCTTTCCTTTTTTGGTTCCATACAGTTACCACACTGTATATTTCTTTATGAAGCATCTCTACTCTACAATTGTGGGGTACATTTCGCGGAAATTTTACTATGCAACTCTCTGTAGTCTTTATCTTACATATATTGTACTGTTTGGTGAGTTTTGTGTTGTCTGGCATTCATGTTAGTTTGTTCCCAGTCTGCGGTTGCTAATGCATAGGGGAAAGTTGAAAAGCCATTGGGCTTGAAATCCAGGTTGTATGTGGATTTAGTGTACAGTCACACATCTTCATTGTGATTAGTGGGGAAGTGTTATTTACATAAGAATGAGTGAGTTAATGGTAGCTAACTGCCTAATTAAGATGAGTTTGTACCCTTTAGGCCATCTGCTCGTTCACTAGATTTTTTGTGGAAACTTCAATGCAAAGTGGGGAGCAAACACCTGAACATGTATATGTCAATTAAAAACTTTCATGCAGTTTCCTTCGGGACTCTGGCTATAGTTTTCATCTTATATTTCTTTGTTGGGAGAACTTTTCCTTTCCTTCTAAATTTTATTTTTATACTTGGTTTTTTGTGTCTTTCCAGAACCTGGACATGCTCCTACTGCAATGTTGTGCAGGTAAACAATCTTCCGTTTTCTTATTCCTTGTCATTGGCTTTAAAAATTTTAAAATTTTTACCAAATCGTTGTGGTGGCTTTGTCAAGAAGGCCAAATCTTTTTGATGCTCGCAATTTAGTTAAGTAGGAAAGAATCGTTTTCTGAGTGGTGCTTTGGAGTTATTTAACAATATTCATGGCTTGGTATCTTTTTTTATCGTTGAGTTTATAACTATCCATATTACCACTGATAGTGATGTGATCTAATTCTAAAATTGGTGTAGCCCCCACGAGCAAAGCATTGCCATGATTGTGACAGATGTGTACTTCAGTTTGATCATCATTGTGTTTGGCTTGGGACATGCATAGGACAGGGTAACCACTGTCGGTTTTGGTAAGTGTACCTTTTTTTGTTATTTTTCGAACCATCATCTTTTTGCATCTCTTACACATCTATCAACTTGATAGATATATAGTAATTTACTGCTTTTACATGCTGCATTGTCCTTGTCCTAAACTGGAATTTGTTGCAGTTGTCTCCTCGTATTTTATTTCTACATTTTGCTAACATTATCAGGTGGTACATTCTTGAGGAAACTGCTCTGTGCCTTTGGACTGGTATCCTTTATATTTCATACCTCAAGGTCCATATATCGAAGGCTTGGTAAGTATCTAACCATTTTGACCCCTTTTATATTTGATTGTTCCCACTCTGTGTCGTGTATTTATATTGATGTTTACTTGATTGAGAATTTGCTGTAGCATTACTGTTTTTCTATTTCTGATTATGTTATGGGCCTATTTCAGGTGGGTTGATGTGATAATGATCTTGCTGTTAGTAACTTTATTCATTTCGCTCGCCTTCCTGGTTCTCCTCCTTTTATTTCACACGTAAGTACAAGTGTCTTATGGATCTACATTAACAAGCACGATTATCCATTTCACGGGAAGAAATGGTGTCTGCTCGTTTTACAGCAGTTTTTTCTGTTCCTTTAATGAGTTGATAGAATTCCACTGATTAGATCCTCAAGAATAGCTTATGCACCTGTATTCTCCACACAGTAATTTGCCTCTTACCTTCATCAGACTGTAACATTTGTCTTTCATTATTAAACAGCTACTTAATTTTAACCAACCAAACGACCTATGAACTTGTAAGGCGAAGGCGCATTCCTTATCTCAGGTTAGTTTAAATAATTCCGTAGTTTTTATATTGGATTTCTGATCTTTTGCATAATTTAGATTGCTTTTTACCCTTGCAACAGGTCTCACTTTTTGTAGCACAATATTACTTTGGCTGTTCAATTTCTATATTCTGGCTAACGTGAAACTCTACATCGTGCTGCAGGGGAATCCCTGAAAGAGTTTATCCTTTCAGTAGAGGAGTATGCAGAAATCTGTACCAATTCTGCTGTGCCTCGGGCACTCAACACAAGATGGAACGCTTGCCCACAGCTCAAGAACTTGAGGAGAAGTCAAGACCATATACCTGTTTGGATGTTCTGTCTTGTCGATGTTGTTGCTAGACTTCGGCCCTTCAGCTTGTATTATATATTTTCCTAGTCAAATTGTATCGTCATCATTTTGTAACATTTCGGCCAGTTTATCCTCACTTACAAGATGCAAATTCTTTTGAAAAGAAACTTGACACCGAGAGAGACATATAACTCCCACTATTTCATTCCTGTATATGTTTAAATATTTGTAACGAACAATACACAGCAAAAACTGCTAACCCCTGTCGCTAATCCTCACAATCTATCTTCTACAAAAATTCTGTCGCATATCGGTAATTAACCTATTCAAAATGATTGTGAAATGGGAAAAGAAAATTAATAAATGGGTGTTTTAAAATCTGATTTTGTCTTGCCTGTCAGGTCGTAGTTCTGTACACGTAGCTTTAGTGTCCATTGTCATTATCACTTCCGACCAGTCTTCCACTTCCTAACAGGAACTAGAGTTACAGTTTTGCTGGGATTAAGGGTCCTGATCTTTGTTGGTTGCAGCATAGAGATGGCAACTTCATGTTGCTTCCGGTGTTCCTTTCCATCCATTAAGGGTTTCACCTCAAAGCTTCCCCTGCTTAGACCTCTAGCAACCTGATGCATTGCAGTAGGATTATAGTCAGAAAGTTAAAATGGTCATTAAATTCCTTCCAACAGAAAACGGGTTATGGATTCATATTCCTATTCCTGAGAAATTAAGATTTTCCCTACATGTGATGCAGAATACAAATGAATGACGTTTATAACAAGCTTGCAGTAGAAGAATGCAGATACAGAAGTGTCACTGGCCTACCTTTAGAAGAATCCAGACCTTCAGAGAACTACTCAAAACAGCAATCTTTGTCTTCTTTCCTGAAGTTAGATAGTTACACATATGTCGATCAACTCTAAGAACAAATCGTGGCCATGAATTTGGTTTCACAGGGTCTGTCTCATGGTCAATCATTGACTGCACAAAAGAAAACGGCTAAAAATCAGGTATGAGCAAACTGGCAAACCCAGTAGGCAAGGAATTTACCGAACTTGCAAAATCAGGAACCTCCAACAGAACAACCAAGAATTGGAATTCAACACGACAGATTATCCTAATTGTAATATAATGGTAACATATTCTAACTTATCCACAGAGAAAACAGACACCCTTTCCCTCCACCTATCTTTTTCTTTGCCCAGGATTTAAATAAATACAAAGGTAAGAGAAGTTTCTTACAAGTAGCCGGCAGATTTCATGTTCAATTTTAGAGAATGAGGTCTCTAAAGCTTCCACTCGCCCAGTACCAGAACAGCACGTGCATGGTTCACTAATCATGAAAGTGACACTTGGTCGAACCTGTAGACGAACAGATAACGTTGATAAGGAAGGATTCATAATGTTAAAGCTGGTATTTTCAAGCTTGCAAGGTACCTCAACCATGAACTCAATTTGGCAAACTTACTCTCTTTCTGGTGATCTCCATAAGCCCATGCTTGGATAACTCAGAAACTTTAACCATTGATCTGTCCCTCTCAACAGCTTTCTTCACTTCTTCATAAACTAATCTTTTGTTTGCTGGTCAGAACCAAAAGTTGATGAGTACACTAAGCTACTTCACTATTGTGATTTTAGCTACGCCTAGACGTGATAAGTCTTGCATATTTTAAAGCAAAATAGCTCTTCCCATGAGGATAAAATCCAATTCACGGCCATCTAAAATAATTATAAGGATATTGTACTTTGCTCAAAAGCCATTTCCTTTATGCTTGATATTTCTGTTTCACAAACATGCAGACATTGACATCCAAACATCTTATGATGACATATCAAAGGTTGGGGATGGAAAGTGAATCACAAACTTACAATCGTCGTGCATGTCAATGAAATCTACCACAATAATTCCACCAACATCTCTCAGCCTTAGTTCCCTAGCAATCTGAAGGAAGTTCAACGTTTAGTTTGTACACAGAGAACAAAGGAAAACAATAACTGGGCATGACGAATACTGCCTATCAGAAGCTTTGAAGCGTAACCGTTAGCAGAATCTTAAGGGTCTGCCTGAACCAAAGTAAAGCAATAAATATGTAAAGTTTTCACTCTGGTCATTAGAATGCATGTCATTTCATGAGGGCAGTTATAATATAGTAAAGGGACCATCAAAATTTCTGGAATTAGTAAAATGAAGAAAACTGAAGGGACCAGTAAAATTTCCTTCAAAACTTTCCGCTTCCTGAGAAACAGGACAAGCAAATGTCTATTCTTGCACCTATGATGACATAACCTCGAAACACTATAAACCAAATATCATTCCAACAGTTGAGGCCAATGATAAGATTCAAATGATGTAACAGAGGTTAAGAAAAAAGTCAAATATGTAAAATGATCACAAATAAATAATGCAGGCTCAGTAGCCACTGGGAAAATTTCCAAGGACTGTATCAGGTATAATGAAGGATAGATAGCAAATGTAATAGAAAGACATATTATGATGGTTGTTAGTACTTGTTTTGCAGCTGCAAGGTTGACTTCAAGAATAGCTTTCTCTTGTGAGGTCCCTTGACCGAGCATACAGTGCCCCCCATTTACATCAATGGACACCAGTGCCTCGGTTTGTTCAATGACAAGATAACCTCCATTATCAAGTGGAACCCTGCAGTCAGGAGAAATCATCAGCAAGAAGGTCAACAATATTACAGCAGAGTTCGTTACAGAATAAGATACCTCACCTCTTACTGAGGAGGTTATTCAGTTCTTCCTCAATTTTATACTCATCAAATAGGGGAGCACTTTTGCTATATAATTCAACTCTATCACATAGATTGGGAGCTATTTCCTGAAGATAGTTTGTAACCTGCATCATGTAAAAACAGCAGCCAAAAAACTTCAGCTCTGATGCAGATTAAAGTATAATGAGCAGAAGAACTAATTCAACCAATCTCTCAAGCCAGATCATTAATGACTCACTAAGTATCCATTCTTTCTTGAGTTGCCCCAGGAGTCATTTTCCTGATCCTAATTACAAGGCAGCATCTAAGGCATGCACAAAATTTACCGGATCATGACATACCTCGTGATCCCCCTCTATACAGAGAATTAAAAGAAATTCATTAACATTGTGATTTTCATTAGATCATACATCCTTACCTCATAATATGTCCTTGGAGAATCAACGATCATGCTCTCCACCTGAACATTCCACAAGATGCATTACTTCGGGAATAGCTCTGGGGTGTACTACAAGAGGCTCAATCATGTGAATCACACGAACTGACAAGTCTAGACAAAAACTAACCTTGTCATTAAAATAGTCTTGGACAACGGAGAGAGTTTGCCCCATTGCTTGATGTAACAGAACAGGGACGGCTCCATTGACACCTTCATCAGCAGCAAGAGCTGCAGACTTTGCATGTTCAGTTATACTTTTCCAGGTGGAAAGCAATTTGTCCAAATCCTTCTGTAACTCCTCTACAGTATGACCAGCAGCAACTGTCCTGACAGTGAGACCGAACCCTGGAGGCTGCAAACTTTTTGCTATGACTCTCAACCGTGTTCGCTCGAGGCCAGAGATTTTCTTTGAAATTCCAATTGTGCCACAACAAGCACTCAAAATCTGCGACCCAAAGAACATAAAAATTATTTGCTGAAAACAGATATGGGGTAGGGCACAAAACATTAAGGTGGAAAAAAAATTGCTGTACCCAGAATCTGCTCTTTAACTTTGGATAAGCAGTCAATGTGGGGGATTTTGCACCCAATCCTTCTTTGACAACTTGCACAATAATTTTTGTACCCTTTTTAACTTGAGACCACTTGGTGTCATCTGGATCCGCAACTATACTGCTCTGCAACTTCTGGTTGACAGTTGGAGCTATTGGCTGGAATTCATTTTCAGTTAGCTTTTCCAAATGCCCCTCACAATTAACTTCAACATCATCATCAGCAGCCACACTACCATTACTGTTTCTCTTTAGGAGTTTTAAGAGATCACTGTTCCCACCATTTTCCTGCTCCACAAATTCTTCATCATCCATGAAGTCCTCTGACTCATCCTCACTTTCATCCTCCTCCACAAAATCAATTTCTTCAATTTCACCTAATATGGTTTTACTATCAGAGGGACTTGCAAGATCTCCAAAGCTACCCAAGACAGATCCATTGACATCTTTTCCCTTCATATGACGGTGAAATGGGGGAAATATAAATGGTTGCCTCCTTGGCTTTATCTCCATGAAAGAGGGTTTTGGCCCACCAATATTTACAAATGCGCCACCCATATGGGGAACCAGTTTGGTGACTACACCTAGATATACACTATCACACTGCACATTGTTTTTTACAGGTTCCAGCAACAATTCAACCAATTTTCCATTTTCCAACACAGCAATTCTTTGCATGGTGCATATAGAAGAGTTAATCAATATTCTTGTGGAAACTGAATCATCCTTGGACATTACACCTATTCCATCATCTGTCAAAAGCTTCTCAGGAATGTATTCTGGTGAATCCTGGCTATGTACTGACGTATCATCACATTCTAAGGAATCTTCAGAGTGAGCAGCATCAGCAGTCTTAGAACTAATACTAGAAGGTTGAAACAAAGATTCAAGCAGCCAGGGCTCCTCAACTGGATGATCTTCAACGGGAAAACGGTCAGAACTATGATTCTCCGAAATAACTTTATCTCCAGTGGTAGAACAAAAGTCTCCATTGACAAAATCCGACAAAATGTCTGATTCCATAGCTTCACTACCAAGCGTTTCTCTAGCCCCACTTTCGGTGTGTCGAACATGAGAAGAATCTGAATCCACAAAGGAACAAGACAGTGGGGGAGAAGATTGGAAAAGCCAAGGTTCCTCTGAAAATTCATACACGGCCGAAAAGGTTTCATCCAGGTTTGTGAGCTTTTTACTGGCAGCAACAATGGCATTACAAGAGAACTTTGGGTTTTGAAGGATCTGAGTTGACAATGATGAATCACTTCTCGGATATTTCAGACGCTTGCATTTATCTGTCAAAGAACTGGAAGCATTTGAGTGTTCAGCTCCACATTAACATTGGACGAATAAATTAAAGAGGCATCACATTCAATAGTACCTCTACTAGGTATGGAGAGGCTGAGCCAATTCTTTATTGTGTGTGACAAAATTAATTGAGTACGAGGACTTTGTATATGAGAACATGAATCCCTGAAAAAGTATGTCCTGGTTCTTTTGTTAGGTGAGTGCAGGAAAATCGACAATTCAAGTGCAGGTCTGCTGAGGACATCACAAGAAGCCCACATATCTCCCTTCACAAAACAATCACACCTGGAACTCCCCCAACTTGGTATCTGCTCGAACCAAACAGACAGTTAATTAATAATGTATCCCACGGAAAATTAACAGTTGCACCAAGAAAAAGCCCCTACAGTTTGTTAAAAATTGATTTATTCAGCAAATCTCCCGAGTCCCAACTTCGACATATATGAAAATTCCCTTTTTCCTGCGGATTGCATATGTAGGATTATTGACTGATAGTGACTCATAAAGAAAGAAACAGAACCTTTCTTGCGGTACGGAGGCCCACCTGTTCTGTTGAAGACAACACAGTAACCATCTCCAATTGGAGACCATGAACTCTGGCGAAGCAAAATATGCAAAATGATGATCCAAATGGGACAATTCAGGCCAAACCATAATGTGGTCCTCTAGTCATCCATAATAACAAAAGAAGCAAGAGTCTGCAATAAAAAAATACAAGAACCCTAATACACGTTAATCAACTTACTCCAATCGTCTAACAGTCTAACAGAGTGAATTTAAGGTCCAGAAACTACCACACACAAGCCTCTAAAGCTTCTCCTACTAGTAAACAACAATTCTGCTTAAACCGAAAATCATTTTTTTAAGTATCAAGCAAAGAGGGGTATAAAGCTCTAAAATAATTAAGCGAATGAAACCACGATACAAGCACAATGCAGAACAAAAGCTATAAACCACAACCTTAGAAACTACAAACAGCTTAAGAACTGCAAAAACAATTGATTATAAGAAACCCAGAAACCTTTCAGTAGATAAACATGAATACCCAATAAAATCAACAAAACCGCCCCCACGTATTTCTTTGCAGGAACTTAAAAGGCGAGTACGATTTACAGGGATACAAATGAACGAGAAAAAAACATACCTGTTGATTATTCAAGGGAATGTTGAGTGAGTTAACAAAGATTTCTATGGCTTTTTATCAATGGGGTGAATTAAACTTGCTCGTCACTTCGTTGAGCAACAGCAACAAACCAGCCTGCGAGCTCCATTTGTATAGGTTGGGGAAGATAAGGGAATAGCAGTGAGTGCTGGACATTCTCGACATTCTGTAATAGTAAGTGGGTTAAACTGTCTTTTAATAATTCTTTTTTTAAGCGTCTTTCTGAAAAAGGTAAAGCTTTTTTTATTAGGGGGAAAAAAATTATCATTTGCTATTCCTTCATGTGCATTTTGTTGTAAAAGATTTTTTTTGTGGCTTCTGTTATTCTTGGTGAAAATAAGTTCTAGTAGGATGGAAGGAATTATTTTGTTTATTCAAACCTAAGGGTATGTTTGTTTTATTTTTTTAGTGTGTGTTTTTAGGTGTTTTTTGTATTAAGAATGTAAAAAGAGGTGTATTGAAAATGTAAAAACGTATGCTGGGATGGGACAGTTATTAATATATTAATTTTAAAAACCATCAAAAAAATGAAACAAACAAAAGCCTAAGTTTCCAATAATGAAAAATTATAAAAAAGATGAAAACAATATATGGATATCAATATGTATCACATAAAACATAATCCACTAAATTCTCCAAATTACAAACCAATGAATCTAGTATAATGAATGAAATACTTTCTAGTCATGTATATTTTTCTATAATTACTTTATTGGCTAAAAAAAAAGTATATATTGAGCTAAGTCCTATACCAACATCCCCTTCTTTAAAATTCACAGGCCAGCCAAAACATGATTCAGGACTTCCTGTACTTGAGAGCTTCAAAACGAGCAGCAAGAGTATCATAATCTGGTAACTTAGGATGAACCCGAGAAAACGATTCTTGTTTATTCACTTGCATAAATGGTGGTCGAGGTGCGTCCCTTTTAGGCGGTGACTGCTCTGGTCTTTCCATCTCAATTTCCTCATCAACATCTGATTCATCAAATTTAATGTCTGATTGTACAGCTGGTGGAGTGGCATTGTAGCTGTGCCTTTGGTGATATGCTGGTTCTTCTTCCATTTCAGCTTCTTCGTCACCATCTGAATCATCAAACTTGATGTCCGAGTGAGTAGAGGGAACAATGTAGCTATGCCTCCTGTTAATCTTCCTTGCATCATCCACATTGTAAGCTGTATTATGCCCATCATTTGAAAAATTGATGTTTAGAGAGTTTCGGCGCTTCAAGCTCTTCTGCATGTTATTAACACTCGGACGAAAACCTGTTGAAGGTGCTTCTTTGCCAGCCAAGTAGGCAGCTGCTTCAGCAGCAGCAATTGCTTCCTTTGCAGACTTTTCAGCAGCTTCAGCAGCTGATGCCGAGTCTTGAAAGCCATAGACATTTCTTTCTTCAACACCTGAATGCCTTTTCTTGCCCAATGGAGCCAAGCAAGGGGCAATAGAAATAGAAACTTCGCTTTAATACATCAAACATAGAAAAAGCAATATCTAGCATACATGTTAATCAAGTTTGATTAGTCAATAAGATCATGTTGGCAAACAAATTTGCTTATCTACACCATCTCATAGACTTATCCAACGCAAAAAAAATGCACGCAGATCAAAAAAAAAACCCTGCCTAACCCACATGTGTGTTCAAAACTTTTCTTCTTAAACATACTCCACAAGCTCATTAGTTAGTGCCTTACATGTTGGTTGGGGTTTCAGGTGTTACAGGTTGATGTTGGCTAGCCTTGACAGGTAAGGTGGATGCACTCCTGAAAGCACTTGATCCTTCCTGCTCAGAAGATAAGAAAGCATGGTAATAAGACACAAGAATGCATAAAAAACACTTAACTAGAACTGGAGGGGAAAATTAGGGAGATCGTTATACAATACGCTCTTCTGGAGGCTTGAGAAGTTCTGCTTCAGATTCTGTTGTATCCCAATCAACCTGGTATTCCTTGGCTATCTCTTTCAAAACCTTCAATTTCACTTCACCAGATGGTGTTCTGACTGAAAGCTTTTCAATAAGCTGGAAAAATTAAACTGAAGTCAGGTTCTTGTTTTACAAACAAGAAGAGTGGGGACTGTGGTTGGACAGCAAAATTCAACTTAATTACCGTGCGATTCACTCCAGCATTGGGACGGAGATCAACAGCTGCAGATACAAAATCTTTGCCATAGAACTTCTCAAAAACATCCCGGATGCCCAGTAATTCAGGAATCTCTGAGCATCGAGGGCCTGCAAAAATTAAACTTGATATCCCTTCTTTCAAATCAGGAGGGCAGTTCCTGGATAGATGCAACCAAACAATACCAAGTCTTAATATAGCTTGAGGAGTCTAGCTTTCAATTAGTTCAATATTTTAAAGTGTATAGTACAGCAAACCTTTGCTTTGCAATTATTTGGAGTCTAGCCACAAGAAGTTCACAGAAGAGCTCAACGAACTCATTTGCAGCCATAATATTTTGCTCTCTTATCACATGTTCGACCTACAATGTTGAACAAAAAGTTTGATTCAGAATTTTCAGATCAACTTGGAGCAAATAGAAACTATGATATAAAGTTTATGCTAAGTCCCTCAAGTTGAAAAAGAAAAATTACAATTTGGGAAAATTATACTAGCAACCACAAGTCCCCAATTAACCTGCCCATCCATCATTATACTTGATGCTGTGAATACAATAAGACAGAAGTTTCAACTACGCCAAATGATTTATTTAACTGAAGCAGAACAATATGTACCCTTTTTAAGGCGTCTACATCTAACAAAAATCGAGACAAGAATGGTAATGTGCCACATCGACCAAGTTTGTCATCAGATTTTGACAAATAAAGCCCAAAAAGGGAAGGGAAATCAGATTATTCAATGAACAGATTTTCATCAGAGTTTTCAAGAGTAAGAAAACATTGGATAGCAGAGATAAAAAAAAAGATTAAAATTGGCAGGAAAAGGTTTCACTTTTAGAGAATGGAGAGAAAAGAAAAATTACCCTAACTCGAGCAGTGGCATCCTGTTTCTTCTCAAGCAAAATAGCAATGTCCCTCCTCATCTGCCTAATCACCACTTCCCGCTTATTCCTCAGTAGCTTCACCCTGGCCACAGCCATCTTCGCCATTGTCTTGCTATAAAACCATCATTAACAGAATCGAGAAAACCCCAAATTAATCAGTAAGGAGACCAATAATCGGTCATTTAAAAGGATAATGAAATTAAAAAAAACACAGGTACTAAAAAGTCCGAAACCCATTGTGCCAAATACAAAAAAGAAGTGACAAAACTGGGTTCTGCAAGAAAAAAAGACTGAAACTTTAGAAATGTTGAAACAATCTGTTAGTCCACAGCTGCAAAAAGGTTGAAACAGGGTTTTGGGCAAGGAACAAAAAAGCAAAAGGGAAAGAAACCATTTGGAAGAATTAAATCTTCTGCGGAAAAGGGAGAGCCCGATCTTCATCGCCTTCTTGCACTGGTAGGTTGCGTATTCAACGCTCACCACGGTCATCGGAGAACTCTGCAGTCAGTGAGTGTGTGAGTGTGTGAATATTTTACTTCAGAGATTGACGATGACGATGATAATGGCAGAGTGACATTTAATTGTAACGGTCGTCTTTGATGGGAAGAGGATTAATAAAAAAAAAATGTGGAAAAACAAATAAAAAGTGGAAAAAAGGTGTACACATGGCGCTTCTTCTTGGGGCCAACGCGAGAAGAATGCACCACCGACCTGTTAGTTTAGGACTCGTAATACTTTTTGCTGCATTCGGTGCGCTCAAAGCCTCAAAGAGCCGTTACTTTGATTTGACGGCAGGAGATGATGGGCTGGCCTCTTGAAAGTTTACATTGGGTCAATACTCAATATTTATGGGCTCTAAAAAGAGCTGGATCTTGATTTGATAAAATGGGGATCCAATGCCAAAGCATGATTTCATACTAGGCCAGTAGACCTCCTTTCCTTTTTGTCGAAAAAAGAGATGTTCCTAATTGAGTGGACGTTTTTGTTTTAGAGCAAGAACCGGAGCCCGGGAAGATCACATATAAGCCGGAAGGGTAATGACCTGGCTGACTCTCTAGCTAAGTTAGGACTCCCTGGGGAACCCAAGGTTCTACTCCGTCCTCTCTAACCCGCCCCCTCCCCGTTTGTTTTCCGAGAAGATTTTGTTAGATTGGCCTGGCGCAACTTTTACTTAAGAGTTGATTTGTAGTCACTCTATTCCAAAATAAGTGTTGTTTTAGTAAAATAAAAAAATTTCAAAATAAGTGTCGTTTTTAGATTCCAATACATTTTTTGTCAAAAATTTTCAAACATACTCTCAAAAGAAATATTAATATTATTGGTGAGTATTATTTTAATAGGGTTGGTTGAGGATATTCTAGTAATTTAACTATCCTATTTAAGTGTTTCTTAAACTGTGTGCAAACTCTAGAATGACACTTATTTTAGAATAGAGGGAGTAATATTCATCTGACTAATACATCTCATCACACATATTGTTGGGCAGTAATTACATTACTTGGTAAACTGTTTCTTACTCTGCATCCAAATAATTTAATATAAATATCATATTTTTTTTTATTATTATTTGATCCATTGATAATCATTTAGATTATTATAATTTCACTTTAAGAGTTAGGATCTATTTCTGCTAAAATTCTGGACATAAAAATATTTTAAAACTCTATAAATTTAGCAAAAAAATATTTTAATTAGCTTATTAAAATTTACCCAATAGTTAAATGTCATGTAGGGTGAGATACAATGGTGAAATGAATAAAGTGAGATGTGTATAGTTACCTTTATGAAAAATTAGTTAAGTTATAAAAGATTTTACAACGAATCCAAAGAGGACCAAAAGAATACTCCCAAGTCCCAAAAAGGACTTTATTTTCATATATCTGACCGAAACTAAAAAGGACTAAAATAACCAAATAAAACCATACAACGGTACCACATCTGTTAAAACCCCTCTTCAGTACGCAAATATCTCAGAACAAATAAAAATCAGAGTGGGTTCCGCTTATAATTCTCTTGGAAAGTTGGGCTTTTCATATGTGTTACGGGAATGAATATTCTCTCGCTACGAAATTAGAATTAGACAAGTTATTTTCACCCAAAAAAAAAGAATTAGACAAGTTAAGATTGTCCCTAGCTCAATGGAATCTTTTGTAATTAAGCATCATGTTTCGTTTATAATTATTTCGAGATAGAAAGTTTTATTATTATTATTACTCCCTCCGTCCCATAATTATTGTCCAGTTTGGGTTTTTATTTATAATTCAAATTGTACTAAAAGTGAAATTTCAAAGTGGACAATAATTTTGGGACAGAGGGAGTATTATTTTTTCTTTTTGGCGTCAAATGACTGAAGAGAAACATTTAATGATCAATTCACATTGTTAGACAATAATAAACACTCAACGGCGAGTGGTTAAACAAAGTTTGATAAGTTGATTAACAATTATAATAATCCAGAGCAAAATGGAAACTTTTAATCTTGATGACGAAATCAGAGTCGCTTTTGAGTTCACAGGCGAACACAGTTCTATTAGGCTGCCATATGTTAAAAGGATGATTTTGAGCCTCAATAAAATGTGTACTACTCGCAAAATCGAAACCAGTGCTTTGCCAACACTCTGAACATCTCCTTTGCAGAAGATAGTAATATAATATACTTTGCACAATTTAGCGAAGGAGGAAAATTCATTAATTGAAGGGTTTATTTAACATCTATATTACACCTCAACCTGAGGTTTCCCTTCAGAATTCAATCTCTGTATCTTGCTTGAATATCTGTATCTCTATACACAATCTGCGCTGGATTCTATACATTTAATTGATGGCTTCTGTAAAAACCCCGATTTGCCATATGGAACAATAAACAGTAGTGAGTTATTTTTTTATTTTTTTCTTTTTAATGGGAGAATATATTCAGAAGAGAAACTCTGGCCCGGATCAAATGCCTGAACAAACTCTCCAATATATTCTCAAGATTCTCAAGAACCGTTTCCAAAGCTTCCAACTTTCTCTGCGCAGATTCAATTTTATCTTTCCCTGCATCATTTTCTTTGCAGGAAGAATGTATTAACAAATCTCCAAGAGCAATGTCTACATTCTCCAGTTCATTCAGCTTATTCCTCTGCCCCTGATCCCCTGCAAATGCTCCTTTTTGCATCAGCTTTGAAACCAGCGACCATTTACTTTGCTTTGATTTCATGACCGGAACCGAAAGAAACAACAGAAGGGATGATAAAGTTGAGATTGTTAAGAGGCTTGCTTCGGTCAAGGCCTTCACCGCGGTCAAAATTTGATGATCTTCTGATCTATTGAACAGATGCAGATGAATTCCCCTGTTGTTGTCCGTGCTCTTCAATTTTGCCAGGGATCTTGAGATCTCCTTGCGCAAACCTTTCCTTGAGAAATTAAATTCAGAAATGTCACTTTCGATGCTCAATTCTCCGAGCTTGTTTCGCCGGAAAGACGATCGGAGCCCACGAACCCCTTGGATCATCTGCATCACTGTATCCCTTGAGTTGTTGCAGACATCGATGAATGTCACAGATTCCTCCACCAAAGCCTTGACCCTTGGATTATCTTGATGCTGTGAAAGAGCCTGTTTTGTAATCTGCAGGGCAAGCAATTCTTCAATGGCTTGGTACAATTCTTTAAGGCCTACCAGAGAATTGGATAAATGATCAGCCCTGGAGAATGAAGAAGAGAAGGAAGAAGATGTCTCAAAAGTCTTGAGCTTGTTTACAATTTGTTCGATCTTTACAGTACTAGGATGTAATGTTGTTGGTAAACTAACAGATCGAAGCCTGTATTGATGATAGAATTTTGGATTGAAGGCAGCCATATTTGTTTAGTGTGTGGATTTCTGTGTCAGTTGTCTCCCCAGCTCATGATCTTGCTTATATATATACACACTATTAAAAATCAATTAAAAAGAAAAAAAGAAAAAGGAAAAAAGAGGAGGGTTGGCACTTGGCAGGTTAATTTTCGTTATCAGCTACTACAATTATGTGGGAATGGGAAAAGCATGTAAACATTTTGTATGGGCATTTTGGTTTGTCATGTCTTCAACCAACAAAAGCATCAACAACCCGAATATTCAAATAAAATTCAAACACAAGTGTAAAGTAGTTCGGTCACTTTGGATACGGTTAAATCTCTAATTTTGAGTCCATTTTCATGCACCTAACGTATGTATATGCCACCGGCCTGAAAGGGCTCGCGAACCGATGAAAACAAAAGTCGGTTCATTCTCACAAGAGAGGATTAATGTAGAAACCTCCAAATTTGTCCGAATTGGACGAACCTCGACATTTAAGAAAAGGGACATATAAAAAAAAAAAAAGAAAAGAAAAAAGTATCCTATAAGAAAGAAAGAATCATGAGTACACTAAGACATGAGAGTAACATATAGTGGTAATTCTCATGCTAATATTACTTTCATATTCGGACATAATACTAACATTTAGCAATAATTTCTCTGTCATAAAATTATCGTTCAGTTTTGATTTTCATTTTTAGTTCAATTTATACTAAAACAGAAAACCTAAACTGGACTACAAACGAAAAGAGTATATCATATTAGCGTTATTCATAAAATGAGTATTTATACCTACTATCTTTGCATTTGTAAATTTGTATATTGAGAAAGAGTAAAGACATCATATTTTTCTCATTACAAATGGCAACAACAATGCGATATTTTGTTAGATATAGATTGAGATCTAATAAGGAGATCATGGCCAGATGTGAAGACTCATCGTTGCCGACGGATAAGGGTGGTTATAAGGCAAGCTAAAAACGCCGTAGTAAATTAAAGATCGTGCACGGGTGGCATGGTTTTACGTTGTTTGCGCTGAACTTGAAAACCTACCTAAATGTTGAGTAGGTCCACAATTATGTTGGAATCAAACAGCTGGGCATGTCTTGTTGTTGAGTCATCTACTCAAACACACTGATTAACCAGGGAGATGATAAAATCATAAAAATTAAAGGGGTTGTTCTATGGTCTTCGTGGGCTAGTGGGATATAAATAAACAAATTGAAATTCCCACGGGTCCAATAACGGGAGGGAATTTAAACGAGAAATGATCAATCTTATACCAAACGAGTGAGATAATAAATATATGCATATGGGTTCAATAATTAATGCCATGATTTTTATATAATAGATTACACATATTATTGTTGAATGGCAAGCTGTATGTATCTAGGAGCGGCGGGTGATGTATAATTTTCAAGAGCAGCATACTTAATCGAAGTAATACTTCCTACACGTACTATCATAATGCAACTTGCTACTATGGCGAATCATTGACCAGCAGATCGAGCGTGGAATATATTGACCAACATATACAACACAACTAGTGGCGGAATCAGGAAATCAATATTGAAAGTTCGAAATTTAGACAAAATTACTAATAACATTAGGAAATCAATGTAGGAGGTGCAAAAAATTATTCAACACATAATTCCTATTAAAATTTCAGAATATCCCTACTAAATAGAAAAAATTGAGTAGGTGCAACCGCGCCCCTCCGTTAATGTGTTAGTGTAAAATACTGTTTTGATGAATTTGGAATTGAGTATTTGAAAACAGTCCTCTAAATTGATTAATTTACTAGTATGAGCATGGTCTGTAGTCTGTACCGTGCGAGAAAAGCCACCCACACATTAAACGAGGTGTTTGTTTTGATGGCTCGAATCTAGACCGTTTTGGACAACGTTGTATACTTGTATTTGAAGAAGACGACGGAAAACGAAATTTCTTCCTTTGCGTTGGTCACACCATTAAATTCATAAGTCTTTTACGGACGAGCAAGACAAATTCATTTAGGCGTTTCTTTCTCCCATTTAAGGTTTTCTTATGTTTCTTTATCTCCATCCGGCCACTTCCTCTTTCAGTGCTTGCTCCTGAATTTCGTGAATTGACATCCTTCGAAAAGAAAAAGGCAGAATTCATATTGTAAAGTATTACTAGTAACAAAAACATGTCGGATAACGCAGAAAAGGACAAAAGTGAAGTGGGCAGTGTTAATGTGATCTTAACAAATTCAGAACAAAACAAATGGACTCTGGAGTCTCCATTAAAATGGATCGGTGGTGTGTTACATACTTGGCCAACAGTGGTTAATGTTGGTCATTTAATTTTATCGTATTTGTGTAGTTGATGAGGGAGAACCGGAGGAGTTCGCTGTCGCCGCAGGTGGTTCTTTTTTATCTTTTTACGAGGGTTTGGACGGTGCCATTGTCTCCGAACCTATTTTTTGGATAGATGGTGCCCCCCGCACCATTAATTTTGCCAACCCTCGTCTCCTCATCCAGCCCTATTAGTATATACCGTATTTTTCAATAAAAATGTATGAATTAAATTATCAGGTGAAGGCCACAATTTGGCCACCCCATGATGGACACTACCATGCTCATTATTCATTACGAAGTTTTGTGAAGAAAAAAAGATTTTAAAGGAAAGAAGAAGAAGACAGCACACGTGTGTCGACCTACTACTAGTTAAAGAGGACGTATTTCATGTAAAAAATAATCTACATTGAGTTTTAAAATCAGATAGAATATCTACTAAAATAAAAAACTAACATATATTTCGAAAAGTATATTAGCATTACTTACAAAAGGTCGTTCATTAAAATCTTACAGTTTCTATACTTGGGCAAAGTTTTGAGATTTGCAGATGCAATATCTTGTAAGAGTTAAGAGACACTAGACTTAACAATTTTGCGAAGCTATACATAATTATTTATCCATCGTGGGGTGTTTTTATTATGAGGCATTTTATTAATTTGTTGTACTATCTTCAAGTTACAATTATAATAGTATACCATCTCCTAGTAATAAAGCTACCCTTCTAATCTTGCTTTTTGTCCGGCGAAACTACGTAAATGCCTTCGGACAAGAACAAGAGATTAATGGGGGGCATTTTGGTTATGGAATTTCATTCCACCAACCTTTGCTACGACGAGCGAAAAAAAAAAGAGGAATATGCTCATGTTACTAGTCCTGAATACGAAACATATTGAAGTGGATACACATGCTTAAATATATTTAATATTAACAACTTGCTCTCTTCAGTCTTCACTATCATTTTATAGCTACATTGATAAAATGCATATTTTAGGTTTAAAGTGGCAACCTACCCTAATCCACATATATTAGGATGGCTTCTTTTGTAATCACCTTCTACTTCTAGCTAGGCTTCATCTTCTTGGAAGCTTATCCGTTCAGAATATCTTTATTTCTCACATTTCAACCAATCAGTTGTTGTAAGAACACTTTTTTAAGCTCCATACAATTAGTTACATGATTAATAACCCTCAGAAAGGAAGACTTTCAACAACCAATTAAGCTTCGAATAAACTAGGATTCATTATAGAGATTTGCGTGCATCACACTTTCTAACAGGAATCTCCACGTATAAATGACAATTGTATAAGGTGTGAATAGTTGAAATTAAGAAACTAATCATTCATATGTTAGAAAATACTTTTAGATTCTACGCGCACGAATGGCTTAATTATTGTAAGTTTCATACAGGCATATATAATTGGAGTTCTACTATAAAAAAATTATCAAGTAGCTAGTAAGATTTGCTAGAAATGTGGATGTGCACGAGTGGGTTTTTGGTGAATTTGTTTCCCTTGAGGATGGCAACCAAGGTTCTGGAATATTTTTTTCAGGATCGTCTCCGTGATTATTGCTTCTTAATCCAGCTCACACAAATGCTTCTACTAGCTAGTTTCTGAATTAATTATGATCTGCCCAACGGAGTGATTCATTAAGTTTATATCACTAAGCACGATGATTTTTGGACCTGTAGCGACTTTATTCCATTCCAAATAATTGAATTTGTAGAACTTTTTTCATAAACTGATACTAGTAATTTACTGATATAAATCTATAGTACTAGAAATCTACTGATCACATTGAAAAAAAAAAAAAGAAGAACAAAAGATCCATTTTGATGTATTACTCTTAAAGGAATTAAATTCGTAAATTAACTTCTTCTTCTTTTCTTTGGTTTTGTTTTAAGTTATAGTTTCCTGCTGGATTTGATAGCGAATTTCGGAGAAAGAAATCATCCTGAAAGCACTATGCATGTGACTAAATGTGAGCATGCGATAAATTGAACAAATAATTTCTGTTCAAAATAAAACATGAGGGGGTAGAGTTAATTTAATCGAACGTTTTACGGTCAATTACTTTTTTAAAAAATGAATTTATTAATATGAAGGAAAAAAAGATTTGTCGTTCTCGACTTAATAATGTTAACCCGCTTAAACTTATTTCTAAGCATAACTTTCAATGCAAATGATTTAACATAAGTACACTATAGTTCCGGTATTTCTTTTCGAAAGCAAAGAAAATGACTACTCCTTTTGTATTTAGCGAAATACGGCAGAGAATAAATTTGAGCTATGTAATAAATACTACATCTTGTCGCTTACTTTTCGCATTTTTAAGAATGGTATATTTTGAGAATAAACCATACACCGTCTACCGGGATTTTTTTTTCTTTCTAAACGATAATCATTATATTAAATAAAATAAAAGAGGTACAATTACATGGATTGGATTACAACAACTTACGGCTGAACTATTACAATCCATCTTTCTCATTATACCTAACCACAGAATCAGTGATATAATCTCAAATCTGTGTACAAAGTTAGATCTAGATAATTTGACAGGATTGTAGCAATATCACTGAATACAAAGAGAATTTACGAAAATTTATACAGAAATAAAAAGAACTCTATTCTAACAAAAGATAATCAGACTAAAATCTATCAAGACTAAAATTGAAGATCTAGCTCTGCATCTTAGATCTTTTGTGCCTAAAAGTCTCAGATCTGTTGTCGTTTCATTTGTTGTTAATCGTTTAAAGCCCGTATCCCGTCTATAGGGATGACAAAGGGATTTTTAGGCAACAGATCTGCGGAACACACGTGTGACCCATTCAGCAACAAGTGGATTTCAAGTTTCTTGGTCACTACTCAGCTGCAGCCAGCCCCTCAAGTCAACACGTTGAAAGCGGCAAAAAATTATACACTTTTTCAAAAAAAAAAAAAAAAACTCTTATCTTTTACATTTACTAAAAAGTGTAAAAACAATTTCGAGATAAAGTAAGTACACATTATGCATTAATAATTTAGTTATTATAACATTATTGCATTGAATAATTGAGGCTTCTCTGGCAATTTATTGCCCGGCCCCTTTTATTTGCTGTATTTTTAATTCTTCTTTTGAATACCATGACTTTGTTGAAGGAGCCAAAATTGTTGCGAACGGTAATTGACTCAGCTCCACTTTGCCCCTACCTGACGATATGGCACACTGAAACCGGAAGTGCATTTGATTTGTTCGATATTGTAATTAAAAGCAAAAAAAATATAGTAGACTTTAACTTAGGAAAAAGGGGGAGAAAAAACGACAGAATGGGACGAGACACAAGCTACATTATTGGGTTTGAAAATTAGAAATGTATCAAACAGTGCATCTAAATCCTAAAGCTTCAATCTGCCATGGACTTCTTCTATCTATGCAATTTACAAACTTTTTAATTATGTGATTTTCGAATTTGCTATAATTCTACTTCGTCCGACCTACAATTAGATTTTTATTTTTATTTTTATTTTTGTTATTATTTTTGTGTTAAACTATGTGATATTGATGTACACAAATTCCCTTATGGGGACAGAGGACATTGTGAGTGTGATGATTAGTGCATATTCAAGGTAACACTTTCAAGTAAGCATCTTTATTAGTTTCTTCTCTTACCTTTTGCTTTCATTTTTTTCCCCTGCACTTCTTCTTCTTTTTTTTTTTGAAATCAAAATGGCATATATCATACAAAGACTACATGCCAATCATCCATGATATGCTACCCCTACAATATCATGGTTTAACCACTAAAATATGCCTAGTGATGGTGAATTCAAACTTATTAGGCCAGACGGATTTACTTCCGCCAACCATATCATGTAATCGGTAATAAAATTACTCTCATGTACTTCTTATTGACTTTGTTATGAACGTGAAAAGAACTGACCAACGGTAACAATTGATTAAGCTAAAAGAGGTATAAAGCTTTGCTAAATGGAGATGCAGGAAGTTGATGGGCAAACTTTATGATGTCCAAAATCATATAGTATTTGTTGCAAATTTTGCTATGTATTACAAAGTTGTTTATGTACATTTACATTTCATAAGCATATATCTAAAAACTTTGAATGCCTATGCAGATTTTTGGGATCAAACATCCACTGAAAACTACAGATATTAACATGAAAAGATGTTCAGGAGAGTGGTCCTTGATCTAATCAAGCACCTAAACATTCCCTCCAACCCATTTTCCATGCTTTCAATGGTAGCTTCCAAGCTCTCCAATTTGCTTTGAACAATCTGGATTTTCCCATTTGGACTTTGATCATTTCTGCAAAGGCTGTTGACTGCGGAATCCACATTTTCCAACTCGTTGACACCTTCTTGTTGATGATCTTCACATCCAGCTTTTTCTTTATGTACCAATCTAGAAACCAAAGCCCATTTGCTCGTCTTTGGTTTGGTAGATTGACCAGACAAGAAAAGCCAAACTGACTGGAAAATAGAAACGCTGATTGAATAAACTTCCCTGAGCACTCTGATTACTGCAGAGGTGTGTTGATCATCAAGGTCTAAAAGGGCTGATGAAGCATCAATTTGTTTCAGAGCTGCACTGTATCTTTTGGCATCATTCTTCATCTTCTTCCTGAAACAAGCATAGTTGTTAATCCCAGAGTCTCCCTTTCTTCTCCTTAAAGAAGACTGAAGATCTCTGACATTTTCCTTAAACTGAGACACAATCTCCCTTGTAATCCCACAGACATCCAAGATTCTCAACGATCCATCCACGAATTCATCGCCCAATTTCTGGTTGCTCTGTTGAGACAGAGCTTGAGTGGTGGATGGCAAGTTGAGAAGCGCATCCATGCATTGGTACAACTCTGCCAATCTGCACAGAGCATTGCAGATTGACCCTGATGAGTTGTATGATGCAAGTTCAAAAGTTGTAAACTTGTTCAACTCTTCTTCAATTTTTAGAGTGGTAGGATGTGATCTGCTAGGTAAACTAATTGATCTGAGATGGCCAGACTTTGAGGCCATATTTTTTTTTTGCTGAGATAGAGAGAAAAATGTCACTGTTTTTCTGAGAACGATGGATTGATTGTTCAAGAGCTGTGAGCTATATACATACATACACAGAGAGATGGAGAATTACATACAAATTTTTCTGAATAAAAAAAATGGGATCAACATGTGTGGAGCAACGTGGCAGGCCTTTGGGCTTGGAAAATTATGTTAGAAATTAAAATTAGGCCAACAAAGGCTTTAATCATTTGGGATTTCAATAATTAAAAACACGGTTTACTTCTAGGACTTAGGAGGGTGTGAGCTTTTTTTTTGGTAATGAGTTGTCCTGTTTCCTGTTCTAGAGTAGTTTCCAATCTTTCTGCCACTTAAGCAGCTTATGCTTATATATATATATATATATATATATATATATATTTTTTTTTTTTCTGGTTTGGAAGATTTTTCTGGGGTTTAAGAAATGAAGATTGTCTCGTTTGGAGGAGCCTCGATTCATCAAAATCGATGATAAACCACATCATTTCTCTGAAGATTAGTGAGACAGAAGGAGATTTCGACGGAGATATTATATAAATTCATAATTTTTTGAATAAAATACGTGTATCTATATGGGAGATTCGGAATCAATCAAGCATAGCTGGCAATTTGCTAAAGATTTGATATAGTTGATTAGTATTGCACGAATGGCTTCTGTATACGGTGCTTAATTAATTTTTCCTTGGAATATTATAAATCAGAATCCTTATTTTGCAAAAGGTAGTAGTACTACTACTATTTAATGTCCTTACTATTGAATAATTGCTTAAATGAGATGAAGAAAAAGAGCTTGTGGGGAAAAATAATAAGATACTCCCCCGTCCCATAATTATTGTCCTGTTTGAGTTTTCATTTTTAGTTTAAATTATACTAAAAGTGAAAACCCAAACTGAACAATAATTATGAGACGGAGGGAGTATATTTTATTTGGTTATACTATTTGATGATCCACACACATGTTTATGTATATGTAGTAGTGCAAAAACATACTCTCTTTTCTTTTCTCTGTGTGAAAAAATCTTATACGTTTGAATTATTTGCTCTAATGGAATGGGTCAATACATCTGAATATCTTTGGTAAGTAGAAAAAATGTTTATTTAATTTTACCATATTACACGACATATCATTTGAATAAGATGAATTTCCTGAAGACAGAGCTGGCTCATGTTGAGGCCTCATGTAAAAACTTAATTTGGGATCCTCCAGTAATTGAATTTAGATAAATAAAATTTTGATTAAAATATTTAACAACTAAAATATTACATACCTCTCATGTCAAAATATTTATGGTAGTACTAATTATTATAAAACAATTTAAAAAAATTAGTTATAGTAAATAAAATTCTAAAAAGTGAGGCTCTAAATAATATGAGGCCTAAAGCCCTAACTTTAGCAGCCTCTTTAAAAGCCCGTCTTGTTTGAAAAATGACATTTCTAAGGTAGTAAATAAACTTTTCAGGCAGTATTTCTCAATTTTCACTTAAGATTAAACATTTAGCTCATGAAGTCGTCGTCATTTGGATGTACCCATCTTCATCAACACCATCTCAAATCTCAATATCTCATGGCGATATTGAGAGCTTATAAGCATTGTCAAAAAAAGAAAAAAAGAAAAAAAAGAAGAGCTTATTAGCTGGGTTGAGAGACGTGGGCAGAAGTGATAAACATTCTTTTAGATTTTCCTTAGCGGCCTACGACACAAAGCCCATCATTGGTTGCTTAGCGGCCCAATAAATGACCTAACAGGCCGCCTACGCGTGGAGTATATAATTATTCTTAAATGATATTAGTATTACAAAAAATAATAATAATTCTGAAATAAAATGCCAAACCTTTTCTTTTTTCTTTTTGAAAACAATGTAACTTTCATAACTATTAGTGGATGATCGACAATGTAATCTTTCGTTACAATTTCGCTACAACCTGAAATGATATTTATTAGGCAAACTTGCTCGTAAAACTTCAAGGCTGTCAGCGGTTTTTTTCTATCAATATTTCCTTGTTGTAGATGAGTTCCATGTTAGAATTCCACAAAATGTCAAATGTTGAGCCAAGAAAAAGAATTCAAAATAGATAACAAGGAAAATTGAGAGTATATAATATCTTTTGTACTGTATTCGTGTAATTAATATGTGCAAAGTCATATTTACATTGTGTTCATAGGCATATCCTCTAAAATCTGGAAGCCTATGAAGAATTTTGGATCAAAGATCATTGAGTTGCTAGCAAATTAGCTTGAGAAAAATGTTTAGAAGGGAGGTCCTGGATTTGATTAAGCATCTAAGCAAGCTCTCCAATCCATTCTCAATGCCATCAATGCTAGCCTCTACGCTCTCCAATCTGTTTTGAACAAATTGGATTTGACTTTGATCATTTCCGCATCGGCTCTTTAGTACTGAATCTACTTCTTCCAATTCATTTTGTGATCTTTCCTCACTTTCCTTGTATACTAATCTTGAAACCAATGTCCATCTGCTTGATTTAGACTGAGCAGACAAGAAAATCAGGATTGATTGGAAATAGTTACGGCAGTTGAATTCACTTCTCTAAGTACTCCAATCACTGAAGAAATATGTTCATCATCAATGTTAACTTGATCCAACTGTTTCAACGCTGAAATGGATCTTTTGGCATCTTTCTTCATTTTCTTTCTGAAGCAAGTATAGTTATCCAGGCTTGATTCAATGCTGGAGTCTACCTTTCTTCTCCTCAGAGAAGATTGAAGATCCCTTACATTTTCCTTAAATTGTGAAACTATATCCCTTGTGATACCACAAATGTCCAACATTTTCAATGATCCATCCATGAATTCGTTGTCGAATTTCTTGCTGTTTTGCTGAGACAGGGCTTGAATGGTGGAGAGTAAGTTGAGAAGATCATCCATGCATTGATACAACTCTGCCAATCTGCATAGTCCATAGCAGATCAACTCGGATGTAACTGATGAGAGTTCAGATGTTTTGATTTTGTTCAAAACCTCTTCAACTCTGAGAGTAGCAGGATGTCATCTGCTAGGAAAACTGTTTGATCGGATGTGACTGGATTTTGAGGCCATTGTTTTTTTCTCTTTGAATTTTTTCTTGATGAATCAAATTTGAGAAGAGGGCTTACTGCTTATGATGAATTGATGATGGAGTTGTGAAGGACTTAGTGCGTTATATATATATATATATATATATATATATATATATATACAGGAAGAATCAAAGAAGGGAACAACGTGAGTTGGCAATGTGGGCAGCCCTTTAAGGTGGCAACTTGCTAGACTTTTAGCCAACAAATTTCTAATGACTCTAATCATTGGGGAGCATTTTTCTCCAATCACCATTGATTATGGGAATTCTGCATTTTCTGGCATTCTGCAACATGGTGGCATTGATAACCCTGCTCTTCCTAGGTGGCTTGTCTAATTTGGAGGAGAAGAACAGAGGACAACAAAACACAAATATCAAAGATTATACCAATTTCATGCCCAACAAAACAAAAAAGTGATTGGATTCTTTTAAAGAAAAACTAATTCAGGCTTCTGAAAAACATGGTACCTTGGATAAAAAATAACAACGGATTATAAGTTTAAGGGCAAATGGCCAACATGATTCTATTCAATTTTCATTTCTTTAATGTCCTTACTTTGTTTGTGGAGGGAATTAGATCTCTATATCGATCAGCCTAACATTATATTATGTGTCGTGTCTTCCTCGTTAAAATTCAAGAAGAATGGTGCGTTTTGTTCCACATCTCCAAATACTATTTCCATACTGCTTAATAAAGAGAGATCTAAAGGTGGTTCAGTCTTTCTCCACAACACCCTGGCTTGGTGAGATCTGTCTGCTACTGAGGAACCTTTAATAATTATCAGAAAATACGGACAAAGAACTCCTTTTTTTTTTCCGAATGATTAAAGGCCGGGAGATGAGGAAATTCCGACAAACAAATTCTGTAATTAGAACATTTTGATTGGATCTAGAGACTTGATCTTAAAGAACTTTAGGGTTTTTTGCTCCGAATATGTCGGGAGTCCTTCTCGACGCCACTAATGCTCTTGAAATTCCGATCGATCCCAAAGTAAACCCGCCTAATAATATTGTTGATCCTTTTCCAGATTTAAATAAAGCCAATCTACCGCTGCTGATTAACACTAGATCTCTCAAAAGATCTAGGGTTCGTGGAAGTTCGGGGGAGCCTGCCGGTGATGGGCTTTTGGAACATCCTCCGGAGGCTACGTCTCCACAAAGACAAAGTTTCAGGGATATACTTAATAGGAGTTGCACTCATGTTGAAATTTTATCTGATGATGAAGAAGGAGGAGATGATGATGATGATGATGATGTTACCATAGATTATGGGCATACTGAACCTGATGTTCAAATGAAAGACAGCTTTTACGATTCAATTGTTAAGTCCTGGAAGAATGTTGTGATTTTGAAGGTTTTGGGGACGGTGATCTCACCTTAATTACGCTACAACAAACTTACGGCAATGTGGCCTTTCATGAAAGGGTGTGATATGATTGATTTGGAGAACGGATATTTTCAAATTCGTTTTCGGTCAAATGAAGATGCAGTGAAAGTGTTAGTAGGAGGGCCATGGATGGTCACGAAGCAGTATTCGAAGTACTACCTTCATGTACAGCCATGGGATGATGAATTTGATGAAAAATGCAATCAAATAACCTCGACAGTAGCATGGATTCGGCTTCCTGGTATGCCAGTTCATTTGTATCACAAAAAAGTGTTTCGCAAGATTGGCAAGATCTTTGGGAAGGTGGTTAAAATCGACCATCAAATTGCAGCCCAAACAAGAGGTAAATTTGCGAGACTTGCAGTTGTGGTGGATCTCACTAAACCGGTTTGTGCAAAATTTACAATCCGGATAAAGGAGCAGCGGGTCGAGTATGAAAGCCTTCATGATATTTGTTATGAATACGGTCGGTATGGTCATGTCGCTGCGGTATGCCCGCATCGTACTGTTTCCATTTTAGAGGGAAACAACAGTGAACACGAGCGAAGGTCTGAGTGTGAGACGATCGGTGCTGATGTGTCAGGTCGGCCGATGGTTGGCGACGATAAGGGAAAGGAAGGTGAGAAGAGATTTGGCCCGTGGTTGGAAGCTAAAACTAAGGGAAGAAACATCATTTTGATTGGATTTGAGTAGACGGAGATACGGAATCAGTACAGCACCGTATACATATTGTACGTACATTATTCACTACCATAAAAATATAAAATTTGAGGATAAACCAAATATAATGACACTTTTTTTTGTGGGTTTTGTGGTAATGGGAAATGTGGTTTTATATACACAAAAAATAAGTTCAAAATCCAACTAAAGTTTGGGTACGTATTTCCTATTAAAAATTGGTTTTAATTATGCGTACAGTATTTGAGTTTAGGAAGTTATCCTTATCCTATTAAAAATTGGATTGGGTTCTATGTACTTTCCTATTTCTCATAGAATTAACCCATCTTAATTCTTATGTCTATAAATATTTGTCAATGGAGGTGACGAGTTGGGTTAAAGTATAGTTTTGTATTTGAAGCACTTGGATCAATTTTTGTTGGAAGTTTTTACACAAACAAGGAGAGAAGACTTGATTAACTTTGTTGGGATCTCAGATTAATCAGGATTTATTGCACCACTATGCCGCCGAGGAGGGCAAGGAGAGGAACTTGGACGGAGGAGGAGAAAAAAGATGAAGCTGCGTCAAGAATCCAGCCATCCATACAAAATCCTGCAAGTTTCAAGAAAGAATGGCACGTTGACGAGGGTTTGCTAGCCAAGATAATCACGAAACTACATGCCGAAAAACACAGATGTGGGGATGATTTGGCGAAGCATTGTGAAATTGTCGAGAAACTTACCGCAGAAAACGAGCGGTTAGACAAACATATCAAGTGTTTGGAAAAGGTGATAAATCACATCAAAGTTCGCCGATACGGATCAGGGTTCGACTCAAAATTAACCACATCAACAGCGGTAGTTTACTAGTTATTAGTTAGTTGTAGAGAGCCTTTCTCAACACTAACAACTATGCAGAAATGGAAAGTATTTTATCTTGTTTCGAATTTACAATTTTATTACTTATATACACAAGTTATTCCAAAAAAATCAATTTTTATATAAAGAAATTAGTTGCAAAAATCAAAAGTATTTTGATTACAAGACGACTTAAATTGTTATGACTAAAACAATAAAGGGAGACCAATTCTTAGGGTACATGATCTGTAGACTCTCTATTCTTAAGGTACATAAAGTGACTTTTTTCCAATAATAAATATGACTGTTTTGAATTGAAACAACATCAAACTATTTTTTAGGGTACATAAAGTGACTTTTTTCCAATAATAAATATGACTGTTTTGAATTGGAACAACATCAAACTATCTTTCGGGACAGAAAGAGTATTTACTGTTTTTTTTTTTTCAAAATTTTAGTTATTCTTCTTTTTCTTCCCCAGAAGGAAGATGTTAAACCAAACAATTCAATAGAGTAAAGTGAACATATAGAGAGTAGTATGAAACATAGCACATTATAAACGTTAATAATATACAACTTTGTTACATCAAAACGTTCACAAAAATTGTATGACTATACATGATTTGGGATCAAAGATCCAATTAATGGCAGAGAGTTAAGATGAGAAAATGTTTAGAAGGGTTGTTCTTGATCTGATCAAGCGCCTGAACAAGGCCTCCAATCCATTCTCAACTTTATCAATGCCACTCTCTAAAATCTCCAATCTGATTTGAACAGACTGGATCTTTTCGGTTTCACTCTGATCATCTCTGCACAGAGTCTCTATGGCCGAATCAACACTTTCCAAGTCATTCTGGGATTCTTCTTTTTCATCCCCAGATCTCACTTTTCCTTGGTGGACTAGTTTCGAGACCAACGACCATTTGCTTGGCTTTGACTTGGAAGAAGATTGGGCAGACAGAAATATTAGTACTGATTGAAAAACAGCAATGCTGATGGAAAATACTTCTCTGAGTATCCTAATCACTCCAGAGATGTGCTGATCATCAAGATCCGAGAAGGCTGATGAAGCACTAATTTGTTTCAAACCTGCAATTGATCTTTTGGCATCTTTCTTCATTTTCTTCCTGAAACAAGCATAGTTATTCAGGCTGGATTCAATGTTGGAGTCTCCTTTTCTCCTCCTTAAAGACGACTGAAGATCTCTAACATTTTCCTTAAACTGAGAAACAATCTCCCTGGTGATGCCACAGATGTCCAAGATTCTCAAGGATCCATCCATGAATTCATCGCCCAATTTCTGATTGCTCTGTTGAGACAGAGCTTGAATGGTGGATGGCAAGTTGAGAAGATCATCGAGGGAGTGGTACAACTCTGCTAATCTGCATAAATTGATGCAGATCGACTCTGAAGAAGAACCAGATAATGGTTCAAATGGTTTGATCTTGTTGAACTCATCTTCAATCCTAAGAGTAGCAGGATGTGAGGCGCAAGGCAGACTAATTGAACGAATGTGGCTTGTTTTTTGGGCCATTTTTATGATCTTTTTCTTTCCCTTAATGATTCAGATCAGAAACTAAAAGGGAACTGATTAACTGATGATGGTGAAGCTGTTCAAAAGACTTCTGATTATATATAAAGCTAAGAGTTTGGAAAAAGGACAAAGATCAGAAGAACTGTTGTGAATATTAAAAAAACAATGATGAACGTGTGGTGGGCCAAATGGAAATGTGGGAATGCAGTCCGTTGAGCATGCAGCATAATTCTGATCATTTAATAAAATCAACAGCTCAATTATGGAGAGGATATGAAGTGATGAGGTGTTATGTTTTGAAGGAAATATCATCCCCAGGAATTATGCAGTTTGCGCCACATAGTATTTTTTTCCCCTCCTCCTCTGGTTCATTAGATCTAAACGGTGGCAGCTCTGAGTCCAAAACAAGCAAAGTACAGTCTGTACAATAATAGCACATCCTCTTCAGCGTTAACAATTCATGAGATATGGTAGCTGGGGGGAAAATAATTCAGATCATAATGTAATAAGACTAGGTACTTGGTATAATTGTGCACGAATGGCTGTTGCATGGACACACCACAATAATAATTCAGTTGGATTTTCTCATAATATTAAGTAGCCCTTCAATCATGTTTGATTAAGACTGCTTATTTTTGGATGAAAACTGGTAAATTTTGTTTTAGAGAAAACCTCTCGTTCTCAGTGTCTTTTGTGTGTCAATTGTAGCCCTTTTCAAAAATCAATCCTTTTTCTTTGTGTAATTGAGACTTGGAGAGTCTAAAAAAAAAAAAAAAAATCAGGACAGGAAAATCTCTGGAAAGATGCTAGATGCTAACAAACAGAAACTGAGATTTGTGCCAACTAATGGCAATAATTGCTGCACGTACGCCTACTTTACTAAACCACCATATATATATATATATATATTAGCTGTCTTGACCAATAATCATCCAGAAAAAATCTGCAAGTACATTCGGTTGTCTTTATGGAAGGTAACATTATATTCCATGAAGAAGCCATTCGTGCACATCTACAAATCTTAAAGGCTTTTTATTTTTTTTTTTTGCCCTTTTAGGCGTGACCTCTAGAATGATCATTTCCCGCACGTTCAATTTCTGATTATTTATCCATAAGATGAAGTTTCTGTGTAAGCATAACGATGAATTAATGAATCTGTACTGTGAGGTGCTGCCATGCAGTTTTGAACTCTAAATCACATGCAAAACGCGTGTTCTGGATTGAAGCATCAATACAAATGTGGGATTTACTGCAAAAATAATACTCTGGAAACAACAAAATATTGGAATACTGTACTCTCCTTCCGTTCTAAAAAAATAGACGACACTAGCATTTATGAATTGTAATATTTTTATATATTTAGTATAACGCGGATTATTTTTTGGGAACAAAGAGGGTATCATATAGGTTTGATCCTATACGATGGATATTAAAGATCGCATCAGTCATTTTAATGAAAGTCCTGAAGCATTATGTCAAATGTAAGTGAGATTTTGAAAGATATGAAGGTTAATTCAATTCAGTTTTTGTAATCTCAAAGGTCATCACATAGTTTGTAGTTCACAGTGGCTAATCAACTGCTTGGAAGGCTAAAAAAAACTGATCAAGACGGTTGTTTGCAATTAATAATTTGGAGCTATGAAGTGGTATGATTCAGAACTGTGAGTTGGCTTTAGCAGAAACTCATTTGCTTGGTTGCCCCATTTGAATTTCAAACTGAAACAACTAATTCAGCAAACCAAACCAAAGCAGAGTTAATAATAATATGCAGAGTGGGGGGGGGGGACCATTCATCATCGGTCGACTAAATTAGTTCTCTAGCTCAAATCTACTAAGCAAACCGCACGTACGCCTGATCTGTTCTAAACTTATTTACTAAAAACTATTGTATGATTTGGCAAAATGCGGCCGTGTTCTTGTTGGGTTCGACGACCCTTCACCCACGTGGATGTAACATAAACAAGTTACAATTTGACGAATCATCCTTCATCTAAATCGCTGGATTACTACCCGACTGGTAGAGCTAATTACACTGGCCTAGTTGTGTTTAATTTAAGGCCTAGTTGCATGATTATCTTGTGTCCGGCTTTCTTCCTTCGCGATTATGATTAGGCAAATACACGGTTATGTACTCACATTTTGAGAGGAAGCGGCGGGCAAACTTCCTGTTGATCTGTATTTGTTTTATTTATCTTACGGAATGAGTTAGCCTAAGCCAAACTCGTTTGACTATTATAAAAAAAAAAAAAAACCAGGAACAATTGAAAACGTTTATCAAACTAAAGCTTGCAGCTAGTTTTTGCAACTTGATTTAATCAAATTTTTAATGGACTCCCTCAAAGTGGACAATGATCTTGAAATGTTAAATTTGGTTGACATTGTTAATTAGGGATCAAGATAAAATTAAAGCCTGATCTGAAGAGTTGGATGATGATTGTTTTGAATGTAAATACTTGTTTTGAGGATGTGTAGACGAGATTCATATCCAATTGATAGTTCTGAAGCGCGAATTAATAGAAAAGACAGACGCAAAAATTAAGCAAGAGTCGAGGATTATGATGAATAATATTGTTGTATATTTTTTGTGTATGTATTAGGTACAAAAATGTTCATATAATGTACAATTTTGTTTCCATAAGCATATCTGCTAAAAATTTGTATGCCTATGCAAGATTTAGGATCTTTGGGGGAGCTAATTAGCATGAGAAGATGTTTAGAAGGGAGGTCCTTGATCTGATCAAGCACCTGAACAATCCCTCCAATCCATTCTCAACACCATCAATGCCGGTCTCCAAAATCTCCAATCTGTTCTGAACAAGCTGGATCTTTTCGTTTTCTTGATCATTTTTGCATATGCTTTCTACTGCTGAATCTACATTTTCCACCTCGTTCTGGGATTCTTGTTGCTCTTCACATGATCCCATTTTGCTTTTGTTCACCAACTTCGAAACCAATGACCATTTGCTTGTCTTTGGTTTGGAAGATTGAGCAGACAAGAACATCAAAACTGATTGGAAAACTGCAATGCTGGTGGAAGTTACTTCCCTGAGTGCTCTGATCAATGCAGAGATGCATTCATCTTCAAGATTGAAGATTCCGTTAACTCCCTGATCTATTTGTTTCAAAGCGGCCATTGATCTTTTGGCATCTCTCTTCATCTTCTTCCTGAAGCAAGTGTAGTTGTTCAGGCTTAATTCTGTGTTAGTTCTTCTCCTGAGAGAAGACTGAAGATCTCTAAGATTTTCCTTGAACTGAGAAACAATCTCCTTTGTGATCCCACAAATATCCAAGATTCTCAATGATCTATCCATGAATTCGTCACCCAATTTCTGGCTGCCCTGTTGAGACAGAGCTTGAATGGTGGAAGGTAAGTTGAGAAGCTCATCCACACATTGATACAACTCAGCCAATCTGCATAAACCATAGCAGATAGACTCAGATGCATCAGATGATAGCTCAGATGTTTTGATCTTGTTCAATACTTCCTCAACTCTTTGAGTTGTGGGATGTGATCTGCTGGGCAGACTAATGGATCGAATGTGGCTAGTTTTTGAGGCCATTTTTTCTTGTTCTTTCTTTTTTTTCCTCACAAAGGCTAATTCACTGAATTGTTTTTGGGTAGATGAGTTTGATGGAATTGGCAAAGAGTTGGAGGCATATATATAGAAACAGAGTCCGGGGAAGGGGACAAGGAAAGAGATATTGGGAATTAAGAAATGTGATCTGCATGTGCTGGCAATGTGATCGCTCTTTGAGAATTGAAATTTTTGTGACACAAAAACCCAACACAGTTTTAATCATTTGCCAATTTTTTACTTTTTAGTGGCTTATGGTTATGGAGGTTGGCGACATTTGGGGGATGAGGTGTTCACTTTCTTCATGCAGAGTTGCTCTGTTTATGCCACATAGCGTTTTTCTGCTGAATTACTCTTACACGCGTGGCTCGCTGTGGTTGTCCCGTGTGGAGGAGCCATAACGAATTAAACTATTGGAAAAGTAAGAGACAAATTCACAAAAAGCACCTCCCTTATATTTTAATTTAGAATATTATAATAGATAGATGAAGATATAGATAATAGAATGATTATTTAAAGAGATGAAGAATTGAATAGTAGGGTTTTAGAGAATTTGTCACGCCGTAGTTACGAGATTAGTGAATATAAAAATCGGGGTTTGGAATTTTGTTTAGGTAAAGATGTTGGATTGATTATTGGTGGATGGGGATAATTTAATGTGAAATGGAGTAATTAAGTTCTTCCACGTTTGGCTTGTTGGCCTTTTGTCTCCTCCGGTGAGTAGATTAGAAAAATATTTGTAATTTTATCATTTACATTAGCTAAAAATCCCACTTTACGGGATGAAAATATCAAGGGCCTGGGCAAAAGTTAAAGAGTAAGTGAATCAAACAAAAATGTAACAATTTACTCACTGAACCTTCACATTTTGCTGTTTTTACAATTGAAGAGACTCTTCACTGATTTGGGTGAATTTAAATGGAGGTAAATAAAAAGGGAACAGAAACCTCCTCCGGCCGGCCATGTGTCATAAAAGCAAATAGTCATAGCATGTGATTGCATTGTGGGTTCATGCCTCCTTGTTCAATTCATGTCCCGGGGAAGCCATATTTCACAGCCATTTGAATTTCCGACCATTTGTCACTCCCATCCGATTAGACCAATCAATTTAGGTGCATGAACTGATGCACGAATGAGAGTAAGAGTAATGACTTCCCTCTTCCACACAGATGAAGGGCTTCTGAATTGTGGTAAACGTAAACATTTGTCTTTGATTTGTGTTACATCTTGTTTGATCTCCCTCATGTGACTATTTGCCTCCGTTATGTCTCCCATTTCTCAAGCATGGATTTTGTCTCAAGGAAACCGTTGGAGTTATTATTCCCTATTCCCAACTTTGGGCGGCATATTTAATCTTCTCTAATGGCACCTGGTGCTCTAATGGACGGCATAGTTGCAACAAAAATTAAGAACAAATTCAACATTAACATATTACTAATGTATCCGATTGAACAGGGATTAATGAAAATACTACTAGTTTTTTACTAATTGTATTTTGATTCGTTAAGACAAGGGGACATTTAAAGTTTTATTAATGTAATGTACTCCATTAAATTATCCATACATGGGAACTGATGTCTATGAAGTTAACTGTTAACCCCCTCAAAATGGGCTTAGGATTGGAAGACAAAGGGACGACAATTACATTCAATTATCACATTCATCGTTATGGCACCATTATTTTGCTGGGGGGGTTGGGAATTCATTGGGTCGAGTCATTTGCAGGAAGAACAGAATCATTACTCCTGAATTTGTGGGATTAGATGTATTAATATTTGGGATTAATCCGTATTCCGTAGTACTTTTTGGTACGAGCCGTACTATGAAAGAAGATTAGTGGTAAAAAATGTGACCAAATTCAGGGATAGTGATGAGGTTCCGGCTTTTCAGCTTTCTGTTTAACACATTCTTATCTCATTTGTGTACCTGGAGGAGTTGGACACCGAGGTAAATAAAGAGTGAAATCTGTCATTAACAAGTTGAAACCCATGATTAAAGGCAAAGAATGGACCTTGAGGGGCTAACGAGACATAAAAATCATTAGGTGCAGGCCCATAATAAATGTATTTATATGTTTTTGTAGCATAAGAGAACACCCAAGTCAGGATGGCCGAGTGGTCTAAGGCGCCAGACTCAAGTTCTGGTCTTCGAAAGAGGGCGTGGGTTCAAATCCCACTTCTGACAAATCTTTTTTGCTTTTCACTTCTTTTTATTTGTTTTATCATTGTTGTATTTGTTTATTATTTATTCATTTATTTAATTTTTATCAAAATTCCTCTTTTTCGGGTTAGAAAAATTTAATTAGTCACTCTTTTTTGTACATTTTCCTTTTCCCTTAAAGGCTTCAAATGAAAAAAGAAGAAGTATATTTTTAGTTAAAAGCTTCTATGTAAGTTGGTTTTCCTAGTAGTAATATGAATTACTTGTTTGGTCAACAAAAAAAAAAAGAAGAAAAAAAGATAAGCAACCAAAACTCAAAGTATCAATATGCTCAAAAAGGGGGGAAAAAGTTTGCTTCTTGAAAATTTAGAAAAGAAAAATAATTGAAAGTTGCTTCGTCACGATGGGTTGGAAACATGATACAAAACACCCAATAATTGTGGAAAGGTACGGAATTGCTTTGGATAATTGAAATATATTCTTCAAATCGCACTGAACGTACCATTCGATTGATTTCCGTTGCTGTACCTTAATTCTCCGCAAACATTAGAAATAATACAATTTGTATCGCAAGATCTAACAAATTCAAATAAAAACTCCTTATAGATTCATATCCAGGCTGTAATGTCTCAAACTTCCGATCAAAAGGGAGAAACATTTCAGATTCCTGTCTTGATATAATTTTATTCATTTATTTGTTTTTTTCTTTTAAAGCTCAAATCATACACAAATTCACCATTTATGCAATGTATCGACCGTCTCGCCTCTTCCACATTAATCCTGTTCCTAGCTAGTAGTTCTTTTGGCAACAACCGGCATTTCTGCGACTTTGATTTTCTGAAACTATGCGGTCAAAAACTCGCAACGTTTTAGGTCTAATATGCCTAAGAAAAATTGTTTAATTTTTGGCATCTTTTAGGCTCTATCTTGTTTGGATTAGTCCTCCTCGTGATATATGATCAATAATGGGTACGAAATGCAAAGCAAGAAAATTGCCAAAAATATTGGCGATGCATGCTTCCTCTCTAGTCACCGAAGAGTCTGCAACAGGGCCACTTATTACTGATTTCGAAATCAGAATCTAAACAATTTTCAACGTTATATGGCTGTCGAACCTCTTACAAAGGGAACATTTATGATCAGAAAAGAAGAAATTTAAGAGCAATCTGTTAGGCAAGGGAACAGGGAATGAGATTTATATTTACTTGTAGAAGATAAGATTGATTTACGAATCCTTTTAGGCCATGAATTTGATGAGCTTACTACATATACCTTAGCTAGCGGCCATATTGCATATTCAGAGTTTTTTTTTTTTAATCATGAGAGTGATCGCAAAGGTAATCTTTTTATCCGCAAGATGGCATGTGGTAGTAGCAGAAAGTGTTGGTGCTTCAAGGAGACAAAGAATACTTTTCAGAATGCAACCTGTTTCCCTACTTCTGATTTCTTGAGATACTGGAATTTATAACTCATATGGCCAATTTTTTTATATTGATTTTTGGAAAAGGGTTCTCCATATAATCAATTGATGATCAAAATGGCATCAATTTGCACGGTTTAATAAGTTTATATAAGCTTCCATTTCACCAATACAACACCTTATACTTTTTTAAGTCTACACGAAATAGAGAAAAATGATGTTCCATTTGCAGTGCTCTTGGATTGGATGGATGCATTTGCAATTTTGCACAACAAGACAGATAGGGTAGTAGTAATGTGAGGATTGCAAATTGCATTGGCATTTCAATTAAACATGGGAAATTACAACTTCTGACAGCGTTGAAATTTTTTTTACTAATTAAAAAACTGAATCATTATCCTGTATTCAACGAGATGAGCAGCCTGTTGCAATGTCTACAAAGGATCATGCCACTGTCTGAGTAAAATGCCCATTATTTCTCGCCATAGATTTGGAGGACGTGATTCAGTATTTGCATCTTTCTTGCATAATTGGATTCAAGCTACCGTACGAGAGATTGTATCTACCCATAGTACATTTTACCTTCGACCGAACGTACGTATACCTTAGTTTTGGGGCCTAAATCGTGTGTATTAAGAGGGTAATGAGAGAATCAATGATTAGTGGCATGTGGATTTGTATTTAAAAAAGGCCAGCATAATGTGCATTTACCGTCCTAGATTGACTTCTATTTTGTTATCACTCCATCAAATCCCTTAATCATTTACTTTACTTTTTCTCCATGTTTTGCTTAACGCCACAACATTATATTTAGCTAATTATTCCTTTTGCATTCTTTTAAATGTGATCATTGATGCAACTTGGAAATAAAGTAGTAAGTAAAGGTGGATTTCCATCTCCATCAAGTGTCACACAGGACCGTGTTTAAACACTTTCAGTCCTTTGTCTAGCTAGTTGCAGATACAAATTCAGTGAGATCTATGATTCTTTTGGTTTGAATTAAGTTTAAGACTTAACCGATGAGAAAATAATTAGTTATTACTTCAGTAACAATCGATTCAAAAGCTCGTTATCGAAAACTTACCCGCATACAAATCTACCCATTGAATGTAAAATATGGTTAAGTGACTGTATGATTATTCATAAAATGTAATTCATCATTTTGACTAAATTTATGTACTCATTCCAGTCCTAATTATAAAGTACTACAAATTAAGAGTAGATTAGTTTAAATTTGTACCTATTTTACCATTAGCATCAGAGGGGGTACCAAGCAACTCAACTCCAATATCCGTCCTTAGTCACAGAAACGAGATAAAATCACAGCATCAGTCAGATATATAAAGAACGCTCAAATAAGTTATCTAATAATCTCCGAAAAATTAAGAGACAACTAAAAAGTACAACTCGTAAGAAAACTCAAGAACACGTTTGAGTAGTGCTCCCTAAGGAAGAAAACTCATAAGTACAATCAAATTAAAAATCAATATGGTACGGTCACTGTTGTATATTGCACTCTATGTTACACAATTTTGTGCTTTGATTAGTTGGATGAAACACGCAATCTGGAAGTGTTCAGTAATTATTGGGTTTTTTTTTTCCCCTTTTGTCGTTCTTGATTTTTTGAGCATTGAGCAGTATTCATGCCATGGAATGATACCGCAATTTGGGGCAACGCTGCATGATACTTGATGAGTTAAGTATCAATCAACCTTGGTGATTTTAGATGAGGTTGTGAGGGGGAAAAAATCAGTCGTGGAATAATTGGAAAGAAAGAAAACAATTTGGTCATAAGATCTAATATAATTGAATGAATTGAATTTGATAGCTAAACTTGATTAAAAAAAATAATTTGTATGGTTGATTACATCTAATCTTTATACAACGTTGTCCTTTTTGTTTGGTTTTCTTCTCAATGAGTAAGCATATTGAGAAGTGTAACTCTGTGTCGGACCAATTGTCTGAACAAGCATTCTAAACCAGCATCAAGACCTTCAATCTTGCTATCTAGCATCTGCAATTGTCTTTTCACCATCTGGATTTCAGCTTTGTTTCCACCATTCTGCTTGATGCGCCCATGAAGTGATGTTAGAGCAAGATCAACACACTCCACATTATTTAGACCAAGTCCTTTATCATGCGAAGAACCCTTTGTGATCATCAGCTTGGAAATCAATGACCATCCACTTTTGCTCGAAGAAGCTGGAGAAGATGATAAAAATACCAAGAGCGATCTTAAGATTGAGATAGTGATGGCAGACACTTCTCTGAGCATCCTAATCACTGTTCCTAAGTTGTGATTTAGGTCTAAAACGGGAGCAGGGGAAACTCTGTTTTCAATATGCTTCAGTATCCTGAGGCTTTTTGCTGCATCCTTTTTCACTTTCTTTCTAAAGCTAAGGTAAGCAGTTATGTCGCTTGCGACGCTAGAATCGCCGTTCTTGCGTCGCAATGCTGATTGTAGCTCTTGCACGTGTCCCTTTATCGTCGAATATAAATCCCGGATGGCGCTGCATGAGTCGAGCAACTCGATAGATCCATCGAGTGATTGTTCGACTAGAATGCCGTTTTGATGCTGAAGGAGAGCTTGTTGTGTGGTTGAAGAAGCCATGAGTTCCTGAGTGCAGTTGTACAATTCAGCTAGACTAACTAGACCAGCTTGAATGGCTTCTCCATTTAAAGGCTCAGTGATTGAGACTGAAGATGCGTCCCATTGCTTTAACTTGCTTAACTCAGCTTCAATTCTGATGCCATTGGGATGCAATCTTGATGGTAAACTGATGGATCTAACAGTGTATTGCTGGCTGAGAGACTCAAAATTATTTGCCATTTTGAATGTTCTTTGTGTTCTTTTTTTTTTTTTTTGGTACTTCTTTTTGCTTAATCTACAAAATACTTGTCACTGTTGTGTGAAAAGAAGACTGAAGAAGAAATGTTGGGAGAAGATAATTTATAGCAGTCAAGGATCTAAGGAAAGGGTTAGTTGATTTGAATGTGACAGCATTCTGATTCCTTTACCTTCTTAAATTGATTCTGTTGCATGAATCCCCAACAATAGGTGATATTTTTATGTTGTTTTGGAGAATTCTATGGTCCCAAGAAGGACAACGTTTTAAGATTTTTCAATTATTAATTCTAAAAAAGATTGTTTGAACGTCAATAGTAGAGACTAGAAGAGTGACACATTCACTGAGCTATATTTATCATATGATCGATCATGAGTGGCATGATTCGCTCAACCAGAATATCAACTTGATTACGCATTATTTATCATTTGAAATTAGGCGGTTGGCTCGACAGAAATAGTTGGCTTTCTGTTATGTCCCGAGACAAATGGTCTAAACATGGGATTGATCTTTGATTTTTTGGTTGAAAAAGAGAGACGAAAAGGTCTAACACGTACTCATATTCAGAGTCCTATATGCAACAATAATGATGTTTTCTAATTCTAATTATTTTCTCTTCCGGCCCAGTGTCACTCCCACTTAGTGTTTCTAGATTTAAAAAATAGTATGCTGCAATGAAAATCGTCGGTACTACGTGTTAGATTTGTAGTGAAAGATTTAAACTATTCAAGAAATGACGAGGCATAAATGAAAAAGACGAAAACCGTAATCATCAAATACATCCTTTTAAAATGGAGCTTCAATAAAAGGTGGTATTTTTTATGTTTATTGTTTCCGAAGTAATGTCGTTCTGGATTTCAGTCTATTTGATTATTTTCGTTTCGAGAATAATATATGTATTAAATATTAACAACAGCTATGAAGTAAATTTCACTAAAATACATGATTAGTATTTAGTACGAGTAATAACTTGGACAGGGAAGTAGTCAGCAACTTGACTTCAGCTAGTCAAACATACCTTGAGAGGCCTCAAAAGGCAAGATGCAAAGTAACATGGCATATTACTGCTGTTTGTCTACTGTTTCATTAACATTGATATGCATTCAAAAGGGCAGGCAAGATAAGAGAACTGGTAAGAATCACGTTCTGAAGAAGAGGATTCATTCTCTGTACAACAATCTATAGAAGTAAATAACCAGCTAGTCAAGATTCCAATAACACTCCATTCCTGCACCCAACTTTCCACTCTCAGTATCAGTCAAAGATACTTCATCCTTTTGTTTGCATTGATTCCATAGTGTTCACCCAAATTGCGGTGCTTTCGGCCTCAATACAAGATTAAGAACAAGACTTGTCAGGCTAACACCTTACAGCATTTCCTGGCCTTGATCTCTAAGTAGTAAGTAAAACTAGTGTGTTTCAGCCCCAATTAGGACTTTTGTCAGGATGTGAAATGCTTCCCATCAATTGTCTCCCATTATTTCCATGAGTTTCAAGTGTTGAAAGCTGTGAACTTTATGTTTCTACGCAGGCGCTCATTGCATAGAAAAGTGGACACTGACAAATCAATAATATGCAATCACTACATACAAAGACTGATGCATTCAACATCTTTCTTCCTAGATTTGAGTTCAGAAAGTGCTTAGTTTCGAAGTTGAAAGAAGGCAGCAGGGCTACTAACTTCAAAGGAAAAGCGTGTACTTGAGAGTAACTGAACAACAAATATTACACATTTATCAAGTTCCAAAACAACCAGCTAAACAATTGCAAGGGTATAACATGTAACCTGTATAGATCAGACAATAAGGCCTTGTTCTCGAGCTTTCTTCAGCCACTTAAGATTACTTTCCAAAGTTGTATAAGCACAAACATCAGTCATACTCTTACTTTCTAATGCATAATCGAAAATTTCATAAGCTTCAGCTACTCTACCATCCTTACAAAGTGCCCTGATGAACGCCCCATAAGATCCTGTCTCGAGTTTAATGCCACCCTCTTGCATTGACTTGTACAATTCAATCCCCTTGTCCACCAACCTTGACTTACTCAATCCATAGAGCAATGTGTTATATGTGCACGAATTTGGACTACATCCCTTGGCTTCCATTTCCTCCAACAATGCCAATGCCCCCAATTCATCCCTCGCCCTGCACATTCCATTCATAAGAGAAGTATAAGTCACTGCATCTGGAAAATGTCCCATTTCGGTCATGATGCCAAGGAACTTCTTGGCCTCCTTAATCCTTCCAGATTTCGACAATCCGTAAATCAAAGTGTTATAAGTTACAAGATCAGGCTCTACACCTTCCTCCTTCATCTTTTTGTACACATCCAAAACCTCACCACTTTGATGTAGCATGCAATAGCCCTTCATGATAGTATTGTAAACATAACTATCGGGTTTGTACCCTTCTGCACTCAATAATTTCAATAATCGGGTAGCTTCACGGAGATTCTTCCTATTACAAACATTATCAATCATAATAGTATATGTCACAAGATCAGGCTTTACCTCAAAGTCTTTCTTCATTTCCTGAATAAAACTATTCACAGTACTCAAATCCCTATTCTTAACAAGATGTCTAACTAAACAATTATAAGTATGTGAATCAGGAAGTAAATTCTTCCCTGAAAGATCCTTTATAACCTCGATGGCATCCTCTTCACGACCAGCAGAGCAAAGGGTCCTCACAGCAACATCCGTTGTGACCTTATTTGGTGGATAACCTTGGTTAGACATATAATTGAGCACCTGGTGTACAGATGAAATAGAGTAGTCCGCAGCTTTGCAGCATTGAACAAGCAGAATGTTGAAAGTAGAACTGTCAGGGGAAAAGGTAGGATGTGTCTTGACCATGTGATTGAGGAAACAGATGGAGTCTTGGAGGGTTCCAACGGTTGAAAATGACTGGAGTATGGCATTGCAGAACCTAAGGTCCAAAGGGGGCTTTTTTGGGCTGGAAATGAGCTTATTGAAGACGGTTTTGGCATCTGAAAGGCTTGGTGAATCGAAGGTGATGGTTGGAAGTAGAGGAGCAATTTGGGGAAGTGATTGTTTGGGCTTTTTGTTGGGAACTTTTCCGGCCAAATAATAGGGCTTCTGAGCCGGAGACGGTGACTGAGATGGGGATTTTTTCAAGATAGTTCCTATGGGTAATCTGGCAGATCTCATGGAGGGTGGAAATTTCCCCATTTTCTTTATGATTTTTCTAATGTAAAGCCTTTGATTTATCTTCGATTATTCTGGGGATTCAAAAGGTTTGATCTTTGGTTGGGGTTTTGGAGAGGGGTTTAGCATTCTGGTAGGGGACGAAGAGTACAGCAGTCAGAATGAGGAAGAAAGGATGGAACATGGAAGGGTCTGACAAACGAAAAGACGGTGTTGTCCTTCACTTGTCAAGAATAAGATGACGAATAAGTCCTCGGGCTCCAGTCCACTGCCGAATATGGGCCAAAATGGATTGGACCAAGCTACACTCAGCCCAAATTCACAAAGAGGGCCGATAGTCCACCGTCTACTAGTGCTGTCCCTTTTCTTTTAACAGGTCAAACCAGATCACACTGATAAGACGATACTACCGTTAATTGCGTGGAATGGGTCGTCCCATACTCTCACGGTTCGAATTGCTCTGTTTTTTTGGAAAATTTTCGAATGCTCTGTTGATGTTGGGGTTCGTTGATGTTGATAACCTCATTGTTTCTTTCTTCTTCTTCTTCTTTTGTTTTGTTTTTTTTTTTTTTTTTGGGGGAGGGAATAATCATTTTCATGCACATACCCATCAAATAGTTACGAACTTTATAAAAAAGTAAAAACTATTAATGACATAATAACTTTTTAGGAATGAGGCGAAAATTGATTCATTTTATGACAGTTATAAACAATGACGGAGTATATAATTACACAGAAGAAAAGATAGTGAAAATTTATAAAAAGACAACCAGTAGCATTGGAAATTGTTAGCAGGAGACGCCAAATATATTAATAACTTTTATAATTTTTGTTTAAAAGTTTGGCATTTATTTTGTTACTACTAATTATGTAAACGAGAGATGGACCCGACTCCATTTGTCTACCCCTTTTATGTTTGTGAATGGTCACGAGGTTGAATGAGACCTCTAGAAAGTTTGGAAACTTTTGGAATGTAGGATAGGGGGGAAAAAAAAATACTGCCTCCGTCCCATAATTATTGTCCAGTTTGAGTTTTCATTTCTAGTTCAAATTGTACTAAAAGTGAAATCTTAAACTGGACAATAATTTTGGGACAGAGGGAGTAAAGGACAAAAGAATTTAAAGGAAGATGGTTCTTGGTGAAAAAAAAAAAAAAAGAGAGAGAGAGAGAGAGAGAAATAAATGGAAGATATGAGCCCGCTGTGGAGGGAACATGATTAACAGCATTATGCAAATTGTGTTGGGACAAAAGATATTTGGTGTCGAAGCCACAAAGGGATAAGAAATGCTGAATGAATTTCATTGGTGTTGTTGTTCTTTTCTGCGAGACCTAATCGAGTTTGGAAGACTTGGAACGTTGGAACAAGTCAAATACATTTTGTTCAAACAGAGAAAAGTACAAATACATTCATATGAGCCAAGTAAATTTAACCATCAGTACAAACACCAAAAAAGATATAAATTAATTAAAGACATTTGCTTCAGTTTCGCAGAAGAAGAAGAAGAAGAAGAGATAGTACGTACCATGCATTGGGTTTAAAAACAACAACAAAAAATCATATTTATAATTGTTACTTCAGTTTCATGCATACATGGATCAGAAATATATATATGTTGTTTAGTTACATTTCAAAGGATTGGGTGTTACTCATACGCATATGCAAAGATCTACACTACACAAGGTAAAACCCTAAAATATAATATAAATCAAATTAGTGTCGACTAAAATAAATTGATATAACACCTAAAGTTGGGTCACCTAATCCTCTGAAACTTTGTGGTCGTTTTTTACATCGAGAAATATGTATTACAAATTATACACTATACCAATTAATTTGAGAGTACTATTTTTGTTAAAAATGATTGTTTTAACTAATTGTTAATACACCATAGAAACTAATAAAACGGACAAAATGGCCACACTTTTTTTATTACTACTATTTTTCACCCTCTATACTTCGAACTTTCATGGTCAGTTTCCAAGAATCACTAGTAAACTTGACATGATCACATCGTAGAATCTCACTGGAAATGTCCATTTAAAAACTATAGTACATGAGAATCCCGATCGAACAATTGAATAAAAATTATTGCCAAGGGGTCGTCATCGCCCAAAGTCTAAAACATTAAAGTAGTTAATTAATACTGCTACTACATTATCATGTCGCATGCTGCAGGACTCTCTTATATACCTAATTAAATACGAATTTTAATTCAAAGAATGTTGAATCCGAAGCACATTCCCTAGCTTAATCCCGGCTTGACGAAGTAAAACATCTCTTCTTTTTCTTTTTTCTTCTCCTTGTTCTTCTTAACTAACAGCTAAGCTAGTCTCAATCAAACTCCAAAAGCAGGAAGTGAAGAAGCGTCAATTTTCCAGTCTTCACTCAAGTCTTAGTCGTCCACGGGGAAGACTTCCTGCTTTTCTCTCATATCCCACAGACTACAGAGTACAAATTTTCACATCTTCTGGCTCTCATGGTTACCGTGTGGACCCTCCCCAACTCTTATTGCCCCTGTTTTTTCTTCCACAATCTCCACTTATTATATCTCACAGCATTTCTTCGTTACAACAATTAGTATATAGTACTATTAAATACTATATATTTAGCGCCGCAAGCAAAAGTAGCAATTATATCACCTCGTTCCTCAAATTTCTCGGAAGCTCACTGAATTTATTATTCAGTACTACTTTTGTTTTGTTAAGTCCTTTTTTGTTTGTTGTCCCATCCCAATATATCCCATTATAAATACATACAGCACAATTCAGTCTCATTCCAAAATGGATGAAGATTCATTACAAGAACCTACGCTTCCCGGGTTTCGATTCCACCCAACGGAAGAAGAACTTATCAGTTTCTACCTTAACAGAGCTGCAGCCGGGATTAAGCTGCCTTCCGAAGTCATTGGCTTCCTCAACATTTATAACTATGATCCCCGCGAGCTACCCGGTACCCAACAAAAATCAATCATTTTTTATGATTTTCAATTTGAAGTTATCCATACCTATGTTTTTTTTAATCACGGATTACTCATTATTCATTAACAATTTTTTTATATATATTCAGGAATGGCAAAGATCAATGGGGAGCGAGAATGGTACTTTTTTGTTCATAGGGATAGGAAGAAAGGGCATGGAGGAAGGCCTAATAGAACTACTAAACATGGGTTCTGGAAAGCTACTGGTTCAGACCGTCAGATCAGAAGCCCTTCGGAGACTAAGAAAATTCTGGGTCTCAAAAAGACACTGGTTTTCTATACTGGCAGGGCTCCCAGAGGATCCAAAACTGATTGGGTCATGAATGAATACCGGCTTCCCGATCATCGGCTTTCACCAAAGGTACTATTATTATTTCTCCGTCCGTCCCAAAATAAAACGATTATAATTTTGAAAAAAAAAAAATAGAATCGTGTTTGTTGAACTAAATTGTGCTTTATAACGAAATAAATGCAGGAAGACGTAGTAGTATGCAAGATTTACAGGAAGGCAACATCGTTGAAAACTATAGAGCAAAATGCAGGAGTGGAGGACCTAAACATGCCAACATCAATATTAGGTCCAGTTTTAACATCTTCATCACCAACTGAGTCACAGAAAAGCCCGGAAGGAAGCTTTGGGGAGCCAGTGCAACAGAGTGAAAGCATAATGATGAATCTTCCAGCTCCGTACAAAAGGGAAGAAGAAGAAAATGACATCATTAGTCCATCATCTTCATCGTCCGTTAACAATAAGCCCGGCAGCCTGAAATACTGTAACTGGAAGGAATTAGGAGTGTTGGATGTGCCTAAGTTTAGTATGGATTTTACCACTGATTCGTTATGGGCTCAGTTGAGAAGCCCGTGGCTTGATTATTGGAGTCCCGGTGCCATTGCCAACTTCCTTCAATAGTCCACCATGGCTGCCTTTCTCTGTGTCTATTATTCACGATTTTTGGTTTTTAATAAAATTTATAATAATAGGGTATCGAGGAAAATTACAGTAATTTTGGACTTCCATAGAAACACACGAGCTCAGGATTGGGGTGATCAAGTTCAAATTCCATTGAACCATGTATGTAGCATATATACTGTATATTCCTTGATAAATCTAATTAACGCTTTAATCTATCATCAAACTCATTTATCAATCATTAACATTGTCATATTAATTAATTAATAGGGACTTAAATGTCTCCACATTTAACATCATCTGTAAACATTATAAATGAAAAATACTAGTAATATATTATGGCGTTAACATGAAAAGATCGAGCCATCGAGGTACAACAAAGTAAACATATTGTAAAATTTCAATGACGATCCTTTAGACAACTTAGCCAAGATGACGGAAATGTTAGGTGCACTGATTTTTTTTCTTAAGATTTTTAATTTACATAGTATTTTTCATGATCCAAAAACATTGGACAACTTTGGAAATGCCTCGTTACCAAAATATATATATATATATATATATATTAATTTAATAATTTGTAAAATCCATGATAAAAAGCTTTTTCTTTTGCGAATTTTTTGCCGACCACAAAGTCGACGCACCTACAGTTTTATGATTAAAAAAGAAAAGAGCTATGATTCTTTTTTTATGAAATGCATTTCTACACAAAAATAATAATTAGGAATTTATCAATTTTATATTTCATTTAAATAAAAAATATCTTCACGTACATTGTTTCTGAAAGTTGACGAAACAATCAATAGGTGAAAATTTTTTATAAAGAATAATAAATTATTGCTTGGCTTGTTCGACTAATGGTAAAGTTGACGGGATTCGAAACTAAAATAGTACACTTGACACTCCATTTTATTTGATCATGAGATTTTCAAAATTGACAAAAGATTATATCCGAGTGACAACATGTCAGTGACTTAGGCGTTTAGAATTTTTGAACGAGTAACATATTGTACTTCAATATGGTACTCCCTCCGTCCCATAATTATTGTCCAATTTGAGTTTTCATTTGTAGTTTAATTTCTATAATTATTGTCCAGTTTGAGTTTTCATTTTTAGATTAATTTCAGTTTGAGTTTTCATTTTAAACTAAAAATGAAAACTCAAACTGGACAATAATTATGGGACGGAGGGAGTATTAGTTTTGCCATGCAACCGAACTGCAAACAGGACTACACTGATTTGCAAGGGGAACGCTGATTTTACCCTCTTTTTTTTTTAATTACAATTGTTTAACTCTCTCCCTCTCTCTATTTTTTGGGTGAAATTGATGATTTTGTTAGCTTTTGCCCCCTTGTATCTCTCTGACTCCCTCAAATCAAATCAAAAAATGCATTAATTTTATTTTTTTTGGGAAAAAAAAGTAAAAATATTGTGTTCTTGGTTACCGTTTAACATTGCACAAACCATGGACAACGTGTGAGGAGGCTGCACCATCAAGACTCCATTTACTATTACAACCATAAATCTCCATAACCTTCTTTCCTAATTGTCATCCGTCAAACTACATTGACTTGATCTTGCCAAAATAATTTCGCATTTCGTTTTTCTGAATCCCAAAAACTCGGAATTTTGTTCTTGCCATTCACCCAGAATTTTTTAATTCTTTTCTCTCACTCCTCTTTTTTTTTTTTTTTTTTTTTTGGGTTTTGCACAAAACTGAAAAGAAAAAAGAAAGCCATGTTCTAACCTTTGAACCAGAAAAAGTCATCCCACCACCCAGATGGATGACATTTTCACAGATTCAGATTCATCTTCAATAATGGGATGATGATAGTTTTCCAATTTTGTTAACATATTAATTCTTTTTTTTTTTTTTTGAATAGAACAGAATCAATGCAATTTGATTCTGTTTAGTTTCGATTTCATCCCTGGTTACAGATTATATCACCTAATAGATTCATAATGGCGAGCTTATCCCGCCAACAATCTAAACTGCCAAACCGCGGAGGCGGAAGCGGCGGCGGTGCTAACAATGGTAATAATTCACAAGGTGGCGGAAGCACTCGGAGCTCAAGTGGACAAACTGTGAAATTTGCCCGGAGAACGTCGAGCGGGCGATACGTGAGCCTTTCCAGAGATGATCTGGACATGTCGGGAGAATTCTCGGCGGATTACATGAATTACACCGTTCATATTCCTCCGACTCCGGACAACCAACCAATGGACACCGCCGGGACGGCCTCCGTGGCTGCCAAAGCCGAGGAACAATATGTTTCCAATTCACTCTTCACCGGAGGATTCAACAGTGTCACCAGGGCTCACCTGATGGATAAGGTGATTGAATCGGAGGTTACCCACCCTCAAATGGCTGGATCCAAAGGGTCTCAATGTTCCATGCCCAATTGTGATGGCAAAATCATGAAAGACGAAAGAGGAAAAGACGTGACTCCCTGTGAATGCAGGTTATTACTCATTCTGACATCAACGTTAAACAATCCCCTGATTTTTCCTCTGTTTTTGAAATCTGATTTTTGGGTGTTTGTTTTTCTCTCCAGGTTCAAGATATGTAGGGATTGCTATATGGATGCGCAGAAAGAAACAGGGCTTTGTCCTGGATGCAAGGAGACATACAGAGTAGGGGATTTTGACGACGACGTGCCGGATTTTTCCGGCGGGGCGTTGTCATTGCCAGGTCCAGATGACCCGAAAGGGGATCGTCGAATGTCAATGATGAAAAGGAATCAAAACGGAGAGTTTGATCACAACAAATGGCTGTTCGAGACACAGGGTACGTATGGATATGGTAACGCGTACTGGCCTGATGAAGGAGGATATGGAGGTGACCCTAATGATGGGATGCAGAGAGGCATGATTGATCCTACAGACAAGCCTTGGAGACCTCTAAGTCGAAAGTTGCCAATTCCACAAGCCATCATTAGCCCTTATAGGTACATTTAACTTGATTGAATTTTGAATTGCAAAATTCGGATTTTGTTTCGTAAATGTGGTGGTAATTCAGCTAGATGGACTAATATTGAATGTTGTACTGCTGCGATGTAGGTTGTTAATTTTTGTTCGGCTCGTGGTATTATCTTTTTTCCTGACCTGGAGGCTGAGACATCCGAACGATGATGCAATATGGTTGTGGTTAATGTCGGTGATCTGCGAAGTGTGGTTCGCTTTCTCCTGGATTCTGGATCAGGTTCCCAAATTCTGCCCCGTGAATCGTTCCACAGACCTTGAAGTTCTCCGGGAGAAGTTTGATATGCCGTCACCATCTAATCCAACAGGCCGGTCCGATCTACCGGGTACGGATTTCTTCGTGTCCACAGCTGATCCTGAGAAGGAGCCGCCACTGGTCACTGCCAATACAATCTTATCTATCCTGGCTGTTGATTATCCCGTGGAGAAGCTTGCTTGTTATGTCTCAGATGATGGCGGTGCACTTCTCACTTTCGAAGCTATGGCCGAGGCGGCGAGCTTTGCTGATTTATGGGTTCCGTTCTGCAGGAAACATGAGATTGAGCCTAGGAATCCTGAATCCTATTTCGCCTTAAAGGGTGATCCAACTAAGAACAAGAAGAGGACTGATTTTGTCAAAGATAGACGGATGGTTAAGAGAGAATATGATGAATTTAAAGTGAGGATCAACGGGTTACTTGATTCCATTCGGAGGCGTTCGGACGCTTTCAATGCTAGAGAGGAAATGAAGATGATTAAACACTTAAGAGAGAGTGGAACTGATCCTTTGGAGCCTGTCAAGGTTCCAAAGGCCACTTGGATGGCTGACGGAACCCATTGGCCCGGTGCTTGGGCTGTTTCCAGCAGTGATCATGCTAAAGGTGATCATGCCGGAATTCTGCAGGTAACTATGATGTTACAATCTGCGTGTGTGTGTGTGTGTGTATTTAATTACTTCTCAAGGTGACATTAAAGCAACTTATTACTATAACTAAAACATCGCATCCATTTCTTTTTTTCAGGTAATGTTGAAGCCACCAAGCCCTGACCCATTAATGGGAGCTCATGAAGATAAAATCATTGATTTTTCAGATGTGGACATTCGTTTGCCAATGTTTGTGTACATGTCCAGGGAGAAACGACCTGGGTATGATCATAACAAGAAGGCTGGTGCCATGAACGCTTTGGTTCGAGCATCGGCTATACTCTCCAATGGAGCCTTCATTCTCAATCTGGATTGTGACCATTACATCTATAATTGCAAAGCTGTTCGAGAAGGAATGTGTTTCATGATGGACAGAGGAGGCGAAGACATTTGCTATATCCAATTTCCTCAAAGATTTGAAGGCATCGATCCATCTGATCGATATGCAAATCATAATACTGTATTTTTTGATGGCAACATGCGTGCACTTGATGGAATACAGGTATATGAAAACCACGGTTGTCATTCTTGTTATTCCGTGCCCGAACAAGAAGTCCTGTTTGTTGAACTAAAATTATTCTACTTATTTTTTTCAATGAATCCAGGGACCAGTTTATGTGGGAACAGGTTGCATGTTTAGGAGGTTTGCGCTCTATGGTTTTGATCCTCCACAAGAATACAGCAAAATCGAGCAAAAAGGAAGTGAAACTCAAGCCTTGAAGGCTTCTGATTTCGATCCTGATCTTGATATCAACCTGTTAGCAAAGCGTTTTGGGAATTCAACCATGCTTGCTGAATCTATACCTGTAGCTGAGTTCCAGGGCCGACCAATTGCTGATCATCCTGCTGTTAAATTTGGAAGACCGCCTGGTGCTCTAAGAGTTCCACGAGAACCCCTTGATGCTGCCACCGTTGCTGAAGCTGTGTCTGTGATCTCATGCTGGTATGAAGACAAGACCGAATGGGGCGATCGAGTTGGTTGGATTTACGGTTCAGTCACAGAAGATGTGGTGACGGGTTACAGGATGCATAATCGCGGCTGGCGATCTGTCTACTGCATCACTAAACGCGATTCATTTCGTGGATCAGCTCCTATCAATCTTACTGACAGGCTTCATCAGGTCCTGAGATGGGCAACAGGCTCAGTGGAGATTTTCTTCTCCAGAAACAATGCGTTTCTCGCATCTCGAAAATTGAAATTACTCCAGCGCTTAGCCTATCTCAATGTCGGCATCTATCCTTTCACTTCTCTGTTCCTCATTGTCTACTGTTTCCTCCCAGCACTTTCCCTCTTATCAGGCAACTTCATCGTGAAAGATTTAAATGTGGCTTTCCTTTTTTACTTGCTCACTATCACAGTCTGCCTGATTTCATTAGCCATTCTGGAAGTGAAATGGTCAGGCATTGGATTAGAAGAATGGTGGAGGAATGAACAATTTTGGCTCATTTCTGGAACTAGTGCTCACTTAGCTGCAGTGTTGCAAGGTCTTCTGAAAGTGATTGCTGGGATTGAGATTTCTTTCACCCTCACTTCCAAGTCTGCTGGAGATGATGTTGACGATATTTACGCGGATTTATACCTGGTTAAATGGACATCTCTGATGCTCCCACCCATTATTATTGGAATGGTGAACATAATCTCAATAATAGTTGCATTTTCAAGGACAATTTATAGCTCTACACCACAATGGAGCAAGTTCATGGGTGGAGCCTTCTTCAGTTTTTGGGTTCTGGCTCATTTGTATCCTTTTGCCAAAGGTTTGATGGGAAGGAGAAGAAAAACACCAACCATTGTGTTTGTGTGGTCAGGACTCATTGCCATTACAATCTCTTTACTTTGGGTTTCTATAAGTCCACCCAGAACCAACTCAACAGAACCAGGTACCGGCGGCGGCGGCGGTGGCTTTCAATTCCCATAAATCAATCCCCTGTCCACAGATGAGATAATCATATCAAATCTGGAATTTTGCAAACTTGAAGCAACTTCCGGATCAGCTTCAAAATGTATAACTCTAATCAGTCTCATTTTGGAAACATTGCTTTTTTCCTTTCTTGCTTCAGTTGAGATTCATGGCTAATGTTAGAGGAGTTCTTACACACATATGAAAGCAAATTTGTGTGCTCTGATTGGATAGAGTTCATGAAGATTCACAAAGAAAAGTATGCATGCAAATGTCGGACCAAGGGAGGAAAGGGATTAGCTTTGTTGAATTAGAAGAGCATGTAGTTTGAAGAGATTTTCGTGAGCGCGGGAAAGAAATGGCAGAATGAAGATTAGAAATTGACATTTATAAGATGCCGGCTAATCAGGGAAACTAGTTCCCTTTGTTTTGTTTTGTTTTTTTTTTCTTTTGATAATTGTAATCAGATATTCCAACCAAATGAAAGTTGTGTTTGTGCTTTATTTTTTGTGCTCTTTTAGAAAAATACACTTTCATTCTTTTGGCCTGTTGATCCCATAAAACCTAAAAAATTTCATTCTTTCTTAGATTTGTTTTGTTGTTCTTGTTCGTCGGGAATTAAGGCCCCTCTAAACGAGACAAGCCACCTAAGAAGAGCAGGGCAACCAGCTGAATGGATCCATTGAGGAATTCTTCATGGTGGAACACATTGAAAAACATAACACCTCATATTCATAACCTGAAACCCTGATAGTCAATCATGAGCTAAAAAGAATGTGCAAATGATTAGAAATTTGTTGGCTGCTGCCACCTTAAAGGGCTGCCTACATTGACAACTCATCTTGTCCCCCTCTCTGATTCTTCATCTATATATAACACAAAACTCTTGCACAACTCCATCATCATTAATTCACCACAAGCACTAAGCTGTCTTCTCTAATTTGATTCTTCAAAGGAAAGAAAAATACAGATAAAAGATGGCCTCAAAATCCAATCACATCCGATCAAACAGTTTTCCTAGCAGATCACATCCTGCAACTCTTAGAGTTGAACAAGTTTTGAACAAAATCAAAACATCTGAACTCTCATCAGTTACATCCGAGTCGATCTGCTATGGACTATGCAGATTGGCAGAGTTGTATCAATGCATGGATGATCTTCTCAACTTATCCTCCACCATTCAATCCCTGTCTCAGCAAAACAGCCAGAAATTCGACAACGAGTTCCTGGATGGATCGATGAAAATCTTGGACATTTGTGGTATCACAAGGGATATAGTTTCACAATTTAAGGAAAATGTAAGAGATCTTCAATCTTCTCTAAGGAGAAGAAAGGGAGACTCCAGCATTGAATCAAGCCTGGATAACTATACTTGCTTCAGAAAGAAAATGAAGAAAGATGCCAAAAGATCCATTGCAGCTTTGAAACAGTTGGATCAAGCTAACATTGAGGATGAACATATTTCTTCAGTGATTGGAGTACTTAGAGAAGTCAATTCAACCACCGTAGCTATTTTCCAATCAATCCTGATTTTCTTGTCTGCTCAGTCAAAATCAAGCAAATGGAGATTGGTTTCAAGATTAGTACACAAGGAAAGTGAGGAAAGATCACAAAATGAATTGGAAGAAGTAGATTCAGCACTAAAGAGCCTATGCGGAAATGATCAAAGTCAAATCCAATTTGTTCAAAACAGATTGGAGAGCGTAGAGGCTAGAATTGATGGTATTGAGAGTGGATTGGAGAGCTTGTTTAGGTGCTTAATCAGATCCCGAACCTCCCTCCTCAACATTTTCTCATGCTAATTTGCTAGCAACTAGAGGGATTTTTTTTAGTCCAAAAACTCTTTATAGGCTTCCTTCCAGATTTTAGAGGATATGCTTAGGAACACAATGTGTATGTGACATTGTACAAAATACCAATACGAATACAATAGAAATTTTACACTCAACTCTCGTCTGCTATTTTGCTTTACCTTTTTTACTATGGTTATTTATTTTACTGAGTTATATCCCTTACTGAGCTTTTTACATATTTTTTTTTTTGAAATGGAATTTTTTACATTTATTCAAAGGAATAATAAATAACATGTCTAACCTAGGAAAAAGAACGTAGTCAGATTACCGAAAAAAAAGGAAGAAAAGAAAAGAAAATAAAGCTTAATTATGATATAGGATTATGACGAGTAACTCAATTATATTTCGTAGGATTAACTTTTATGTTAAAAAGTAGATTGAATCCAAACCTTAATGGTTAATTATTTGATCTTCATAGTAACTTTTTGTTAACGATACAACGAATCCAAAACTTAATGGTACTTCCTCTGTCTATAAACTATAATTTATTTTATGGTATCTCATCTTCAACCGTACCTCATCCGACAACCTACTTTTCACTTTTGAATATTGTTGTCCGCACAATATCATAAGCCAGTCAATGTAGTAATAATTCAATAATAATAGAAACTTATTAATCAGGTCTATCATTTACATTTATACATTTTTTTTCATGATTTTTCGTTTATACACTTATATTTTGATTGTAAACTATAATAAAAATTTAATAATTAGTTAAGGTATGAGGTAAAAAAATTTGGAAGTAAACTTTTCATTTCGGAAGTATGTAATGTATTTCTAAATAAGAAAATTTTGGAACCCAAAAAGAAGAATTTAAAAGGTGAGATGGGCTTGGTTATTAGCAGTTTAATTAGCCTAATCCACGTTTTAGTAAATAAATGGAATTCACCGAGTAATAAGTTCATGCATTTAAAATAAATAAAGAATTCTTAATCACCAATGACCAAAACAATCAATGGATAATGATTGTGAAGAAAATCCAACATAAGGAAACAAGAACAATAAACTTGTCTCCAGTTGGTTAAATATGCTGTCAGCAAACCAACCGCCGGTCAAACCTAACAATTCCCCATTGGCACTCTTCTTATTTTTCTCATTTCATCAACAACCTCTGCACATCTAAAATTCAACATCCGCAATAAACAATTGCTGTAATCATAAAATTTGTTTGTGGGAATCTCCCGATGTCCCATAAAACTTGTGTTTTTTAAATGAATGAATGCTTCTCCAACAGAGACAACCTTCAAGGTTTCAACAACAGATTTGAAGGAAATGCTGTAATGTGGCAGACATTGTGCCATTCTTCTTGATGAAAACTCACTGAAACAAATGAAATTCTCACCTGCAGATATTCGCTTCAATGGATGGTGGTTTATTTATCAAGGGGACGGCAAAAATGATTACTACTTTGTTGGCCAAAATTGTCTTCCAAATGCCAAGCCTAATGGCTGTCCAAATTGCCAACTCCATGTTTTTTGTTACAGTTTTTAATATTCAGATTATAGCTCATCTTGTCGATCCCTTTGTTTTCTATTATCGTTGCATCTACATATGCACCCACCACACTGAAAGTTCTGTTCAATTCCATCCTCAATTCTTCATTAGCCATTAAGCAGTCTAAAGAAAGAGATCAAGAGAAAGAAAAAAATGGCCTCAAAATCTACTCACACTCGTTCAAACAGTTTTCCCAGCAGATCACATCCTACAACTCTTAGAGTTGAAGAAGTATTGAACAAGATCAGAACATCTGAGCTATCATCAGGTACATCCGAGTCAATCTGTTATGGACTATGCAGATTGGCAGAGTTGTATCAATGCATGGATGATCTTCTCAACTTGCCCTCCACCATTCAAGCTCTGTCTCAACAGAACAATGAGAAATCAGGTGCTGAATTCATGGATGGATCGGTAAAAATCTTGGATATTTGTGGCATCACAAAGGAGATTGTTTCACAATTTAAGGAAAATGTTAGAGATCTTCAGTCTTCTCTAAGGAGAAGAAAAGGAGACTCCAACATGGAATCAAGTCTCATTAACTACACTTGCTTCAGAAAGAAAATGAAGAAGGATGCCAAGAGATCCATTGCAGCCTTGAGGCAATTAGATCAAGTCATTATTGATGAAGAGCAAAATTCTTCAGTGATCAGAGTACTCAGGGAAGTTAATTCAACAACCGTTTCAATTCTTGAATCAGTCTTGATTTTCTTGGCTGCTTCTAAGCCAAAGTCAAGCAAATGGGCGGCATTGGTTTCAAGATTAGTGAACAATAGCAAAGTGGGATGTGAAGATCAAGAATCCCAAAATGAATTGGAAAGTGCAGATTCAGCCCTTCAGAGCCTGTGCACAAATGATCAAAGTGAAACTGAAAAGATCCAATTTATTCAAAACAGATTGGAGAGTTTAGATGCTAGCATTGATGGTATTGAGAATGGATTGGTGGGATTGTACAGGTTGTTGATCAGATCAAGAACCTCTCTACTCAACATTTTCTCGTGCTGAAGTGCTGTCAATTCACACTTGATCTCAACTCTGCATAGGCTTACGATTTTTAGAGCTATGCTTATGTACTACTCAAATGTATATGAACAATTTTGTACCTATTACAAACAACAAAAACAGAACAAATTATTATACTCTCATCTCTTGTGCGCTATTACTTTTCAGTATTTAATTCTTCCGATGTTTATCAGTTTTGCACCTTTCTGATTACTACTGGCATCTTCTAATATTATCAGTACGTAAAAGAAGACACAATCATAAACAAATTAACATTTGATCAATGAGGCTCTTATTCGGGAATAATCTCAAGAGAAAGGTTGAACGTGCTGTTTGCAAGTAAACCGAAAAAACTAAGAGCATTTACAACACACCAAACTTAAAAACTTTTATTAGTAATAGATTTTTATTCTGAGCGGCGATATACATCGCTACATAGAAAACGAAGTTACATAACTGGTTTGTTTCGCATCAAGCGAACCAAACTCTTATTTTAAAACTTCGCTAAAATGATGTTCACAAAATCACACATCATGTTTAGTTGTTTATGAGCCAAAAGGGCGTTGATTGGCGCAGTCCAGATTGTTTCCATAACTTACACCCAAAATGTCACAGTATCTTCTGTAGAACCCGATTCTGTCTTGCATTTGGGCATTGGAGCCTTTCCCACATTCAATCCCACCATTGATGATGTTGGTAACTACACCGTAGCCCGGAACTCTGCCGGCCGCGTTGTCAGCAGCGGACGGGGTCCATCGGCCGGTCATGACATCGTGGGCAGAGGGTTTTGGTGATTGGGGAGTCATCCAAAACCAGAAAGCAGTCTTGAAAGAAATGACGGGATCACTTGCAACCAACTCCGGATTCGCTAGCAAGTTGGAGCCTATGGCATTACCGGCTGGACCATAGTTATAGTTGCTGCACATTTAGTCAATAATATAAATCGAAAATACTACAATGATCATGAATTACTCCGGATTAAAGAATTAAAACTTATTAAATCATGCATGAAGAGAGATATAGAATTGGCAGGAAATGAAGTTTATTTTTTCTTTACAAAAAAATAAATAGATAACTAACAATGTATTCCTTCCGTCTAACAAAAATATACAAAATACAATATAAACTATTTTTTTCGAGACAAAGATAGTATTAATAAAACTTACTAGGAAATTTGGATGGGTCCACGTCCGTAGTAACTTTTGCCAGGGGCGCAGGGCCATTGTTGACTCTGAACACAGTAATTTGGAGGGGTACCTTGTTCTTGCTTGAAGCAATATCCCCATGCATATGGTCCATCTGGGGCAGTTGCCCATCCACCTGTATAACACCATGTCATTAAAAAATGTATCGATTTTATTCAACAAAATAGATTATTTTTTTGAAAATATAAACGAAGAATAACTAGTAAGAACGTGATCACAATTTTGATACGTTACTTACCAGTGGTTTCGTGGGAAGTCTGAGCCAAGAAGGCAGCGATTTCTCTTTTACGAGTGCCGAGATCTCCAGTGGTTCCGAAAGCTCCGAAAGACCGGGCAGCTGCAATGAATGCTTCATAAGTGTAGAAGCCATTGGCAGGACAAACTGCTTCATTTCTATGCTTGAGCATCTGCTCGAACAGGGGTTTAGTTATAATGGACCCAATATCTTGACCCAATACCCCCATTAGGGATAAGGAGCAGCACAAAACCACTACCCAAAACCTCATTTTGTTTTCCCCTTTTTCACTCTAACAAATTTAAAATGCTGAAATAGATGTAGCTTGATTCATTTGTGGTGGGATTACAAGGGGTGTTTATATAGTGCATGGAATGGAAAGGGAAAGAAGATTTTCTGGAGGGTATTTTACGTTTAACGTATTCGAGAAGTCCAACTTTTCAACTCCCAGAATACAGTTAGTTTGACAACACCAACATATTTCGAGTTTTAAATCGACATGTATATCAAAAGCACGTACAGTTCCTTCATACGTTTCTAAATTCTACTTTCTAGACATTCATTCTGGTTGACTAGTTCAAGGGCGTGATCCCTTTCGCAGCCGCACCATACTCAATTATATGTAATTATAAATTATGGTCTATGATATAAAGACAAGTGATTAAGTGCTTGTTTGGACGTCATCTTATATTTCATTTTGCTGCTTAAAAGTGGAAAGTGTTTCAAGTTGAAAACTAAATGAGAAATGAAAGAGAACTTGATCAGTACGGTGTGGATAATGGATTTCTACCTAATGAAACGACTTTAGAGCTTGACTGCTTAAAGTCGTGGCTAATTGCATTTGGACCAGGTAAACGAACTGGAGAAAGAAAAAGTTAAAAGCGATAAGAAACGTGATGATTCTGGAGATTGACGACAAACTTGATGGGTAAAAACTGGAGTTAGGACATAGCAAATTGGTCAATTAGACTGACCCAGAAGTCTCGATGCGGCACCCGAAATGCTTGAATCCAAAATCTAAATTCCACAACCTCGCTAGCTAGCTTAGCTGAGTTGTGGTCTCTCTTTGGCGAAATACAATTATGGGAGTCACTTTTTTCAACGCATATAATGGACGCCTTTGCTATTTTTCAATCATAAATAATGTTTAAACTCGTATCAACTAATTACGCGATTAGTTAAAATGATACAATATCTTCTTTTGATTTTCTGCACACTTGTTCAATTATAACAAAGGTGTGTGAAAGAGCTCGTGTATTGCAATTTCAACTTGACTCGAGAGGAGGCACCGGCGTCAATCTTCAGAGTGTTCTTAGAATTGTTATCAGGAATAGTCTAATTTTAGAATTTTAGACCAAAAAAGAAAAACACACAACTGTAATGTTACTAGCCCCCACATTAAAAAAAAAAAAAAACAATAACAATATGGTTAGTTTTGGTTAGATGTGTGTTATATTATAATTTCTTGTGTTGGTCAAGAGTAGAACAAGTATGTATACAAGAACTGGTTCCAAACATCTGGAACTCCAGGGAGACACCAATGTGTACAGTCCGTGTGGTAATTAGGCGTTGTTAATTCCTCCGGCGTTAATGTATCCCAAAATTTCCGGTACATTGCCGGATGCGCATCTTTTCTGTATTCCGACAGTTGAGTGATGTTGATCATCTGGGCTCTGAATCCTCTGCTGCTCAATTTGTTTATGTACGATCCCACCAAACGCATCATTCTTGGATCCGAATCCACGCTCCAGTACCCCTCCTTCGATATGGGTTCTGTTTCGTAAAAGCACTTGTGTTCCTTCGGGCTTCCCCATGCTTCAGCCCTGTCATTCATGGTATTCTAATTTTAAAAAACACGACAGACCATTATTATGAGACGAGTAGAGTATACTAATGTTCACGATTGATTTACCTGTTGTGAGTAGGAGAAGAACTGACGAAGAAGACTCGGGTCTTAGTACGATTGACATGATTATCAATCCAGTCAAACCATGTCTGGAGTGCCATTTCATACGCTGGAAGCATCTCTATGTCTTCGTAAACGTTATCAGTATCTGCATTTTCAAATGATCCCTTCCTAAGAAAAAACCATCAAACATATCCTAATCCATGTCAGAATTAATGTTACCATTGGGGATCACTTGTGGATGAAATGAAACATGTGTTTATCGAAGATTTTGAGGTAATTAATACTCACAGGATCTTAATTTTGAGCTGTCTCCACCAGACGTAGGAGTTAAATACAAGAACATCGGCGTCATTCCAGTTTCGGGCGTGTTTTTCGATCCCGTGGTTTCTTATAATACGCACAGGCACCCTATGGATTATGGGATCATCTCCATTCGATTCCAACAGCAATGGTTCCCAATAGAAGTCGATCGTAACATTGTAATCCTTTTTAAAGAGCATAATGACAGAGAAAGGCAAAAAAAAACATCATAATCAAACACTGACCTTGATATCCCTAAGTTAAGGCATTAAAAACACACACAATTTCCTTTTTGTACTTACAAAGGCTTTGAAGGTAATCAGGGAGCCATTATAGCGAAGTTGTTTGGGTCGGTCCATGAGGGATGACTCCATTAGGCAAACCATTGACATATATTGGTTCCTATTCACCGAGTCTCCTACATAAACAATCCTCTTATTTCTCATCTTCTCCAACATTTTACTGGCGTCAAACCTTAAATCAAACAAAAGCATAACATGAAAACCACCAAAACCTCAATTCATCATAATTCAAAGTTTATGTTACTCTGCTAAGACAGAAAGAAAGAGACTTGAAGAATACCTAGGGAGATCACATTGGTGAGGTTGCCATCTCCAATGCTGATAATCCAGATTGGTTCTTCCATACTTTTCACATGCCAATTCATCATTCATCAAAGAGCATTGCTTCCCTCTGTACAGTGGGTAAGATTCATTATCTCTAACCCATCTCCCTTCAAACAGATTGCACCTTGATAGTGGTACTAATGGCCCATTACTGCGATCACTACTTGCAGCACTGTCATTCACTACATTGCTCCCCTCAAACAGTAATTCTCTGACTCTGCTTTCGTTGAAGTGATACAGGGCGATGATTACAAAGATCACCGCCACAAATATTGCCACATTCAGATTTAAGAAATTGAACTTCAGACCCAAATTGCTGCTTGTCACCATATTCCATGGCTTTCGATTTGGCTTCATTGCTGCTCTGAAGCAGCAAGGCTATGGTGGTCGTCCAGGGCCTGATCTGAAAACCTCTTTATTTTTTTAAATGTTGGGACCAAATTTGTTGAAGAATTGATCAAGTGGGTTTTATCATATTTGTTGATTTAGTGGGACTGGGATGGGAATGATTAAGGCCGCTTGGTAGCTTAGCACTGGACAAATCTTTGCACACTCAAAATTGGAGTGAAAGCGAAGCAAATTCAGGGCAGGTTGATGCCAGATACTGCTTGAATGTTTTTAGTTTACTGTAAATTAGTAGTTTATTAAATTAATAATTTATTTCAAATCATGAATTTATGTTCATCCATACATCGATCGGCAATTATTGACGTGCAAGATTTTCTGAGGCACAGGCAGTGTATATAGTCTGGAAATTTATGACTGAAATTACACGAATCAAGTTGGTCTACGAATTTGTGCCTTTTCTACGCCATCCAGTGGCTCTTTTCTTTTTTCTTTTTTTTTAAAAAAAGAAAGATAAAAAAAAAAAGATAAAAAAATAGTATAATTGAAGTAGAAATACAGGAACTGTTCCACCAATAATAATCCTCATCCTATATTACGTAATTACACTATAATATGTCGGTAGGCCTTGCTTATTATGGTTTTATATTTTATAAAGTAGTATGTAGTTATGTACATTTTGACATCAAGTAAAGATTGAAAATGGGATTATCAGGAGGTATACCTTTCGGAATGGTCATTAGTAGGCCATTTGTTTACTTATGATGTATACCGCAAGGTTGAACTGTTGAAGTATCTGAGTAATTTAATTTGGCACCAAATCCACTTTTTAAATTGATAGTTTAAGCGTGATGCTCAACTAATTCCGAATACATTTTTTAAGCCTCAGTAGGTAGCTTTCCGTCAGAAATATGTGATTATTAATTGTGAATCTAATGGGATTATGTTAGTTTGCTTGATAACAAAGTTGACTTTATTACAGCTATAATTGTACCTGCTGCTCTAAGAAAATGAATTAAAAACTAATAATACAAGCAAAGTTAAGTTTGATAATATGAGAAGAGGACCCTAATATGAACTTTATACACGCATTTGTTTTTTGTTTATCAAGTTCTACTTGATTGACTGAGTAAAACATGAACCGTGTGAGAATCACCACACTTAAATTGAGAAATTCGTACACGCAAAAGTTCAGAAAAGTATAGCAATTTGCTTTCAAGTCATCTCAGCTGAGAATTATACGTGAATCTTCCAGTTATTATCTTTCAAGTTATTTTTCGAAAATAGTACTCCTCCGTCCCAATTCAATAGGCTTGTACTATTTTTCACACAGATTAATAAAACTGACTTAACTAACCATTTTTATCTTTATCTTTTTAAAATACCCTTATAAAAACATTAATGATGGATAGGTGATTAATTAAATTAAAGGTACATTTGGAATTTCATTAGAAAAAGCACATCTTAAAAAAGAAACAAGCCTATTTAGTGGGACACCTGTAAATAGTAAGGTAGCCTATTGAATTGGGACACAGGGAGTATTCCTTTTTCTGGGTTATAAGTCATCACTCATTACAGTTGTGATAATTCAAACTTGCAAAGACAACTGGGGGCTCAATGGAGACTGGAGAGTGATCATAAAATCACCCATCACGAGTGTGATTTTTGACATGGCAGTATTATTTATCAATCTACGTCTAGACCATCTTATTTAGTACTCTCTTCGTCCCGAAATTATTATCTCATTTTGAGCTAAAAATGAAAATTTAAATGAGACAATAATTTTTAGATAAAGTGAATATACGTGAATTACTAAAACATTTAGTCAGGCGATCGAGTTTTTTTAACTTCTCAACAAGTTTGTTTATTTTCATTCGTATCACTGGGAGTGGGAAGTGATGGCAAGACTTGCACTGAAAGGCCTTTGATTGTTGCAGTCCAAATTAGAACCCTAAGTCACCCCAAGCAAATCGCAGTATCTCTTATAGAATCCAATTCGATCCGTCGCCCTGTCATTAGGGCCACTTCCCGCACTCAAGCCCACCATTAATAATGTTTACAATGACACCCTAACCAGGAACCGGGCCCGCTGACCTGTCGGAATCAGACGGGGTCCACCTCCCCGTGATGACATCGTGGCACGATGGTTTGTTCGCCTGCGGCCTCATCCAGAACCATATTGCCGTCTTAAACGAAACCACGGCGTCTGTCGCCACCAAATATGGGTTGTTGATCAGATCTAATCCCGGTTCTCTTCCGGCTAGCCCGTAATTATAGTTACTGCAAAATTTTCCCGATAAAATTTCGAATCATTCGAGTCAAACGGTAAAAGTCAAATGGAGGGAAGTTAGAAGTTTTTAAACTCAAACTGGGTAAGTTGAATAAGACCACTGCCGTAATATTGTCTTCCCGGCGGACATGGCCAATCTGGCGAAGTACAGAAACTGCCTTGTTCCTTTAGAAAACAGTATCCCCAAGCGTATGGGCCATCTGGCGCCGTGGCCCACCCACCTGTGGTCTCGTGCGAGGTTTGACCAAAGAATGCGGCAATTTATCTCTTCCGAGTCAGTGTTTACATCACCGGTGGTTCCAAATCCACTGAAAGATCGGGCAGCAGTGATGAAAGGTTGTAAGAGTAGAACCCATTGCTGGGGCATCTTGGATCGTTATGATATTTGAGCATCGTATCAAAGAGGGGTTGACTGATAATTGAACCCAGGTCACCTCCTCCTCCGCCGCCGCCGCCGCATTGACTCTGGCAACCGGTACCGCAGTAGTCAGGGGTGTTGCCGCACCAACCGTACTGGCTGCAACATAGCCCATTTGGGCTCGTAGCAAATCCGGCTTGCTTTCCGCACTGTTCTGCTGATGATGATTGGCTTGATAACATCCATATGGTCAGTACGATGAATACACTACAAGTTTTCTTCATCCTGGTTTCTAAATCTTGAGTGCAATTTCAGTTTATGACATGCTTTGGCACTGGATGATCTCAATGTACACTGTGTCAACTGTTTTTGCCTTGATCAGGTTTCACACCCCAAATTCCTTTTCAATGGTTTCTCCACAATTTTAATCACTTTGATAAAAAATAAAAAAATAAAAAAAAATTAATCACTTATAGGTGTCTATTTCTCTATTGAAGCATGGAAATTAACAACATGGATGTTTTTTTTTGAAATATAAAATAAGCTTAAACTGGCAAACATGTTTTAAGCTTTGAAGACTTGAAGTGAACATGAATTTCAAGGGGACCCCTTTCTGCTGAGGGTACTTTTGCTAAATCCACCCGTTCAGACTTCATACAATGAATCCATGCAGGTCGTCATAAAGACAGAGTCACATAGGGGGAGGCTTTGTATCATATCAGTAAACAACGACTTCCATATTAGTACAATGTTTTCTTGTGCTGTCCACATTGTGCTTCTGGAGGTTGGCTTAAATCCTCCTTTGTTTATTAATCAGTCGATGGAAGGAAAAATCTTCTACTTTAAATTATCCTTAAGAAGGCAAACGAAATTTCTTTACGTATGACATTCATTAAGCTGACTGAGTAAGATAGAATAGAGGGATTCATACATCCTTGGATCATATTGCACAAGCAACTTCAGGAAGTGCATGTCCAATCAGATAAACGTCATAGTTCACTTCTAATCACAAATTATATATTACTATATCAGAAACCCAATCAATTACATGTCTTAATTGGTAAATATTAGAGGAATTTATTTGCTTATTATTCGATTTCTTTTTTTCTTTTCTTTTTTTTTTTGGAAAAAGATTATTCGAATATTGCTTATGAACTAACAAGATATTCTCACTAAAAAGGTCTCTGGCTGTAGCAATCTAGGTTGTGTCCATAGCCAACTCCCAACAAGTCGCAGTACCCCCGGAAGAACCCAATCCGATCAGCCACCTTATCATTTGGGCCTTTCCCACACTCCCATTAATGATGTTGGTGATGACTCCATAACCTGGGACCCTTCCTGCTGACCTGTCAGCTGCAGATGGGGTCCATCTCCCCGAAATCACGTCGTGGCTAGAGGGTTTGTTCCCCTGTGGCGTCATCCAGAACCAGATTGTTGTCTTGAAAGAAATAACAGCGTCTGTTGCTACTAAGTCTGGATTGTTAATAAAGGTCCTGTCCAATTGCTCTGCCCGCTTGTCCATAGTTATAATTGCTACATGAGGAAAAAGAAATGATTCAGCTGGTAGCTAGTTATAGAAGTCTATATATTCTACTAAGAAAATATATAACAATACATTAAAACAACTTTTATTTTTCACGTGAATAATAGTGATGGTATATTCAGATACCTAACCAGCCATATATTCACTTAGAGAACAATTTTACAGTTATAGGTAATAAAGAAGAAGAGGGAACTTAATTACTGAGTGAGTTGAATGGGTCCTCTGCCATAGTAGTACTGTCTACCAGCAGGACAGGGCCAATCAGGAGAATCGCAAAAATTGCCAGACGGATTCCTTTCCCTGATGAAACAATACTCCCATGCATATGGACCATCTGGTGCACTAGGCCTGCATCCACCTGCACATATATAAATTGCATGGCTTTTCCTACATCAAATATTACAGTTAGGGAGCGCGCAAAATTATGACGGAAATATTATTATTATTGACCTGTGGTCTCATGTGAAGTCTGGCCCAAGAATGCGGCAATCTTCTCTTTTCCGAGTAATGATATCGCGCCGCCTTGATGAACGCGTTGTAAGTGTAGAAACCGTTACTTGGGCATCTCGGGTCGTTATGATACTTGAGCATTTGGTTGAAAAGAGATTGGCTAAAGATGGATTTAACGCCACCTCCGCCGGCGGGATTGGACAGAGTTGGAGTAGGAGTACCGCCGGTCCTGCATTGGCTCTGGCAACCAGTTCCACAGTATTCAGCGGTTGAACCACACCCATTCGTACTGGCTACAACACAAAGCGCATTTCCTGCTTGGTTCCCACATTGTTCTGCTGACGAAATTGTTAGCAACGCAGGAAAGATAGTTAATTATTAACAAAAACAAGAACCAAATTCCTCATCTTTTATTTGGTTCTCAAAATTTGTATGCATGCCCGAGGAATGCATTGAGGAAGCGATCCCCGTGTTTAACTTGCTGAAATTAATTTTTGGTCCCTAATTTCTCAAACGTATTTTACTCAATAGTATAGCAAATCAAGATTGGCGACTTGGCAACTTTTGACTTCAGATTGATTGGAGAGAAAATTGGAATCGGATAAGGCCACACGCATGATTTCAAGAATTCCAATTCCTGGCAATGATTGTTGTCACTAAATCGGGATAGTTCTGGAAATGTCAAAATCAAAATGAAAGAGAACAAGTAGTAGTATATTGTAGGCTAGGAAAGGAGTTGTACTTTGTAGAATTTTGTGAAAGTGTTGGACAGAGTCAGTAAGTCATTAGTCGTTGTCGTACGGGCTCCGCCGCGGGACTCAACCAATATTTAAGTGACAAACTCCATTCTTGGAACGGAACTCATTGCTCAGATTAAAGCGGAAGGACTTGGTCAATTGCTGACCAGTGACCACAACACCAGTCATCACCGACATAACATTATGGCCTCTTTTTTTTTTTTTTGGATCAACATAACATAATGGCCTTTGCTTGCTTCTATATCACGACTTTTGTCCTATTTTTGTCCAAATCTATTTTCTGTTTTTTTTTTTTTGGTACATAAGGGAGGCCAACGCCTATCTCATTTTGTCCACTATCTCATTTTGTGCTTTCTTTAGTATTTAACTTAATTCTTTTTAGCTTTCTATCTCATTTTAATTGTATATTTTCTTTTCTACAAGCTAATGGTTCTTTCTCAAAAAAAAAAAAAAAGAAAAGAAAAGAAAAGAAAAGAAAAGGAAAATGGATACATATAAACAGTGGCACTTGTACTATCAGCTGTACTTATTGGTTTGCCTGTGGTTTTCAAATCCCAAATTTTTCTTCAATTGTAATACTTGTACTGTCTTCATCAAACTATAAGCATTCAGGCTTCAGCAGTGATGCATAGATTTCTTTGGCTATGTTTGGTTCCTTTTTTCACTCATTTTTTTCAGAATTTTTAATTAATATCTATCTCATCCCACCATACGTTTTTATATTTTCAATACACTTTTTTACATTCCCAATACAAGAAAACACACTAAAAAAACCTTCCAAACATAGCCTTTGTCTTTCGAGAACGCAGGGGATATTTCACTCAGAGGAGTACGACACGATAATTCACTCATCAATTAATATAGATAAAAAAAACTAAAAATAAAAAGTGAACTAATAAATAAATACCTTAAGTGTCATTTACATGAGTAAAGGTTGTTCAATTGAGACATTACGCACGACTCCATAAATTGAAACGTCTAGAAGGACTGGGTTGGTGTGTGACTTCATTTCCACAGCGGTTTTCATATCAGTTTTCCATTTTCATAATCTTAAAGCAAATCTTGCTCCAAAAGGCCAAAACCAATTTTAAAAACTTATCTCCTGACGATTGAATGATAAAAAGCTAAGAAAGGAAGGCTGCAAATCAATCCAACTCTACCATGTTCCACGTTGAACAAAAAGTCCTAGTGCGTTTCTACATGAATAACGACGCCATTTGATTAAATGTGCGTCTCTCACCCCGTATCTGTTTCCTTTAATAAAAAATTGCTTAATATCGTATATGCCTTTGTTTATATGAATTTTCTAGATAAAGCAATTTGATTTTTTTTTGGCGTCACCATTTTAATTTCTAAACAAAAGCAAATGTGGGGGACCCCTGAATTGCCCTTGAAATATCTAGGTATCTAGTTTTTGAATATTCTAGATTAATTGCCCAAAAACTAGATGACTAAGTGGTTTCTAGTTTATTGTTTGGATGACTTGGGAATACAAAGTCAGGTACACGTTTGTTGAAGTTGAAGTTTTTTACATCTAAAAGACTGTACGAGTTATCCTGAGCAATTTATCTTTCATTTGATCATCCATTCCAAATTGCCTATCCAGAAAAATCTTCTTTGATTTAGTCCCCAACTATATGGAACTCCATCGATTGGATGATGACCCCAACTATGCATATGCATGTGCTTATCGCACCGAGCATTATTGATTATAAATGCTCCAAGTCGGTAATTTTTAGAACGTTACTTGTCAGCGTTGTATGCAGTATGCGAGCAATAACAACCGAATAAATTTATCCTGTCAAATATTATTATTTAATTAGTGAAATATTATGCTCCAAATAGTTCTTGCTAAAAAAAAAAATCAGCATTGAATTCGGAGATAGTGTTCTGATATGGTTGTCAGACTTGTTGTAAGCGATTATTTTCGGACGAAGATGGTAACGCGGGTATAACTTGCTTGAGGTACTACTATATATATTTGGCTCATTGATCTTGAAATATCTTTTCGTGTAAAATAAATATTCCATATGTCCCAAAATTATTACCCGATTTAGATTTTCATTTATAGTTTAATTTGTAATAACAATGAAAATCTAAACCACACAATAATTTTGAGGTCGAGGGAAGTATAAAAACTGTAAATAACCCAACATCAATAAAGAAGGATTAGGCTAGTCGAAATCCACTAAATAAAGCGTGTCCCTCATTGTCGTGCTTATTTATGGATCTTGTTCAGAGGTTGATATATACTGGTATGCAAATATATATATATATATATATATATATAGATATAGATATATAAGTCCGTTACGACCGGCGTGCATCGTGGTGATGATCTGGATTCTGCAACAAAGTGAATAAACAAAAAACGAAATGCATTACGTACGATTTCTTAAATTTCGGCTTAGACTTAGCTTGGACAATTGCCATGAAAGTCATAAACCTAGTTGCCAACATGTTTATACAAACCCGTAGGGCTGTAACAATAACCATTGTTCTTTCTGGTTAACAACTTCTCCGCGAATAAATTGCTTCTCCAACAATAAGGCAGAAGAAACGCATACGTACACATCAATACTACTAATTTCTACAAGTATTTTGCACGGCGAATCATTATCTGACGAAATATTCGTGCAATCACCAAGATGACGACATAATTTGTTCGTCAAGTCTTTTTATATTTGTATATAACATAAGATAATAACTTCATATATCTCTCATATATCGTCTGACTCAGGAATCACTCAAATTGGTTCTAGATATCAAATACTAGTCTAAATTCAATTATGTAAAGTAAAATGATAAGTATAGTGAATAGTATGTATATTGAAAATAAATTGTGATTGAGTTTATCCCTATTATCCTAATGTGGGCTGATCTAAGAAATTGAAGTTTTCACTCTCTCTGAATTTTCTTCTTATTTTTTATTTTTTGAATTTCCTGCTGGATGAGTATACTAACTCTATCCCAAAAAATAGTCAAAAACTCAAAATTAAATGTGAACTAACAGATGGAGTAATATAGAAGCCCATGTGGTTCTACCTCAAAACCAATTGGCTTTGAGGTGGAACTCCATGGGCTTCTATATGGTATTAGAACGGGCTCGGTCTGTGGTGATTTTAAGCCCACGATGTTATTCCGTGCCCAATTTAAGTCCGCAACGTTATTCCGCGGCCCGTGATGTTATTCCACGGTTTATTTCCTGATCCTGGTGATTTAATGTTATTCCACGGTTTATTTGTATCAGTATATAAGCACCATGGGCTATTTCCCTTATTACCAAGTGGTTTTGAGGTAGAATCCCATGGCCTTCTATAAGTAACACTTTCGTCCAGCTATTTTTTTATTCTTTTCTTTTCTTTTTTTGTGTGCAGCTATATCTGACTGTATGTATATAAAAGCCTCTTGCCGGGTTGCTATCATCAGCTGTGTGCGTTGACAAACGACCTAGCTCGCTCCAATGGAAGGGATGGTAGTTTGTGCAGCAAATTATGTGCCTCTCACACCATTAAGCTTCTTGGAGCGAGCAGCATTTGTTTATGGAGATAGGGTATCCATTGTTTTCGGGGATACCCGATACTCTTGGAAGCAGACGAGGCAAAGATGCATCAAGCTAGCTTCTGCTCTATCCCTCTTGGGAATCATCCCCGGCGACATCGTGAGTTTCTTTGTTCTCTCCTTAATTTTTCCTTTCAAAAAATTACTCCCTCCTCCTAATTTGAGATTTCTTTTTTAATACGAATTGTATTAAAATTTAAAATCCGAACTGAACATTTATTTTGGGACAGATGAGTAACAAAAATGCATCAATCCAATTTTATATTTTCTATCTGCTTCCATTTGAAAAAGTATGTTGTATACAAGTTTGAGTTTGGTTATCTTCTTTGTTGGTGTGCTCTTCTTTGTTGGTTTAATTAGCTACTTGGAGAGAAAGCAATTATGAAATTGTTTTGCACGAATACGTCACTTTTTTTCCCCATAGGTCTTTTATTAAGGACGGTAGGTCAACCATCCGATGTACATAGTCACATCCGGGAAAGTACCTCGTAATTTCACAAGTTTGAGTTCAAATAGTAAAATGTAAATCCTTTGTATTGCAACCGAACCATGAGATTCCATTTGACTTTTAACTTCTGTTAAAGAATATAAATACTTTAGGCTCCCATCTTAAAACCAATTGAAAATGAGTGCTATAAACAGGCGACAGATCCTTCACAGAACCCTGAAATTCGATTTGACTTTTAACTTCTGTCAAAGAATATAAGTACTTTGGGCTCACATCCCAAAACCAATTGGCAATGAATGCGGTGGTCTTGGACACTTATAAACAGATGACAGATCCTTCACGACGGCGATGTGGGATTCTTTGTCCCAACACCCTTCCTCAAGCCCAATGGGATATTTAGTTCATTGAAGTTGGATAATACAATATAATTTACCACAAGTCCACCCGTATGCAGGTAAGCGATTGACACAAGTCCAAGGCACACGAGTCCAAACCCGCATACGCAGGTCTATATTTATCACAGGTCTACAGACCGTAGACTCTGATACCATGTCGAGAAGTATATAAATGATTTGGGCTAGGGGTGTGCATGGTCCGAATGGTCTAATTTTTAGCCTAAATCATAAATCAAACCGTTAGAACGGTTTGAAAAATTTTGAATCTAAAACCAAACTGTTCTGCATTTGGAAACCGAATGCAACCAATTCGTACTCAACGGTTTGGTTTTTACGGTTTCACAATTTTATTCTCACTTTGAGTTTTTTTTTAGACCAAAACTTTTTTTCTTTTTAGCAAAAAATAGATTTTTTTATTTGAAAAAAAAGTCATTTTCTACTAATTTTAATTCAATGCATGTAAAAAACTAACGGTGGATAACTTGAAAGCTTTTAGGGTTCTTAATTAGTTTAGGTAGGTTTTGGTTTTATGGTTTAAGGAACAAAAATTTAAATAGTTACTTTTCCAAAGCACAAAAATATATTTTAAAAAGTATAAAAAAAATGCCGGAAAAACTTTTGAGAGGCAAAAAAAAAAAATAGTGTAAAAAAGAAGGGGGAAAGAAAATACAGGAAGAGAGTTTTTAAATCCAAAAGAAATATATAAAAAAAGAAAAAAAAAGAAAAACAATCCAAGAAGAGAGGTTTAATGGAATCAAAATTAGGAGTTATGACTAAACGTGATATTAAGTAAACCAAGTCTATTATGTCACAAGTTGTGACTAATTTTGCAAATTTCTGTATGTATAAAAATTCTAAAATATATAATAAATATAAACGGTTTGGTCTGGTTTAGTTTACGGATTTTGAAAGTGAAACCGCAAACTAAACTGTTCTTTCCGGTTTCTAAATTTTAAAATCACCGGTTTCAAAATAAAGTTTTGAAACCAATCCAAAATCCAACCTGCGATCTGGATTGACCAGTTTGAACCAATCCTACTTTGGGCTTCCATCTCAAAACCAATTACCAATTAGTACAGTGGCCTTTGACACTTATAAACAGGTGACAGATCATTCACGATGGCGATGTGAGATTCTTTGTCTCAACAACTTTTTTTTGTCCGGTTGTAATTGGACTCTACCGAGTTTGGAAATCTGATTATACGCTTGAAACTAATTTACATGATGATGTAAAATGTTGGCTTCATCACGATTTGATGATAGTAACTACCTCACTTAATAGTGTAATGTGGAAGTCTCCTCTGTTGATGAAAACTCATGAACATTTATAATACTTATAAGCCAATTGGCCTTGTATATTTTGTTTCTACGGATTGAAGCTAACAAGTGGGAAATAACTTAGAGGCAATGGTTAGTGGATTAGTTTGAAGAATGATTTTCTTATTCATACTCTTTCAATAACAAAATAATGAAATACCACTAGATCTATGTTTTTCATTTTCAATAGAAATTGTATTAAAAATTAAAACCCCAACAGTATAATCATTTCAGACAGAGGAGTAATAAACTATGCCACACACCACACACAGGGTATTACTTACATATAGCAAGAAATTAATTGATTCCCTAAGTTTGCATTATAACAAACTCTCATAAGATGTAAATATGAAATGTTTCAATAGGTTGTAGCTATGGCACCAAATATACCAGAACTGTATGAGTTGCATTTTGCTGTTCCAATGGCCGGCGCTGTCCTCTGTCCCCTTAACACCAAGTTGAATGCTACAGCTTTGAGCCTAAAACTCGAGCAGTTGGAAGCCAAAGCCATATTTGTAGATTATCAGTACATTGAAGTCATGCAGGAAGCCCTTGGAATACTATCCTCCAAAAAAGTCAACCCTCAATTCCTAATCTTAATCCAGGATAAATCGAACCCGAATGATGATCAAAGACTGGATTATGATAAACTTCTTGCCACTGGGAAAGATGATTTCAAGGCAATATATCCAAAATCTGAATGTAACCCAATCTCAATTTGTTACACCTCTGGCTCCACAGGCCAACCTAAAGGGGTGATTTACAGCCACAGAGCTACCTACCTGTATTCATTGGGAGAAAGTTTACGACTTGGCGCGACGCGAAAGACGGTGTTTCTTTGGACAGTGGACATGTTCCGCTGCAATGGCTGGTGTTTCCCTTGGACAATGGCTGCAATAGGTGGCACGAACGTTTGTCTTAGAAATGTCACCGGGAATGTTATATTTGATTCCATTTTTATTCACAATGTGACACATTTTTGTGGCGCGCCAATCCTTTTACGTCAAATTGCTGAAGTTGTTGAAAAGTTGGACTGTAATAATCATCCAAGATTTCCTCATCAGGTCAATGTAACAGTTGCAGGGGCAGGGGCGTTGCCAGAGCCCCGAGTTTTGTCGAAATTCGAAAGCTTAGGATTTGTTATTAGTTGTGGGTATGGTATGAGCGAAGCTCTGGGACCAGTGATTTGGAGGACTTTAACCTCATCTCAGGCTGAAAATTCAAATCATGATCCAGAGTCAATGGTAAAAGTTCAGGAAGGAATGCGCAGTTTGATAGTGGAAGGAGTTGATGTCAGAGATCCAATAACCATGGAAAGCGTGCCAGCCGACGGGAAAACAATTGGGGAAGTGATGTTTAGAAGCAACACATTAATGCTAGGGTACATAAAAAATGCACAAGGAACAAATACAGCATTTAGTGGAGATTGGTATAGGACAAAGGATCTTGGGATTAAGCATCCTGATGGTTATATCCAGATGAAGGATCGCGTCGTCGATGCTATTGTTGTCGGAGAAGAGATCATTAGTTCATTAGAGGTTGAAGAAGTGATTGTTAGGCATCCAATGGTTTTAGAGGCTGCAGTTGTTGGGAAACCTGATGATGTTCTTGGGGAAATACCTTGTGCATTTGTGAACTTAAAGGAAGGGTGTTCTGTTACTGCACAAGATATCAAGGATTTCTGTGCTAGTCGTCACTTGCCTGAAATCATGAGGCCTAAACATGTTTTCTTCAAGCAACTGCCTCGCAATTCCACTGGAAAGATACAAAAGCATCTTTTGAGAAGAGAGTTATTCATGCAATAATGTGGATTTTGTTGTTACTCCTTTCTTTTATGCAAATGTACAATTGATTGAAACTATTGTCTCTCTTTTTCCTCTCCCCCTCCTCCTCCTCCTTATATGGAGCTTATTGCAGGGCAAGGACAAATGTGAAAATGGTAGCCTGGAAATGGAGAAGATTGGTTGAATGTTTTTGTGATTTTTTAAAGTTGCAGAAAGGAAACTGTACAAAATCACTTGTTCTGATGTTCAATGCAAAAGTTTCTGTAGGGCACTGAATGGACTATTTTTTTTCTTTTATAACTCACGCTCTGGTCAAGTGGTCATGAGTCATGGACTACTAGTTATAACTTAAACTACTAATATAATCGTATAAGTATTAGTAGCACATCTGGTCAAATGGGACTATTAGTTACTCATCTACCATAGGTCATTTCCTGTCTTTTTAGAACTCAAGGATACAAAGGTACAAGCCTATATACCCCCTTCAGTCCTTAAGGAAAAATATTTTAATTTGTTCTAGGTTTCATCTAATATGCATTTTTTATTGAAAAAAAAATTTTTATATTTTTTGTATTCATTGTGTTCTCTTGATTATTATGAAATATTTTTAAGATTTTTTTATCCATTAAAATTATGTGCTAGGTAAAATTTAAGAAAAGTCAAAATGTTTTATAATAAGGACCAGAAAGAGTAACAATTAGCAGATCATGTTCAAGTAAGATACTTAAGTCATGTTTGGACAACGTTTTGTTTTAATTTTTTATTTGAATTTGGGATGAGATTTAAATATATAATATAAGTGAAAGTTTAAAAACTTGTTTGGTTAGTATTTTAAATAAAATAAAACTTTTATTAGTGTAGTGAACATTTATAAAATTAAAATAGGGTTTAGGGTTAGGGTTTATTTATTTATTTTTATTTATATAGAAAGGAGGAAGACAAATAAGGTTGTATTGAATGGGCTATGTAATGAAACACAACCAGTTTCTACTTTCTAGTTCCCATGAGTTGGGAGATAGGGTCGAACCATTTTGCAATTGGGCCACAACAAATTCATTTTGCAAGTCGTTTATAATTTGTAGGGTCTTGTTGAAAACAATCTGCGTGAGCAAATGCTGCAATTTGCACCACTTAAATTGCAATCGACTTGAAGAGAAGAAGCCAATTAAGATGAGGGATGGTTGTTATAAAGAAGAGGGTTAGATTTTTGTTGGGTTATTTAATTTTATTTTATTTTTTTTAAAAAAAAAGCTTGGGAAAATTGCAGTTATGTGAATAATATTTGTTGATTCAACTGATTACCAAACATTCACGTGCGTTGGTAGCAAAAGCATCCATCTAAATCGTCATTTCAACATGTGAGATTGTCGAACTCTTTGTGTCGGTGGAGATTAACCGTAAAATTCCATATCGCATTCTTTTAAAAACCATTGAGTGACATATTTAGAACATTTTTTTTTTTTACTTCTTTTTTTGAAAAAAAACGTTAGAATTTTCACAAATGCCTCATATACGACCATTTTCAAAAATGGTACTAATACTCATACGATTTTATCTTAAACGGTCCATTCTAAAAATTAAAAATTGGAATCTCATCAGATTTTTGCGATTGTATGCTTTCGCCAATTTTGGATCATTAAAAAGTCGCACAATCACATTCTTAATTATTTGAGACAAATCTAAAGGAACACACCTCATTTTAGACCACTGGTTCGTACGATTATGAATTAAGCATTTATTTGCTTTGTCCGAAATTTCCAATTTATCCCTCTCAGTCCCTCCTCGTACTATTGAAGAATTCTCCAAAAAAATAAATGTTGGTATGATTTCCTTCATTGCATATCACATTGTATGATATTCATATTCAAACATTTACTGTCTTTTTCCACATTTTTCATGTTGTTCTACTTCGTACAAATTTTATTATGTACAATTGCTTATAACTATAAGATCTGTTTTAGCATTATCTATATATATATATATATATATATATATATATATATATATTCCAGATGTTCTGATGGACATCAAACTTCAAGGTGAAACATTTTCTTTCATACTATAGACTTATTCTGCCAATCTGCAATAGCACGTTTGTCACAAAAAAATAGGGTAAAAAATTGGAAATTAATTTTGTATATTACTAATAATAATAAAAATAATAATTTTGCAAATTTCTACTTCTACTTGAAATAGAAGAACGTAGTCACTTTCAATTCACCATTAAAAAGTGGAAAAATCAGTGACGTGGACGTTGTTAAAGGCGGACCCCCGCAGGAAATGTGCCGCCATATTTCTACCAAATCATCCCTCTTCATGAGTCCCTACTCCCAACTACCACTCTTCTCCTACGCCTCAAATCATCAACACCATCGCATTTATTTTCTTTAAATTTCCCAGAACCTTTTGATAGCCACTGATATAAGCATTTTTTTTTCCCACTTCAGAAATTGAGACCATTGGCGGATGTAATTCTGTCAATGTTCACGACCACCTTGTAATCTTCCGGGCTTCGATTTTCATTTCTCTGTACCAGTTGAGGTATCAGGTACGCTCTGATTGATGTGCATTGTAGTTCCTCTGTCACTGACTTTCTGGGTTTTTGCTGCTTTGAAATTTGTTGCATTGAGGCTTAGGTAATTGGCTTCAATTCACCTTTTTTGGGCTAATAAACAAAGAGCGCTGAAAGATTGCTGATGTATTTAGGGAAAGAAATCGTTTTTCTTTTTAGCCCAATTCTTATGTTGGGCTCTATGTAATACCTGTTTCTGGGGTAATTGTCTACTGACATTCAAGCGACCGTTATTGTTGGTCTTTAAGGATTCATTCCAATGTAAAGATTGATCTTTTCTTCTTCTTCTTATTCGATCACTTTGAAAATTTGATTGCTGCGATTCGCTCAATTTAATGGTGGCATTATTTTTTCCCATAAGTTATCGGTTCTCCTAATTTTGTTAGTTTCAGAATGTGTTTTATGAGGACTGAGTTTGAACTCCAACTTGGCATTTCAGAGTGAAGAATGAATTTTTTCCCCCCTCTTTTTCTCGGAAACTTGCAGATATTGATCAGCTTCGAGTTGAAAGGAAATGGTGGCTATTAAGCTTAATGGTGGATTAGCTTTTGGAATCACTGGTACTAGAAGTGAAAGAAGAGCCAATCACAAAGCCTCAGGAGTTAGAATTCCTGGAATTCCTTTTTATCAATTTGTTGGTGTGAGTCAGAGGAAACGGCATAGACTCATCAATGTAGTAAAAAATTGTGCATTTGTGAGTGATCAAAGTGCCTTGGATTTTGAGGTTGGGACATCTGGTGGAGAGGAAACGTTCTCTGCAACTCAAGAATTGCTAATCAATGGTTCACAGAACGAATTAAAGTAAGGCTCAGGTCCATTCTACTATTTAATTATTTCTTCATACCTTTTTTAAGTTAAGGTTAGCTTGGAGAATGTATGATGTTGTTGCACCTGATTAAGAAAAAGCAAAATGAGATGTGTAACCCAATACTCTGGAGTCTGGACTCTAGAGCAATCTTAAGTTCTCCTTTCCCTTCAGTTGCTTTTGCTAATTTTGCACGATATATCATGCTCCTACCTTTAACCATATTTGTTGTTTCTTGGTCTCAGTGCCTTGACGGGAGTATCTTCTGAATCAGAGCAATCACCGAGTGTCGAAACTGAACTGATCATGCTATCAATACCTGCTATTGCTGGACAAGCGATTGAGCCATTGGCACAACTCATGGAAACGGCTTACATTGGAAGGCTAGGTAGAATCCTTTGCTGCTCTTTCGTCCATTTTTACTTAGAAATACTAGTCTTGCTGCAACGCAACTTGTTGTGCCTTGCTCTTTGCTTCTGAAGTTTCTAATAAGATGTTCCTTTAAAGGGGCACTGAGTTTGGCATCTGCTGGGATATCTATATCAATCTTCAACATTATATCAAAGGTATTCAATATTCCACTGCTCAGTGTGGCTACTTCATTTGTTGCTGAAGATATTTCTAGGCATGGAAAGGAGGATTCTCTATCAGGTTAGTTGTACTACTTCTTGAAAAGATGCAAGGATTTGTTTGTAGTGGTACTAATAAGTGTTCTTTGAAATAGATGAAAGAATGATGCTTCCTTCAGTCTCCTCTGCTCTGGTATTATCGCTTGGAATTGGCTTGTTTGAGGCAGCAGCTATGTTCTTCGGGTCAGGAGTCTTTCTCAGCATGATGGGTATATCGACGGTAAGCTTTGCATTTCCACTGTCACATGTAGGAGCTGTTAGGGTCTCTACTGAATTTTGACTTGATTTTCAGACTTGGGGTCAGTTTGGCTTTTAATGAAATGTAAGTTTTCTACAGGCTTCTCCCATGCGAATTCCAGCAGAGCAATTTCTTAAACTTAGAGCACTTGGAGCACCAGCAGTAGTTCTTTATCTAGCTATACAAGGAATTTTCCGTGGTTTCAAGGACACAAAGACCCCAGTTATATGTTTAGGCAAGGTTTTTTCTTTTTTATTTAATTTTCTAGAACTCTTTCGTAATATGAACTTTCCACTTCATGTTGACTGACGGGTGAAAAGTTGTGCAGGACTAGGAAATTTGGCCGCTGTATTCTTTTTTCCCTTAGCAATGAATGTTTTTGGATTGGGTGTAGCTGGTGCCGCCATTTCCACAGTTGCATCTCAGTAGGTTCTTTCAGCTTCATAGCTTCTAGTTTACTCTTTGACATCTAAACCTGACATCCTATATTTTGAATTCAGGTACATTGTGGCCTTTTTGATGCTATGGCATCTTAGCAAACGAACAGTTCTATTGCTTCCCAGCTTGAAATGTTTGCAATTTGGAGACTACTTAAAATCTGGTGAGTCCTATTTTATGCGCATTTGATCTATGCTGTCTAGTAATTCTAACTATTCCTGTATTTGCTTTCTGATGGAATGTAAACTCTGTAGTTTAGTTTCCACTGCTGCCAGTAGTGCATTCTGTTACAACTGCTCCAAAAGATGTTCTTTTATAAACAAGGTCCTTTTCTGAAGAAGTCCATTCCCTTGTAGGTGGTTTTCTTCTTGGAAGAACTCTTGCTGCTGTGCTTACTGTGACACTCAGCACCTCAATGGCAGCTCGTCAAGGAGCCTTGGCTATGGCTGCTCATCAAATATGCTTGCAAGTATGGTTGTCTGCATCACTTCTTGTCGATGCCCAAGCTGCGGCAGGCCAGGTAAAATATTCAATATTTATCTTCTCTTAAAACCTTAAAGGCAGTTCCTGGCATCATGCACAGAAGTTGTCCTCCTAGGGAAAAATTTTTAATTGTGGCTCCTTACAGTCTTGCTTGTTTACATTTAATAAGTTCAAATTAGACTGAAAAGACGAAATATCACATATTTGGAGTTTATTAATCCTTTCCTCTTTGTTCTACTTGAAGGCACTCATTGCAACTTCTTTTGCAAAACGAGACTACAACAGAGTGAAAGAAATTACTTCTGCAGCTATAAAGGTGTGTGAATCTTGTACAATTCCATGTAATTTGTCCTGGGAAGTCTAGATTTCCTTGGTTTCCTTTCCAATTATATTTGAAAGGCTGATGAATATCTGCTTTATATTGAACAGACCGGACTATTCACTGGCTTCTCCATTGCAGTAGTACTGGGCTTGTTTTTCCCTTCATTAGCCAAGTTGTTCACCAATGACATGCAAGTTTTAGATATTGTCAAATCTGGACTACTGGTAAGATTGATGATTCTGTGGTGGGATTCAAATTTTTCTTTCTCATCAGCTGATCATCTTCTCATCTACAGTTTGTCAGTGCTAGTCAACCTCTGAATGCTATGGCCTACATTTTTGATGGGCTGCATTATGGTGTTTCAGATTTCCCATTTGCAGCTTGCTCCATGGTAAGTGGCTGATAAGATTTTGGCGGACTTGTAAACTATTGTACCCTGTAACATGTGTTATCCTGCATTCTGTTTCAAATTACTTTTTCTAACTTGAAATGATGCGTAGATGGCAGTAGGTGCAATATCATCAGCATTCTTGCTCTATGTTCCTCCCATTGTTGGTCTTTCTGGTGTTTGGTCCGGTTTAACCATTTTCATGGGGCTGCGCGGTGTGACCGGATACTTGAGGTTACTGTTTCTCTTCATTGCTTTCCTGTATTTTTAACTCTACTATTGACTGATTATTTTTGGTGATCAAAACCCTGTGTTTCCTGGTTTGCAGATTATCAGCGAAAGACGGTCCATGGTGGTTCTTTCAAGAAGTGAAGGAGCCGGAGGTTGGTGACGTAAAAGTTTATTCATAAGTACGGGCTAGGCAGAAACAGAAAAATCGAAGTAACAGGATATGGCATCGAAGTACTTTTTAGTGTTGATGAGTAGCATAAGAGATTAACAGCATGTTTTCTGGATTCTCGTTCCAAAATCAAATCAAGAAAGCATTTGGGATCCTGGAAGTTGGTACTCTTTAAGACGTGAGGTTATATCTTGCATTATTTCGCCATTATTCCCAGTACAGTTTTGATAATATTATCTTTAGAGAAAGCAAGAATGCATTACATATGTATATATAGGTGGCTGTTCCAGCGGAATATAATGTTAGTTCTGTTGGTCTGTTAGAAAATGTGTATACAGGGAGAGATATCATATTGAAAAATAGAGAATTTCCTATTTTCTTGATTTAGCAGACAAATTTGCCACTTGTCCAGATTATTTATGCGTAAAGCTTCCATAAAAGTTTTGAATTCTTTCATTATCATCTAAATGAGTAGTGGATTTGCTTGGGCAAGCAAACCCTGGAATACCATCAACCAAAATGTTTCAGACTAGAAGATGATGTAAATATTACAGACAATGGCAGCATCTGTTTTGCTTCTTTTGTGTTTCTCCTTTGTAAATAAGTACAGAAACAACGCTGACTTTTCATTTCTCTCTGTTTCGGTGTTCCTAATTCCTTATTTGCAAAGGAAGGGTTTTTTTTTTTTTTTTTTTTGAAAATGCGAAGGAATAGTGATTCGTGTGGAGAAACTGTTTGGTAAATTCCTTTTTTTTTTTTTTTTTTTGTTAGATGGTAAATACTATTACTCACAAACCACTGAGTTCAAAGTCCTGTACATATTTCAGATCTATTACATCAGATTTCAATCATTAAGCAACAGTCATGCCTAGGTTCTTCATAAACTCTTTCTCACTTTGCCTTGCTCTTTTACGGCACCAATGAACCTTCCACCTGACCTCCTGTATAATTGCTTGAACCACATTTTCCGGCTTCAACACTTGCTTATCAAATTTCACTGCATTCTTTTGCTTCCAGATATGATAAACTGCATCTACAATGACAGCAAAGACTATTTTTGTTTGGTAAATTCTGTTCAGAATTGGTATATAGAATCTTCTTATGAATTGTGTCGCTGTTATGATCTTGATGAGTGAGCATTTTTCCACAAGCTATCAGAAAGAAGCTCTTATGATCTTCCCTCTTTGTATGTATCTGCCAGGTTGTTAATTTTCTGGGCATTCATGCTATTTGCTGCTTAGAAAAGGCTGCCCAAGGCCTTTGCTTTCTCCCTTAAAAAGAATTTCTGTACCTTGCCGGTTGATGTTTTAGGAATGTCTGCAAAAATTACTGTCCTTGGTGCCATGTAATGCGGCAATCTGTCCCTGCAAAATTTGATTATTTCTTGATCATCAACAGTAAATCCATCCTTCAACTTCACAAATGCACAAGGGGTCTGACCCCAGTGATTATCCGGTCTTGCTACAACGGCAGCCTCAAGAATTGCTGGATGACTGAACAGAACAGTTTCAACTTCAACACTGCTTATATTTTCGCCCCCGGAGATTATGACATCCTTGAGACGGTCTTTAACTTCAATGTAATTATCTGGATGTTTCACTGCAAGATCACCACTCCTGAACCACCCCCCTTTAAAGGCTTCTTCTGTGGCCTTCAAATTTTTTAAATATCCACTCATCACAGTATTTCCTCTAAACATGATTTCGCCAATTGTTTGACCATCAGCTGGCACACTATTCATGTTCACAGGATCCTTCACATCAACTTCTTCCAAACCAAGATGCTGAACGCCTTGCCGCGATTTTAGTTTTGCTAGTTCATCAGGAGGCTTGGAATCCCACTCAGGCTTCCATATGCAGGATGTTCCTGGACCATAAACTTCTGTGAGTCCATAAAGATGCGAAACTCTGAAGCCGAGCTCCTGAATCTTGGAAAGGATTTGGGGAGGCGGGGGTGCACCACCAGTCATTATGTCAACCGTGTGAGGGAGCGGCCTTTGATCACTTGCCGGTGAATTTACAATCATGTTCAAGACAGTGGGTGCACCTCCCATGTGAGTGACCTTGTGAGAAACAATATTGTCGAATATATCTTTTGGCCGGACACTTCTGAGGCAAACATTGGTACCTCCCAAGGCTGCCAATCCCCAGGCCAGGCACCATGCATTGCAATGGAACATTGGTACAGTCCAGAGATAAACGGGCATCTGTGACATACCATGAATTAAAAATGTGGCAATGGCATTGAGGTATGCACCTCTGTGATTATAAACAACCCCTTTTGGCTGCGATGTTGTGCCAGAGGTGTAATTTACACTTATCGGATCCCATTCAGTTTTAGGCCACCTGATAGGAAAACTATCTTCTCCAGTTGCTAGTAGAGACTCGTACTCATACGCATTGGGATTAGCAGCACTGGGAGATTGTCCGTCTGATTCAGGGATTACTACAAGTATCGGTGGCTTTCTTTGTTCTCTCTCAAGGATTTCAAATGCACCTTCAGCAAGTTGAAGAAACTGGTAGTCAACAAAGATAAGCTTGGCCTCAGAATGGCGCAACAGGACTGCAATCATTGCTGAATCATGGCGAGTGTTCAATGTGCATAAGAGAGCTCCAGCCATTGGCACCGCAAAATGCAGTTCCTGCATTGCTGGTATATTTGGAGCTAACGTGGCAACCTGTTCATAGACCAGAAACAAGATTGATCAAACATTTCAAAACCGCAAAGTTCAAAACCAGATGAATTGGGTGTTTGATTCCCATTATCAATGATGATTGACCGTAAACACACAATGATAAAGTAATTAAACAGAACAGGATATGAATCATTTTCACTTTGATCTGATCCAAGAGCTTCAATTATCACAAGGAACAGAGCTCCTCTGTTGTCATAGAATTCCAAAATTGTTCAAAGCACAGTACCGAGATATTCAGCAATATTAACCATAAACGATTACCGAGTCAAATTCCCATTTCTTTCATAGAGAAATCACATATTTTACCGAAATATTATATGCTCATAATAATACCTTTGTCTAAATTGGCAGATCAAAGGAGAGAACTGGAGGTGTTCAAAATTTGGCATTTTCCACAAGACTAGAAGAAGCAGTAATTAAGCAAACATTGGAATGATACCAAAGGAGAGATGAACTTACAATATCACCCCGTGAAATCCCCATCTGGGCTAATGCAGAAGCTAGCTTAAGACACCTAGAATGAGTCTGTTCCCAAGTACACCTGAGAGAGCCATATATAACCGAGGTTCTGTCTCCAAAAACCTTGGCAGATCGATTCAGAAAACTTATGGGTGTTAAAGGAACATAATTTGCAGGACATCTGAGTAGACCCTCCAAGGATTTCCACGATGACTCGATATCAAGTTTCTCCGATGATGAGAATTGACTGAGGCCCCGGAAACTCCCCTGATTATTATTATTATAGGATGGAAGGATTCTGGTCCGGCCATGAAAGGACAAACGAGACAGTGACTTCTTGAAGAAATGGTGGTACATGGTGGATTGGTGGTGGTGGTGGTGGTGGTCACAGAAGTATGACTAAGACAAGAATCGGGCAATCTTTCATGGGACTGAAAGTGACGATTTTTATTTTTTTTTTGGTAAAAATGAAAGATAAATGCAAGAATCGGATCACATGTTTATCTTATCATGCCACGGTACCAATGAGAAGAAGTTCCCAGAAAAACTGATTCAAAAAGACACAGATGGAACGCCAATTTTGGAAGATGGAGACTACTTTCCGGAAAATATAAACAAAAAAAAGGATCTGCGAGTTCCACAAGACTAATAAATGAACACGTTAGTAGATGCTTAAGGAATTCATATTCTCATTTCTTAAATCCTAGGTATGTCAACAACTCAACATCACGGTTCACATGGTCAACTATTTTAATGTGACTAATAATGCACGACTAAATGGAATTCTCAGTTTCTCGTAAGTCGTAACTCAACCAAATTACACTATTTTGCTCCTGTGTTTGAAACCATCAAATTAACCAAAGAAACTACAAACAAACCGAACGGAGACATGCTGCTAAAGGGGTTCCAGGTTAGGCTAACTTCGTTTGGTTTATTAGAACTTAGAACTGATTGCCGATTGGTTCGATGTTTGGCTGATGACTTGATGTTCGTCACATGTGATTTATGGAATTTCCCGCATTGCAAGTAACAGTACCTGAAAGGCTGAAAGAACTGCTAGGATCCAAGAATGCCAAAATACAGTATATTTTAGTATTTCCGTCCATGAAATAGTTTATATGGATTTTTGAGATTTGTATTGGTTTTTAAATAATTTGTTAAAATTAATGTAAAATCACAAGATATTACTTCTTCTTTTTTGTTTTTTTAAAAAGAAAAACATTATTTTCGTCGATTTTGTTGTCTAATGGAAAAGCCAATGAATTAGTCGACAAAGGACAAAATAGACTCTTTTATATAATTTCCACAATTTTTTTGAACTTATTATTGTTTGGTAATAATTGATTAATTTGTAGGTGTGAAGGTATAAGTCACAAAATGTTTTCTTCTCGTTAAAAACCTTTGCATTGACTTCCCATAAGCGTAAATAAACCGACCGCTAGTCGATGAACCGCGAACGTCAATGTCAAAAATCTTAAAATATTTTATTAAAGCTGTTAACATCGACATTTTTTATCCACTAAGTAAAGAGGATGAGAAAGTTGACGAATAAGAACCTTTTTTTTAGTGTTCTTTACAATTTCATAATTTATTATTCTCTGGTAGTTATCTTATTTATTTTTTATCAACATAAAAGTTATAAAACTTTATTTTATATAAAAAATTTAATGTCAACTTTTTCGTCTACTTAGCAAAATCGTCGAGGAAGTCAATGAAGATTAAATTTTTTTTCCAATAACTATCTTTTCTTTTTATATAACTAGTTTATTTAGGTTTATCAATGTAAACGTCACTAAACATTTTATTTTTGTTGAAGATGTTTATGCAGACTAGAATACCAATGAAAGTCAAAATTCATTGTGTTTTAGCATTTTCAAAAGTTTATGATGCTGATATTTTATTGGTAATTAGTTTAATTTTTTTGTAAATGTAAAATTTCAGAAAACATTTTTTGTTGAAATTGTTTGCATCAACTGTTTCATCTATGTAGAAAAGTCCACGCTGAAGTAGATGAAGGTCAAAATTCACTGTTTTATATGATCTTTAAAGCATTCGATGGTATTAATTTGTAATCAACTTATTTATTGTAATCATCAACAATAAAATTATGTCGAAATTATTTGTGTCTATTGTTTCGTCTACTTAATAAAGAAGACACGAAAGATGACGAATACCAAAATCCATTATTTTGTAATATCATTTGGTGGTTAATTATATATTTTATTGAAATTGGTGCAAAAGTGATAAAATATATTTTTTAAAGAAAATTTGTTTGCGTCAACTTTATTGTCTACTTTGTAAAGCCGACATAATAGTCGATGAAGGCCAAAAATAGACAATTTTGTATAGTTTTCACCATTTTTTAACTTATTATTATTTGTCGGTGCGAAGGTAAAACTCTAGTCAATATAAATAAATAAATTAATTACCAAATAATATTACTAAACTAGAAAATTGTTGAAAAGATATAAAACAATGAATTTCATTATTCATCAACTGTCGCATCATTCTTGCTAAACAACTTCAAATTTTTCTTTAAAAAATTAACAAAGTTATATTGATTAAAATTTAAAAGAAAAGGATAATTAAAAGACTAAAATACAATCAAAAGATTTTAAAAACCATGTAAAACAATGAATTTGACCTTCGTCAACTGTTGTGTCAACTTTGCCAGGTAGACGAAAAAGTGGATGCAAACAATTTCAACAAAAATAAAACGTTTTGTAACATTCACGGTGATAACACTCAATAAGCTAATTAACAACTGAAAAATAGCATCATAAACTTATACGAACACAATGAATTTTGGCTTGCATCAGTTTTCTCGTCGACTATGATAAGTTGACAAAAAAATTCTATAAAAATATTTTCAAACAAAATAAAATGGTTGGTTAGGTTTACGTTGATAACCAAAAATCAACTAGCTTAAAATAAATAGTTCCATAAAAAAAATTTAAAAGAAAAGGATCTTGGCCTTCATTAACTTCCATGTCGGTTTTGTGAAGTCAACAGAAAAGTCGAGGCAAAATAATTTTTATAGATATAAAATGTATTGCAACTTTTACATTGATAAACAATATATTAGATAATTACTAAACAACTATACAATCATAACATTGTAAAATATGGTAAAAAAATTATGATTTTCTTATTGATCAACTTTCTTGTCCTCTTTTGTTTAGTTAACAAAAATTGTTGATGTAAACATTTCATACAAAACATACACATTTGATATGTTGCATTGAAATTGATTAAATAATTATTTTCAAGCTATAACGCCATTAAAAATTTGTTAATCTTATACAAACCAATGTATGTGGCGTCGTAGATTTCATGTTGGAAAAGTCAATGCAAAATTTTTCAACAAGAAGAAAACATTTTGAGACCACTAGGAAAGACCTATGTATGTTAAAAACCCCAAGTTATTAACTTCACATTCTTATAGATGATTAAATCTATTTTTTCACATTCTTGGAGTCTTAACCCAATGTGTCATATTCGGTGAAGTTGACACTGTCAAGCCTGGGTTTGGTTGTGATCATGCATCTTATCGGCTATGTAACAATAAAATATTTCAATGGCTGCTACACAATTTTTAACACCGGGAATTAATGAAATTTTTTTATTTCGAAAAATATAAATAAATATATATAATATTTGTTATAATCCGTAACGGAAATAGTGCTAATATTACCTGAAGATTGAAGGATTTATGTAGTTATTATAGTGGACAAGAGATAGAATATTGAACGTAAATTCATAAAAGCAACTCTACAAAAGAATTTTTCTTTTGATGGAATTAGGATACGGGCGCAAATACCCGCTCTACATTTATTTGCGGACCATAAATGGGTGAAAAAGGAGGAAAATCATCATCGGGAGAAGAGCAAAAGTCGAAGATGGGATCATCATCATGCCATGCATCAAACTCAATCTCGGACAAACAAGAAGGACAATCGACGTTGGCGGGTCGGATCTGATTGTTGAGTAAAAGAACTAGCCCGAGACAAGTCACCGTAACAAAAACCCAAAACAACACTAGTATTCTTCTTCGTCTTGTTCCCCGTAATTTGGCTGCTGCTTTTATTTCTCTTAACGCCGCTGCTGCTTCTGCTCTTCCTTTTGCGTCTGCTGTTTTCTTCGCCATTATTTTTTTGTGGTGATTTTATGGAATTCTCTATTAGATTCGGTACTTATAGCACAGAACATTATTCGTTCATCACGAATTTTTTATTTATTTATTTTCTCGAGCATAATGTAGGAAACGAAAAAGACTAATTTTTTTTTTATTAGGTGGATCTTTGTAGGAGATATGGAAAATAGGAAGCCTAAATATGGGCGACTACTAATAAATAATAAATAATCAAAGATGGTGAATATTGGCTTGCTAAGTTATGGAAAGGTGTTATTCTCGCATTGTAAGAAAGACACCAATCAATCTCAAAAACCTACCATAAAAAAATATCAATAGATGAGTATTTTGAGTGAAAGCTTTTTAAATTAATCAAAGGAAACTTTTTAAATTAATAATTTATTACTAGTTCATTAGTTAATTAGTAATAATTTTATAAATTAATAAATTTTGATCGTCCCAACACTAAAAATTAATTTCGTGAGAGTTTTGTACATAAGTTTATATTACTAGTACTAGTACTACCACTACTAAGTTAGAATCATTTAATTTAGCCGGGCCAGTAATTTTAAATACTAAAACATGTGTAATGTACCAAAAAAAAAAAAAAAGAATTTAGCCCTTCTTAATATCTTACTGATGAAAAAATCAATTTCATATTCTATTTGGTGATATTACGGTGACATCCTATGTATCAACTTCGAATCATTTTGTAGGCGATCAACAACTGAGTTGGGTGCACAGGCCTTTATTAACAAAAGGACGATTTATTACTCCTTATCGGAGAAAAAGGAAATCCCAGGACAAAGGCATGAGGGAGTACTCCAATGGAGGCTATTTCCTGATCCTGTATAAACTGTTACACCACATTTGCACTATTTGTTTTTCTGATTCAGCTAATAATAATCATAGTCAGAAGATGTCATGAAATCGAAAAATGTGTAGAATAGAAGGCAGTAATTGGCTGTATGCGTAGAAAATTTGAAGGTGTTTCATTGTCCTTCTGATGGTAAGCTTTAAATGAACCTTTCAAGGATTGATGCAGTGTAGTAGTTCATTTTCTGCAAATATATTGAAGCTTTAAAAGGGAAAGTTTAAAAGAGCTTCTCAAGCAAGTTCACTTCTTGCAAAACCCACATTGGCCAAGTCTCAAAAATCATTCAAAGATACAATGAATTGGGAAATTATGTACTTCTTTCGTCTCAAAATTACTATCCACCTTGAATAATTTTGGGACGAAAGGAATAGTTAAATTTACGGTATATAAGATTCGGAAAGGTTAATGTGTAAACGAGACATTTGAGCATGGTTTTTCTATTGTTTTCATCTACTTAAGTACTTTTCATATTACTACTAATGTGCTTTAATTAAGCAATTACCGGCGAATTCGTGTGGCAATAGAACAACACTTTGCATGGTTTTCTGCAACTTTTTTCTTTTTATCAAACAAGAAAACAAAATACTAATTTCCTAGGCCTGATGGGGTTCTTCTTCTAGCTAGCTTTTTCAGACCTATCTAAAAATATGACGTGAGAAAGGCTGCATTTTTTTGTAGGTGGTGACAATTTGCTCGAGTACGCAGATCGCCAGCCTACTCATTATATATGTATCTCTCTGGTTTTGGACCACTGATTTACTGCTTTCTACTCTTCCACTCCCAAAAGCTTAAAAGGTATAGTAATTCCTTGCAAGTCAAGGAATCCTCCCCACAGACAACCCAGTAATTGACAAATTCCTGAGCTAACATATTTTCATCATTAAAAATTTTTGGTTCCACTTCTTCTCATCATATCATTGCACTTTTGCCTGATTTAGTTATTTCTCTAATCAATGCTCTTTATTTTCTTGCATTTATTCATGAACAAAAAGTACTACCATATCCTATTGGTTAAAAAAGGCTACTGTTTCCATCTGCCCATTTTCATGTGATTTTTAACTTTATGCATCCAATGAAATGACCCCTTTGAAGGACGTGTGATACAGAGCTTTTTTTTTTTTTTTTCCTTTTAATTTTGAATCAGGCATATAATTGTTCCAAAGAAAAAGGACAGAATGCAAATTAAAATTCGACAGAAAATCGAATGGTTGTTGAGAATCATCACTATGATTTGATCCCATTATTTATTGAAATGACAATACAGGGGAAAGACGTAACGGTACCGGTAGTCCAGCCCAGTCTGCCAATATGTTATAAAATTAGTAGTACTTTTCCAGCAGTTCCCTCACCCAAATCTTTTCATCCTCTTCTCTTCCGTTTGGCCGCCGGATTTGATTACAGGAACACGTTACATTAATGGCGGATTCATAAGTTTAGTACTAAAGTTACGGTCTTTGCATTTACTGCATTAAGTACTGTACACTTAAAAACACAGAGATTCTCTGATCAAACCAGATTCCAACATATCATCCTACGCGCAAAATCTTCTCTTCTCTGTACCAAATTAAAGTAATCATTTTCACGAGCACAATAATAATACTAGGCTGTTACTGTTAAAAAAAAAAAGAAAATCCCTTAAAACTAATTATCGTTTTACCGTCGGGAATAGATAGATTGAATCGGAAGGACAAGAAACAGGGGAGAAAAGTTATAGAAGCTGAAACACTATTATCATTCATTCATGTACAAGATTTCCAAGAACAAAGAACTTGGATGAAAAATAGAAGGCGAAAAGGAGGAAAGAAAATGGTCATGGGTTGAAGATGAGGTCTCCACATTTACATTTCCAACTCATGGGCTTGTAGTTGGAGTAATCAGAACCACCACCGCCGGCGTAAGTAATGGTGGAAACTGCAGAGGAATTTCTTAAATTCTTGTGGCCATCTTTGATTTGAGGATTTGTGGGCACCTGAATGGCTTCACAGTGGCCGCAATTGTTGCATCTTCTATCGCACCTTGGTGGCCTTGAACCTATCTTTGAGTAATTCCCAATAGTTTTAGCTATTGGTCTACCTGCGAAAATGAAAACCCAAGAAAGAACCAAACTTTACATGTCAAAAAAACCCAATCTTTGGACATTTCCCATCTTTTAAGAATTGAAATTAAATTGGAATCAAATATTACCTTGGGCATTAAATCTCAAGTGGGATGTACACAGAACCAGTAGAAGGAGAAAAGAAATGTGAAAATGGTGAAACATGCTGCATGTGAGATGATTCTGACGGTTACCCATTTCAATTCAGAGGAAAAGATAAGATTTTTATGGGCAAACAGAGTAATAAACAGGGAGGGTTCAGAATGGATAAGAGCTGGAGAAATTGAGAGTTGAAGGAGATGGAGTTATAAGTATAAAAGCTAGAAAGGTTGGTTTGATGATGACAGAGATGAGAGAAAAGAGGGAATTTTAACACTAGAGATGCAGAAAAAAATGGCGTCAGTGATACAATTTTGTTTCACAAACTTAAGTCGCTCTCCAGATGTGGATTCCGAGAGAAACTTGAGATGATATAACATGGAAGGACAAAACAGTTTAGGCAGAGTAAAGTTAAAAATAAAAAAGAGTGGTGGTGAAGAAGTAATAAAGGCCTATACAGGTGGTTCGAAAAGGGAAGAACCTTGACCTCGTGTCATGAGCCAGACATTTTAAACACACTCTATAATGGAAGAAAGAGATGCAATATACACAATACAGTAGGAAATATTTTTCAGTGATAAGATTAGTCCCTGAAGATGAAGAAAGAAGCAGACGAGGGTCCTGTCCGAAAAGATGAGATATTACCAACAAGAGATAATTGAGACTAGACAATGTGTAATGGGAGGAAAATTGAGACTAGACAATAACATAATGTTGTATTTCATTGATCTAAACTCTTTATTCTAAACTCTAAAGAACCTTTGAATTTGAATTGTATTTTGGTATGTTTCATAAATTGACAACATTGGTGTAATGGTATAAAACTATTCTCCAATGGTGGTAAGTTGGATGGTACTTCAATTTGTGTGTGGAGTAGGGGGGAATTGGAAAGAAGACAAAGCCTCAAAACAGCAAGAGGCCACTCCTTTTAATAAATTTTTAATTTTAGGCTCTGTAGACTGTGGTGAGAGACTACACAGAGTACCCACACAAACGGACATCAGACTCCAGCTGTTAGATCTATGGGGTTTCCGTTTTCCAAAATGCTGCATTTCCTTTTGCCCATTTGGAGTAGATTTCTTGTAAGTGGTTTTATTTCAGGATTTGGCGCCAGCCTTTTTTTTAATACCATGCAAAATCTTTTCGTTTCTGTTGAGGATATTTTGATTGTATCGATGGTGAAAATGAGATGTGCGGCCTCAAATTAACTGCTCTTTTTCCAGGTGGGTTTAAACCGTAGTTATGCATTGACATTAGGCTTTCAATGTACTCTTTAAAAGGACTGCTCATTTGGTCCTTCCTCCCCTTTTTGCTGTTTTTAACTTTGCTCATGCTTCACTTCAGTGTCTTTTTCATTGTTATAAGTTATTACACAGGGTACATACTTATCAAGAAGAGTTTTAATTCACAGGGATTGAATCGAAAATTCATTACCCTGCCCACAAAATGGAGTTTTGCAGCTCTCTTTTTGGCGTTGTCCTTTTTTAAAATACTCCCTTTATTTCAAAATGTAACTCTTTTTAGTCTCTACACGTAAACTAAAGAGACAATCAATTAATGATTACTTTGTGTGTTAAATATTTATTTTACTCTTCATTAATTGTTTTGGAACTATAACTAAAACTAGATGAGAAGTGGTTAGCATTATTTATTGGGGGTAATGTTGAAAAATTGATCTTTAATTTGCCTTGAAATCTTAAAATGACCTACATTTTGAAATATTTCTCCAAATCTAAAAGGTTAAAAGATAAATAGTACAATTTACGCATCGATAGATGAAAACATTACTCTCGTCTTTTGTAACCACATACAACTATGAACGTGTAACAAAAATGGGTTGTCAAAGCATAAAACTAAGGTGACCTCTTGAAACTTGAACCTCATTTCAAGAAATTGGAAGTTGCAATACAAGTTTGTAAAAGATATTTTGCAATTTCAGCATAGACGGAGGTCATTGATTGCAATTTACTTTTCAAGATTTTTCACTCATAGTACAAGTCCACATACTAAGTCCAGCAGTGATTTGACTATTGGGCCATTCATGTGTCCACACACCCGGCCCGCGCGTTCTGCCCTTAAAAAAGCGAACAAAAATCTCGGGATCCATGTGGATGCGGATCCCACAGACGGTTTCGTCACACGTGGCTATTTTCGTAAGCTTAGCTCCACTATGTGGCGCCTCTTTCTGCTCCTCCACCATCAAACTACCCAACTCCGTCTTCCTCCGCCGTGCTCCTCCCTCGTCGGCGTTCAAACTCATTGCGGTAAGCCGCTAACAATTCACCCACATTGCTTGCAATTCTCTTACTCATTTCCATTCAGTTTTTCTTCTCTTTTTTCCACTCGAATTATTTCCATACGTTTTTTGCTTGCTAAAACTGGAATTACGATTTTTATTGTAACCATTCATTACAGTGCAGTGAGTACTGATTAGCGTGGTGAATCCGATCATGTATTCACTGACAATACCAAACTGCGGAGGTCTCCACCGATCACAATTCGGTAGTTTCCCTCCGCCATCGTCCCCTATGGAGAAGCAACAGTCTCCGGAATACTTCGTTTTCTCTTCGTTCTGGGGCAAAGAATTGAAATTGACCAATGCCGAATCGGTCTTTCATCGCCGGTTTCCGGCGACTACTCGGAAGAGAACTTTCGCGGTTTCACCATCGGCTTCTCTTTCCACGTTTAAGATGAATTTGAATGAATACATGGTGACTCTCGACAAACCTCTCGGGATTCGTTTCGCTCTCTCCGTTGACGGGAAAATTTTCGTCCACTCACTCAAGAAAGGGGTATGTTCTCATTGAACTTTTGGTAGTTTTTAATATTTTTGTTTGTTTTCATCAATCCGCTGTCTTTGCATTCATAATTACAAACTCTGAAACATTATAATGTGAAGTAGGGAAATGTTATTTATTCTATACCCTTATTTGAATAGGGAAATGCTGAGAAAGCAAGGATAATAATGGTTGGAGATACTCTGAAGAAGGCTAGTGAATCATCAGGTGGGGGACTTATTGAGATCAAAGACTTGGGTGATACAGAGTATGAATGTATACATTCATCACAATCCTACACATTTGCTATTTATTACCACCAAAGTTATACCTTTAAGATAGATGGTTCTAAATCAATCATTTTTTCTTCTGCAGGAAAATGATGAAGGAAAGTTCAGGTTCTTGTAGCCTTGTTCTAGAGAGACCCTTCTCTCCTTTTCCAGTTCATCAGTTATTTCTGATGACTGACCTTGATATCTTGTTCAACAGAGGTCGCGTCTCTCTTGCTACTTGGAATAAAAATGTGCTTTCTTCAAGCCTACGAACCTCTACGGAGGGCTCTGGGAATTCTGGTTTTGTCACCTTTTCGTCCAAGTATGTGAATTCCCTGGGATGGAAGTATTTGAATGATCAATATAAAATCAACCAGCCACAACTCGGGAGGAACAGTACGCCTCCTTCGCCTTTAAGTCCAGTTGTTACTATTTTCTCAGTTGATGAATCAACAGATGGTGAATGGGCTCATGGCAGTTTTCCTTTGGATGAGTACGCTAAGGCATTGGATCGTTCCAAGGGAGAACTCTACTATGATCACTCTCTCGGTATGCGATACAGTAAGGTACAACTATTCTCTCTGCAGCTGCTTTTCCATTACAATGTAGCACCTCAGGACTAAATATGTTCCGAAGATGGAGCCAATTGAAGAGAAACTATTGCTGCTAGCCTTGTTCAAATGATTTAATATCTTCATCTCATGATTCCCAAATTTGGGTGGTATACTCCATGTTGAACTCACTTGCTATGTTTTGTCAGATCACTGAACAGATATATGTTGGATCATGTATACAAGCTGAGGCTGATGTTGAGAATCTATCCAAAGCTGCGGTGAGGGATTGACTTTATGAGAAGTTCCCTAAAACATGACCGTAAACGCGTATAACTCATTGCATCATTTATATTACATGTTGTCAGACAATGTATTGCCAATTTGTGGTGTCATCAGTTAATTCTTTTTACCCTATGACATATCCTCTGATTTTTATTTTTATTTTTTTTCTTAATTTTCCTGTCCGCAATATAGAATTAGGATTGTCATGTATCAAGTGGAATAGGCATTCTCGTAAGCTTGATAGTAAACAACTAGTTGATCAAATATGGAAAAAGGTTGGTACATTATGCTTCCTAAATTAGAGCCCTGAATGCCATGCTTGAGCGATGTAAACAGTGATATCCTGACAGTTCAATTGTTGCCTGTTCAATGCTTATTATGACAGTCTGTAATGTATTCATCAGGGGATAACTGCAGTGTTGAATCTCCAAAGTGGTATTGAAGCAGAAAATTGGGGAATAAACTCAAAAATAATTAATGAGACCTGCCAACGTTGTGATATTCTTATGATCAATTATCCAATAAGGTAATGCTCTGGCCACAAAAGTTTGTGCTTTGTTATATTTTTTGAGTCAAATTTTCATAAGAGGTACCCTATATTCCCGTTGAGATAGTCAGCAGAATAATGCTAGACATTCCTTCTAAGAAACAACCATCACTAGCGGTTGTGTAATCTTCAGGTAATTATCTAATGTTTTTTTGCACTAACTAATTTGACAGGGAGGTGGATTCCTTCGATACAAGAAAGAAACTACCCTTCTGTGTTGGTCTTCTCCTACGCCTTCTCAAGAAAAACCATCGTGTATATGTCACTTGCACCACTGGTTTTGATCGATCCGCAGCTTGTGTAGTTGCATATCTACACTGGATGACGGACACTTCCCTTCACGCAGCCTACAATTTTGTCACTGGTTTGCATTCTTGCAAACCTGACAGGTTCGTAGCACTTAATCTTTTGGAGCTTCCATGTTTTTCCTCCTATGATGAGAATAAACTACCAGCTTTTATTCTGTTTCGATCTAAGTTTTGAATTATTGAATAGGAGCTTCTCGGTGTCACAACTTTTCATGCATGTTTACTTCAAATATCTGTTGTGCACTGTCCTTTATAAGAATTGATAAAAGGAAACTAGGACTAGTTCCCTCTTCAACTTAAGTCATTGTCAAACAGAATGTAAGCAAAGCTCCTTTCTAGTTTACACCTTATATCTTGGGTTGAGAAACTATCATGTAAATGTGGAAAATTTTGGGACTCCTCAGTTTCACATGTTCTGTTACAGGGCAGCGATTGCTTGGGCAACGTGGGACTTAATTGCAAAGGTGGAAAGTGGGATACATGATGGACCAGCCACCCATGCAGTGACCTTTGTGTGGAATGGGCATGAGGTAAAAGGTTTGGTACTCTTGTTTGAAGGTTGATTTTCAGCAAGACTTGTTTAGCTTTTCCTCTGTGTCCTTTGAGTGAACAACATTTTTTTTTACCCATAGATAAGGATGTGAATGCCTCACAGTTAAAGCTGATACCAATCTGTATGCCAAATACAGGGGGAAGATGTTCACTTGGTTGGTGATTTTACTGGGAATTGGAAAGAACCCATTAAAGCAGTCCATAAGGGTGGCCCAAGATATGAAGTCGAAATTAGACTTCCGCAGGGAAAGTAAGTCTGTGATTCTTTAAACTTCTTCCTCAAGAGTATAACTTGACTTCTAAGCTCAGTTCCCACATTCATCCCCAATTTTCAGCATTTATTTTCTTGTCACAATAAACATTCTAATGCTGATAGCCTGATACTGAGATGATTTGTGGTAGAATTCCAAAATTTCATGACTCCCTATACTGATTGTGTATTTCCCCGGCCTCCCTTATGTCAGTTGTATGTATCTTCTCGTTTTAGCCCCCTTGATTCATGTAAATCAGGAGAAAATCTATTTGTAGTCACTGGGACTGTCTTTTTCTGTACTTCAGGTACTATTATAAGTATGTCGTTGACGGTCAGTGGAGACATTCCACAAGTTCACCCACTGAAAGGGACGATAGGGGGAATCTTAACAATGTCATAGAGATTGGTGATGTAGCTAGTGTCCGGCCTACTTCTCAACAACAAAAGAAGGTACTTCCCATTGTTCAAGGTTTTCCTTGAACTGAATAATATTATCATCCGGACTTCATATCAATTATGTTCTTGAAATTTTTTGATTGAACTATTAAAGTTTGGTCTGATGTTGTATCGCTATTCTTGTGTATTGTACAATTGTTTCAGGATGCAAATATTGTGAAGGTGATTGAAAGGCCATTGACTGAAAATGAGCGGTTCATGCTGGCTAAAGCAGCTAGATGTGTTGCATTCTCTGTCTGCCCCATAAGATTGGCCCCAAAGTAGTTGCTCATTGACACCTTTGGCGTACAGCTCCCGTAGTTCAAGGCCCCAAGTTTCCACTTTCTACTGAGGTGTAATTAAAATGAGGAAATCACCGAATTTTTGTTTTTAAAATTTTTCTTACTGAACTGGTACCTGGCGGTCATGTGAATAAATATTTATCTAGAGCAAAAGAAAATAAGGTGGAAAAGTAGTTGCAGCCTGCCGGTTTGGGATGGAATTCTTACGAGGGAGGTGATCTTATAGTTGTTAATGCAGCTAGCGCAAGTTACTGCCCGCATTCAGATTGTAAGACTTTGGATATTCTACTTCCTATTCCACAGGAAACTTGTGGATTCATGTACCAGAAAATGGAAATGATTACTGCCTACCCTTAGTATAAATTTCCTAAGCTCCCATCCTGCCTCTGCTTCATCTCTTTATAAGTGAATTTGTGAATCTAGTACTGTTTTTGGTACATCAGTTTACTTCCGGTGTCCGAAACAAATGTCCTGACCATAACGTGAAAGTCTAGCAGATAAGGATTTAAACCAAAGAATTCTACATTATGGCTGGATTTTGAACCTTTCTAACTGTATACCTTCTGTATATCATTGTTTGAAAGCGAAATTAACTATAAAAACCGGGTCACAAAATGCTTCAAAACCTATGTCCAGGATCACTAATACAGATTACTCGACGGTTTTGCTTTTTTCAGGGCCAGAGGGTCCAACTACATCTCAAGCGTCATAATCAACACAGTAGTACTATATGACAAAGGCCAAATTGTAATGAACACCTCATGTCGAAATTATGACAGAAATATGTCGACATTTCTCAAATGGTCTTCCCCCCTTGGGATCGAACTTTAATTTTCCTTGAATATAAAAGCCTCCAATAGATTCAGCATTGAGGCTTTCAGTCGGGAAACAACTCAAGCTTTCCGGTACCAATATTTTTTTTCCGAACAAAAAGTCCCAATATCCTTACAATGAAGCATCCTTGTCCAGCGACGTGGTTCTGCAATACTAAGCTCCCTATGCTTTCGCATCATAATCGTTTTCCTGTGAGCCAAGGTTAGGTGCTGGCTAGTTAGCTAGCGTCGGTTCACAATTGTGTGAATTGTGAATCAACGCCGGCTGCTGGTCCCTTTACTGATTAAGCTGATAAAGCCATGTTATAATTTTTTCGTAAGATAGAAAGCTTCATCACTTTACGTGATGAATTCAGTTCAAGGAATGGAAGTACTAGGGTATGTATAATGTATATTCCGCAATGTAACAAGTTCTATACGTTATTGTTAGCTCCAGTTAATGCATACTTCTCCATACTACTGTAACCATTCGTAGCTACCTAAAAGTAAACGATAAAAATTCCCCATCCCCCTACCCGCAAGTGAGTCTGTTTCTGATTTAATTTGTTTTGGTCCTTACTAAAGCACGGTACAAGTCAAAAATATGAGAGCCTCTGGGTTGACATCCTAATTCAAGAAAAAAAAAAAGAAAAAGGATTCTGAAACGTTTAAGAGAAAGATAGGACCTTATCCTTCATCATCCATCCTTCATCCCTTGTTTCTAAAATGTAACTTCCCTACCATTCATTCCCTCCACTTTTATCCAACTTATAATCATCTCTTGCTCGCCCTCCACCTTAACTTTTTTTTTCCTCCCCAGAAAATATGAGAACAATAATTTTTATAAAAAAAAAAAAAAAAATAGAATCAAAATGCATGCCTAATCAATCAATTCACCGATCTGACATCTTGCATTAATTCAGCTCATGCATTTCTAATCACCATTCCATCAAGTACGTGGAAATGTTGAAAATGTAGTAGTATAATACTTTCTGGAATATTCTCACGTATATCTTGATGAGAATATATATGTGATTATTAATAATTAGTAGGCTTTGTCCTCTTTGAATTTGAGACTGAAGTAAGATTAGAAACAGAAACTCCGTAGTTTATATGGATTATTATGCATCTTCGTCTTAATCAAAACATGAAGACATACGTACGCAGCTTAGCGTCGTATACGTTAATAATTACTGATTAGTTAGGTCGTTGATGCGTACATTACATACGTATACATAGTCACAAAATCAAAATCCGACGATCGACGTGGAGAAAAGTAAATGCGTCTGGATGGCTGTCCATTTCACGAAATTAAGATCGGAAAAAAATATACCCACCTAAAAATGACAACCTCACAAATGCTAAACCATATCAATTGCGCAATATTGAGGTTCATAAACCCACAAATTCAAAAATCAACGTGCACGGTCACGAAGCTCCGTTTTAGCTCTTTTGTTGTTCATTCAGTTTTAAATTTCAATTGAATAAATCAAAGACTGTTGTTTGTTTCTGGTTAGTAAGAAGAGCAGAAAAAATAAAATAAAATAAAATCGGCAACCGTTCAATCCTGATCCGGAAATGCAGAAGTTCTCGTGAGCTCAGCTTTCGCTTTCCTTATCCAATGTGTGAATGAATGTTGGACAAGATCGGGCGCATGTAAGATTATTGAAAGAGAGGGAGGGGGAGAGGGGGGTTTACTGTGTGACTGTGTGTATTAGTGGAACGTAGTGTCAGATCTCTCTCTCTCTTAAATCCTCAGCTAGCCCTCCTGCCCATTTACTCGGGTGAGTGTACATTATAAGTTGTAGTAGTATATAAATCCACCCATTGCAAAGTAAGATTGACACAATGTCGATTGCTACTTCCATCAACGGGTGCCTAACCTCCGTCACCGCCGCAGCCAAGACCTCTATCCAAAGAACCGCTTCCCGCCCTTCCTTCTTTGCCAGGTTTGAGTCATCTTCTTCCGCTGCTTCCGTCCCCCGTCTCATCAGAGACCAGCCCGTTTTTGCTGCTCCAGCTCCCATCATCACCCCTGTTGTGGTACTTTCCCTTCCTTCCTTCCTTCTCTCTCTCTCTCTCTCTTTCATCCTAATTCCTATTCCAAAAGAAACCTTCAATTAAGTTGTATTATGGACGCATGCATGAAATCATTTTCAAACGTAACATACAGAGTTGATTTTTATTACCATTTGTGTTATTCAAAACCAAACCAAATTGAGATGTGCGTTATGCACTATTGCGCACGTTACATTATGATACATGTTCAGTGTCTCCATTGCTTAAATGACAGCTAGACTTTGGTCTTCAATCTTCTGAAAATGCCAGTTACCTGAACAGGAAACATAATAGCCACAAAACATAATAAGGTCAATAACCGCCACACGTTATTCCCTTGGTCTATATCAAACTATGTATATCATAACTGCTTTTTACCATTTTGGTGGATCCCACCCCTCTCTGATCACATCCACTTCCACTGTGGATGCAATGTAGCCAGCGTTTCTGTTTTTGACTTTTTTCCTTCTAAAAATAATAATGAGGCATTTTTTTTTCTTTTGCCTACTTCTATGGCTACTGAATTCGGACCATAGCTTTAGTGGTAAAAAAAAATAAAAAGGACCAATAAACTCTTTTCAAAAAAAGGTAAGGAATGATATTGAAATTTCAGCCAAAGGATGGCATCCAGATTGTTTGACTTGTCATAATCTTTGGTAGTTGATTGTTATAGCGAGCCAATATTCATACACTTGGTCAACAACGAATGGCATGTCTTCAAAGTTCTAAGTTGCCATTTAGTCATAAAGCAGTAGCGTATCTCTAGCTTCAGTTTTTTTTTTTTTTTTACCACCATGGCCAATGTTTATGGCAGCCAAATGTAATTATACCTCGTACATTGGCACATATTCAATATTTCCACAATTCATGGCTGCTAGAAGAAGGACTTGGTGAATTAATTAATCACGACATTCTTAATATATATATATATTTCGGCATAAGCACACTTGATATCCGTACCATTCTTTCTTCCAAGTATTCGTCTCTCTTGAGCCTTGCCTGAAATATGGAAAAGGTTTGACTTATTTCTGGCTCAAGAAACCCAAAATTTTACGTGGGTTTCGGTTGTTCATATCAGTTGCATCGTATTTCCTCCTCATTTAATTGATTTTATTATTTTCAATCTTTAACCTTGTCAATCTGCAGAGAGAAGATATGGAGGAGGCCATTGCCGGACTTAAGAAGGTTCTCAGGTTAGCCCCCTGATCAAATTCCTGGTTGCTGGCTAAAACATTTCATACATGATGCTTTGAGCAAATTATCATTCATCGCCCAAGTATATGTTTACTTCAACAGATTTGGTGGTCAACCTGAAAGTTAACGCAAAACACATGCAAATACGTAATAATCGGTATTTGAGTACATTGATCACGTACAAATAATAGCAGAGGAAGCTTTTTCACATGCATGATGTTAATTTATGAGTTCACTATACAAAAATCTGGAAAATCCGTATTACAGTACATTTCAATACTCCTTTGATTTCAAAGACCCCCATTTGTTGAGATGAATATGTGAAATTTATGGGTAATGTGAGCGCAGAAGAAAGATATCCTCACTCAGCTTTTTAAAAGTTGTTATACTTGCAGCAGTGAGAAGGAAGAATCAGGCCCCGTTGCATCTGCCAAAGTTGATCAAGTTACCGCCCAGGCGGCATCAACTGACAGCAAACCCTTTGATCCCGTCGAGCACATCAAGCAGGGTTTCATCAAGTTCAAAAAGGAGAAATATGAGTAAGCAATCTTACACTAGACATGTTTCAGATATCTCTCTTATTATGCATTTCATGTTAGCATCTTCATTCGTAACCAACTTTTTCACATGATTCCAGGGCCAATCCAGCTTTGTTTGCTGAGCTTGCCAAAGGCCAGAGTCCCAAGGTACATAAACTTATACGGTATACAAAAAGATTTTCTTTGAATGCATTATGAGTACCTTCTTAACCAAAGTGACGTCAATTTCATCTGCAACAGTACATGATAGTTTCCTGCGCTGACTCTCGGGTTTGCCCATCTGTTGTGCTGGGTTTGGGACCTGGTGAGGCCTTCACCATCCGAAATGTTGCCAATATGGTCCCTCCATATGACCAGGTTACCTAAGATACACCCATTGTCATTTCTGTTCAGTGAAATTAATGATTTATGCCTAACTGCGGTTTGTTCACTTGCATTGAAACAGGTAAAATATGCTGGTGTTGGGTCTGCCATCGAATATGCAGTTCTGCATCTCAAGGTGAACAAAATTATTATCCTAATGCAATTTTTTCAGGGAACTGAAAGTGAAGAAAAACAACTGACAAGTAAATCTTAATAATGGGCATGCAGGTGGAGGTTATTGTGGTTATAGGCCACAGCGCCTGTGGAGGAATTAAGGGACTCATGACTTTCCCAGACGACGGACCCAACTCCACGTAAGTGTTGCATCAATACAAATACACATGCGAGAACAATCACTAGCTTATGGTATTATAGTGTTACTCATACAAAACCTTGCAATTGCAGCGACTTTATCGAAGATTGGGTCAGAATCGGTTTACCAGCAAAACGTAAGGTGAAAGCAGAGCTCGGTGATGCTCCTTTGGCAGACCTGTGCTCATTATGTGAAAAGGTAAGATTCTCAACTCATGATTACAAGCCAACATTAAACAAATGTGACATCATTGAATTACTTCAATTTCGATACAATTATAAAAATTAATGTACGTTTTGTTGGTGAAATCTTTCAGGAGTCTGTGAATGTATCACTTGGAAACCTGCTAACTTACCCATTTGTGAGAGACGGATTGAGAAACAAAACTCTGTCTCTGAAAGGCGGTTACTATGATTTCATCAAGGGATCATTTGAGCTATGGGGACTTGATTTCGGCCTTTCTCCTTCTGTCTCTGTATGAACTGAACCATAAATTCAGTCACGGTCACCCTGTTACATCTTCATTTCCCAGTTCCAAATTTTAACCCCCATAATCTCAGTGTTGTTGTATTTCCCTTCACAAAAAGAGCAGTAATTTAGAGTAAACCTGTAACAGAGATCACTTGTGTTGTCTCAGTTTCTACTAATAAAAAGGGGCTTCCTCTTTTCTTGAAACTGTCAGTAGCCATTCCTTCATCTCCAGTTGGTTTGAATAAGTTCGTCACAGAGTTTTCCTTGCCTTTGCTAGGTAAGGGATGTCGCCACCATACTGCACTGGAAGCTCCATTAAGTAGAAACAGAAACTGGCATAGAGGCTGTCCTGCAAAAGAGGCGCTCTTTTTGTTTTGTAATTTACAAATAAACAAATACTTTATATAACATCTGCAGTTCCTGCAACTTTGTAACCATTGTGCTCTTATTGTTATCTAAGTCACCAGTCCTATATCACATCTCCCCTATCATAACTCTCAAAACTCCAAAAACTCCAACAAACACAAGCGATATTTAAGAGACCCTTCATCTGAAACGTCATAAAAAAAGCACCTGTGACAGATATAATCAACAATATTGATACCTTATTTCGTAAAAAGTACTTAAAAGAAATGCTACGAAGATATAATGCTACTGGCCTGTAACAGTTAACATCATCACAGTATGCAAAGCGTCACACGTAGAGCAACATACTAGTGTCACATGTTAAGAGATGATCATTCACAGTGAGCGATGGTAACCTTTCATACCAACCAGGGTTCTAGCATAGTCATTAATCAGAAGAGTCTTCCGACTGTGAAAAAAGAAAGTAGATTGCTACAATATATACTTCTATTATTTAGCTGTACAATTTACAAGATGGTTATGAAACAATGGATACCATAATTCGCCTTATGATATTCAACTACACACTTGTAAAAAATCACGATTCAATAGGACATGTGAAGTCCTTCCTGGAGGTAACCAATTACAGGCAAAGACCCTGAAACAGTCTATGTCTCATCACTAGGTTTCGGTTCAAGGGTCACTGGGATCTTCTCTATGTGATCATCACGAAGCACTTCAACAGTCACCTGTCATAAGTAACAGTGAGGTTAGTTATTGTATGGTAGTGTTTATGACCTTACAAGAAAAAAAGATCCACAAAAAAAAAAATACGCAACAGTAATCAGCACTCACCTTTTCACCTACTTTACATTGGTCAAGAATTCTGTACAAATCACTACCGTTGGAGACCTTCTTCCCGTTGACAGATACTATAATATCCCCCAAGATAAGTCTACCATAGGCATCACGTTTAGTTGGCTTGAGGCCCTGCCAAAACAGCATGTCAGCTGGTTGCGTCTCAACATTGTTCATATAAGCATAATAAAGAACTAAAAACTAAAAATGAAAGGAGAAGGGCATTAAGGCCAGCGCAGAAACACGGCCATCAACATACAGCTTTTCCAGCAGGGCCATCTGGAGGAGCATCAAGCACAAGAACACCGCTTACCCCCAGTTGCTCTACAGATTGATCAGGTGCAAACTTGATTCCTAAAATTGGTCTGGTAACTTTACCAAACCGCACTATTTGATCGACAATGCCACTAACCTGCATATCATTCGAGCTCAAAATCAGTTTCCTACCTTCTCTTAGAACATTAGAGCTCAAAATATGTTACTGGTATTTAACTTCCTCATCTAGTATCCATTAAGATTGGTCACCTTAAAACCACCAGTATGAACTTACTGTGTCAACAGGAATTGAGAATCCAACACCAGAAGAAGCACCAGAGGGAGAATAAATAGCTGTATTGATCCCAATAAGGCTCCCTGAACTATCAAGAAGAGGCCCCCCACTGTTACCGGGATTTATTGCTGCATCTGTCTGGATGACATCTTGAATTGGACGGCCAGTGGCAGCGGAACTAATTTCTCTTCGAAGGCCACTACGTGGAGTAAAAACAAAATACGGTTATGAAGAATTATGCAAAAGAAAAGAAGTGTCTTCTTTCACTAGGTCATGATTCAACTGAACCAAATGGAGGGGACAAGTTTAACACTTAGTCAAAAGAATGGATCTTTCCAATAGAATATGAAATTTATTGCTCTCTTCATGGGTTCTGTATGTGAAGTGATATTAGCCAAACCCAGTCCTTTAAAAAGGCCAGTAATAAAAAATTAAAAGAAAAATAAAAAAAATTCACAGATAAATTCGTTGATTTCGACAAAGAGCCAAAGCAATATACCTGATAACACCAGTGGTAAGTGTATGGTCGAGTCCAAACTGCAAAACAAGATATGGAAACATGCTAATCAGTACAAACACAAAAGGAAAAAAAAAAAAAAAAAAAGAAGAAGAAGAAAGAAAGAAAAACCACGACAAGCTAGGTAAAACATTTAGTTTATGATGAATCCAAAAGGAATCAGAAAATGATTATTTCTTTTAGGACCTGACCAGTAAGGACGAGAGGTTGAAAAGAGAAAACTACGGAGCAGTGATAAATCTACTGGATTTACGCCATCACCTATTTAATTAGTCTATGTTAAGCTTCATGCATCAGACGACTGTCACAAATTTTCACTCATGACCCAAAAAAACAAAATCCCCAAGCTTCATAGTCAATTTTCAACATAAGTTACATAACAGCAAATAAAGAATACTAGATAACAAATAGAGGATTTCTGTACTGACCGGATTTCCAATAGCAAAGACTTTTTGGCCAACGAGCAAGTCTGCAGATACGCCAACTGGAATAGGTCTCAACTTTTCTTTTGGGGCACTGATCCGCAGAACAGCGACATCTTTATCTTGATCGGAACCAACAACTTTTGCATCATAAGTGCTTTGGTCAGCCAAAGTGACCCTAAACATGACTAACGCCAGGTTATTGCAAGACACAAAAAGATACTAGAACCTTTATTCTAATTTCTTCTCATATACATAACGTACATAAAAAACGGATATGATCAGCCTACAGCCACTACAATTTTGTTACCACATTCTAAACGGATATCATCTCACAATGTCAACGCAGTACAAGACTACTGCAAATTTTTGTGCGAGCATGTTTCTGAATTTCCGCCGCTTCTCCTCTAAGATATATGTATAAACACGTTGTTTACACTTTGCAGACAAACAACAGCGGAACTTATGAAGAATTAGAGGAAAGTAACCAACCTAAGATCAGATGCACCTCGAATCACATGATAGTTGGTGACAATATGACCATCCTTATCCCACACGAAACCCGATCCCGAGCCTTGGGGTACCTCAAAAATGTCCAGCGTGAATGCGTCCTGTCTGGAGCAAAAGTTGAATAGAACCAAAACCAAGCAGATTCTTCACAATTCGAACATTTCGAAAAGTGAAAAATTCAAATTAAAAGTGGTAATAAATACTTACTTGGAAGCCAGATTAGTGATGTAAACGACAGAAGGCGTGTTTTCCTGAAAGAGGCGAACCGTAGCCAGCTCATCGGATTGTAACTTCCGCGGTGACGTTACAACGAACGCCGATGCCGGACCAACATCGACTACAAGTAGAGACAAAGATAACGCCAGGGAAGTGCAGGCAACGAATACCGGTTCCAATAGTTTTCTGATTCCATCACTTTCCTGGGAGTCGACTGTAGAACAGCGGGAGCTGGAGGTACAGTTGGCATTACTGCTGAGAGCGCACACAATCGGACTTCGGATTCCGTAGCTGCTACGAAGTTTGCTGCAGTAGGAAGCAGCTTTAAACAGGGAGAAGGTGGTAATCGTACAAAGAGTCGGAGTAGGCCGGGATAAGGCCGCCGGAGATTGCGTCGCCGAGACAAGTGAATGTGAAAAAACAGCCATTCCCAAAGTGACAGCTACGCACCCGGGATTCACTTCTTACAGGGGAGAAAAGAGAAAAAGAAAATATATGTGGACGTTCCGAATTGTAATCCTGTGTGTCAACCCACACTAGTGATTGTTACACTCGCAGTGTGGCAAAGACATTTCCGGGTCCCACTGATTAGAATTGGCGAATCGACGTCCCACAATTTATCATCCAATACCATAGATTATTTCACAGAAATAACGACGAGGATGGTCACGTTATATTCTAGTGTCATCAGCAGAAGGCTCAAACCTTTTAGAAGAATCTAGTATTTGTTTGTACACATCATCAAATTCCCATTGCTCTGCTGATAACTCAATCATATGCACTTCCAAGTTCAAAGTTCAATCTTCAGCCATCATCACTTTGCAACAAAAGTTCAGGGACGGACGGATGGTTCCATTATCGGAAGGAAAGCAGGAAAAGAATAAGATAAACAATGCTAACACCTAAACCTACCATAAACAGGAATGAATGTCTTGAGATTTGTTGTCAATCATGTTATTACAAAAAAAAAACTGAACTAATATGGTTACTACAAAATTTGACCCAGGGGTCTCAGTTCCCTGGGTATGCCATCAAAATTCCCGGAATTTACGTCAGATTGAAGCATGGGTCTCTTCCCCATCTTCCAATGTATGCCTTCCGCGAGATGCTCTTTGTTAGGTGTCAACATTACAAAATTCGGATCAGCTCTCTGATAACTGCATTCCCAGGAAGCACAAGGTTTATGGATTGTAGCATCAAAGATTGCATTAGCAAAGAATGACAGACAACAAGAAAACCAACCTTGCTTCTCTGAGATTGTCCACACGAATGCCGAAACCAAAAGATGTTTCTCCTTTGGTACGGTCTCTGGTTGCTGTTAGCCAATAAGAAAAGTATGGTCAGAGATATTCTTTTGACTTATGTTCAGGAGGGATGTGCCCATGCAATTTGTGGACCATACATCACGAAATCTATTCGCAAAGCTTATACACGCAGCACAAAATATTATGCGGCTGGAGAAACAGAATAGGGTCAAAAATCCCCAGCTATCCTCGAATCCCAGTGCATGCAGCTTAAACACTAGTACATAACACGATTCAGTTGTATCCCATTTGTCACTCTGAACTAACAGATACAAGATAGTATCTCAAAGATAAAGTCAAGGTTTTTTTGTCCATACAATGAAATGGAAAAAATTACCTGATATATTGAAAGTAAAAGATGGTTTCCACCAAGACTTGAAAGCTAAAGCCACTGAGGAGCTCAGAGGTCCCAACTTCCCCTGCGAAGATGTAAGAGCCACAAAATTTTAACTACAGTACACCATAATACAATGCCAATCCACAGCGTAAGACAACCATGCTACTCCGTATTACCTTAAGCAAGAAGTTTTTATTGGCTTGCCAAGATGCAGCAACTTGAAAAGAAGAATCTTGAATACTATTCGGTTTCTTCTCATCATCAATCCTTCATCGAAAAGGATTGCAGAAGCTCATTTGATGCTTCTTCGTGGTAATTATGTTTACATAACACATCAAACTTAAAATTAACAGTACCTTGTCTGCAACTCAAAACCAAAATCAATGTAATTGGTGATTCCAACCACTTCATTTTCTTCAAATGGATTTTTCACCTATAACATTGTATAGAATAAGCTCAATAAGTAGTTCGTAGATTCAACATTCAATTACCAATATAAGCGAAACAAATAACGGAAGAGCTGCCCAAATGTCGGTATCAATTTGAAAAAACAGAACGCAATATGCCTTCATACGAAAACTAAAGTCTTCAATTAAGTAACAATGCAAACTTTAAATTGGGTTCGAGCGAGAGGAAGAAAAAAGCCATACTCGTCGTTGGACAACCACGTGCTGATAGAATGAGGCAATAAACTGCAAAGGTTTTGCAAATCAAAATGTAAGTGATACAAGTAGAAAACATAAATCAAAACCATGTAGTTAGTATATAATTTTAACAGGGATCAAAAGTGGGATAGAATAGTAAACAAGCATGTAATACACTGATACTCCACTAAAGTAAGATGATGACCATGACTGACCTGGGAATTTTTGGCTAATTCGAGACCAAAATTGAAAGAGGGACTCAGGGGACTTCCAGAGCCTAACCCATATCCAATAGCACAGCTCCAATTAGCTAAATTTTTATATTTTGCCACATCCTTGCTTCCAACTACATCAAAAGAGCGAATGGCAAATAATCATGCATTCAATTGTTCATCAAAGTTTGATACATGGAAATAAAATGTGAGGTGACTCATGTGCATCTAATATAAGAGAAAGTTTGGATCACATTTCTCATGCTAGCTACCAGAATATCTATATATATATATGTAGAGAGAGAGAGAGAGAGAGAGAGAGAGAGAGAAAGAGAGAGAGAGATATTCTAGCCATCTTACATTTGGGTTCATATTGGACTCCTGCTGTCAGCCGTCCCATTTTGCTCACCAGCCAAGCACTCTTTGGAACTTCATCTCCCACTACACTTAAACATAATATCACAAGTCTGCACATACAATTTACGGAAAGAAATCCACAACCTTTCAACCTTAGAGAGTTCTTCTTGTGCATTTTTGTACATTAGCCAACAAAAGGAGAAATTGATAATGTTCTTTTGCATCAAAACTAGGGAAAAAATGCCAAACAGGATGGCTGACCCTAAATCCCATGCCTCAAGTTTATATACCAGAAAAGGCATCAGCATATCAACTAAGCAAAGAAAAAATGTACTAAATGCAAGAAACATAAGCCATACAAAGGTGTTAGAGTCAATTACGAACTTGAGAAAGGATGAACAGTAGCTCCCACTGACAAATTTGATGACCCATATCGCAAACCCATAACACCGTAATCTTCAGAAGATACTCTGCATTACAACCAATATGGTCAACAAATGGGTGCAGGAGTAAATCAAAACTAACTGAATTCATGTAACTGTCAATATACCTTTTCTTTAAAAGCACCGGGAAGATGCCAAAAGCTCCAAAACCAAATCTAGGATAATATGCACATGACCTTAAAAGCAAAATCCTATAAACAGAAAACCATATGCTTAGAAGGGAAGTTCCTCACCGCTCACCAGGAAAAAGCACAGAAAAGTAAGCCTATAAATGGAAAATATCAGTCCTTACGGTTCAGAATTTGATACGAAAAGGTCCATGAATGTATGGGGATCATCAACGTCACTGCAAGAAACATAAGTGTTGGTTGAGAATAACCCTGAAACTGAGTTTGCAGCAGATTATGCAAAAATAGTACTGAATTCGAAAGTACCTTTGCCAACGAAATTGTGCATTCCCCACAATGTTCTCCTCAGGTTTGTGATCTAGTGGACCTGCCACCTAAACATGCTAAGGAACAAATAATCCACATTCGACTACCATGGCAACCATTGTACTCGAGAAACCAAAAATTCCCAACTTATAACATAACCATCATTTGAGACCAGACTTAAGACTACTAAAAATGAAAAGGCAAATTGGAGCTTAAAGTTTGTACCACAAAGGCATAAAAAAGCAGGAAAGTAATTCGGTTCACCATCACTTTTCGCTTAATCCAAACACATTAACAACTCCATTTCATGAACAGCTTAAAGCAGTTAATCTAACATTCAAGTAGGCGCCAATAGCATCATCCAATTAGGATTAAATTGCAAGTATAAATTGGCAAAAGGCTTTGACTAAGTAAGAAACAATAGACTGGTACTAGGATACAGTAGCAATCAAATCAACGTGGGGATCGTCAATCGGCTTAAGCATTATCCTGGTGGTGAAATGGCGGGCGTCCTCAAAGTAATCATCGAACAAACACCTAAGTGCAAGTTTACCGAACAACAAGTTGTACGATGGTTCCAGCATCCTGCATGGGGACCCAACAACAACAACAAATTTAGAATTACGGTTTCCGAACAAAGAAATAACAAACACTACAACTTAATTGGGTCCAGTGCAGGTAATAGGGTATTCAAAACAACCTAGTACGAGCAGCGAGTGGAGGAAAATCGAATAGCGGAGGAACCAACACCATTGGCGGTGGTGGTTCTTTGGTGGACAGCCAGTTTCCCATCTCAATTCTTATCCGTGCTCAATCAATGTCGACGCCGGACGATCAAGTTGGCAACGAATTATTCGAGAGTGCCTTCAGCGAGTTCAACAAATTTAACTTGTATTTCTTTTTGGTGGGGAAAAAAAAAAAAAACACCCTTCTATATGAACCTGAAATCTCTGAATCAAGCTGTTTAAAATCCTAACCTACCGTCGCTATGGAGCCGAAAATCGGGAAGCGCATCAATCCGGGAGCCGACGACCGATTCAACATATCGAGATTCATAGAACTGAAATTTCAGATTGTAGTCTTCGGTGACGTGGCGGCAGAGGGAGCGTCCGCGTTTTTCGAATTTTCAGTTTGCTGGAAGTCTAGAACGTAGAGGAATAACTACGCTTTCTTCCATTGTTCCGACTGTAACTTGGAAACGCTTACCTCTTTAGTAAGCGGGAGTACAGCGACTTTACTATTAGTAAAATAAAGAATAATGATATGTACAAGAAAAAAATGACAAGGAAATATTACAAAGAAATGATCATGGTTATGCATTTATCTATAGTATATACTAGTGATGTCTGGTCGCGCACCTGGCCCAATATATTTGTAGATCTTATAAATGTTTGTATCTGGAAAAAAAATATTTTGTATTTGGCCAGATATATTTCAGAAATATTTGAAGAATTTTAGAAATGTTTTATAAGTGTGATGTTTGTATTTAGCAAAAAAATAAATTGTATTTGGCCCAGTACGTTTTAGAAATGTTTGAAGATTTTAGAAATATTTTATAAGTCTTACTTCTTAAATATAAATAAACTTGATCAAATATATGTCTTGGAGTAAATGCTAGACAAAATATAAAATCATCCTAATAAGTTTAAATATTATTAAGCTAATTTATTGATTTTCTTCATTGGTTGTGCCAAATCAATACTTAGTTTTGGAGATTTATAATATCTTTGTAGTTAGCTTCTTCCAAAGGGTATACGCTTAATTGTTGTAACTATTTCTTTCAAAAGTTTATAGGTAGTAAAATATCAAAAATATGATTTTGAAACTGGTTAATTGTTGAAACCGGTTGATCACAAATATGATAATGAAAATAATATAAATTTGCATAGGTTTCAAGATATAGCAAAAAGAACTCACCTCACGATGGCAAATAAAAAAAAAGTAAAAGATACCCATTAAAATTTGAGAATTTTTTTTTCTGTAGGTAAAAATGATGTATAAAAATACAAATAAATGTAGAAATATCATTCCTTCCCTCTCCACCTCAAATTCATAAAAGGATTCCCCATAAATTAGTTAAAAGAAGCGATCTGAAGAGGAACTAAAAAAAGTCTAAAAACCAAATCCAAAAAAGTATATTCTTGAAATCCCAAACACAAAAAAAAAAAAGAGAAGCGTGCTTCATTTGCAAATAAAATAATAATAATAATAATAATAATAATAATAATTGGTCAACTGAGAGTATTAAACAAAATCAAAAGCAATTAAACAAAGAAAAAACACACTTCATAAATGGCCATATACGAAAAAAAACCTGAGACTCCATAATTAAAAAAAAAGAAAACCACTCTAATTGAATGAAACATAAAAAATAAATTTAAAAAACCACACTTTGTAACAAAAACCTAATTAATCAATTCAATCCAAACATAACTAAAATCATACAAAAATTCTAGGCTAACTAACCAAATAAGAAATCACATCATACTACCTGACAACGGCTACGGAATCTGTAACGGATAGACACATAAAAATAATAGTAATAATACTATTCTTGAACGGGAAAAAAATAATAATAAAAGCCAAACCAATGATCTGTGGAAATAAAATCATTTAAATTTTAATACTTGCAATGGCACCACCACAACGGCCGAAGCAAGATCAATGAGAATTTTTTTTTTCCTTTGTGTTTATATAGAGAGGTAAAGAGAATATTTTTTTAAGTTAAAATTTTATCCGATTAAGATGAGTTGATCATCACTAATGAAAAGATTGAATATGCTAATAGGAAAGGAGTACATTTTACCATATATTCTCAATTGATGATTGATGAGAAATATGAGTCGATTGTCATGGGGATGAGGATGAGGATTTGGGTTTTTTATGAACCCGTTGTTTTTTTTCTTTTGTTTATTTTGACGAAAATAGGAGGTGGAAGTGAATTTAGACTGCATTTACCTTTTAAATTTAGGAGATGTGGTAATAAAAATTTATTTTAAAAATATGATGTGGAGATGTGGTAATAAAAATTTATTTTAAAAATATGGTGCTTTATCTCAAGTGTGGTTTTTGTTTCAAATATAGTAAGATATTATTATTATTATATATATTTACTTAATTAAAGTAGCATACAAGCAGCTGATGAGTCAGCACCAGAATGGAAATTTTTCCACAAAAAGCCATTTTAGTACAAAATCATTTTTGACATGTAGCACTATAACTATTCAGAAAAAAAAGATGGATAAAATAAATAAATAAATTCTTTAATTATAGGTCTATAGTAATTCCTTAATTATAGCTATATACTAATCATTTAAAACAATAAACTTGAATTGATAAAATCAAATGTAAAAAAATCTCCTTAAATCACGTGAAACATTACTGCGAGTAACGCCTTCTCAATCTCCTTAAATACAAAATAGTTAAATTAAAATTGACTCTAGCAATAATTGGCTCAATCAAATAGATAATACATCAATAAAGTATTTTTGCTCAATGTAATACAATTGGCTTAATGAAAATAAAGGTGATCCCCGTAATTTATTTGCTACAACAGACAATTGGCTCAATCAAGAAGATACAAATCCTTAAAATTTAACTTAAAACATAGTAACGGGAAAACCAAGGAAATTCCATCATATTACCACGGGAGATTAATACCGGGGGAGCAAAAGATGACCAGCTCTCTATTATGACAATCAAGATATTGTATTCAAGAATTCTAACACCGAATATTTATTTGTTAGTTCAAAAGATATTATCTCAGTAGTATTGTAATTTGTTATTAGCCAAAGGGCATGGCCCGCAGGTAAAAAATAAAAGATATTTTTTTAAAAAAATTAGAATTGTATAAAAAAAAAATTATTTACTTACATGTACAAAATTTAACGTTATCGTGATATGTGTTGTAATATTATATTATACATACTAGTACTCTAAAATATACCATTTCACTATTATTTTTGCATTTAACAATTTTAAGAAACAGAGGTTATGACATAGTTTAGATGTTGACACATCATTTTTTTGTTAATTTTTCTTGTCATTTTTTCCTGACTAAAATGTCCAAATTGTCTGGCTTACTTGATTTTATATCCCTAACATTAACATTTCAATATCGTAGTCCCAAACATTATGTTGTCACACTTTTTATGGTCCCATTTCACTGTTTCGACAACTTTTCTGTCCAACTCTATGTTGACCGGCAGATGACATGCCAGAATCAGGGGTATTTTTATCTTTTTATATAATTTGAACTTCCATTAAAATTTAAATCATTAAAAACAGTATAAAAATTCACATTTATTATTTAATTGTTGAAATATTATTTATTAATTTAATATATTATTTTAAAATTTTAAAATTTAAATTATTTTTGAAGTTACTTTTTTCTTTACCAAAGTAAATGTTAATTATGTTGCACATTTAACCCCAACCAACTGTAATTTTAAAAATTTACCGAGTCACAGTAAATAATTCAAAATTCAAAGTTTTTTTAAAAAACAAAACCTTGATTTTTGACTTGGACTGCTACGATAAATCTTGAGTTATTTCTAAAATTTCAAAATTCAAACTTTAAAAAAAAAATGCAAGAAAACTGTGGGGTGAAAATACGGATAAAAAATGGTTTATATAAGTTTTTAGCTTAGTTATTGCTTTGAATTGAAGATATAATTTAAAATATGGTTTTAGTGAAAATTCAAAAAGTTGTTGGGATAGAAATTTAAATAAAATAATATTATTTTTACACCACCACCTCCACACCTCCACCATTGTTGCCCGCCGCCGGACCACCTTCTGCAGTCGCCGGGCCATTCGCCAGCCGGCCAGAATCTCGCTGGAATATATTATTCTTTTTTTTTTTTATACCTATCACTACTCTTTAAAATAAAATACTTTTTTAGTCTCAAAATTACTGTCCAGTTTCATTTTTATTTTTAGATAGAATTGTTTTAAAAGTGAAATCTCAAACTGTAAAAGTGAAAACCCAAACTGGACAATAATTTTCGAACTAAAAATTAAGATTGAAATGGACAATAATTTTAGGACAGATGAAATAGTAAAATACAGGAATAAATTGTATTCAATCTTTTAACATTGTTCGCCCTAAAAGAAAATAGTTGTTTTTCAATTCATCACCACATCTAATAACAATGCCAAAAACCACAATGGCCAATGTCACATTTGTGATAATCTATAGTCAAGGCCGAACCACAACTTGTCTAGTTCATGACTAATTGATGTCAGAATTCCAGCCACAGTCGGGGTAACTTGGGTGGAATGACGAAATTCATTATCACTGGTGATGACTTTGAAAGTTTTTTTTGGTCATAATGTTGTTCATACTAGTTTCTGAAGTGAATTTGATAAGCTATTAATTATCTGTTTTTTTTTTTTTTTGTTTTATTTTGGGACCAGAGGAAAATTTTCATTTGTATAATTTGGTTATAAGTTGAATGATTTCTTCTTGGTGATGCGTTATAATTTGAATGTTATTTTGCTGCAAAATCTGACACGTTAACATTGAAGATTTTATAGTTTCATAACCGTGAATCTCCTATTATTAAGTGAGCACATACCATGGTACCAATGTTTCCAAGGTGTTAGAAAATTTGTACAGCAACGTTTGTCAAATTGGCAGACACATGAAAAATAATGTAAAGGTGGATAGAGATGGTTTACCGATATATAGAGCGAAGAATGACATATCATCTAGTGTATATATTACTTTTTCCGATTCTTAATATAAGGTATTTTGATTTGTCATATATTTAATTTGATATTTATATTTTGATAAAAAAACTTAAAAGTATTTACTAACAATCAAGAGAAAACAACGAATGTGAAATATATTTTTAAGCTGTTTTTTTTTTTATAAAAAATATATATTAAGTGAAATATAGAATAAATCAAAATGTCTTATATCAAGGATGGGAGGAATACTTATATAGCCACTCAAGTATGTGAAACTCTCATTTGGCATTTCGGGAAGGACTTTGGCTGCGTACGTGGTCCACCGACCACAGTACAATCGGAATCTAATAAATTGTTGTTTACCATAGTGATGGCTGGATAAAAGGAATCAATTGTTTTGTCTGGTTTGAATCTGGCCACGTTTCTCAGGTTCAACTGGATGGATTCTGGAGAATTGAAAGAAGTTCCATCCTAACCTAAAAGGCCAGAATGATGCAGCTCGGGCTGCATCTTGTAATAAGTAGTACTGGTCAATACGCAAGTTTTATAATAAACTGACCTTTGGGACTTCTTAAAATGGGAGGCATTTTCCTTCAAGGAATGTATTTTTCAGCATTTGGTGGACAGGTACTTCATACCAATCCCAGGATGAAAGCGTCCACAAGAAATTTGAGTGGCACTGCAAAATTATATAGCCCATATTTACGAAAACTGCCGGAACTATAAAATTTTATAATCCAAAATGAAAAATAATCATAAAAAAAAAGCTACATAAAAAAAAAAATTTAAAAATTATTGCTTATAAATTACTAAAATTTTTTCTCAATGTACTGGGAATTTTATTGCTAATGATACCTCAAAGGCTTTTTTGAAAATGGGAAAAAGACAGTTCACACTTCACCCAAAGTCCCAAAGTCCCAAAGTCATCATCTTTCATTACATTACCAGGGAAGGATGGGCCAGAAATTATGTGGTGGGGAGTAAAAATTTTTGATGGGAAGATTCAGGGTCGCAATCGAGTTTGCAACAATAATAATGTCAATGAATATAAAAATAAGAACACGATTCTGGGTAGACTCTCCTTTGCCGCCAGTTGAAAGTTGGTAGGGCACACAAATTCCTAGCCAACCGTTGTGGGATTTAAAAGTTACGAGAAGAGAAAAAAAACAAAAACCAAAAACATTTTAGAATTAGAATTGGTTTTTGTCTCCCTTCCCTTTAGTGGCCATTCTTTTTCCCTAAAAAAGCGCATTGAGCCCATAGACACGTAATAATTGCTGCTTTACAGTACTTCAAATTCTAGAGTCTCGACTGAAAATGACAAAAATTACATCATTGAACCTTTCATCTCACGAAAATGCCATTAGAGAAGTAGCATTTTTTTTTTTTTTTGAAGAATTGTTTGTTTCTTCTTCCACACTATTTTGATTCGCAATGTATCGCTACGCGGCAATGTGTATGATTTGAGTTATTAAAAAAAAAAAAATCATAATTTCCCAAAAATCGATCAAAATGCAAAATATTTTTCAACGCTATGATTTGGTTACATATTTCTATGAACATTCTTCCCTCTTAGATATAATTAGGTGCGCAATTACAAGGAACATGATGATACGAATCTGGATCTTGATTTTACACGTCCCTTTGCTTTATTGACCATGTTCAACCACCACCACCCGTATGCTTTTTCTAGACCTTAGATTTAATTCATCAGTGAGCCTCCTCATCATCTTCACTTGATGGCTGCTGCACTTTTTCTAACCTCCATACAATGCTAATGAGTTTCTAACTACTCTTTGTTCCCCGTTTTCAACATCAAACGCAACTGGTTTTGGACCCTTCGGTACAATAATTTATTGTTCTTTTTTTCACTTTTCGTTTTGCGAATCCAAATAGAAGATATACCAAAAAGATAAAAAGGCACTAGTATTGAGATGCATGACATAAACACTCATTAACTAAATAATGTAATAATAAAACTTAAAAAGCACCAGTAAAAATCAACACATATTTCGTCCAAGTAATGAAAGCACTCAAATAATTAACTTGAGTGTGATATGGTACATAAACATCGCAGAAGTATTTGATGAGATACCATATATTACTCCAAAAAATTTATTCTCTCTGTCCCAAAATTATTGTCCAGTCTAAAAATAAAAATTTAAACTGGACAATAATTTCCAGAGCGGAGAAGTATAAGCTTGGATAGTTTTGTTGCCCAAACTCGTGATTATTACCTCGCATTTGGAAAATGGGAATACATGTTCGGAGAATTTTGCTCCGAATCCAATTCAAATTAGATAAGATACCTAAGGAGAATTTTTTTTTTTTTTTCCAAAAAAAAAAGAGGGATAGAGAACGCATAAAAGGGTAAGGGTGAGGAGAATGGCGCGAAGTTCAAGGATGCTTCCTGAACCAAAGTCAGCTGTGGCGACTCGGGGAATAATAATATAGTCCAAATACACATTGCCCAAATTAACCGTTGCAATTTGCCAATTCTCCATACTCCCGCCCTCCGGCCTCTCTTCCCTGCCTCTCCATTCCTTTTCCATCCTCGTTATTAATTTTTGTTTTTTTTTTTAACCCAATTTTTTTGGTTTTGTTTATCCGCCAAAATTTCTCATTTGCCATCAAATAAATGCTCTCTGTCTCACCACCAACGCCAATTCCTCCTCCCTTCCTCTCTGCCTAAACAAGCAAGCTTACACCTGCATTGAATTCCTACAATTGTACCCGGTGTTGATTTGGAGGGCTGCTTCTTCTCCTTAATCCAATTCTCCGATTCCGAGAAACCCATCTGACTGGGCTTAAGCTTTGTCAAAGTAAGCACTTTACCGTTTTATTTGGTTTAATCATCTCGTTTCTCGTGCCAGATTTTTACGTTACCCTGTTTCGTCTATTCTCCGGATGGTTGATTTCGTCCTTTTTAATGTTTTTCCCTGGATTTCTCTTGTTGGTTGATCTTTCTTGGGTTCTATCTCATTTTGGTGAGAAACGAAAAGACCCCTGAAGGATTCTTTTCTTCCTCTTCTTTTTGTCTTTGTTTTTTGTTTTTAACTTTTTCGTAGGTTGTTGTCTTTGTTAGATTGGTTGTGCATGCATCAAGACGTGTGTTCTAAATTTCTTCTATTTCACCTTTGAATTATTATTAGGGAAGCACTGCCAACCAAGATCTGGCCTTTTCGGCTAAAAGAGAAAGAAAAAAAAATAATAAAAAAAAACCCTCAGAAACCTTGATCCAGAAATCTCGAATATGTTCATTGATTACGATTCCGTGTCACCATTTATAATTAAAAGAAGTTTCTTTTGCTTCACCTTGTACTAAGGACTAGCAATTTAGCGTCACCAATGCCAGAAGAGGCCTTAAACTGATGTATCCCTGGTTTAATGTATGAACTTTACAAGAGTTTGTACTCTGAAAGCTTTAGTTTTTGATGGTCTGCACTTGATGTTTGAGAGGCCTTAAACTGATGTTTGGTTTTTGATGTTTGCATTTGAACTTGTGATGTGCAGAAGTGTTGCTATGGCCACAATAGCTCAAAGTAATGTATCTTTGCACTGCGGGAGGCAATTTAAAAAGGCACATGGTTGCAGACAAGCTTATTTCGTATCTGGTGTAGCTTCCCCTAGATGCATGCAGAAAAATTTGTCATGGTATGTCCTGAAATTTATTGGATTCTATGATTTTTTTTCTTGTTCCAATACCTCAATCTTTACTCCGTTTTTTGTTTTTTGTTTTTCTTTCAAATGCTACCACCTGTTCAAATGATATATACCTGAATATGGTTTATTTGCCCCCCAGATGAGTAGAACCAAAATTTGTTGGTATGTTGGAAGTTGAAGCTATGACTCGGTTTATTAACCCACTTGGCTACACTTGTTATTCATTTAAAGATTTTTTTTGTCTTCGATTCCCTTTCAACTTTAAAATGCCAATTGGGCTTCAGTCTCATTCTTCTTTTTTAGTAAAGAAAAATGTCAGAGCATCACATGTTTCATAGTTTTGAGCTTGCGTATTTGTTTAAGGAAGGACGATCCTTTATTGGATTCTATATTTCAGGTCATGTGGTGTATCCAAGGCCTTTGAAATTAGCAGTAGCCGTAATCTTCAGTTATACATAAACCACAATTGCAAAAACTATAGAAGAGCAATCCTATCAGGCATTAGAAATGGGTCCACCAAGTACTTTGATTTTGCGGTTATTGGAAGTGGAGTTGCTGGCCTTCGATATGCTCTTGAAGTTGCAAGACATGGTACAGTGGCGGTTATAACTAAGGCTGAACCGCATGAGAGCAACACGAATTATGCACAGGGTGGTGTCAGTGCAGTGCTGTGTCCTTCTGATTCAGTGGAGAGTCATATGCATGATACAATTGTAGCTGGTGCTTACCTTTGTGATGAGGAAACTGTTAGAGTAAGTCCTTTAAATTTCAAGTGTGACCACTCTCCTGATTATTTTGTACCTATGTCAAATATTATTGAGCTCGTTTGGATGGAATTTATGCTCTTATTGTAATGAAATGACAAATAACTGGTAGAGCTATCGATCTTGACATTTATAACCTTCAACATGAGTTATTATATGTAACAGATTTACTAGGCTCATTGTTTGTGGTTTCGAAATGATTCTAATTCATAACTTCCACTTTCTTCAGGTGGTTTGTACTGAGGGACCTGACAGAATCAGAGAACTAATTGCCATGGGAGCTTCATTTGATCATGGAGAAGATGGGAATTTGCACCTCGCAAGGGAAGGTGGTCACTCCCATCGTAGGATTGTTCATGCTGCTGATATGACTGGGAGGGAGATAGAGAGAGCTCTACTGGAGGCAGTTCGCAAAGATCCTAATATCTATATGTTTGAACATCATTTTGCAATAGATTTGTTGACTTCACAGGTATATATTACTGTTCGAGCTAGTTTTTATCTATATTTTTGAACAGTATGACCATTGAGTATTTATGGGCTGCATAAGACAAGTTTGAGATTTTGGTTTGCAGGATGGTTCCGAGGCTGTTTGTCATGGTGTTGACACTTTAAATACAGAAACCCTGGAGGTAGGAGAAATTTCTAATCGCTTGATTACCTTTGCAGATCTAACTGTGATCCATTTTCGGTGGAGTGCTGATGGCTGTGCTTTGGCTACTCTTTATCTTTAGGTTGTTAGATTTATCTCTAAAGTGGTATTGCTTGCTTCTGGCGGAGCGGGACATATTTATCCGAGTACTACTAATCCTCCGGTATGGTTTCTATTTTTTATCCTCATGTATGGTGCTTTGCAGTACTACAAGTAAACTTAGTGGGAAACCTTTACCTAGAGGGGAGCAAGGAGAAAGGACAATGTTTATAGCTTTAATCATGAATCAAATTTTCCGATATTGGGGAGTTAACTTGAGCTTATTGTCACAGGTAGCCACTGGTGATGGGATTGCTATGGCCCATCGAGCTCAAGCTGTAATTTCCAATATGGAGTGAGTAGTTCTTTGACTGAGTATACCTTGAGCATACTTTAACCAAATCATTGTCCACACGCAACACATCTTGACAGTAGACTTAATATTATATTTTCTGGAAACTACTTGAATTGCTTGAAATCTAAAGTGACTAAAATTTCTAGAAGATTATTGTAGTGAACCTTGAACTTCTGTTGTATAGTAATATTTCAGTTTTCTTGGTTCTGCTCAGGGAGTTGGTACTATTTTTCTAAAGAATGGTGTTTGTTTATTCAGATTTGTTCAGTTTCATCCAACGTCATTAGCTGATGATGGCCTTCCAATTAGACCAAACAAGGCCCGAGAGAATGCCTTTTTAATAACTGAAGCTGTCAGGGGCGATGGTGGCATTCTATACAATTTGGACATGGAAAGATTTATGCCTTTCTATGACGACCGGGCAGAGCTTGCTCCAAGGGATGTTGTGGCAAGAAGTATCGATGATCAGCTCAAGAAGCATAACGAGAAGTATGTGCTTCTTGATATCAGTCACCAACCCAGCGAAAAGATTTTATCTCACTTTCCCAACATAGCTGCCGAGTGCCTCCAATACGGCTTAGACATTACCCAGCAACCAATCCCAGTTGTCCCTGCAGCACATTACATGTGTGGTGGAGTTCGTGCTGGCCTTCAGGGAGAGACCAACGTTAGAGGTCTTTATGTTGCTGGTGAAGTGGCATGTACTGGTTTACATGGAGCCAATCGTCTGGCCAGCAACTCTTTGCTTGAGGCGCTAGTTTTCGCACGAAGAGCTGTGCAGCCCTCAGTTGATCACATGAAGATGTCTGTTAAAGGTCGCAGCGCCTTGGAGGGTTGGGCTAAGCCCATTGTTCCAAGAGCACTTGGGAATGCTGTATTAAGCAATATAAATCGCAGGACGAGAGAAGTAAGGAAAGAACTGCAATCAATCATGTGGGAGTATGTCGGCATCGTGCGTTCGACAACCAGACTGCAAACAGCCGAAATGAAAATCGGGGAGTTGGAGTTGGAATGGGAAGCATTCTTGTTTCAAAATGGTTGGGAACCAACAATGGTCGGGCTCGAGGCTTGTGAGATGAGAAACCTCTTCTGTTGTGCCAAGCTGGTGGTGAGTAGTGCACTAGCCAGGCGGGAAAGCCGTGGCCTTCACTACACCATTGATTTTCCGCACGTAGAGGAAAGCAAGAGATTGCCGACCATTATTTTTCCTGGGTCTCCTCTTAGTAGCACTTGGAGCTCCCGGCAGTTACAGAGACAGCCAGTATGTCCAAAGTATTGACTTCAATTGTTGCTGCCAAATTGCTTGGTGCGGACATTAATAGTATAGATACTGTAGTTACACTTACACCTACATTTAGTCTCAGATGTCAAGTATATGAAATTCAAGTGTACGCCAATTTTCACCCTTGTAATTCTTTGCATTGCCCTTGCAAGCTTGTTAAATGATCTTCATATCCATTAGTATCTACGCAGATGACTTTTCAGTCGAATAGTCTATGGGAATGCATTTTCGGGGTAGTTGGGAAAATAGAATGTCTTAGATTGCTAGCAAAGCAGATGAGAACACCATGTAACAAATCTCTTTACGGGGGAACTAAATCATTTTTGTTTGTATCTTAGCGAGGGAATGATTTGGTGATTATACGACTGCAATTAAGTGGTGCAAAGTGTTCTACAGAATTAGAAAAAGAACAGTGCTTTCATTGTCCAGGTCCAGGGTCTCAAAGTAGCCTATCCTTATCAATGTAATGTTTACACTTAACAGAAGAGGAAACATTGAGTGAAGCAAAAACTCTTGCGCCAAATTTACATGTTTCAGTGAAGGAAGTCAATTTGTTCTGTTTCAGCTGTGGGGCATCAGTCAATCAGTCATCACATCACCCCAAATAATACTCACTTTTAGTCTATGCTTCCAAACATAATGGCTAATCTTTAGTTAGGATTTCCAAGAATCTTTCACCAATTGCAAGATTCATTGATCTTTCATATAGAGTTAGAAGAATTTGGCAGAAAAAACACAAATCACAGGTTAAATAATGCAGATTGAAGTTTTCAGTAGTTCAGAAGAAAATTCTACTGTGAAATCCAGAAGAGGTTTCTACTTAGTAGCTGGAGAGTTACATCATGGATCGAAATCCAGTAAAAACCACCATTAACCCGGAATATTATTGATGAAACTGACACCGATCCCAACATTTTTGTTTTCTTCTTATTCCTTGGTCCCAAATCCAGACTGACGACAAATTCACGGGCTCAATATCATGCGGGACTGTGCTTTTCTAGGACACTCAGTCCAGTACGTTAAAAAATTTGCTTTTCCTTGTGCAGAGAAACCATGCCTTCTGTAAAGCTAATTCTAGTATGGGTACTGTGTGACTGTGTGTTTGGACTAATGGCTGCTGCAGAAATCGGGAAGGCGGTGAATGATAACTTCCTGGGCAACTGCAACTTCCCGGCATTATACAACTTTGGCGACTCAAATTCGGATACAGGAGGACGATCCGCCGCCCTCGATTTAGTTCCTCCTCCTAACGGAGAAACGTTCTTCAGAGAACCGTGTGGCCGGCAATGTGATGGACGTTTAATTATAGATTTCATCGGTAAGCACCGAATGGCTGGTGACCAATCATATTAGTCTCTTGATTTCTGATGAGTATATTGATTAATGCTCTCTCATTTTATTAACAGCTGAGAAGTTGGGTTTGCCATACTTGGGTGCTTACTTGGACTCCATCGGCACGAATTTTCGACACGGAGCGAATTTCGCAACAGGGGGCTCATCCATACTTCCTGGTGGTTACAGCCCTTTTCACCTGGAACTCCAAATTGGTCAATTTCTACAGTTCAAGTCTCGAACTTCAAAGCTCTATGAGAAGTTTAGTCAGGAAGGTGAGAAATGCTTTCAGGAAGATAGACTTTTTGTTTTGATTTGTGAGTTCACCATTATTATGTAAAATTTCCAAAACTGTCGGTGATGAATAGTATTTTCCAGGGAATGTTTCACCACTTAAAAGCTACTATCTTCCTAGGCCCCAAGATTTCTCGGATGCCTTGTATACATTTGACATTGGACAGAATGACCTGGCCCATGGATTCCAGTATACCTCAGAAGCAGAGACTCTGGCATCTATACCAACAATCCTGAAAAAATTTTCCGAGGCGATTTTGGTAATGTTAATTCAGTCGACTGCTGTACTTAACTTGATTCTGTTCTTTAATGGAGTTCTGCTGACAATTTTTTTGTTTCAGTCACTTCATAATGTAGGAGCAAGGAATTTCTGGATACATAATACAGGTCCAATTGGCTGCTTGCCAAACAATGTGAGATATTATCAGCTGAAGCCCCGAAATCTGGACAAATATGGATGCGTGGATCCTCAAAATAAGGTGGCACAAGAGTTCAACAGGCAGCTGAAACAACGGGTTCATTTTCTCAAGTCAAATCTTCAAGGGGCTGCATTCACATACGTGGACATATATTCCGCTAAATACTCACTGATCAGCAAATCCAAATCCCTGGGTGTGAGCTGAAATCCCTTTTCATAATTATACTACATGAAATCGACTTAGTTGGTCCAAACGTAACATGTTGCTGGTTTTTTGTTTGGTTTGTACCAGGTTTTGAGGATCCTTCGAAGTTCTGTTGTGGCAGTTATTATGGTTATTCTGTTCCATGCGGGAAGAGAGCTGTTGTGAATGGAACTGTGTATGGAGGTCCATGTCCGAATCCCTCCAAGCAGATTAGCTGGGATGGCATTCACTACTCTGAAGCAGCTAATTCATGGATTGCCAAAACGGTCCTAGACGGCGCTCTGTCCGACCCGAAAGTTTCGATTCGCCAAGCTTGCCGCGCTTCTCCATAGTAGATTTTAGCAGTAGCCATTTCTAGCAATGGAGCTCTGTAATAACTTGCCCTAACTTGTGACAGAATCAATCATGTACATTGGGCCTGGCTGAGGCCTTAGCTCACTTGTAAAACCTTGGCCTACTTTCCAGATGAATAAATAAATCTAACATACATGAACTTGAAACACCTTTCAATGTCTAATGTATACGGTGAGAATGAAAGGGACATTTTCTTGATGAAGGTTTAGACAATATGTCCATGATATTGTTATGATCAGGTATGAATCAGATCCAGCCTAACATGTCACCAGGATATGGCCTTATTGTTTCCGTTGTCTTTCTAAATTACCAATCATAATTCAAAAACCACATATTTAATACTATATGATTATTAATTTGTCTCTCCATGCTCAATCATGTCGTCAAAAACTCAAATCCTTGTCTTCTACATAATGTTTTCATACTAAAAAGAAAACTCGGCTGGAGAATATACATCAAATTAGGTCCACCAATAAACACAAGAAGACTGCAGTGGATGCACACGGATGGCCGGTTTGGTACATCAGAATCAGAAAATGATACTCCACCATCAAAAAGAAGTTGTTTATTCAGCTAGATGCTATAGTAAATCATCACAAGATTAATTACAAAGCAACTGTGCCAACTGATCAAAAAGTGACCAGAAATGAGGACGCAACATTTACATTCCACCTTCCTCATTTTTGCGATCGACATTTAAACAAACTAACGATAACTGCATATGCATACAAATCTATACTTTTCTCCCCTTTACTATCATAAGCAACCTCTCAGAAAATCATAGTACTGAACACTTTACATCAAGCAAATAAAGCCAAAACCACCCAAAATTTATGTTATCACAGCACTGGGATCTCAGGATTTGTAACAGTGCGAGAATTTTTGTCAAGAAGAGTTTCAAGTGACCTGGATCCCCGGTTCCTTACTCTTCCTGCTTCTTTTAACAATTCGGACAACCTTCGCTTCTCTTCATCTACATCTGGATTTGCTGTCCCAAGCTTCTCTTCTCTCAAGCTAACTAAATATTCCAATATTTCAATGGCATCGACCGTCCTGCACAAAAGAGTAACTTGAATTTTAACAACTTAAGACAGATAAAAGCTTTTTACAGGTGAACATTAAAGTAAGTTATGTACCCTATATACTGAAATGAAAGCAGTAAGAAAACTCTAATTTTGATCAAAAGTAGTACCTGCCCATGGCATCATAAGTACCGGCAAGATTGCTGTAAACTCCCAATGTGTCAGCGTGATAAGGCCCGCATTCTGCTTCCAAAATGTTCCTTGCTTCTTCAAATAAATCTGCTGCTTCATTTATCAAATAGAGCTGTACACAGGCGAGTCCCATTTGGTTCAGAGCCATACCAAAAAGGGCATTTTTCTTCTCACCAACAGAACGAAATTTCAAAATTGCACTCTTTAAGGAGTTATAAGAATCAGAATAACTTCCCAGTATGTAAAACAAAACCCCTATCTGAGCTTCGATCCCTGCAATTGTGCTCTTTTGGCCCGGTGCATTTCCATAAACTTTGATGGCTTTCTGGAGTAACTTGAGTGCTTGATCAGGTTCATTCATAGACTCATAGATTGCGGAAACATCAACCAGGCCGCTAGCAATTTCTTCGGGGGTACTACCAGGGACTGGCTTATTATAGATACGAAGAGCATTTTCGCAATGTGTCCTGCACTCACCAAATTTCCCTATCTTGTTGTGCAGATCAGCCAGGCGGACATAGACAGAAGCAACCGTTGGATGGCTATCTCCTTTGGTTGACTTGAACACCGTCAGAGCTTTCTGATAGGCAAAAATGGCCTCATCATAACGTGCCAACGACAAATAGGCGTCGCCTATGTTGCAATCAACAGCAGCCACGTCTGCCTCCTGACCATTGGCAGCCATGGCCATGCTCGCTAAAACATAATGCTCAAGGGCTGCTTCATGATCTCCCTTTGAGTCGCAAATAAGGCCCAAGAGTCTCCTATCAGCTGCTTCTTCAGGAGAGGTAGGTGTGGCATTGTCTTTGTGAATATCAAGAGCCATTTGACAAAGCTTCTCAGCATCATCAAATTGCAGGCCTTGCACATGAGCTTCAGCAACATACCTGCATGTCTCACCAAATCGAGGATCTTTTTCCCCAAGAACTTGTCTTTGAATCTCCAAACCAGCCATGTAAAAGAGAATCGAATTCTCAATCTGACCAGTCATTGCATATGTATCCCCAAGTTGCATGCATCCAGCAAATTTAGCCAATGAATGGTTTTGGCCTAAATCCATCATTGGTATATCAATTGACTTCTCAAGGAGAGGAATTGCATCAATAAACCGGCCTAATCTGCAGTATAGTGCTGCAACAACATGCAAGCACATCACAAATTCCAGATTAGGCTTCTCATTTGCAGACACCTCAAATAAGTTTAATGCTCGAAGGGCTAAATCAAGAGCTCTTTGAAAGTTTTCTCCAGATGAAATCAAATCCCTGGCTTGTTTAAGTATATATGGTGCGAGGTATGCCGCATCAGATGCATCTTCAGCTCCATTCTGGTCTTTGACCCCTGCTAAAGGAGAATTTTTTTCAACCTTGGCAGAGGATATCCCATTCAGCTTCTTCGAACCCTTCCCAATTCGAGGGATGCCATTAAAAGATTTGCCTTTTGAACCTTTTTTGGTAGGTGCTTCTGACTTGGAAGCCTTTTTGGCTTTAACAGGAGTCAATGGCTTCTCAGCAGCAATTCCATTGATTTTTGCAAAGTTATCATCTTTGAATCCTGTATCTTCCTCAGAACCGCTATCCCCGGCTTCTTTCCTCTCCATAACCATCTCCTTTTTTATCTCCTCCTCTTCGTAATCTCCTGCAGCGAGGTACCTCAACTCGGAATCAATCCTCGATTCCTCACCATAGGATAAATAGCTAACCCGGGAAGGTGATTGATCAGAGCTCTGCATGTCACAGACATTGTTATACAATTGCTCAATGGAGGTGTCAACTGCTCCTTCCATGGCAAGATCAATGGAGTCCGTGTCAGGACTGTGAGTACTCAATGGACTTCTGGGAGATGTCTCGGCAAAAATCTCCTTATGGGGCACATAGTGACCATTCATTTCTCTTGCATTTACTTCTTCCATCATCAGAGATTGGGACATTCAACAGGAGGAAATTCACTTCCCTACAGAACTAAAAATCAACAAAAAGGACTTAATGAGTCATCGTTCAACCCTTTGATGACAATGCATTACGAAAATAAAATTGTTCATCATTCCGGACAAATCACCTTCCAGGTCCTACGCATATGAATACCGAATTCTCTCACAACTTTCTTAGTTATAACAATATAAGCCAAAGCAGAAAAAACAAACATAGTAATGAAAGAAAAACAAAGATTGGAACTTTTTACTGACTACCAGATTGTTCCCTGTTCCATTGGGCTTGTAATAAATTGGGTACCAGATAAAAGACAAAATGACATTTATCATGGCATTCAAACATTTCTCCCACGGGTGTCATATGAATGAACAGAAATGACATAAATTCTCCATGAAAGTACAAATACACCGACCACATTCAATTGGATGATATCACACTGACAAGGGACATAAGAAGGTTAAAAAAGAAAAACCAAATAAAAAATAAAAAAATCGAAATCCCGGAAATGGAAAATTGTAAACAAGAATGAGAACCACCAACAAACCAAAAAGGCCTAACCTTTACTTCCCGTCGACAAAAATTCCGGCAGCAATGTGAAGAATGTACAAAAGGGATTGATATAATTCCAAAGCATGATCAAAATGATGATGCCTGCTTTTGAGGGGCTTTCTTAAATATGAATGTGATAAATGTATATATATATATATAAGTTGATGAGAAAGAGATCAATGGAGAGGGTGGGTGAAGAAAGGAAGGAACAGGGGAACAGAATTAAGTTTAAATTAATCGCTCCTAAAATAAAAATTCAACCCCCTAATTTGTCTTTATCTTGTTCTTTATTGGAACCCAAAAGAACTAAACAAAAATGGTGGTGAATAAATGAAGGGGAAAATCCAGAAAACAAAATGAAGATAAGACATAAAAAAAAAAAACCAGAGAAATTTGTTAAATAGATAGATATGGGATGAATAGAATAGGTGGGGTTGTAGAGAGGTTGGAATGTAGAAGCATGAAGTGGACCTGTCATCTGCCACCAATATCACCACCGGTAACCATACCCGCCGAAAATTCTTCTGTATTTTTTAATAAGTCTTTTTTTTTAAAAAAAAATTCTAATAATTAATGATATACTAGTATTTATTTATTTTCCGGCTTTGCGTATTTTGATGTCTGATGATTTCTCGGGTGTGAGTCTCTTCTGTGACTTGTCATGCTGGTTTGGCGGGGTTAACGGCTTTTCAACGCATAAAAACAGTTTCTTCCCAGTGACAAGTCGGTGATTTACCGATACAAAAAGGTTCGGCCACGTGGTACGTGGTCGGAGCCTATCCCGTAACGTGGCGCTTTCTTATTGGGGCTTAAATTTTTTGACAGCTTTTTGCGGAAATGGGTTATGGGGGGATGGAGTTCGACCCGGTTGATACGGGGAAGGGGATGGGGAACGGACTACAATGATTAGGACGGCGTAGTTTTGAGGCTCCACAGTGAAGAATGAGCTGGAGAGCGCCAGCCTTTTTCTTCCAAATTTGGGACCAATTGGCTTGGCCGAGTGGCAAAATTAAATCATGTATGTATGTATCTTAGAATCTTGATCTCAGATTTGAAATATCTTAGAGACAAGTGTTTGTTTTTTTAAGTCTTCATTCTCTAATATTGTATCTTCGCCCCGTAATTGCAATCAATGTTATCAATCCATCTAATCTTCACAGATTTCTAAAAACAAGTGTTAACCGTTGCGCTACACTTGATTGTTTTAAAGGAGAAGTATTAACCAAACGGGAAATTTGCTCTAAACTTAATTGGTAATGTACAGAGTGGATCTGTAAGAGGCATAGATATTTTCCTTTTTCATTTCAGCAATTCCTAACCCCCCATAACATAACGTTTAAGGTTACAAATTAAATTACCAAGCGCACCAAGTAAATAATCAGAGTGTAGTGCAGATGGTGACGGACAAGAATAGGTCTCCGTGCACGCATGAAGACTTATTGAAAGTTATGAAAGAACTGCTAAATACAAATCGGGAAGTTATCGTCAGCCACACACATAAAAAACGTAATTTTATTGCCGATTATATGGTATTTTTAGTGAGAACGACTCCAACCATTGTAATATAATTACAAGATTGGATTCGCCACTTCCAAGAGTATTTTGATGGTTGAACCATGACATTATAGGGGTGGCGTTTCCCGACGTATTGTAATATCGTAGCATTTTTGCTATAAATGTACATATATATATATAAGTAATATAACCATTCCAGCCAAAAAAAAATAATAATAAAGTACCAAGCGCATCTTTATGACTTTATTTTACTTCATTTTTAGGTGGTCAATTTACATTGAGCAGGTAAATGTTGGTAAAAAAATTCACAGAACGAAATGATAACATGGATAGCTTATGAAATGGTTGAATTAAAAATGAAGAAACACGATGAAAATGTAGCGTAGGGAGTGACAGTAGCATTTTTGCTTCACGAGAAAACCACAGAGGTGGGCTGTGGGGCGGTGTGATATTTAAAACATTGTCTGCAACGACGTAGTAGTAGTAGTACTGTGTAATGCGCATGAATGCCGGGATACACAAGCAACCATCCTCCATCTCTTCTCTATTACTTACTCCCAAATGAAAAAATAATGAATATATATACTACTACTATGTAGTTGCAGCTTATGCAGCATGGATACGTTCAATTAAAGATTCATCCAATCAAATCACAAATTAATGTTAGATGGAGATTGTTGTTAAAAGCTTATGTTCAATGGATATATATACATGTCTCACATCTTTATATTTAATGTAATTGACTTTCCTTGTATTAAAATTCATATTTTGTCCCCCGTTGTGAAAATGACGTCTTTGAATTAACATTATTTGGTCTGCTTGTCATATCGTATTTAAGTTAATTCCATGATTTAATTTGTCACAAGATCTATTGAAAGAATAATGATCGAACATACTTAAACTATACAGTAGAATGAGGACGTAAAAAAAAAAATATAAATAACCAACTTCAATTTTTAAAAGATGGAAATACCATTACGATTTTTATTTTTATTTTTTTCATGTCACATGCGTCGATATTCCATTTCAAGCCATTATTCCCATCCATAATCTATTTCCTATTTAGGCAAGTGATTTTGCCACAACACTTTTTAACATTTACAATAAAAATGACCTCTTGTCCTTATGATGCTGAATGTATCTCCCTCTTTTCTGTGCTTTTTTTTTTTTTTTGGTTCAAATCACATCCTCTCCATTGCGGCAGCCATAATGAAATTTTATCAGTTTTTCTAGCAACAAAAGTGCAGCACAACAATAATATTTACCTCCATCTTGGCTCTTGCAGGCACTTTTTTATAATTTAATTTTAGATTGATTTCAAAAATACTTAAATTCATAGTCACAATCGAGATTTTTAGGGTCACTAAATCGCTATTTTCATTTACAAACGTCATAATTAAGACAAAAGATTAAATTTGCCTGAGTAAGTTCTATGCTTCATTTGATTGATTTTCAATGGTGGAGTTCATTTGATTAAATTTCATACTTGCTTTGCGGGTTTGTTTACTTAAAGATTTGGATCTGCAAATTTTTTTTCGAACTGATTGATCTTTAGCATCCATGGGATTTTCTTAGAGGGGGAAGGTGTAAGGATGGGGTGGTGTTGTGGCAGAATCATCACCGTTCCCATTAATTTATTTCTTCTCTCTCATGAAGGCGTCACTTCTATTAGATAACTGCATTAATTAGTAAAATTTTCTTTCTATTTTCATAGTTAATTTTGTTAGACATTCGTTTATCAAAATGTAATAGAGGGATTGATTTAAAGTAAACTATAATATCACAAAATAGTCTGCACTCTCCCCGCCTTATTATTTTCGTTTAAGAAAAAAAAATAGTTTTAGGTAGGATCATCGCGCCTTCGATCCCAATAATAATGACTCACAAAAAGATTAATTATGGCCAACATATACATAGTTTACTCGGATATGATGAATCTTTGGTGCACCCAAACCCGACAGATCAAAATGGAATAGTCAAGGAATTTTTATCGTTTAGCATGAACATAGAAAATCCCATAATCATTAATTACATAATCTACTACTACCCACACGCTCAAAGTAATGGTAGAAATTAAAATAATGTCATCAATCGATTACTCACGAATAACTAACTAACTAATTATATGATCAATATCATTATATGTCATAACCGCAGCATATTCTCAAGGTACAACGACCCCTGGTCGGGTGTTGTTAGAGCGATCAATGTTTTAGGTATTTAATCTGTACACATGTTATTGAACGCGGCCGAAAGTGTGTTTGGTCATTTCGGATTCCTAATTCTATCAACAGATTCTAATTCGAGTTCATGAACAACGTAGTTGCATCCTTTATTTAATGCTTTATTTTTTTATGTGCTTGAAAGTCCGAATATATGTTTATTAAGATTCTCGTGGAGTTCGGTGTATTTATATATGAAGTGGCCACAAAAAATGGTACTCTCACTCCGTTCTAAAATAACTGTCGTTTTAGCAAAATAGTGAAATTTTAAAATAAGTGTGGTTTTTACATTTTAATGCACTTTCTGTCCAAAGTTTCCAAAATTACCCTGAAAAAAATTAATACTATTGGTGGACATTTTTTTAATGGGATTGGTTGAGGATATCTAAGTAATTTTATTGCTCTATTTAAGAGTTTCTTAAACTATGTGCAAAGTGTAGGATGATACTTATTTTGAAATGAGTGGAGTAATTAGTTTATGGTAGATAATAAACGAATTAGTGGCCACCAGAAGTGGTTAGTAGTTTGAATTTAATAATTAGGTTTCTAATTAATAATTGCAATAAAAGGGAACTCTCATGACATCGGCCGCAACTAATATGCAAGCAGCAAGCTACTGCAATTAACATTATCAAATCACTTTCCCTTACGCGTAGTAGCTAGACAGGTCACAGGCTGACCCCCCTTTAATTCAATGAAAAGAAAAGATAAACCCATCATTTGTGGAATTCCAATTATTATATATGTATGTAAATAGAAGTTTAAGTTTTGTACTAATGAGTCCCTGCGCTATTAATTTATGATATTTTGGGTTATTTTTAAAAGCTTCTTTCTCTTTTTCTCTTTTATTTGATTCCTACTTTTTAAATTTCTTGGAGTCAAATTTGCAGAAATATTATATGCCCCGTACACCACTTTAGTTATATATATAACAATTCTTATGTCAGTTTCAATACTCGATAAGTCAGTCATACAACATTATGTAGTCATCTGAATTGCTTTGAACAGTTTTTAGACGCTATAAAGCAAGGCATAATCAATTAGATTACATTGTTTCATACCATTTTTTCTACCCCATAATAATAGTTTTATATATATATATATATATAAAGAAAATGATCAACTCTGCTACTGTATGAACTGTACAATGCTTCAAAATAAGTACTCATAAGTTGACACAAGTGACCTTTATGTATTTTAAAGCATCTGATCAGAAGTTGATGATCACGAATTGTTTTCCTCTCGTCTTCTTTTTCTTTTTTCTCCGTTTTCAAAATTTTCGTTCGCATTTTTCTTGAACTCTTTGGCGAATGAATTCTTAAAGCGAATCTCATTCACAGAGAGTTGTGCATCTCATGTCGATGTGCATACAGTTGGTTGTGTACGTTGCTTGGATCAAATAGTTAAAAGGCGCACCATGCACAATGAATATGTCTGAAATCTATTTTGAACACTGTTTTGTTTGCTTCTACCTAGTTTCACACTTACATGTATATCCAATATTCCCTCCAATCCTTAATACAAGACATTTTGATTTCATCCTAGGTTTAATCTAGTATATATTTTTAATTAACAATAAAATCTTAAAAACATTTCATAACAATTGAGAGAATATAACGAATGTGAAAATATATTTTAAAGGTTTTTTTTGTGAATTAAAAATGCGTACTAGGTGAAACCTAGAGCGAAATTAAAATGCCTTCTATATGGACACTATCAAGTCAACTTGAGGCATATATCCTCTATGCAATAAAGCAATGGCAGTGCATATCTGTCATTGGACAAATTTTTTCATCTATGGTTCAGTCCAATTGCTTGAGCATCTCCAATTTTAAAAAGCTCTTTTAACCCCTTTTTTTCACTTGACTTTTTTTGTTCACCCCTCTCTCTATTTGTTATACATTGATTTGTGCTACTAGCCTTAATTAAGGAAATTGGATAAGCCAATTCCACATCTGAGAGTGACCTAGCTAGTGTAAGTACTTGAAAGATTTCGATGAGTACCCAATCTTGCTGATAATAGCAATGCCAAAAATCAGAGTTTATAAGATTTAGATGGGCCGGCAAAGCGCCAGAATGCATCCACTTCCATTCGTGCATGTGCAGGTTACCTTTGGCTTTTGGCAGATCCTTTTGACGATGCATATTTTAGGTTTGAAGAATCAGAATCCAATGCTACGTACTGTGTCATCTTTTTTTCCCCTTTCTTTCTTGTGATTGGATACCTTTTGGATTCATTGGGGAATCCCGAAACATGGATGGGTGATATCAACATACATATATATATATATATATATATATATATATTACTATATATCACCAACGAGTAGAAACTATAGAATCAGTACACAGCGGAAGGAATTATACAATTTTATGCGATTGAATAAAGTTATATATCCTCCATATGTAAATGTAATTGTCTAATTGACTAGCTTTTTGACCACACATAGTGAGAACTCATTGGCATATCCCTTTCTCTATGTTGAACTAATTAAAGTCGGAAATCATTAAGTTTCTTTTGATCAGTATTATGTTGTTTTATGATGTAGGTGGAGAGGTCAAGAGTTTAAATCTGGGGCAAGTTAAAAATTACTCTCTCCGTCCCATAATTATTGTCCAATTTAAGTTTTCATTTCTAGTTCAAATTATACTAAAAGTCAAAATCTAAATTGGACAATAATTTTGGGACAGAGGGAGTAATTAATTTAATCACATTCAGGAAAGGTATACAATAGAAGGAATTGAAGACTTGGAGATGTTGAAGAGAACCCTAGAAATTAGAAAGGGAATGGACCACGGAAGGAAGTAGGACTGAACCAATAATAATGATGGATACAAAAAATATTCCAAAATGTTCTTTCTTTCGACTTTAAGGAAAAACTGGTATATGCAAAGCGCGAATATGTGCCCCCTCCACTTTCGCACTCTTAATTGGTCAAAAAAAAAAAAACGGTCTTTTGCTTATGTTGCATGCATGACCACCTTGATCATCGACCACACCCTGTCAACATCTTGCATCACCCCCAAAGTCAAACCGATCATGAGATGAACGGAGCAGAAATTAAAAGTTAAAACTCCCTTCACTTTCAGATGATCATCTTCTCCCATAAATAGGATGATCACCAGACTTACAAATAGGCCATGCCCCCACTAAAGGATCTCTCCAGTACGTACGTACCATGCATCTCAACTCCGATTTGGCCACACAAATTAAAAGATACTTGACTTGACTTGAGTACCAAACTCTGTTAATTATTAACCCTTCTGTATATTAATGCCATTAAATCAAAAAAATGCACATTAATTAATTAATGTCCTTGAACATTTAAATATTGCCGAAAGTTTGTATGTATTTGGGGAGCGGTCAATTCAATTCAAATGTTAAAAGCTTATGCCGATGATCAGTAGCTTCTGCGATCTTATCCTACAGGAATAGAACATACGTATGTTGAAGGACCATCAGCAGTAAGGGGAATAGGAGAGGGCAGGACTTCCGGAAGAGATAGAAATTAAAGGTTGGCTGTGGCTTTTAGGAAGGAAGGAAGGAGCTAGGAGAAGTCTACTTTAATCTTCTCCAGTCATAAGGATTGATCATCAAGAAGTAACAGTCTGTTCCAGTCCCCATATTTGTAACTACATCATCAACAGTTTAACTAACAGACCTTTTTTGTTTCTCTCTCCGTTTATCCTTCCCGCTGTAAAAAAATTTACAGACTTCCCCCCGTTGACTCTGTTGACCGACTAAGCTTATCCTTCGTAGTAGGCCGGTAGAGGCATCTATCCGTATGTCAGTGAAAATGTAAGGATATGTATGGATCGTTTTTTCAATCTGTGATATTAAGTATTTTTTTCTATTAGAAATGCAACAAAAAAAATGTATTAGAAATATTAAAAATTATACTGAGATCTATATTTATTTTTTTTAAAAAAATTACGAAAAAACTACCAAAAAGTTTATACGTCTTGTTTACAAAGATATTTTGTGTCTATGAAATTACATCAGTTTAGAGTAAGATGTACATATGCAAATATGACCTTCCGTGAGAATAAAGCGTGGACTATATCCAAATAATTAATTAGATCCCAACTCAATCTTCGAAAATTAAATACCAAATCAAGTTTCAATCGATCTGATGCGCTACATTCTTTTTTTTTTTTCCCTATAATTGTGAATCCCGTAAGTATATTATTTTATTAAGTTTAGTAAGAAAGAAGCTAGAACAAAGTACAAACAAAAGAATATAACGCAAAATTGTAGAGTCTTCGAGGGGCTAAAACTTCATTGGCTCCTGAATTTTGATTCAATATGATAAAACATCTTTGCGGCTACCACGAATCTTATATTTATCGGGCATTACCCCCATTTGCTAAAGGGTTATGGTAAAATGTAAAGGGGATGGGACATTCAAATGTATTTCCCATATAGTCACCTACGTCGTCGCAACGTAGTTGCCAATCGTACCATATATAGCCATAAAGGTATAAGAGTCAAAATGATCACAAAAAAGGGGGGCAAAGTAGGGATTATCTTGTCCGAAAGAAGGCTTATCGAGATGTATCCGACAATATTTGATTTCAATTGACATATAATCCCTCGAATGATTTAGACATTCAAATAGATTCTCGGCCGTAAGGTTGCAGCGTTCATAAAAAATCATCCATTAATTTACAATATCGTGTTTAAATGAGATTCATAAGTAGTATAAAAGCCCATGTTTATTCCTCGACATAACTTAATTAGGAATGCAGTGTGGGTCCAGATCCATAACTATCGGATGAGAACGAATGTCTTGTATTTGTGCCTTTACTCATGTGGCAGTAACCATGCAAGTAGATTTACTGTTATAAAAGACTACATTTTCTTTTTGGTGGACACAAATCAATAGATTGAAGGAAATGAAATTAAAGCATTATGTGGATAAGTAATACGGACTAATAATAATAATTTTTTAATTCTATTATTAATTTTTAATTTGTTCATTTTACTTACATGAGATTTATTTAATGATCTGAATTTTATTATCACATCATGTAACTATATATAAATGCAGCGAAATGGAGACAATTGGTAGAGATTTATATGATCACTTTTAAATAAAATGGGAGAATCTTGAGGAGGTCCAGTCCATGATGAGTCCAAGGATTATGTGTGACATGTTGACCATCCAGGTATCTTTTTATCTTCGTGCTGGAAGAATATTTTTCCAACTTCTATATATATAAATGCCTTCTGCCCTTCCCATCGTCTTCTCCCAAGTGCAAAATTCTCTCTACTTCAACAACACAACGTAGTAGAAGCTGCAATTATTAATCCGACCGAAAAAAACAATAATCATGGACGGCAGATACGAGTCTTTGGAGACTCTCAGGTACACTTATTTCTGTCCAATATTCTTTTTCTTTTTTTTGGTAATATGCAGAAAACATGAATAAAAAGCTATCAGATTCCAACATTTCGGGAATAATCACCCCTATAATATCCGTAAGCTAACAGGGCCTCCTAATACCTGATAGTGGGGAATCTAATTTAGTTAGGCCTAACGGATTCGCCGCCGCCAGTGAAACTAAATAATCGGTTGTAAAATCAACTTCTTTATGTACATGTTTAGTTTCTCCTCCCCTGATCTGTTCAATAGCTCTCTTACCACTTTAACTACGATGTAGGAGACAAACGCAGCACTCGATATAATCATTATTTGGCATCAAACATTTTATATATATATTATATATATATTTACGGGTTGAAATGAAATGAATGATGGATGATGGCGCAGGAACAAATGTGCGGCATGCTATAGACAGTTCAACAAGATGGAGCACCTGGTGGAGCACATGAGGATATCGTATCACTCGGTTCACGAACCAACCTGCGGGATTTGCAAGAAACATTGCCGATCCTTTGAGTCCCTCCGAGAGCATCTCATAGGTACGTACTGATGTACTTATAAATCTTAAATTCTCTTTTTCACTTCCCCAATATAAATTTCCCATACATTTGACTCTTCTTTTATCTTCTTCTTTTTTCCTCTCTCTGCAAATATAGAATATGGTATCTACGAAATATGTAGATGTGGGTCTCATTTTCTTTTTTCTTTTTGGATCAAGTTGCAACAATGAAATTTGTTGTGTGTGTGGGTTTGCAGGGCCACTACCAAAAGCTGAGTGTGAGAGGATATTCAAAGACCGGGGATGTGACATTTGCTTAACCATCCTTAGCTCCCGCAATGCCCTCTGGGCTCACCGCGAAACTTGCCAACTCTCCCGCACCAATAATGTATCAATCTCAACCATATCATCTCCATATTCTAATCTTGTCATTGCTTCATAAAATTATATTCCTTTGATGCATGGGGACTCTTTTATATATATATAGGGCATTCTTTATCGAATGGCTAACCTGGGGATGCATGATGAGATGAGGATTGATAACACCAGAGCTAAAGTGGTGGCAATGTCCTGCAAAATGGTTGGCGGTGGAAGTGATGGCACATTAGACCTTTGTGCTAGAGTTTGCCTCATCGACGAGTCCGAGCGCATAATCTTCCAAACTTACGTTAAACCCCAACTTCCAGTTACCAATTACAGGTAATTAAACCAACCATATTATTATCCATGTATCAAGTTCCGGAGGTTGCCACAAAGAAAAAAGAACATGCATGATAACAATGAAACGGGAATTAATCTTTCTTGCAGGTACGAAACAACTGGAATACGACCCGAGTATTTGCGGGATGCAATGCCGTTGAAACAAGTCCAGAGAAAAATCCAGGATTATTTGTGCAACGGTGAACCCATATGGCAGATCCGTTCTAGAGGCGGAAAAGCTCGCATCCTTGTTGGTCATGGTTTAGATCATGATCTCAAGTGCTTGGAAATGGAGTATCCACCTTTCTTGATCAGGCAAGCATTCCCTGCTTACTTTCGCACCCAATGTTTGTTACACAAAGAACTTATATAAAAAAGAATATATATTGAGACTAACATTACTAATTCTGCAGGGATACCACTAAATATCCGCCATTGATGAGGACAAGCAAGCTGAGCAACTCACTCAAGTATTTGACCAGAGCATACCTAGGGTATGTGGTGGATTTGTCACGTATCATTATAGTCTTAGTGATTATTAATCTTTACTACGTATTTGGTTTATAAGTACTTATAATGTTCATGTATGAATTATTTATGCTGCAGCTATGACATTCAAACTGGGATCCAAGATCCATACGACGATTGTGTGGCTGCAATGAAGCTTTACCTGAGAATGAGATCACAACATCACAAACACGAGGATTACCCGCTGGCAACCGACCCGCATAACCGCAACAATTTTGCGTCATGGCGACAAAGTGAACTTGAGAGGATGAGTCCCGAGAAATTGTTAGAGATCTCAAGGTCTGACTACTACTGCTGGTGCCTGGATTCATCGTCCTCCTATAACTACTGATAACAATTTGTCTTGTGCGGCGTATATATGTTTTTTTTTAAAGCTATATTCATCTGAATTAAGAGAATAAACAATAAATGAATAGAGTTTCCAATATTTATAATGATTATTATCTCTAATTAACCATTTAGTTTAATCATGACTTTCCTCATCGTAAAATTAGGCCTTGGGAAGGTGTGTGAAGTTATTCATGTACTAAGATGCAGCGCCATTTAGCGCGTGCTCCAATTCATTGAATAATATTGTTGATCTTTGAGTTATGAAGTTTTATTCATTTCCGTTTTACACTGTATTTCATTCATCGATCCTATATATATTTTAGGGATATAGATCAGTATTACTACCATAATCCTAAAAATGCACGTGATATTTTCTCTTGCAAGCCCTAAAATAACAAATTAAAAAAATACTGTATTACTCCCCAAATTAATTAGAACTCTTCATATTGTTTCCAAGAAAATTTTTTTGCATGTATTCACATGTTCCTTAATGATTATGTGAGAGTTTCTTGTATCCCAGTAGTAGTAGATGATGGTTCTATATACACACTTTGTCCCAAAAAAAAATTTATATGAGTTTTGAAATTTATATTGTTTTTATTATTACTCTATCGTCTTACATTGGATTCTTCCCCACCCTTACTCCCAAAATAATTGAGGGGTTTGTGGGATATGGAATCGCTTCGCGGATTCACTCAAAATTAATTTAAGTTGATTTTCATAACGATGCATGCAGACTAGTTGATAGTTTTCTGAAACGCCTAGTTTTGATACACCCCCGAAAAAACACCCCTAGTTAAGTTTAAAGAGAAACATTGACGAATTGGAGAAAATTGCGCGCGTTGATCTCAGGTTTGGGTGACCCGTTAGCTTTTTTTGCAGAGTTACATGCTGACCATTAGCTTGTTTTGTACAGTTACATCATCGATCAACTAGTTTTGTGTGTCGCATGCAAAAAGTATTACTGGTGAGATTCGAATTCTACATCTCAAAAATCAAGAACCAACTCTATTCAATTGTTCTCAATTTAAGTACCTTACAAGAGAAAGGAAATAGTTTCGATATTAAATTTAAAGTTGTTAATAATTTTAAATTGTAATCATTTAGTTGTTTTCGTCCTTATTAATCTCATCTGATTTTGAGGTTAATTTTGCTAGCTTATGTTTGTGACGGTTGCTTAAAAAAACAAAAGTTAAAAATAGTGTATAATAAAGTCCGCGAACTTACGATCCGAACCGAGATTTTGAAAACCGTCTTCAAGTTTTGACTTTTCAGTAGGATTTGGGACTGGAACTTGAGTGGCGGAAATAAAGTGATGGGCCTTGGGAGTCTAAACTCTAAAACTCTTTCTAATGCACTGGACTCATGCAGTCTTATATGGTAGGGGTGTTCACGGTCCAGATTGATAACAATCCATAACTAAACCGTTCATTACGATTTGAAAAATTTTCAATTCGTAATCGAACTGGATTGGTGTATAATCCGGACCAATCCAATCCGTTTTTAACAGTTTAGTTTGGACGGATTGGCGGTTTGAGCTTTTGATTAGACTTTTTCATTTTGGGCAAAAAATTTAACATTTTTTTGTTGTTGGACCTTTTTTGGGGCTTTTCCTGAAATTTTTTTGGCCTTTTTCAGCCTTATTTTTTAGGCTTTTCTTGAAAAAAAATAAAATTAATCCATGGAGGATTCGCACACACAGATTTTCAACAAGGTCTAATGTAGAGGGAACAACAACAATGCCAATGGGACAACTTAGCACTTTCGATAAAAGTCTCTATCCGACGCTTATATATACAAAATCAATATATTATTATTTTATAATATATATACGGTCCGGTCCGGATTGACAGACGGTCTGACAGTGCCAAACCGTAATCCGAACTGGATTGTCCGATTTTTAATTTTTCAATCTGCCGGTTTAAAAATATAATTATAATTCGCCCGTTAATCTGAACCGATGACCGGATTAGGCGATTCCACCGGTTTGAACCAAACCGTGAACATCCCTATTATATGGTATTCCTTCCGTTCCAAAATAAGTATCGTTTTAGCAAAATGGAGAAATTTCAAAATAAGTGTCGTTCTCACATTTCAATGCACTTTTTACCCAAAGTTTCTAAAATTACTCTCGAAAGAATTAATACTATTAGTGGACATTTTTTTAGTGGGGTTGGTTGAGTATATTCAAGTAATTTTATTACTCTATTTAAGAGTTTCTTAAATTATAAAATTATATGTAAAGTGTAGGATAACACTTATTTTGGAATGGAGGGAGTAAAAACTAATAACGGCGCTGTAACATTTTTAAGGACATTTGAATTTGATACTACCATGACGCTGACTATTCAAGGCTAATCTCAGGAACCATCCACTTTCTTTTTCCAAAATTGACACAGTTATCAGCTGGACAACAACTCTAGCCACCGAATACGTAATATTAAAAAAAATTTGATGTTTTCTTCTCTCTTTTTTTTTTTTTTTTGCGGACAAAATTACAAAAGTTATTACCGAGTTAATGGGACAATAGTGTTTAAATGTCAAAGTTATAGCTGAATTAACCATATAATAATTTTAGACATCAAGCATAGAATACTATCTGTCTTTTAAACATAGTCTACGCTATACTAAATTAGATTAAGGGGGATTGGAGTATATTAAAAAGATCAGTTAGTAGTACGTAGTTGCTAGCAGGGGCCAACAGGTGGTATTCATAAACAAAATTTCCTCTCAAATCATAATCAATGCATTAAAAGAAAAAAAATTCTGTTCCCCACAATTTAAGAAAGGAATAAACGCAGGTGGATGTTTGTGGGACTAAACATTCAATCAAGAAAACCAGCTTCCTTCCTAGTCAAAGTTGGCCACAATGACTGAATGACATAAAGACAAGTAGACAACAATAGCAAAAGTTCCAGGCTTTTCAGCACATCTACCAGATAGACAAGCAGCATATTAATAGAGCAAGGACAGTAATAATGTCAAGATGAAGCAAAATCACAGTTCTTTTATTCCATCACACATAGATCCCAAGTACAAAAAGAAAACATAAGAAATCTATAGGTCATCCCGGAGGAGAGGATAAAAATTCCAAGGCCGGAGGAAGCTGACTAGTGTTTAGGGAATTGGATGTATGACAATCTTTCCTGTAGCGCTGCGAGATGCCAGATAGGTAAATGCTTCAAGAGCCTGAGAGAACGGGAATGGACTTTTCGGGTCAAGAATTGGCTTCACCTTTCCTTCTTCAAAGTAAGGATTCAATTTCTTGAGGACAGCTCCAGATGATGAGATGACAAAGCGGATAGCTGGAGGAACTGCAGTCCCAATGATTGACACCACTTTACCACCTTCTTTTATCAGCTTCAATGCCTTACCAGATTCCCCTGTTTTTGTTGCATTTCAACAAGGACTAATCAGCATCTCAACCTCAGAAACGATCATTACTTTTGTTAAACAAAACCATCAAGTTGTTTGGCAAGATGCAATGTAAATTGTAATTCTAGCTGGGGATGGGAATCTTACCAGTCATGTCAAAAACCACGTCAAATTTCTCCGGATGTTCTTCAACATTTGCGGTCTTGTAGTCAATTGTCGCATCAGCACCTAAGCTTTTGAGTAACTCTGATTTGGCAGAGCTACAAGTGGCCACCACTTTAGATGCACCAAATACCGTCTTTGCTAGCTGTGACAAAAATGAATATAATCATTACTTAGAGCGCATTCATCATCTCCTACTGTGAAATTCAAGCTTAGTCAGGTATTTTATGAGGTATCCCAACAGCTAAAATCCAGAATTATTAGTCAAAGTCGAGTACCTAGAAGTAAAACATTGAAATTTTTATATCGACGAATTATAATAATCTGAATCACAATTGATCAATGGTGTTACTATTTTTTAAATCCAAGATCGTGGAAACTGGGAGCAGGGATCTAAATACTAAAAAAAAGTATAGAGAAGGCTTTCAGAATTGGAACTGTATATATTATGTATAAGCTTGTAGGCTATTAATATTACACAAATAAAAAATAAAAATAAAAAAAAAAGTAATCCAGGAAAAATAATTCACCTGAATGGCGAGAGTTCCGACACCGCCAGCACCCCCGAGAATAAGAAGTGATTTGCCGGCAGAAAAGTCAACGGTTTCAAGGCCACCGTAAGCTGTTTCAACGGCGAGAGGGAGACTAGCCGCCTCAACGAAACTCAGATTCTTGGGTTTCAAAGCAAGCACCTTCTCATCCACAGCAGTATACTCCGCCACAGACCCAAATCGGCTGGGTTTAATTAAAGAGTTTTCATTTATGTCTCCATAGACCTCATCCCCGACCTTGAATTCCTTCACGGCGCTACCCACTTTGACAACGACACCGGCCACATCATATCCCGGAACGATCTACAGTGACCGCCCAAGATCACCCAAAAAAAAATAAAATTAGAAAAAAAAAAAAAAACCCCCATAGATTTGGTTCCAAACTGAAGCAATTCGGTACGATTAGAGTGATGAAAAAGAGAAGGAGAGTAAGAAACTTTACCGGGAGAGGAGAGTCGGTGTCCTTGAAGAAACCGTGCATCCGAATCGTATCAATTGGATTTAGGGAAGCGGCTTGAACATGAATTAAAACTTGGTCATCTTTGATGTCGGGGACATCAACCTCGGATTCAAACTTGAGGACATCTTCGGCCTTGCCGTATTGGTTATAAGACCAGGCCTTCATTTTGGAAGGGATAGATGCCATGGCTGAAATGCTTCCGAGTGAGACTGATGATGATGAGCTGGTAGTATACTAAGTATAGCAGAAAATGAGAAAATTTGATGTACGATTCTGATTACGAAGTCAATCATGAGATATATACACCCGAAGTCTCTAGTTTGTCTCTTTCCTTTCACATTAGTTAAATGGGCTGGGTTTGAAAATAATTATTGCGTTGGGTGGGCTTTGAGTCATGGGTCAATGCTTCCACCCACGGCAACTTTTTGGGTTAGAGATTCGGTATTCTATTTAATATTTTCACTTTTAATACATTCTAATAAAAAAATTTAAAATTAAATAATTATTTTAGATTCTAAAAAAAAACACTAGTAACTAATTTAAAGTCACTGAGATTATTTTAATTTTTTAATTTTGGTGGGAATAGGTAAAAATGATGATAATAATAATAATAATAAACAACAATAAAATACACAAATTGATAATGTTAGTATTAGTAATTGGTAAACCTTAACCCCCACATGGGAAAATTCGCTACATTAACTCATGTTGCAGCTACCAGGAAACAGGGCAAATGCATAGTACGTTGCATCAGGGACTACCTCATCCCTCACTTCCCCACATAATCCTTCAAAAAAACTAATTAGTAGCCTACTGGTACTATATTTTATTTATTGGTATTTTCATGTGGGATTTTGTGTGACGTCACCCGTGAGGTATCATTACCCCAGAGTGAAAAAAATAAGAAACATTACATCTCTTTGTTATGTTTGTAATATTCCCACATAAATTCATTAAACTAGTAAATTAAATTAATTAATTAAACCCGTAGAAAATTAAATTAATTCATTGAATTAGTAAATCATTAAGTTAATTAATTAGGTGCTACTTTAGTCCCCAAAATAATAAATATATTTTCCAATGTCTTTTGACTTAATGGTCATAATTTGCTAATTGATGTATTATGATGAAATTGACATTCTTATATACATGACTACATGAGTATATAGAGTAGAATGAAACTGAACTTGGGTTGAAAGTTGATATCTAATTTGGCACTTTTCTCAAAAAAAAAAAAAAAAAAACTGTGAAAGTAAAAATTCCAAAGATCCAGATTATATCATACGTGAGGAAACATAATGTAATGTTTTTAAAAATTCGCATAAAAAGCGATGTAGCCCCTAGCAGTTTAAGTGATATAAAAAATAACCCATAATCTTCAACCCAAAACAGGAGTATCAAACTAGAATGGTATATTTTAGAAAGAGTAATGACTGTTGCACAGAGAATTTGTAAGAGAAATATATAGAAAATGAATCGCAATTTAAATATGTGCATCATAGTAGATACAATCACAATCATCCACAATCGGCAATTTATACTATGAACTGAGTTCACGAAGGATTTCCTGTTTTTTGTACACATCACAAAAAAAAAAACCATTGATATCCCTTGTTTAATATTGTCCCCTTTTCAAATTTAAGTCCACATTTTTTTTGTGATTATGTCAAATTATAAGTCTACTTTGTTTATCAATACGTTATAATTTTTAAATTTTTTAAAAATTACTCTTGTGTTTTAAATACTACTTAGAGAATTTCAAGATACAATATAAGTACTTAAATTAGTGATTGGTCTAATTAATTAGGAGTAAAAGATATTCTTTGATTTGTTAATAGTTAGCCCCTTAATTATTATGCAAATCAAAGTAGACTCGTAATTTGAAAATCAAATAGTAACAAACTTAATTTTGAAACTCAGTGTCACGAATACTGAGATATCGAACCCAAACAATAATAAGTAACTAATCTGTTATTTCCATTTTACTTATTACATTATATTTTTCTGTCTCAAAATAATTTTTTAATTTTTAATATAATTTTAAAAAAAATCTAATATTATTATAAAATAAATATAAAGAACTGTAGAGAAAGAACAATAGAGGGAGAGAGAACAAGTTGAGAGAGGGAAAGAGATAATTGATCTATACTATTTCTGCAGAGACTGCTCTCCTTTTATAGAGGAGATAGATACAAGGATAAGAATAAATAATGATCATATCTAACTAAATATTATCTCTGAACAGTTGATTCCTTCTATAATTCTTCTGACTTGTGGGCATCCACATTAAATATTTATGACACTCTCCCTTGGATGTACATTTTTTGGGATAATGCCTCGTTAAAACCTTTACTAGGAGAAACCTAGTGGGATAAAAATCTAATAAAGGAAAAAAGAATACATTCTCATATATGACACTGCCTCGTTAAAAACCTTGTCAGGAAAATCCATTGGGACAAAACCACAATCAAGGGAAAAAGAGTACAGCGTGGGGTTACTCCCCTTGCTGAATACATCACTTGTGATCTTCTCACTGCATGCTAAAATGTTGACCAGTTTCACCAGTGTCAGAATCAATAATATGTGGATTTTCTAAATAATCACTCCAGCTTCTTATGCAGACAATCTTCTTCACATACCATGTATAATCTTGAGTGCTTCAAGAAAATAGAGATCCATTACCATTGTACACCGAATGTATCGATGTATGGAATATTTCAATGTCTTGAGTGGAAAAATAAACCGATATTTTATATAAATTACAATATAGTACTTCAGGACCAAATTGGTTTACATCATCGTTCAAAAGTCAAAACAGATCAATACACACGTCATGATTATTTTCAAGTGTCTCCAGCAGGAGTTAAATGTAAGCATACTATGTACCGACATTCTATTCAAAGTCAGCATTCATTTTTCTTGCTTCAGGCAAATAATAACCTTTTGAATTTAGCAACCTTTTGAACTTCTCTAATTTTGAAGTCTCAATAATGATGAACTCTTCTGGAGTTGTATTAATTTTGAAGCTATTCAAACTCCATAATGAGTTTCGATAATATTCAGTCTTTTCAAACTCTTCAAGAGTTTAGTATTAACTGGGTTCTAAACACATAAGTATGTAACAAACACACATATCATTGCTATACAAGTATGATCATCTAAACACATAGAGAATTATAAACAGACAAACATAACATATTCAGATAAAACACGTATATAGAAGAGTGCATAAACCGAACATTCAAAAATATGTACTTAAATATTGTTTAAACACATGAAGACAATAGTATTTGAGCAAGTCTTTCGAATTACTTTCTCGAGAATCGGAACCATGTTCCATATATAATCCTTCTGGGATTTCACATAGACGTCATTATCAAATATTAAGTATCATGTTCAAGTATCAAATTTCAAGTGATCACTACGTACATTCAATAGACGCATTTTTATTTCTTCATTTGCTGCCTGATGTAGTAAATAACGGAATAATTTTTTCATTCACCACAAGAGAATATTTTCTCATGATTAACATCCGGACTTTAGGAAAAATTGTACAACAAGTTGGTTGCTCGTTAATGTATTGAACAATCATCCAACAACATTTGCCGGTATATTATTTGTCAAAAACTTTTAGTTTTTCAAGCAACTTCGTTTTACTTACACATCTTCAGGTATGTGTATATTGCATCTTTCATTTATTATGGCCAATAAGTTTAATGTCTGCACTCACAACAAACTTTCACTCTACGATCCTCGTTTTTATTCATTTTACTAACTGTTGTAGTATAAGCAAATTTTATGTCGATATTTTATTGCCGATCGATTCCATCTTTATTTAGTATTGAAATATTACAGTCATTAAGTTTTTCAAATATTTTTGTTCTTCTTCTGGAAGTTTATAGTCAAATGTTTTCATTATGAACAGATAACTAATATCACCTTCAGGGTGATCATCCATAAATAGTTCAGATTCTTGATTCCTTCAGGGAGAACATATAACTAACATCCATGATAATATCGCTAACACTCTTGTTAACATAAATAATTTTTCTGGTTATAATAGAGAGTAATAATATGTTTTTAGCACAAAATAAGTATGTAATGATTTTTTATGCTATAACAATAGCACTTTCTATCTTTTCCATTTTGCTCTCTTCAACTTTCCACTTCAGGTAGATTATTTTATTTTCATTAAAATCTATCACTTCTTGTGATTAGAAATATTTTTCGTATCATCACCAATTCTCAATTACATTTGGAACTTCAATTTGTCCACTATTAAATTTCTGACAATTGCATCCTCTTCAGGAAATGCACTAGTTCAATTTGGACAAGTCTAATAAGTTTTCAACAAAGAAAAACTCAATAATTTATTTAATTGTAACAAGAAAACAAATTGCTACATCAGGAGCAATTCCTTAATTTTCTTTGTCAATAATCTTTCACTTCACGGTGAAAAATAATATTTTGTATGTGATCTTCGTGTTGTTATATAAGATTTACTATTTGCAACTTGACTCGCAAAAATAATTCTTCACTTACTTCAAAAAAGAGAAATTATCAAATCAAGGGGCCTCGTGATTTCCCTTAACAAAATCATATTAGTAAATTTAACAAAAATAATAAACTGTTACTTCAGGAGCAATTCGATGTTATACTTATGAATAAAAAATCTCATGAATGTAAATTCATCCAATTATTGAAAATGTTTGAAAAATAGTTATCACTAATTTCCAACTTCTGGTGGTTCGTAATGTTCCCATAATTTGTCTTGACTGACATGCTCAATCATTATCGTCTGTGTTTATTCATATTTATCACTTCAAGTGGTCAGTTTACATAACTATGATATTTGAACAAATTCAAATCCACTTGCTTCAGGAAGTGAAGAAAATATCTTAGAATATGAAATTGTTGCTAATGGGGCAAATTCAGTATATGAGAAATTTATAATAGAAAAGGCCACTACAGGAGCACTTGGTTGTATCTAATATTTACAAAACAAGAAAAGCTTACCACACTCCCGATCTACGGATCAAAATCAACCGCACTCTCAAATCTACGTATTAAAATCTTCTCAGTTGGATAGAGACTCGTGCTGATAACGTATTATAAAATAAATATAAAGAACTGTAGAGATAGAACAATAGAGGGAGAGAACAAGTTGAGAGAGGGAAAGAGAGAATTGATCTGTATTATTCCTGCAGAGACTGCTCTCCTTTTATAGAGGAGATGGATAAAATGATAAGAATAAATAATTATAATATCTAAATATTATCTCTGAACAGTTGATTCTTTTTATAACTCTTCTGACTTGTGAACATCCATATTAAATATTTATAACAAACATCAATACGTGGTATTTTAAGATTTTTAGTAAATCTAAATGTGGTTATTATTTTTTTTAATTAAATCTGGACATCCCTGCTGTTGCCACTGTTGCGGAAGCCTGTATGGGCCAAAATTTGTTGAAGGTGTTAAAGCCCGTATGGTCAAAATTAAAAAGGAGGGAGTATTATTTTGTCCAAGTATAAAAACGAGAAACATGTTGGGGTCTTGTGGACCCGTCAGGTGCATCTCATATTTTATGGAGTTGGGACCGACACAAATTCCATTTGGAAGTGAGAAAATGTGTTGTGCGTGTGATGTGTTAATGTGCATAGGAACAATTTACATGCAAAATGGGAAATCATTGAAAAGGAAAAAACAAAAAAAATAATTCTTCATAAACGATCAAATTCGTTCATTGCATAACACAGGGAGTCAAAAGTACAGAATAGCAATCAATCGGAATACTTTTATTATTATTTATCATTATCCGGGAAGCCGGAGGCCGGAGGAGGAGGTGAGTACAAATGCTCAGGGGATAGGAGAAATGACAATCTTTCCGGTAGCTCGGTGAGAGGCCATAAAGGTGAATGCTTCCACAGCCTGAGAGAAAGGGATTGGGGTCTTAGGATCCAGAACTGGCTTCACCTTCCCTTCTTCAAAGCAAGGGTTCAGTTTCTTCAGCACCGACCCGGTTGAACTCATAACGAAGTGAAAAGCCGGAGGGACTGCCGTCCCGGTGATTGACACCACTCTCCCACCTTCTTTTATCAGCTTCACTGCCTTATCAGATTCCCCTGTTTTTTTTTTTTTTTTTACATTTCAAGAAGAAATTAAGCAGCGTCCATAAACCATTTTATTGTATAGATGAAACGGAATCTCAATTACCGGTGGTGTCATAAACGACGTCAAATCTCTCAGGCAGATCTTCAACCTTCTCGTGCTTGTAGTCAACAGTTAAATCAGCTCCTAAGCTTTTCACTAACGCTGCTTTTGCAGCGCTACAAGTTGCCACCACTCGAGATGCCCCGAACACTTTCTTTGCTAGCTGTCACAATTGACAAACTGCAACTAATTAGGAAAATTAATTAGGAATACGATTTAATCCCAGAAAAAAATAAAATAAAAAAGACCTGAATGATGAGAGTGCCGACACCGCCAGAGCCACCGAGAACAAGGAGTGAATTTCCGGCAGAGAGGGCGGCAGCTTCAAGGCCCTCATATGCGGTTTCAACGGCGAGAGGGAAACCAGCTGCTTCAACGAAACTTAAATGTTTTGGCTTCAAAGCAAGTACCTTTTCATCCACAGCGCAATACTCTGCCACCGACCCAAATTGAGTTGGGTTCAGAGAGTTCTCATTTATGTCTCCGTACACTTCGTCCCCCACCTTGAATTCTTTCACATTACTTCCCACTTTGACTACCACACCAGCCACGTCGTATCCCGGAATGATCTACATATATAGCATTTTTCAAGATCTCAGAGAAAAGTTTTTCTCAAAAGAAAAAAAAAAAAAGAGGAGATTAGCAATACAGAGAAAGAATCAAGTGAAAAGTTTTACAGGGAAAGGAGAATCGGTGCCCTTGAAGGAAGAAGACATCCGCAGGGTGTCGATAGAATTCAGAGCGGCAGCAACAACTTTGATGAGGACTTGGTCATCTTTAACGTTGGGAACATCGAACTCGGGTTCGAACTTGAGGATGTCGGCGGCTACCCCGTGTTGGGTGTAGATCCAGGCCTTCATCTTAGCAGGAATAGTTGAGGAGGAGGATTGCATGGCTGAAATGGTTTAGCTTGTCTGAGCTGTGTACGACAGGAATTAATATGGGGGTAGATTTCGCAAACACACACACCTGATCACAACGTCAATTATATAGCCGTGTGACTCCGTAAATTGAAATATGTCTATTGCCCTTTTCTCTCTTTAGTTGTGGGCTGGATTCAAGTGTCGGTTGGCTTTGAGTTTTTCGATCCAAATGATCTGCTTCTTGGCATGCTTCATCTACATCAACAAAGTGAATCTAAGGCCCAATCAAATTTGTAAAAGGTGAACGAAATGGGCTGATGTCTTTTGATCTTGTATAGAAAATATTTTACATTTTCAGCCGAGTCATTATTGTGCTCCCCACTTCATATGAAAATCTAAAAAAACACTTTTCATGGTTGCGTTGGATAAAATTCATTCTTGGGCGTCAATGTTTGTTTCGTTTTTTTACTGTATGCTTTTAGATATTTTTTTTTGTATTGATAATGTAAAAAAATGTATTAGAAATGTAAAAAGATATGTTAGAATGAGAAAGATATTAATAAATTAATCTGAAAATATCATGAAAAAAATGAAACAAACAAGCTATTCTGAAAGAAAGCTCCGTTCAGTTCAATAATCGAAACAGCTGCTTCCCATTAATTAATTTTCTTACTTGGTTTTACCTTTAAGAGAGGAAAGTGGGGTGTACAGGTTGGGGCTTTTTTGCCTTAAGCATAGAAATTGTATTCATTCATGGGACTAAAAGGTAACCAAATACACAAGGATACATGAAAAAAAAAAAATCATTTGGAGAATGAAGGATGGGACAAGATTGGATCACAAATATAAGGGTCCAGTTTTGCATTTCAGTCAAAATTCTTCGAGGTATACATTTATATCCTACTACAGAGTACAGAGACATAGTCGCTTTTTAGTTTTATACTTCATCAGACTTGAAATTGCACAAAGTGTACAAACATGCCAAAGATCTAAAAGGCTACGTTGACATGGAAGTGCAAAGACTATAACCAGATAAAAGAGAATTGGATGCTATTGCAGCAAAAGCGAGGAAGGACATTGACACAGCGATGCTTGCCATCTCCGGGAATTTGTCCTTTCCCCAATTTAAGACCCAGTCCTCCACACGAGTTGCAGCAGAGGATGATGCAGATATCAGAAGATAGGCAATCATCTGTTGTCACAAGCCACCGAAAAAGAACACGTTTTATCCCCAACCCAATAAAACAGATAACCCAAGTCTTATCATGAAGTTAATCAGTACAATAGATGGATGTAAGCAAAGCCGAATTGAGGACCATATGACCAGAATGATGATTAAGGATGCACATAAAGTCAGACCACCCACGCAATTTCAAAGACAGAAAAGTTACTAATCCGAATCAAAAGGGACCCCAACCCGACTCAACAAACTGCCATGAACTATGAAAAGTTCCAAAACCTGAACGGGTTAATTACTAGTGATTCAGACACTCTAATACGAAAGGAATAATTGAACGTGCTAACCTTTCTTTCTATTGGATCCATGACAATTCTCACAATCAAGACCGCTCTTTTAAACTCATTGAGAAAAAAAAAGCGTGGTCCCCCCAAGGGTCAGAAAAAGAGGTTAGCATCAGGCCCAGCAGTGCCATCATCAACAAGGTTATGATGAATTTCGGATGCTAAAAAAATACTAGTAGAAGTCCAACAACTTCAGAGTCAAATACTAAAAATGGAATAGATTATTGAAGAGATGAACTTGCCTGATCAAAGGCGAAATCGAAAAAGTATCTGTAATGGTGCCCTTGAAGAATTGAACTGCCGGTGATCAATTGGTAACCCAGGTCCAAGGCCTGTGCAGCGGAGTACACAAACACTATCATACTCACCGCGAAACAGTACCTGAAAAACAAACGCACGGATTAAGCAGTATTCAAATTAGTATCAAATTTTAATCAGATTCAGCAAACTGGGGTGATTAACTTTATCCACCAAAATTGAACAAGAGGATGCGAGATAAGAGTTAAGGATCGAACCTGAACTCCTTGTACCGATCGTATGAATCGATCGCCCAACCTTGATTCCTATCGGAGGCCATCACAGATAATGAAACCAAAGAAAACAGAAATCCAAAAACCCTAAACCCTAAAGCAGTCTTCTTTACAAGTTGCTCTCTTTTTGTCCTCCTCAGACTCGTCAACGACGGCCTGAAGCTCCTCCTACTTTCTCCAACCCGCCCACCTTCTTCTACACTTCCGACGTGGCGACCGGCATCTGCCTTCTTTTCCAGCGACGGGGGCTCCTCCGTTACAAATCGATTGACCACCGGTACCGGCTCGGGAGTCTTGGAGGCCGATTTGACCGGAGGGGTGGCTTGCTCTTCTTGCGAGTAGTTTGGGGTGGCTTGCTCCTCTTTCGAGAAGGATGGGGAAGATTCATGAGAGGTAAGATGGGAGGAAATCGACGATCCCTCCGGCGAGTAACCGGCGGACTTTTCCGAGAGTGGGTGTAGCTTGAAGTCTTCACTATTATCAAGAGAGCCCACACTATAATCTTCCTTCTCGGAGGATGCAGACTGCTTCCTATCCCTTTCCATATTTGTTGGTCAAGAACAGATCATAGAAATAACTCAACACTATTGAGGTTTTTTTTTTCCCTTTGTCTTCAAATGTGAGAGAAATGGAACTAAAAAAAGAAAAATTTGGGAGTGAAGAATGAAGAAATTTAAAGGAGGAAAATACAAAAGAGATAGTGACGGTTTTGGTAGTTTATTTACTGGCCCTGAATTTGCTTAAAATTATTTTAAAAATTTCAACCCACTGTGGCTGCTTGACAACGACTGAAAATATACTGAAATCCAGTGGAAATAAAAAAAGTGAACCTTCATTTTAAGTACCCATGAAAAGGATTCTATTCCTCCTGTTCTAAAGATAAAGTACAATTAACTTCATCCTGAAGATATCCAGGCAAAAGTTGAGAGTGGATTTCAGGGAAAACACCCATGGATGTTAATGTGGCCCCTAATGACATCCAATGCTTTTGTAGTTAATTGCTTCAAATTGCTTCCAATTATCCAATATGAGGTTAATACAACAATGGGCTTCCAGAGACAACAAGCTGAACAAGTGTAACATGAAAAACTAGAGCCCAAGGAACCTGAACTTGATTCTATCCTAAAGTTACAACCTGAACTCGGTTCAAGTTTTCCTATCATAATTTCTTTTAGATGCCCTAAGCACTTGAGAAGAATTCATGTGCTTCCTGGTAACGGTCTAAGACAATGTTATAGAGCGGGTGCACTTCTTCCAATAGATTGGAATATGAGCCCAGCACATCCCTTGGTAACGGCGGAGATTCTGTATCTTCCGTCCAACAATATTGACAAAGTGATAATCCACTTAAACAATAACAAGTATGATAATGATCTCTACTCTTTCCTGGTTTATCTCTGAAGCCAGCCTCCTCCTGCAACAACGTTATATAAGGAGTTAGACCGATTCCAGGGAAAATTACAGCAGAACAAACATATCAAATGAATTTGAATGAATCTAAAAAAGAAGACTTCCTATAAATGGAGCTAGTGAATATTACTTGTGAACACAAAAGAAGATATTTCTGCAGATGTATGCTGTTGAAAATAGGTTTCATTGCCCTCTTGCTACGAATAAAATCAATGCCAGTCGACGGTATGCTTGATGGACAATAGAATTCATCTTGCCCTGTAACAAACCAATAAGACAAGAATAAATGTGATTGTATAACTTCATCAAGATGATGAAGATATTATAGTACTATATTAAAATGGGCTACCTTCCTCCTTGAAATGACAAGATCCCGTCAAAGGTTCAGCATGAGCATCAGCATCAGATGATTCTGAATCATAATCACTCTCAGAATCAACGTGTGACCCGTATTCCTTTGGCAGCCCTAATTGGTCACATATAATAGGGTGTAGTACTTGAAATATTGCAGCTACTCCTCCCTGGTCAGTCAAATATTCAAAACTTCGAAAGTCGAAGACAAAACTAGATTATAAGCAAAAGTTGAAATTCACCTGCCAAAAGGAGTAACATCCGTCAACCAGTTTATTTGTCCTTCCTTGAAATCCACCTTCCATACCTTGCCTAAAGACAACCCAGTCCTGGTATAACGACGAGTCACATTATAAAAGAAAAGAATCAGTCGGCAGCATTAAGAGGTTTGGCTCCTCCAATGTTGAACAAAATAGCATGCTTAATTAGTCAAGATGGATACTTCCAAATACACTTAACAAGGCCATATTCTTTATCAAGCTAAAATGGAAAATATGCAAAATACAAGTTAAAAGCATCCATATTTCAAATACATGTCACAGCAGAAGATAAAACGAAGCCTTACAATCAAGCGAGGCAAGTCCAAGCGATGAACCTCATTGATCAGAACCATAGCAGCCAAACCACAATATGTGTACCTAAAAACAAAAATTGGGAAAAGGTGATGAGCTCTTGGAATGAAATGCTTTGCTGAATACATGAGCTCCTAAAGAGCAAGTTACCCATAGAGCACATATACCGCTTTCTTCCACAAAAATCCTAGCACTAGAGCTGTATGCTAGTTGTTCATGTAAAGTCACGAGCAGAGAAAAGCATTCAACTCACCCTCCATGAGCCTCAGAACCAGGTTCACCAGATATTCCACCTTCATAAGTCTGGCAGCTGCACAACATAATCGTGTTCAAACATTTATGAGAAAAAGAATAAAAAAAGAAGGAAAAACAGAAATGAGGCTAGTATGCTAGAATTCACAAGAGCCCCGTCTGAAGGAAAAACAGAAATGAGGCTAGTATGCTAGAATTCACAAGAGCCCCGTCTGACATTAAAAGTGGACACCATATAAGTTATCAGTGAACACATAGAATACTACAAGAAAGTAAACTTGAAGATATAGTTGACAAGTACACTATTCCTACTAAAGCACGATTGAAGTGAATTGCAACACCTTAAATCACATGTTCCTTTGATTAGAAATTCATGGAAAAAGTTTGAGATGGTTAACTTTCTTTCTAAATAAACAAACCAAACACCCATTAGAATGATGAAATAATATCGCAGGGAAAAAAATCCCATACATTATTGTGGGAGCTATGTTCTGCATAAAGAGTTCATGACTCAATTAAGCATTCATCACAGAACCATTATCCAGCATGTCAAACCCCAAGAGATCCCTTTTTTTCCCCTTGTAATGTAACACACCAATATGTTAGAACCCTGAAAGATGGAAGGAACCACACCCACATTATCATTTACTACAAGTCACGTGTCTTAGGCATAGATTTAAAATCCCAATACACAACACCAGCAAGTTATGCAGACAGGGAACCAAATCCATAATGAACACACGGTGACATAAAGAACTCAAAAGCGAGATATATCTTTGATTGTGTCAAATCAACCTTGAAATGTAGTCTCCAACATTTTGAACCAGCGGATCATCCAAAATGTTCAATATACTTGCGACCTGCATGAAACACAAAATATATAAACTGCATAAAAATACTACAATATAAACAACCATGAGATATTAAAAGAAAATCCAATGCATGATGACACAACAAGCACAAATGACATGCGAAGAGTGCAATGCTCCAATGTAGCAACTAACTAAAGGGTATGATCAGACCAGATGTTAATCTTCAAGTTGATAATGAAAACCTATTCTGGTCACTAAAACATTTAGTATCTCCAGAAAAAAGGCCCGTTATAAAATTAATTTTGCAATTCCCCCCCTTAACCAATAATAATGATTTTCTGTGTAGAGCATTACGCCTTTTACAACTACAGAAGAAGTAATGGAGTGCAGAGCTGACTCTGATTAAATATGAAGAAACTTACAGCAATCGCAGTATAACAGGCCCGTACATCTATTTCTCCACCATCATGCATCCTGAGTACAAAATTATAATTGAAAAGTTAGAAAATATTGATAATTAATAATATTTGATAGTGCGAATGAGATATGAGTAATTGCAAGGATGACTTCTTTTTTTCCACTATTAACAATATTATAATGTCCAGAATACGAGATATCTATATTGGTCCTCCCTCCCTCCCTCCCTCCCTCTATCAAACTGACTCTTTTTCCCTTCCTTTTTGCCTTCACTTTGCTGACTCATACAGTAGAACTACTTATCAATGTTCTCTGCTTTCATTAAGAAACCAGAGTTCAAAGGGCAGAAAGGAAAGAGTGAGAAAATCACGCTCATTCTTTAGATGAAGACAACTAACAAGAACACTACAAATTTATCTGCAACAGAAACAAAATTATCACGTTCATTTTTTAAGTTTAAACAATCTATGCAAATGAGCAAAAAGATATATATTAACCTGAATCCTCCACTTGTATCTTTCATCCGCAGCAAGAATTTGTGTAGTTTGCCCCTGGATGTTATAGAATCAAACAAAAAATTTCAAGTGGCGTAACAAACAGAAAATTGAACGACAACTAATACCGATTCAAACCTATTAATTGAAGACAAGGCCCTGAAACTGCCCAAAGTTAGAAGTGCATTTACAGCAGCAAAAGTTGTCGCAAGATGAGGCATCTGAAAATATGTCGGCATGACACAATAAATGAACAGTTGATCAGACACGAGAATCAGGAGTTTGTTCTTTCAACCTAGGTCAGTAAGATTGCTTACAAATAAGTCAGCGATATTGAAACTTCAGGCTAGGGTGAAAGAACACACGGTATCGCTAAGGATACTCAGAGACAATACTCTCTACATTACCCATCAAGTTGGATATGAACTAATTCAAATAAAGATGGTAAGAGTAGATTGTAAACTTGCCTGACCAGGTCCACCACCATAACCACCATCCGGATCCTAGAATGAAACACAAAAAACAGAATTGGCTATAACTCTGAAGATAAGAAAAGAAGCAGAACCAGAAAGGTAATGAACAGACTTTTTCAAACCCAAGTCAAGAATGTGGAATTGTGACATCTAAAAAAAACCAAACAACTTTAGAATGTTATAAAGTGTATTTGCAAAGAGATAATTTGAGACAAAGATGGCTAAATAATTTTTGTTTAGTAGTATTAATGATCTGGAAGCTACCACCCTTCAATTTTTGGGAAAATGGAACACTAGGTGAAATGAAATGAAGCATACAGAATCAATCAAAAGAGATGATGAACTCAGTATCACTGTTGAGCTCATCTTCACTAAAACCATAACTAAGGCTGCACTCTCTTATATGCAAACCAAAATTTAAATTCTAGATTCTACTGAAAGTAATAATGAGAATTACAATAACAAAATCAATTAGGATTTTTAATTTTGGTAAAATTAATTACGATAATAACAGGTAAAAAGATGAGAAGGGGCTGGAAGAAACCTGGCAACGGCAAAGGAAGTCGATGGTATTAGCTTCTATGTTTGGATCAACCGACTCACCCAATACAGCAATTGAATGAAGTATCCAATAACAAATCCAAGGACGGCTGCGGACAGACCAAACAAATACACAAAGAAAATTGAGTTCAATTTCCCAATCTACGATCAATGTAGGTATGTCAGAAATTGAAAACTGGCGAAAATTGAAGTGAAGAAGAAAAGGGCAAAGAGCGTACTTGGCATCCAAAACGCAGAAAGAAGGACCAAGTTGAAGGAGACCCCTGGTGAGATACTGAACGTGATTCTCACGTCGTATCTCCAAGCTATTCTCCGGCAAACAGTGAGATTGAGCAAAATAAAAAACAGCAACAAGCAATTAGCAAGTGTCGTAGGTAGGATAATAACTAGTGCGTGTAGTGTGGAGTGACCATGAGAGTAAAGAACAGAAAGCCCTAGAGAATGAGAAGAGAAGTTGAAGGAACTAACATTGCAGATTGGCTGTTGGGAGGAAGACTGTGGAAACCAGCGTAGATATCGAAGACTTTCCCCTCAACCATCCATTGTTCTTCTTGAGTCCTCGTTCCCGGCACTCTCCCCTGCTCCATCTCGCGATCGTTGTAAGTTCTCAGATCACTTGTTCTCTCTCTTTTTACTTAATTCTCCCCTTTTATCTGTTTTTCCTTGTTCGCCTTATGTTCTTCTCTTTTCTGCAACCTTCAACTGTTTGCTACTTTGCTTAAGAGGGGAGTATGAGTAGAGCTGCCTAATCCTATTCGCTAGCGGGGAAGCATCTAAGGAAGAGTAATTAGTAAGGCCCATTAACGATTTATTTACATTTTCACCCCCTTTGTTAATTGTTACTTTGAGCTTTTCACATTAAATTCTCTCTTTCTTCTCTATTCTTATAAAAATACCACCCTCAATTATATCCCAATAATAAATAAATATTTTAATAAGTTAAGAGACACTCGATGAAATCAGCATTTTAAAAAAATATAAAATAGTCAATAGACAAATACAATATTTTCGAAAATTAAAAATTAATACCTTGAACATCAAAACGAAACAGCGTCGTTTTTTGACGTCGTCCTTCCTATCCTCCGCTGTCCTTTTTTAATTATATTAAGCTAATATTGCTGAAATTTGTTTTTTCCCCAATTCAGTGGTTTTCCCTTCGCCCCAATTCCCAACCGCCAAAACCAAAAACCAATAGATTATAATTCTCTAACTCCCCGCCGTTGCTCAGTCGATTTCAGTGCTGCTAGAGGTTTTGGTGTTGGTGCTGGTGGGACTTTTGGGAAAGGAATTGGCAGAGGTGTCGGCGGCGGCAGTGGCAGAGGTGGTGGAGGATTTGGAGGTTTCTTTTTCTTCTCCGTCGGCCCGATGCCCACCACCAAACAATTTAGTTCGTACCTTTTCTTCCATCAACGTCAGTATTTTCAGCAGCTACTGAGATGAGCAAGCAATTTAGATGAGTTATTGGGTTCGTTTAGTATTGATTTCAATACTTCGTGATGTTTCTGTAGGATTTCAATACTTTCAGAATTCTGTAGGATTTTATTTTTTCGCCTTATATGGGTGTTTTGATTTGCTTTTAGGGTTTAATTTTTCTGGGTTTTAATGGATTTGTCAAATTTTTTTCAAGTTTAGACGCTGCAATTTTCTATGAGCTTGCTATTTCAATATTTTGTTGCGTGGAATTTGAAGTTTGGATTTTCAAGTCTGGCCGTCAGTAATTATTATTGCGTTGTTCTTCTCTTGTTATGCACACTTCAGTGATTGTGGATGCTATTGTTCTTTCTTTTTGTTCTGGGGTTTTAGCGCGAGTTGGATTCTTCACTTTTCAAGTAGTTGAGGAATGTAAATTTCTGCTGTTCCTTTTTTTTTTTTTTTTCCTTCTGTCTTTGTCCCTAAAATAATTGCTTCGTATGTATTATCACATAGAGATGGTTGGAGAAAGCTATTGTTCCAAAGTTGGTTCCTTAAATATTCTATGCTTTGTTTAACTTTTATAAAATTGATGAAACTGACGACAAATGAGAATGATTTATAGAGTTACTCCCTGTGGTTGATGGGAATGTTGTCAGGGTCATTGCCAGACTAAGAGCAATTTCTGCAAATCCAAAGGAGGCTACAACTGTAAAAGTTATTTGGTGAGTTTGCTCACTGCAAACTGGGTACTTTACTTAGGTTTTGGTTTTTATATATAATTAGGTGCCAAAAACTACATTTCTGACGTAGAGGCTCTAAATATGAATTTTGTCGACCATTGCAAAGGAAACCATAGTCCAGTGTACACATCCCATCATACATATTCCACATTAAATATGCACAGTCCTAATCACAACAAATGACCCCAGGATTTAATGTCTTCTTTTGCCTAATTGTTGAGCTTGTCTTCATTTTTGAATATCATCTTTTTCATTAGGAATTTTTGTCGCCTGTCAAGATTAGATTTTTGGTAGGATTTAGCTTCAAAGGTAATGCGCAAGATATTTGGTAGGATTTAGCTACAAAGGTAATGCCCAAGATATGTGAAGGAACCAAAAGAAACTTTGCTTTCAAATTCAAAATTAATCTTCTTTTTTTCTGCTAGTCGTTACTTCAGTCGGGTAGTTGTCATATAGTTTGTAGAGTTGTTTCCTCTTCCTTCATGAATTGTATTTAATTGTTGTTCATAGAGGAAATAGCAGTTCTAGGAAACCACAGTTCTGTCTAATTTTTTGTTTCATGTAAATCTAATATGTTAGGCAGATTTTAGTTTCTTTGCACCATGCATTCATTTGACGCCATAGTTTTTCCCCGTTGTACAACTTTTCTGCAAATGCATCCTATGAAATAAGGAGGACTCATCATTTTAAATATTCCTCTCCATCACCAAAGATGTGATTTTGAATCTGAAATGCAAGCTACAACCAGCAATTTTAATGACATGGTACTATGGTAGTGCCATTAGGAATCACATTTGTCAGCTGTGCTTTGTTTGTAGTAACTTTCGGATATGCTGAAAGGAGAGATTTGGACAACTTCCAACTCAAATTAGGAACATCAGCTGCTTTTTGCATTTTCAAAGATATAAAGAATATTCATTTGCATCACCACATAGAGAAAAATAGCAATACATATCCTCAAGTACTGACATTACATAGATTGTGTAAAATTGAGTATGTTGATATTCTGTTGCTTTTCTCGATGCAGGTTGCTACACTGGGTGCCAAACAAAATTTGCAGCAGCTGGATATAACAGACTGTTTCCAGTTGCTCTTGACAGTGCTGTATATATTTATGAAAATCTCTTGATTTTCTATTTTGCTCGTGATGTGAACAGGAGGGAAAACTGGAATCCCCAGATTATTTGCTTTTCAAGATTCGGGCCCTTGAAGTTTCTCTCAAGGCTGCTTGCACGTTTTTAGACTCTCAGGTGCGTAAAAGATATACATGCTTTAATTTTTAAATTGCAATTAGAAACGCCACAGAGAGACTTGGTTTTAGATCAGGTCAAAATTCGTTGACTTTGGTCCTCTTAAGATCAGTAAACTTTGAGGATTCATTGGGTACCAGATCTAATACGTGCACTTGTATTGGTTGTGACGGCTCGTAATTGTTGTGATGACACACGGGTAGTTATCTGTACTTTCAACTTTCTAATTGATGCCCGATGTGGTATCTGGTTTTGTGTTTGCTGCCTAATTTTGTAGCTTGTTGTTGCCGGTAAGGAGATTAGTTGTCAAAGAGCCCTTGGCCCTTGGTTCGGTTACCTATTCCAAACAGTATAGCCTTTGGAGTTTCAGCGTCAAGTGGAAGCTGGAGTTGAGTAATAACAGGCTAAAGCATTCGACCCAGCAATGGATTTGCATCAATTTTAGACTGTAATACTTGCTGGTCAGTTAGAAGATTTTTAGAGGTTAGATACCTCATGAAATTGCCAATCGTGCGAGACTGCTGTAGCTACACGTGGGAGTACTTATGTAACAGCCTTAGGTGGACTTTACAAGCTGGTTACTGTGGAAGTCCTGAATGATCAGCTCATCAGAAGTAAGCTACAGTAGATTGGAGTTTAAGTTTGCTACAGCTAGAAGTTCCCAACATAGAATCACATGGTCTTTTTGCCATTCCAAAACACAGGTGAATCATTTTGATTGGTGGATTAGATTTATGCTTGAAGAATGTAGTTATTATCATAATTCAAAATCTTGTTTCAGAGCATGGATCTCCATCAAACTAAAATGTGCACAACTGCGATGAGTACTCAAATTGAACTTATAATATTGTGTCAATGCCTTCTTTTTCCTATTTTATTTTATTTTTTTTGGGACAAACTGCCTTAACTAAAAACTACGCTGATTTTATGGTTTTATTCAAATTTATAATTACGTGCACCATGGGTAGAAGTACACCGAGGTCTAATTACGGACATCTTCCTTGAAGTTTTCGTGGTCATAAAAGTGCATACATTATTTAATTATTTTCTTTTTTCTTTTTTGGTAAATCTCCGGTATTGCATACCGAGCTCAAAACTTATTTCCAAAATGTCCACTCTACAATAACAAAGAATACAATACAAACTCACGTCAATCACATGTAACAAATTTCTCATTAGTTCGATTGATTCAATTCAAAATTAATATAAAATGCAGCCTGTTGTAAACTTGTTTCTGAGAAATGTTGTGGTAAAGATTTATGTACACAAGAAAAAATAATAATAAAAAGATATTGCCGGTTTAGTTAACAATTAATCTAAGTACTAGACAAGATGAAAATGAAAAAACATGTAACATTACAGTATAAATAAAAGAATACTGAAATTTATTGCGCGACAAAGAACAACCTAATTTACTAAGAAAATAGTCTGTTTTATTAAATTAAAATATTACACCTATTTTAATTAAAAAAATTTCTTTTCATTTAGTACAAACTGTATTAACATTTAACAGTGACATCAATATTTTATCTTATTAAAACAAAAGTCCAAATGAATAAAAATATTGAGGTATCACTCTTTGGTTAAAAGTTTTTTCTCCAAAACACATCAAACCAAAACTATGTCATTTTGATTAAAAAAATCTTAACTATATGAAACATATTCCTATTACAGATCTATCTACAAATTAGTTCAGTATATTATTAGAAAGAGACATTTTAATTGCGCATTTCACACTAATTCAACAGTTTCTTGCAAAAAAAAAAAAATGATGTTGTTAAGAGTATTAAATTCTTTTCAAATTTCACGGTTAAAATCACCAAAAAAAAATTCAAACAAAATATTTTTTGTAATCTCCTTAAATTTTTACGTGTTAGGTTAAGTGTTATGTTACAAAATTAATAACAATAGGAATAAAATATAAGAGCGCTAAATTAATTACTGTCAACAAAAAAAAAGATAATACGTAATGAAACGGCAAGAAATAATAATAATAATAATGACGATGATGATAATAATACTAATGGAAAAGAGAAATGAAATAGAATGTCCTAAAATGTGTGTAACGTTGCTTTCTTGATTACTTTAGTCTATTATGTGTATACATGCATAAAAGGAGTTTAAGCACCAAAATGTGCTGCCTCCAATCGTGATTTTCCTTTTTCGTAAATTCGACCCGAAATTTAGGAGAAAATCGTGCCGATGAAGTTGGTGAGAATCAGAGTGGGGGAAGTATCTCGCCGGGAATTTCAGCTGTCGTTCGATCGCCGGCGACAGCAAGTCCATTAAGAATCACGTGTGGTTTGACCGGCGCACGGAGGGAAGAGCTTTCTTTACTCCCTTCACTGTAGCTTCCTAATTCAAAATCATCATCAATTTCAAAAATCATCCTTTAATTGATCGATTGCGGTTTTGGTCCGAATATTTTATTTGGCTGAAGCTTGCTTGAGGTGTGAAACTGTTGTGGTGTTCGTCCTGGCCACCTCATCGTCACAGCCGCTTTTGAGCCGGTGTTCGTCACGGCCACCTCATCGTCATCGCTGCTTTTGAACCGCCGGAGTATGGACTTCGTTTCCCTGCAATTTTGTGTTGTTCACTGTGTGTTTAGGGAATATTAGATAAAAGGTTCCCAGTCAGTGGTTATTTTGACTAAAGAGTAAATATGTAACTTATTTCATAAAAAGTCAAATTGGACAATAATTTTAGGACAATTTTTTTTTGGTAAAATGGACTATAATTATAGGACGGAGAAGTAGTTTACATCGAATTTCAATATTTGTATAATTTTTAGTATAAATTTAAAAATTCAATATGAACTATTTTCTTGAGAGTGATGGAGTAAATTAAACTTATTAACTTAGGCCAAGAAAATAAAATGATTAAGTTAGAATATATCATAAACTACTAAAATTTTTTTTTAGTAATAAAGAGAGTGTGATAATTGTATTTTACTCTGCACGTGAATACTTCATTAATAAAAATTATTTTGTTTTTGGTTTTACTTTAAATTTTTGAATTTTGTATCAAATAATTAATAATCTTTTGTTTTTGGTTTTATTTGAAATTTTTGACGTGCAGAGTATTAATCAAAATATTCACATGTAGAGTAGAATACAATTATCATCTATAGTATTTAATTAAAGCAGCAAACAAAAAGGACATGTGTCAGTACCACAATTAAAATTTTCTCGCCAAAAGCTATTTTCAGTACAAAATCATTTTTGACACGTGACACTCTAACTAATAAGAAAAAAAAGATGGAATAGATAAATACATAAATCCTTTAATTATAGCTATATAAAAATCTCTTAATTATAAGTATATACTAATCCCTTAAAACAACAATATTTAGTTGATAAAATCAAATGTAAGGAAATTCCCTTAAATCAGATGAAACACCGGTAATGTCTTCCCAAACTCCAATTTCAAAAGATCTCTTCCATTCCGCTCCTCTCTCACACCCGGGCCTTTAAATCAATTACTTAAAATCTGACATCAATTATCAATCCATCTCTTTCTACAATAGAGAAAAAATAAGCTGTCATGAAAGAAATTTGATTTTTTAAGGATGATTTTTTTTTTATTCTTCTGTTGTAGATATTGGTTTATGTTTTATGTAAACTCATAAGTTAAGTGTTGTAAATTAAATGTTGTAAATCTGGGCATAAATTTATGTGTAATAACTTACTTCGTGTTCTTTCAATCGATTTTTTATTCTTTTAAGAATGATTCGTATTTTTTATTTAATCGATTTAAAAATACAGTCGACACCCCGGGCATTCGCCCGGGGCAAGTATCTAGTACTCTCCTTATTACCGAAAAAAAAAAACACTCCGTAGAACTATAAATTAGTATTACTACAAGTAATGGTTTTTTTGACGTAGTATTGGTCATGCCCAAGTCATCTCAAAAGGATAAGAAAGTATTAATCCGTTACGTTACCTTAGTACACACTATTATAGATATACATAAAAATTCAAAAATAACAGAGATGCACTCCGGTTATTAACAGCTGATTGAGAATAATCCGCAAATGCAATTATTGCTCAATAAAAACTAAAAAGAGGTCGCTTGATTCGTTTATAAAAGTGGAGGACAAGTATACTACTCATTAGCTCTTTGAAATTGATCTTCCAAATCCCTCTCATCAATTTTCTCTGCTTTGGTCATAACGACTAGCAAGAACTAGTTCTAATCAGTCAATTTTGGTTTCAAAAGGGATGGCAATGAAGCGTGTAGCTGCCTCCGCCGTTCGTGCTTTCTCTGCTTCTGGGATTTCAAATCCATCAGCTTCAACCCGACACCTTCATGTAAGCCATCCTCTTTGATTATTTGTGTTTTTCTCCCTTCAGACGATCAATCGCTACTTTGAATTTAGAATTTTTGCTCGAATTTCCCGTTTTGATTTTTGTTCTGATGATCAGTTCCTCCTTCTCATCGGCCGTTGATCGATGATGAGGGTAAATTGATTGTTGTCCTGGAATGCTTTCTAAGATCACCGCTCATCGTCGGTGACGATTGGCTATGCAATTTTGGATGATTATCTTCCCTTGTAGTACTGATTTTCCACCTCGTTTTTTCATTTTTTCTTTTCACTTAAGTATATTATAAATTTTCAACTCATGTCTATCTCTTAACTTAAAGTCGTCTTTTACGGCCCACATCTTTTGTTCTTCGTCTATTCCTAAACAGAGCCAGAAATGGACGTGTCAATTATAATTGTTTTTGTTTTCCCCTTTTTTAAAATTGAGTTCCAAATATCCGGATCGAATGATTTTTAATAACATCCCGGATTTTTTTTAATAAATAAATTAAGAAGCTTTTTTGTTTTTTTAAAGATGTCTCTTTTATATATTTTCTTTGTCTGTTTCACGGCAATTTGAGTAATTACAAACAATTTACATAAATGGATTTATATGAGGGAAGAAAATGAATGATGTAAACAGACTAACTGGCTAAGTTCAAACTTGTAAACAGGCCCCTGCTGGTAGCAATAAGATCGTGGGTGTTTTCTATGACGCCAAGGAATATGCAGCTAAGAATCCCAACTTCCTTGGCTGCACTGAGAATGCTTTGGGGATTCGTCAGTGGCTGGAATCACAAGGACATCAATACATAGTCACTTCTGACAAGGAAGGACCTCATTCTGGTAATTCATCAGTTTTCATAAATGACTATTCTCAATTTAAATTTGTTCGCAATGCTTCAGACTTCAGGTATCTGGCCATCCGCTGTTTGCAATTATATTCCTAAGTAGTTAGTACAGCAGTGTGCTTGCTTTGGAGTAATTATAAACTGCCATCAGTTATTAATTCCTTTGTGCATACCTATAGGTTTTGTATAAGATGCTATGTTAAGAGTAATTTCTCGACTTTTGAACTATAACATCCTCTGTTTTGGTGTTTGCGATTGCAGAACTTGAGAAACATATTCCAGACCTCCATGTGTTGATCACTACCCCGTTTCATCCGGCCTATGTTACAGCTGAAAGAATCAAGAAGGCCAAAAACCTTCAACTAGTGCTGACAGCTGGAATTGGCTCTGACCACATTGATCTGAAAGCGGCAGCAGAAGCTGGTTTAACAGTTGCAGAAGTCACTGGGAGCAATGTCGTCTCAGTCGCTGAAGATGAACTGATGAGGATCCTCATTCTTGTTCGTAATTTTCTCCCTGGATACCATCAAGTTATCAGTGGTGATTGGAATGTTGCTGGTATTGCTTACAGAGCTTATGATTTAGAAGGCAAGACTGTTGGAACTGTTGGAGCTGGACGTATAGGCAAGCTTTTGCTGCAGAGGTTGAAACCTTTCAATTGCAATCTCCTCTATCATGATCGGCTCAAGATGGACCCTGAGTTGGAGAGTCAGATTGGCGCTAAATTTGAAGAAGATCTTGATGCTATGCTTCCTAAATGCGACATCGTTGTCATTAATATGCCCCTCACAGAGAAAACAAAGTAAGTCTACCTGCTGATTCTAATGGTGGTCTGCTTTCAGAACACCCTTGTCGTGATATTGATCTCAGTTATGTAGACAGTACAATGAATTTGCTAGTTTAGTTGGTTCCATCTTAATCTTTGTGCTAATATCTGCCTATTTGCATTCAGGGGAATGTTTGATAAAGATAAGATTGCTAAGTTAAAGAAGGGTGTTCTTATTGTGAACAATGCTCGAGGAGCAATCATGGACACCCAAGCAGTTGTGGATGCTTGCTCTAGTGGCCATATTGCAGGTGACATATCATTGATTAGTATAACAGTTTCAATTGCAAATAATATCTGTCACAAGAAAGAACTACTTGCTGTTTCAGACATTAATTTTGTCAACAGCCAACACATTCCTGATGTTGCAACAATAATGGCTGTCAGGGAACAAATTTTAGCAACTGAGTTCGAGCCATAGATTGATTTGAACGGAGTTGTCGCCTTGTCTCTGTTATATATTATCGACGCGAAAAGAAAGTAACAAAGCTATTATCAACTTTCCTCATTTTAACTAGTTTGTTCATTCTTGTTTCTGTGACAATTAGGTTACAGCGGAGATGTTTGGTATCCACAACCAGCTCCAAAGGACCATCCTTGGCGTTATATGCCAAATCAAGCAATGACCCCTCACATTTCTGGCACTACCATTGATGCACAGGTAAGTATCTCCTGGCATATTCACTATTCAGGCAGGAAGCCAAGTTTAATCACAATACTTCAGAGACCATAAGTTTGTCTTTTGGTATTTGAACACGAATCCTTTGGAAGTTCTAAAACCTATAATGTATATGTTCAAACAATTCCAGATACGCTATGCAGCAGGAACAAAGGACATGCTTGACAGGTATTTCAAGGGAGAAGAGTTCCCTCCTCAGAATTACATAGTCAAGGATGGAGAACTCGCCAGCCAGTATCGTTAAATCATTATGTGCTTCACGAGCTTTAGCCATTGGGCCTGTCGTGAATAAGGTGGCAAAGAGAGTTCTCAATTCATCATGAGATTAATGTGATGCCTCTAATTTAGCCTTTTCCTTTTTCGTTTGGTGGTAATTCTAATTTGTAAGTGTTGTTGGAGTGAGTGACCTTGTGAAACTAGATACTTATGAAGGGAAAGATTTTCAAAATAATGCGATTATGAAATAACTAGAGAGCAGAGTTATGCTATAACTTTCAATTCAAGTGTTGAGAAAAAAACCATAAAATGATCTTCCCTTTTGGTCGGGAAAATTTGACAAAAACATGATCGTCCTGATGAGCCCAGGAAACCCATCGAAACTAAATCAAAGCTTTTTTTTTCCTGGCAAATTATTTGGTGGCTCTCGGGCTTTTTTGTATAGCCGATCGTAAAAATAAAATTTGGTCTATTTTTTTGTGATATGAGATGGAGGGGATTTTACTTATTTATTTTTAATTGTTAACTCATTTTTCTGTGGTAATGTTTTAATTGATTTAATGAAACAATTAGTTCAACAATCAATGGTTTTGTGACATCAACGAGTTCGAAATTCACCTGGAAGGCGCTTCCGTGAGGAAGGATTAATAATTTTGGGTAACAAAAATCAAAAAATGGAATGTAGATTTCTAGAATGTGCATTTATTTTATATGCCAAATAACCAATTATTAATTTTTTTTCACAAGTTTTGACAAGTTTTGCCACTTTAATTTATTTGAGACGATAAATGTAGTTTCTTCTTTTTTTTCTAACGAAAATAACACTAGTAGTAGTAGTAGTATAGGATTGAAAATGAATTCTTTTATGTAGTATTTTTTTTTTATCATGTGGTCGTGTAATCTATGTAAAAAAAAAGAGAGTAAATGTAAAGCACAATAAAAAAATCTTTATTATTTTTGCCAAAGTGCTTTTAGGAGAAAAAAAAAATTATACTGGATAGAGAACTCAACGGATGGCCTGGATAGGCCATCTCGAATCTGAAAATGTGGACGGCCAAGATTTTCTGAGAGTAATCGACAGGTCAACGGTCGAGGATCCAACCACCGATCGTTCAGAAAAGCGACTTACGAGGTGGCTCCATACATTGTTTTTTTAACCCAAGGACAGCAGTCTACAGAAAACAGTGTAATCAGATCCCCCCAGTACCTCGGTTTTCCTGCTTCTTTTCCCTCTTCTCAGCCATCTCAAGGTAAATTTTTTTTTCCCTGTACACCAAATGGTAAACGCGCTTTCACGCTAGTGATAGAGACATATGTAGCTATTAAACCTTGCAGTGGTTTTCTATCAGAAAATATTTGGGCTTTCATTAATTTGCGCCTGTATTTGAACCCCCAATGTGTTCTTGTTTGATTTTAATCTCTGATTATATGTTGTCAATTAACTTATTACTCCTGGGATTGAAGTCGAATTTTGTGTTAAATTTGTTATGTCAAGCGACTTTTGTTTGATTTTTATTTAAGCGTCTCTTTACATTTTAGTTGCATGCGAGAACGTTCTTGTGGTTGGGTATGATCGGTTGATCTTTGTGGCAGTGACTGATATTGAAAGAACTATTGTAATCTCTCCGAGCAGACATATATTGTCAATTAGTTGTCAGTTGACACTGATGTAACCATGTGCTTATGGCTTAGCTTGCTTAAGGTCTTCTGGTTATATCATGTGAATTTGGTATTTTTAAATTTAATCAAGAATTTGATGGTAAAGTTTGGAATGCAATATGTTAGGGAGACAAATTCAGATACTGAAGAAGATTATTGGATTTCTTTTTTTATCATGGCGAGGTGATCTTTCTCATCCTTATTGAAGGGATAATGATTTTACCTCTTCAACATTTATAGCGAGCAAATGTTTGTTTGTATATATGATAGGTAATTCAAGGATATTTGTGGCAATGATTAAAATTGTTGAAAGATCTTTCATAATCTATCTATCAAACAAGACATATCTTGTCTGTAAGTTAATTGATGACTTTGATGTAAATATGAGCTGATGACTTAGCTTAGCTTGTTTGAAGTCTATTACCAGTTTCAATTTCTTTTGGTTACATGATAATCTGTAAATTTAGTGTTTCGAGTTTTGGGCCGTAACCTGGAATGCAACATCGTGGGGAGAAAATCTATTACCATTGTGAAAAGATTTGTGGATTTTCATTACTACCAGATGTTTTTCTTACTTCTCGTCCTTCTTACTGGCTGGATAATGGTTTTATTTCTTTCTAGGTTTTGTTTAATGGCGGAAACCAAAACTATGAGGAAACCGGTGTTTACCAAGATAGATCAGTTAAGGCCTGGTACTAATGGACACAATCTTGTAGCAAAGGTGGTCAGCTCGAAGACGGTGCTGCAGAAGGGTTGTCCAGATGGACCCCAGGTGCGTCAAATGCGAATTGCTGAATGTTTGATTGGTGATGAAACAGGGACAATTGTTTTCACGGCCAGGAATGACCAAGGTAGCTTTCTTGTACTTGATACTCCTGTTCAGGTGGAGTATTGTTCATAAATCATAACCAAAGAAGTTATATGGGAATGTTGTGGAGATTATTGCACTGAATGTTTGGTTACATTTCTTACTTGCAGTGGAATTGATGAAGCCTGATGCTACTATAGTCTTAAGAAACGCGAAAATTGACATGTTCAAGGGTTCAATGAGGCTTGCTGTAGATAAGTGGGGCAGAGTAGAAGTGACTGAGTCAGCCAGTTTCACTGTCAAGGAAGACAACAACCTTTCTTTGATCGAGTATGAACTTGTCAATGTGGTGGAGGAATGATTGCTTGGATGTTATTCCATTTGCTTTCTGGAATCAAATCTGCGAGCCCATGAAAGATTCAGCTTTAATGGTATTTAGGGGTATAATCTGTTGAAGCTATCGAAATGCTCTACTACGAGTGATGCACATGAAATTTCTACTAGGAACAAAGTTCTAACCTATGTTTGAGAAGAAATGTGACAATGGCATGATGGTCAGCTGGGCTCCTGTGCTGGTCAGATGAAACACTACCCTTGCGCTTCTCAGTGTGTTTGGGCAATGGGTTGTGACAAAAGAATCTTTATCTATATTGTTTCACTTCTCAATGTCAGATGTCTTTCAACTGGATGTTATGCCATATATTGAATGTTAAATTTTGCAAATATTTGTTGCTGTTTCTTAGTTACTGTAGCCTGGAGGTAGAGCTTACAAGACCTCCCTGCCTCTTTCAAAACTCCTAGTAAATCTTAAGCTTGTCTGCTCGAGTATGGTTTCTCATTTCCCCAATAAAAAGATTATTACTATATGGTTCAAGCTCATCTCCTTAAAATGTTAAATTTACTCTCTTCTTCCCAAATAAAATGATTTTAACGTTTATTGTACGAGTTGATATTGTTTTCTTCTTTTGGAATGGAGGAAATATTAAGACTACTTTGTGGAGGAAGTAGAGGTTTTTTTTTATATTTTATTTTTTGTTTAAAAAGCATATCATAGCATGATGATGAGGCTAACTGGTAACTGCCTTGATAATTACATAGCTAAATGTCACTGCAAAAAACTGGCTCTATCCATTAGGATTCAACAAAAAGGATCTCTCATTTTATAAAGCCCATAGAAAATAGTCAAGAACTCTTACTGAGCCCAGTCCAAAAAATATGGGATCAAAAAGCCCATTACTGTTCGGATTCAATCTTCGTCGTGTAAGTGAATATGATATAGGGTTTTTGCTTTTTGCATAGTTGAGGGGGTTTAGGAATTAGGAAAGCTGAGGAAAATGGCGTCCAATTACGGGGGAAGACTTCTTCAGAGATGTTCGAATTCGGCCAAGGCTTTCACGAGTCCAGCCACCCGATTAGCTTCTGTCGCCTCTGGTTCATCTAAGCTCGGTGGACTAGCTCCTTCGATGCCTTCCTCCACTTCTCGCCTTGCTCGTCGCCAGCGTCTCTTCTCAAACTCGAGGTGAACTCTTTTTACTCAATCACATATGCATGTTATTGAAGTGTCATGTTCCGATTCAGTAATTCGATGAACATTTTCGATGTTTTGCTTGATATTTTTAATATTAATGGCTGTCACAATCTGTGTTTTAAACTTTTCGAAACGGGTTCAGGCTGCCGTTGGCATTGGGTTGCGGTCAGTCATTAATTCCTCTTCATTCCGTTACTGCTTCTGCCTTGCTAAAGTCTATGCTGTCTTCAGAAGTTGGCCAGTGGAGCTGTCTTTCGGAAGGTATCTGCTTGCTCCTAACATCCTACTAAATTTTGTTGCCTAGGTGATGGATTTGCTTATACACTGCTATAGACAAGTCTTCTAGGCGTCAAGAAGTCAATTTCATTGTTATTTACCTCAAGTTTAGGGCAGATCAGGGACTGGTGAATTAAATTAAGAAACTTATCAGGGTTGGAATAGTCGGAGTAAACAAGTGCCTGTTGTTAGGTTTGATTCTTAATTCTGCAGGGTCACTGACTTGCTGAATGTGCATAGTTAATTGGTTTATTATTATTGTTTTTTGGTTGATTGGCTTTATGTTATTTGGCCGTGATGCGCACTGCTCTCTGTGAAGGCTAGATGTGATATGACCAAACTGATGAGTGTGTTTCCGGATGGAAACTAGTTCAATGTAGATTCTCTTTTGAACAATGCATATATGCAGATGACCTAAGCGTGAGAGGATGACATCTAATTGCTAGTTTATATTGATAATCATCTAAGAGCTGCTACCAGGATTTTAGGTTGTTGCCTTTTGTGAACTTGGGACTTTATAGAGGAAATGCTAGGGTATTTGGGGGCTTGCATTTATGGAAGGTGTTTAGAGCAAAAAATGAGCATATTCTGTATATTTTCTGTATCAGGGGGAGAGATTGTTGACTACATGGGATCTTATCTTACCATGTTTCTGAAGGATTGTGTTTCGATATTAACTCTTTAATGATAAGATTTGGTCGGCTTGTTTGTTCTTTAACCTTCCTATCTTATTCAATATAAAAAATGCTATTTTTCATGAGAGCTTTTATGAAATTGTCAAGTTGTCCAATGTTAGCAGTTACATTGTTTCATTTTTTTCCCTTCTCCTGACAGGATTCGCCACCCCACTATAGCAGGACCCCATTCAGCTCAAACACACACAGAATTGTAGCCAATGAAAGCTGCTTCCAATCTTTTGCTTTCCTTGGCCTCAACAATAATATTCTCCTTTGTTAACTGGGAATTCAATTCACTTCATACTAGGAGGTCTGTTTGTGATCTATACATTCTGCCTCCAATTGTGAGATATTTCAGTTTGACATGCAATCTTCAGCTGGTTCTCCAGCAGGCTCTGACTAATTAACTTATGTAGTTACATTGCCTTGTTAGAATTCTGGGTTTTGGCATCAAAGGTGGGTAATGTATATGGTTTTAGGTTATGCTTGATTAAAAGTTTTAATTCATTTTCCTCCTGCTGGCTCAGCACAAAGAATAGTTTTTTGAAAAGTTAAATGATGTTTCTGTTTACGGAAGGTTGCATCAGTAAATTATGCTTCTATTCATGTGTTCTCCAGGGAGAAAATCAAGTTACAGCTCTTATGTTCATGATAGAACAGATACCCTTGGTCTTCTAGTTGGATGCATCGATTTGCATTGGGACTTGTAGAAAGAAATTTGACAACTTAAGGGGGTTAAGGTTGATGGCTATAATTTTAACTATCAGAGTGATGTACCATGCATAAAGCATCATTCATAGTCCAAAATTCTTATCACAACTCAACTTCAAGCCTACCCACACTTGTTCCTTAAAAACACATTTTTTACCTCTTAGTGGCAATACACTCTCGGGTCTAAGTCTTTCCATCACAGTAGAAGAAATGTTTATGGTGTCTCATCCATCTGCTTGAGAAACTCCAAGTCCTTCAACTGCATTTGCACAGCTTCTTTTGGCAAGGTTTTAGCCTCTGCAAACTTTGCTAGTTCATTTCCTTCTCCTAAAGTCTGTATCTTCTCTTTTACAATCCTTTCAATGACTGGTAGACCTACAGTGGGAAACACAGAATTGAGCATGACAGGCAGCAATCTTTCATCTTCTTCTTCTACCGGATCCGTACCAAAACAGCAGACATAAATAGCTTCAAGTGCTTTCTCAACTCGAACTTCCATTGGGATGGAGGGGGCAGAACCTCTTAATCTTGAACGTCGCTGTAAAAGAAACACCAACATCTATCATCATAAGATTACGACCACTACTCTAGCTAGTTATCACTGAGTTGTTCGAGTACCGCTAGAAAGTTAGAAGCAGCAACAGGTATCGCTACTAGTTACTACCACTTTGATAAGGTATTTTAAGTCCAGACCGACTAAGTGACTAACCTCTTTTGCTTCGCTCATCATCGCCAGAAAAGTTTCCTCTTCGAATTCAATATCATTGGATAACCGAAGCCTAGCTACTCCTTCCAAAATCTCCTCTGATTTGAGGAGGCCAGCACCCACAGCAGCTAACCAACAGCATAGCAACACATGTAAGGGGTCCCCTGACTGCTCATTCACAAACAAAATCTTCAAATTAGTAACCCATGTATATACTTGTAATAGGATTTAGCTAGGGGATGATGCTAAATTTATCTATCATTGGAAGAACATAGAACACAGTATTTATAAGATAAGTGAAGAATACCTGCCCATGTCGTTCCTGAAATTCATAGAAAGCTCTGGAATCATTAATGGAGCATTTCTTCCCAACCCTCCTCCTAAACTCGGCGAAATCGATTAAATCACCGCCAACGCCTCCTTCATCGCTGATAATTCTGGCCACGAGGCCTATGACAGGGAGGGAACCAATGACTTTATTAGCAAAACCGGAGAAAGTGTTGCTTTCTTCCATGTAAGCTCGAACGAGTAAGACCCCATTGCAACTTGGAGCTCCGGGCCTGGTGGGGATTCCGTAGAGATGGCGCAAGTAAAGAAGAGAAGAAGATGAGGGATTCTTGCAGGAATGGTGGGAGCACCAGGCGGAGGAGTGTAGATTAGTTTGGAGAGAGGACACCACAACCATGGCGGATAGAGCTGCGCTGATGTTGGTTCCTCTCTCGTTGAATGCTGGCCTCTCAGCCCGATTCTGATCTTTTTTCGGGAAGCAGTTTCTTGTCTAATTAGTTTGGTTGCTCCCCATTGAGTAGATTTGCTTCTGTTTCTGGACAGCAGAATGATATGCTAGAAATCAACTTTTTCTTATCCAGATGAAGGAGAAATGCAATTCTACTGAAGATATGTGCTATCTCATTGGGTTTGGGCCTGGTCCGAGTGATGCCTTATTTAATTTCTTAGTACATGCTCCTACATTATTTGCGCCCCCATTTGTGCATTTTCTTCAAATTTATATCTCTTAGTTTAAGATATGTGCATTTTCCCAATTTCTGAGTTTTTAGGATTTTTTCAAATTTAATTGGCACAGCTAAAAAAAAAATCCTACAATCTATATCTATTATCACTAGTGATGTCTGGTCGCGCAATACGCGACCCTAGCCCAGTCTATCTGTAGATCTTAGAAATGTTTATATTTTAAAAAAATAAAATTTTGTATTTGGAGCGATATATTTTAAAAATGTTTGAAGGATTTAGAAATGTTTTATAAGTGCGATCATAGAAATATTTGTATTTCGCAAAAAAATAAATAAATTGTATTTCGCCATGTATGTTTTAGAAATGTTTTATAAGTGTTACTTATTAAATATAAATAGCTTAATCGAATATATGTGTTGAAGTAAATGTTAGATAAAATATAAAAGCATCCTAATAAATTTAAATATTAGTAAGATGATTTATTGATGTTCTCCATTGGTCGTGCCAAATCAATATTTAGTTTTGGAGATTTTTAATAGCTTTGTAATAAGTTTCATCCAAAAGGTATGCGCTTAAAACAAAATTGACACTTTGTAACAAAAAACCTAATTGATCAATTCAATTTAAAAAACCACTCTAGTTTAATAAAACATAAAGAAAAAATTAAAAAAAAAACGTGTCACGTAAAGTGCAAAGGGAGATTTAGTAATTTAGTTATGGTTAGACAAAAGGGCAATTTAGTATTTTCTACATGCCACGTGGCAATCATATAAGGTGTTTGAAAGAGAGGTTTTTGTTTCTAATATAATATAAAGTGCAAAGGGAGATTTAGTAATTTAGTTATAGTTAGACAAAAGGGCAATTTACTATTTTTTACATGCCACATGGCAATCATATGAGGTGTTTGAAAGGGAGGTTTTTGTTTCTAATATAGTAGGATATACTATATTAAAGCAAAATAAATTTGTGAAATAAGTACACGTGTCACACTAATGTAAATCCATTTCCCGCTTAAACTAAATTCAGTAATACGCTAATGAAAATCAAATTATGGGATATTTACTAATACCAAGATCATGGAATATAATGCAGTTAATAATGACCAAAATTTTGAAAAAATGTGCACTTAATATTAGGAATATTATGCATTTAATAATGACCAAAATTAAAGAATATTATGAATTTAATAATGATCAAAATTAAGGAATACAATTAGTTATCACGTCCGAAATTATAGATATTATTCATTTAATAATGATCGAAATTAAATAAATATAATACATTTTATAATGACCGAAATTAGCGAATACATTAATCATTGTTTTGTCAAATTATGGAATATATATTGCCGAAAAGATTTTTTCTTTCGAACGATCATTATTATGCAAAAATATGCCGAATTCATAATGACCGAAATGATTTTTCTTTTTTTTTTGCCGAAATGATATCAAACCATATCAAAAAATATGAACACCGATAGAGAAACATTGCTTGACTTGAGAGTTTAGTTGCTCAACATATAAAAGTAGGCTTAAAAAGCATTAAGTGCTTATACTACTTTTTTGGAGGGGCGAAAATAATAGCATTGGCAATCTTAGGGTGGAAATTGCCAAATTGGAAACCGTAATTGCAGATTGAGGAGATGGGCCTAGGTCCCAATATATGGCAATTCACCAGTAGCCATAAATCAAAATGGGGCCCAAATTTGGTTCCAACAGAAGAACAAATGATGTTCACGCGGCATAGGAATCGGAATAAAGAATAAAAATTTCATTAACCCCTTTCCCATTTAGTGGCTGGCTGGTGCTGCAGACGACATACTCCAAACACAGAGCTTTTGGCGGCACTGCTCATCACTTTACTCAAAGTTGGTCTGCAGAATCTCCTAAGTCCACACCAACACTCTACTCGATTCCGGTACTAATCAAAATTCCTTTATTATCTCTCAGACATCACGGTTCTCAATTTTCAAAGCGACAGAGTTTTTATAGGCATTTCAAATTACTCACTCATCCCGTTTTCTCCACCCTCTCTCTACCTGATCGTCAGAAAATCTCAATTCAATTCAAACCTAAGCCTAATTGTGCTAGGGCATTTGAAGTTATCCGCAACTAACGAGTTTTCAGTTCTCTCTTCTCAAGTTGATTTTCGGTGTTTCTTGATTTTTGGTGCTCAGTAGTTGGGAGGCGGGGGTGTTCATGGTCATGGGAGCGTACCGCGACGTTGACGTCTTCTCGTCACAGAGTAGTGACTTTGTTTCTTCTTGTCAAGATCTGAGGTTCTCAAAGCACGTCCGTGATAATGTTCACGGCAACATTTATCTTGATCCGGTTAACTTCTTTTCTTTTATCCGCCTTTTCTTCGTTTCAATTTTTCTTGTTCTGTCACTGATGCATGTGTTAATTCCAGGAGGTCTGGTGTGCCTCTGTGTTCAATGCATGTTTTCTAGGAATCGTACTATTCCAGTACTTCTTATTTTGTAAGAAATTAAAGTTTGTTCTGAATTAATTTCTCTTGTGAACATATGGTTAGTCATCAGTTCAAGAATTAACTGATTTAGTCCTAGTTTTTGGGACTAATATATGTAATGGCAATCTTACTATGAAGTAGTATGCTCTAGGTTAACCTATGTTAGTGAAATGAAGCCTTGTCAAGAAATAAAGTATAAGTGAATGATACAGAACTGTATGTTATCCTCTTTCTTGCAATTTTAGCCTACTTTGGTTAACATGTTTTGTAATTATTCTGTTTCTTTCTGCTATAATGATCCATCTCGAATCAAAATTCAGTTATTTTGACTTGTCTCTACCTCCTTGCAGATTTCCTTGAAGTTCGTTGACACTGAACAGTTTCAAAGGCAAGTTTGGATCATACCTGTGCCACATTCTTGTTGTACTGCGTGTTATCATTGTTCTTTTACATTGCAACCTAAATCTGCATTCAATTGAATTTCCTCAATAGTTAATACTTTTTTCATCTCTCCAATGTGATTTTTCTATGTTATAATCGTCTAGACGATTTAACATACTTTTTTTAATCTCTCCAATGTGATTTTCCTATGTTATAGTTATCTAGATGATTTAATAATTATTTGGAAAACCATATATGCTGACTTCAATTTTATTTTTATTTTTTTCTACTCACAGGCTTCGTGAACTTAAACAGCTTGGTAAGTCCTGGTGCAACTTTCTATTAATTTGTTTATGTCTATGTATTTTATATATTGAATCTAGGTTAGAACTCTAGGTGCTTTCAACATAAAGATTTTCAAAGAATTACTTTTGTTTTCCTATTTAAATGCCATGATCATGATTGATTTCTCCTTCATCTATGCTTGTACGAAGAAGTAATGAAATGGAAAAAGACTGCAATTGATCACAGAATTGCTGTACAGAAATTTCAACAGGGATACAACATTAAATCAGTTTTAATGATAAACATTGCTTGAAATGGTATGTAATCAAAGTCTTCTACCATTTTCTAGGTATGGCGCACATGGTTTATCCAGGAGCAGTGCATTCTAGATTTGAACACTCTCTTGGAGTTTATCGTCTTGCTGGTGAAGCTATTCTTAAACTCAAGAACAACCAAGTAGGGTGTTTGTGTAAAATTATTCTGTCATACTAAAACCTCAAACGCGCATTTTATGCTCTTATTTACTCAAAAAATTTGTTATCGTAGGGCTTGGAACTTGGTATTGATAATTTCGATGTACAAACAGTGAAACTGGCAGGTGAGTATGTGCATTGTGTTATTTTTATCCTACAGGGTAAACACAAAAGTCACTTCATTATTTTGGGCGAGTTCAATCCTTTTGTTATGGCGTCTATTGCAGCCTTAACTAATGTTTGACTTCAATTTGCAGGTCTTTTGCATGACGTAGGCCATGGGCCTTTTAGCCACTTGTTTGAAAAAGAGTTTCTCCCAAAAGTCCTCAATGGATATGAATGGTAATTGGTTTTTTCTTATTATAATGCAATGAGAGTTGGCTTTCTTCTCGGGGCTGAAGCAATTAAAATTAGAGTTAAAGACCTTGTTTACGTGGTCTATGCAAACTTGCATCTCATTCTTATTACCATCTGCTTTTAATATTCATGCCTTCCATGTGGGTATTGACTAGATTTTCCGATTTTGCTACTAATGACAGGTCTCATGAAAAAATGTCAGCGGACATGGTTGATTGCATAGTCGATGAACATTATATTGACATTGACTCTGAAAAAGTCAAAACAGTCAAGGTAGGCTTGAATGTACTTTATATATTACCCATATTCTGCCTCGAATAAATTCCTTTCCTGTTGCCCTTGCATTTGATTCGTTTAAAGACTTTGTTGGTAAGAAAACTTCAGCTAACTTTTGTCGGATACTTTTCTGCTAGCTGTTACAAAAAAATAAAAAACTAAAATTATAATAGTAATAAAATTGATCAAAGTTTTTCGTTAAAAGCTTCGTTAAAATTGTTGTAGTGTACTTTTTCATGTGGTACATACTAGAGGAGTACTAGATGCAACCATTACTTTGGTTTCTCGTGCCGGCTTTCATGGTGTTTATAACTGTTACTTTTTGGAAGCATTTATAAGATGCTTGTCGATTCCCATCAGCAATTATGATCCTCAAGACAGCATCAACTGTACTTATGACCGTTAAAGTGCTGTTTATGATTCATGAATCCTATGAATTTAGTACTTGAACTTGATACTCATGTTTCTAAAGTTTTTTTTTCTATCTTTTACGGAATCTTTATCTGCTATAGTTCTTGTACTCTTTTGTCACTCAGCCTTTCCATTATGTCTTTGCATTACCATGACGTGGGTCTTCTAAAGATTTTATATAATACTCTCTTTGATAATTTCTTCACAGGAGATGATACTTGCAAGTTCCAAGTTTGCGTTGCCAAAGGTTGATTCTTAGTCATTCCTCGTCCTCTTGGTTCAGTTGGCATTGGCTTTTTTTTTTTTCCTTCTAAGAATTAGCTTCTGGCTACTTAAACTCTCGACAAACTTTGCTGCACTCATATTTTACCTTTATCTATGTCATATGCAGAGTGCTAAGGAAAAGCAGTTTTTGTATGACATTGTGGCAAATGGTCGAACTTCAATTGATGTTGACAAGTTAGTACATATAAAAATTTGCTTGTGTTAATCGATATCATGTAAAGCTTCTTGTGTTACTGTAAGGGAAGATATTGGTTATATCAATGAGATTTTGAATTCGTTGGCAGGTTTGATTACATAGTCCGTGACTCCCGAGCATGTGGTCTAGGATGCAACTTTCAGTTTGAAAGGTTTCGTTTATTCTTCTTTATCTGCTGCGGCTGGTGTACTTGCTGCAACTAATGCAAAGAAGAGTATACAATGCATTGACGCTTGTCGAAAATATTTGTTTGTCTTACAGGTTGATGGAAACTATGAGAGTTATAGATGATGAAATATGTTATCGATCAAATGATTGTAAGTATTGTATTCAAATATCGTGCGTTTATTGTTAGGATATGTAATGTCACTTCACTAACATTTCAAAGAGTATGAATTTCCAGATCTGACCATTCACAAATTATTTGCTGCTCGAGCTGATATGCATCGAACAGTTTATACTCATGCAAAAGTGAAGGTCTGCCACAACTCTTTGTCAAGTATCTAACTTGATTAGAAAAATTAATCACTGCAAGGAAGATTTTGGTTTCATACCTTTGCTGTAGAGTTTGGGATGTCCAAATTTATTTCGTTGAGATTTCTGCAGGCAATTGAACTGATGGTAGTGGATGCCTTAGTGGAAGCAAATGATTACCTGGATATATCATCTCACATACAGGACCCCCGTGAGTTTTGGAAGGTTCGTGAAGCTGTTCATGTTAATGTTCCTGCTTCCTTTTTTTTTTTTTTTTTCCATTTGTATAGAGGGTTAAGATATTCTTCATGGATGCAGCTCGATGACACTATAATCAAAACAATCGAAACAGCTCCAGACCCAAATTTACAAAAATCTAGGGATTTGATCCTCCGTATACGACGGAGAAATTTGTATCAGGCAAGTACTAGAATGTCAGTCGAACACAATAACTTAGATATAAAAGAGTGGTTATGGATTTTTTTTCCTTTTGCTTTTTCTTAGAAGTCTGCATTCTAAAATTTTAGTTCAAATTTGGTCTCCCCCCTTCTTGTACTGCAGTTTTGCAACGAGTATGCAGTACCGAAGGACAAACTGGAGCATTTTAAGGATGTCACTGCTAACGACATTGTCTCGTCCCAGGTTCGAACAATTAAAAATTTGATTGCAGAATACAAATGATATCTTTTCTTATGTTTGTTTAATTCAAATATTCTTAGTACACAATTTCTTCTTTGCATACAGAAAAGTGGTGGTTTAAAATTTAATGAGGATGATGTTGTTGTGAGCAATGTTCGGATAGATTTGACTCGTGGGAAGCATAATCCCCTGGAAAGGTATAGACAAGGCTCTTAATGTTTAGCTTTTTTTATCTCTCTATATATCTCTCTTCGTCTAATGAATTTTCTTTTTCTGCCCTTTCAACTCATGATCGTTCACAGCGTCAGCTTTTTCAAGGTATAACCGTTGAAATTTGTAGTTCATTTACCTTGTAACTTTCTTCCTGCCTGTAGTAACTGCTATTTTTTACTCAGGATTTTGACAGTGATGAGAAGTTTCCCATACCTGATGACCGAATAAGCCATTTGTTGCCTACATTTTACCAGGATATGATAGTGAGAGTGTACTCCAAAAAGCCAGAACTGGTATATGCATTTAACTTGTATGAATGTATTTTTAGTTTAATTTTGGTTGCTTTAGCTACAGTACGTTACTGAAAGTTGATCTGATAACTAATGTAGGTTGGAGCTGTCTCTGAGGCATTTGAAAATTTCCAATTAAAGACCTATGGAATTAAAACACAGGTGCATGCAACACCTGAGAAGAAAAAACGGAGGATTTGACTATGCTAGTATGCACTAAAGTCTTCCTTGGTTTTGTATAAAATTTTGGTCCAAAGACTGTGGGGAGCTACAAGTTCGTGAATTTCTGTCCATGCATCTATAACATTTCTGCAGGATATTCTCACGTTGAAGTTGTGAAGAGTTTCTTTCCTGCATGTACAGCCAAATTATTACATATAATATAGATCCTGAAAAACTGTCCCAACTTGTGAAGATGCTCTAAATCGTTGAACTGTTTTATTAACTACGATGAAGTATATCTCTCTACATCTGATGCATGTACATATAGTGTTTTGCAGTTTGAAATATTGGCTTATGGAAGTAGCCTGGCATATCTTCTTAATGTGATATGGATAACTTGTATCTTGGAAATGAAGCAGCATTGAGAAGATTAGCATACTCTCATTTATAGCATCCAATACATGTTTCGGCAGGTAAATTTAGACTCAATTCATCTTGAATTACTCATTGATTTGGGATTTACTTGAGTGAGGTCAATGATACGTATGATTGTTGCATCATGTAATCATGTTAGTTGTGCTTGTTGCCGTGCTTTCTTTCCTAGTTGCATTTCTAACTCATAGACTCTTTAACTCCACTATAGTTACACCCCTGACTAGCCTTTCTCCAGACTTCTACTTCATCCGTCCCATTTTGACAATCCACTTTGTAGAATAAAAATACTCAAAAGAAGAGGACTTTAGAAATGTTAACGGAAGGAGTATTTTATGGTCAATTGGTGAGTTCATATCTGGGAAATGGATTCTGTTGAAAAAGGACTGGACGCCATTACTTGTTCCCATACAAATAGCATCAATAAGTTGAGGAAAAACAAATATCAGAGAAATGCTTGCACTATGATATGCAAAAATAATTAAAGAAAAAGATTGGAAGTTTTATTTGTTTAGGCTAGACATCTAAAAGATATTCTCATAAGGTTGGTAGTTTGGGAGGGCCTGACTGGGGGAGTGAAAATACCATGTGGCTTTTAAGACCATTGGGGCCTGGTTGTTTGGTTTAGACATAAATAGAATCATTGTCACGCTCTATGAACGAGTGGAAGTGGACAAATGTACTTGCATTTTCTGTTGCTGGCTTACTTAACCTGTTGTGCTTTTCGATCGAAACTTCCCTACATGTTTCTTGGCATTGTTGTTTGCCAAACCATATCACGGCCCGTATTACTCGACCGTATCGTTCTGTACTGTACCGTGCGAAGCAAACTCTTCTGGGTTCCGACGAATTCCATCTAATTAGGAAGCGCCAAATTTAACAAGACAATCAAGACCACATTTTGAACGTCCTTTGTACTCTGAAATCTGGGTCCTCCCCCTTTCCCACGTGACCAAGGTCGTCGCGTAGGAGAAACAGGGAGACACGGATCGAAATATTGTATGCGATTTGTGGAGGTAGTCGATAGAGCTGTTAGACTCAGTATTCAAGCTGGAAAACTATCATTAATGGTGATAAAAAATCCCAGATGGCGTCCACCATTAATGCCTGGTTAGGTTTACAAAATCGGGAAGAAAGATGATATCGTCAACCCCAAGCAATGTGTAAAACTTGGTCTGCCTGTTTTTAATATGACAATATCCGCAAAGTAGTTAGAAAACAATAGAAAGAGAGCCTTTCTGCACCATAAGCTTGTGATAAAATAAAATAAAATTTATACGTAGTCGGTTCAGTCATGGGTGTTTTCAATATTTTTCACCAGGCAAATTGTACCAACAAGTAGTAACAACAAACTTTGCGAGATTGGAGAATCTGGGAAATGGTGGCAATTGTTAAATGAGAAGCATGAGATAGTTGAGTATTATATTGAGTTAGTTATATCTCCAATTTCCATGGGTAAAAATAACTAAATGAAATACGCCCACCAAAATGGTCTGACATCAACCGTCTACGTTACAGAAATTCAGTTGTGTTAAAAACTTCTAAAGTAGTATTATCCCAAGGCTAGAATCTTTAGGAAATTAGTACTCCCTCCGTCCCATAATTGTTGTCTACTTTACCTAAAAAATTTTGTCCCAAAATTATTGTCCAATTTGACTTTTAATGGATCAAGTTACACATTTGTCCTTAGTAAAAAATATTATCCATAAAATTTTAGTGGTTAAACAATTACTTATGTAGGGATATATCCGATTGTTTAAGATAAAATATAATTAAATTTGACCAAAAATAAAATTTTTTATTTTAGTAAAACTGGACAATAATTATAGGACGGAGGAAGTACATTATAATTGACCGAGTTATACACTACTCCCTATCAATTAGTCAAAATATTGTTAAGGACTAAGGGAGTGATGATAATTGAATCTGACGATGCGGAATCGAATATGGAAACAGACGTCGTGATCCCATGTGCCCACATGGGGTGATGGGTTTGCATTTGTTTTCCCCCAGCCCAACCTCTCTCTCTCTCTCTATATTCAATTATGTGTACAGTATACAATAGTCTGGTGTGTATATATTTTAATTTAAAAAAAAAATGATTTTCATAGCCTTTGGTCTTAGTAAGATTAAATAATAGTCGTAGTAGTACTTCTTACATAACTAACGTTAACCGTAGACTACCTGCGTTATGTGGTTTTTCTAGAAAGCTCAAACGCAGCAAAGCACGGGCAGAGAGAGAGATAAAGAAACGACCTTTTTAACAGTTGAGTCGTCGTATCCCCAGTATATATTTCTACTAGTCTTCTCTCTTCTTTTTTTCTCTACTCCCAACAAAATTATAAATACTGAAGAAAGAAAGACTTGTTAAGTCAGTGAGCTTAGGAGTTGAAAACCCGGCGAGGAGAAACAGATTTGTTCTGTGTCATCATCGGACTGTTTTCATTGTTGTTTACTACGGTGGCATCTCAGAGAAGATGAGTGAGGGGGGAAATGGCCCAAATGGGAATGAAGGGGCGGGCTTCGTGAGGGCTGACCAGATAGATCTGAAGAGCATAGATGAGCAACTCCAGAGGCATCTCAGCCGGGCTTGGACTATGGAGAAGCAGAAGAAGAATAACAACAACAATAATATTCATAATTACAGTAAGGATGATGATGATATTAATTACGGCGGCGGTGGTGCCGTTGTTGGTGGTGGCGGTGGCCACAGGGACATTCCGATCAGGTTCGATTGGGAAATTGACCCCGCCAAGCTCATAATTAAGTCCGTCATTGCTCGCGGCACCTTCGGCACCGTTCACCGTGGTATCTACGATGGCCTCGACGTCGCAGGTCCGTCATTTATTTTATTTATTTTCCTTCCCTTTGTTTCGTTTATGTTTAAATTATCCGTACCAAAAATTTGTTTATGTTTTAGAAATCAGTCATCTCGTCGTTTTGCTTCTTCTCCAGTTTGCTGTTTTTGCATTTCTCCCCTTCTTTTTTGTCATTAATTTTGGGCGTGATTCCTGTTTTTTTCCGGGTTCAGGGCCTTCCGATTTTGCCTTTTTACTTTTAGTCCTTAAAGGTGGAATATGTGATTTTCAGCCGCTTAAGGCTTTGATCTGATCCTGAACTTTTTTTTGGGGGGGAGGTCATTCAGTTCTGATGAGTGATGAAGCCGCTTTTTGTTTTCTTCTTTTCGTGTCATATGTGGTCCTGAGTATGTGCATCGATGCATACCCAGACTTCTTACAAAAATAAAAAAAATAAAGGCCCATATCGTCACGAGATTGAGCTGAATTAGGGCTGCTCAAAGTAGTATTTGCTTATTTGTTGCACACATTTCCTGTTTTTATCTATCTCTTTTGACTTCGATTGTCGGTGTTTCACATTGTTTCTGTTAATGACAACTCTACATGAAGGGTGCAAGTTTTTCCCTTCTGAGATACACTAACCACTAAAAAGTCTCAATCTAGGTCCTTTAAAAAAGGTTTTAGAAAAAATAGTTACTTACAAATGTGAAAATGAGAATTGTTTTAGAAAGTTAGTATAAACTTTTAATTAACAACTCGTTGATAAATTCACTGTTCACGTGTAATTAGAGGTTAGCATCAATAGTCTCTCTCTTTAGGACATTATCCCCCGAATTCTTTTTATTTTTTGCATCGTGCTTAGATGGAGTTCTTTTCTTGTTTACCCCTCAGTGAAACTTCTTGACTGGGGAGAAGAGGGTCAAAGAAGTGAGGCTGAAATAGCTTCCCTCAGGTCAGCCTTCACTCAAGAAGTCTCTGTTTGGCACAAGCTCGATCATCCTAATGTAACAAAGGTAAATGACTAATTGCCGCAATTCTTCACCTTTTTCTTTTGTGTTGTTTGGTTACGTCTTACTCATTTAAAAGCCTATCTTTCCAATCCATTTCAATGATTATACTCATCAGTTTGTCATTGGGTTTTCCTATGTTTTTCTAAAATCAGTAGTTCTTTTCTAGTTTATAGGAGCCACCATGGGCACATCAGAGCTTAACATACAAACAGATAACGGCCACATTGGAATGCCTCGAAACATGTGTTGCGTCGTTGTTGAATATCTTCCTGGGGGAACACTGAAATCATACCTCATCAAGAATCGTAGAAGGAAGTTGGCTTTCAAAGTTGTCATCCAACTGGCATTGGATCTTGCACGAGGGTAAGGTTTTTGATTTCCTGATCTAATTATGAATGTCGTTGTTGAATATCTATTATTTGTGAATGTGATATGCTCTAATTGCAGCTCCTGGTATTGGATTTCTGGTTATTATCTTCAATATGATGTTCAGAAAATAGCTTCTGATTTGTTTATATTCTTCATAGGTTGAACTATCTCCACACCAAAAAGATTGTCCACAGAGATGTGAAAACAGAAAATATGCTTCTGGACAAGACCCGCACTGTGAAAATAGCAGACTTTGGGGTTGCTCGAGTTGAGGCCTCAAATCCTAATGACATGACTGGAGAGACTGGAACTCTTGGATACATGGCACCTGAGGTATTCCCTTGAATCAAAATAGAACCGCTTGGCTTGTTTAGTTGCATTTTACTGTAAATGATGTTCTTCCTGTCAAAGTCAACGATTAGATTTTCTGACCATTCATTAATAAATGTTTTCAATCTAGGTTCTCAATGGCAACCCATATAATAGAAAATGCGATGTATATAGTTTTGGCATTTGCCTCTGGGAGATATACTGCTGTGATATGCCTTATCCGGATCTGAGCTTCTCAGAAGTTACTTCTGCTGTTGTACGTCAGGTATATGGTTTCTTCTTACTAGCCTTCAAGTCCACAATTTGTTTCAACATAGTACATGTTGCATAGGGATGTCCTCCGCGATCTGTAACATACAATTCTTTCCATTTCAACAGTCAATTGTAACGGTGAATAGCCTGCATATATTTCACTCTTCTTTGGAAAATCCTGTGCGCTAGATGTTCACTTTCAGTAAAGATATTTGCAACACTGTGTCTATTCTCGAGTATTGTATCCCCAAACATGTGCCTTTATCTATTGCAATCACCATGGACGTGATTGAAATTTGTTTCATGGTTTGAATACTCATATTACCATTATTTACGCAGAATCTAAGGCCCGAGATACCCCGATGCTGCCCTAGCTCTTTTGCAAATGTGATGAAACGATGTTGGGATGCAAACCCTGACAAGCGGCCCGAGATGGATGAAGCAGTTGCCATGTTGGAGGCCATTGACACATCAAAGGGTGGCGGAATGATTCCTGTTGACCAGCAGCAAGGTTGTTTATGCTTCCGCAAAAAGCGCGGGCCTTAAGATGTGTCACTCCAATTATGAGAGCTTTTGAATACTAAAAAATATAGTGTCATGAGTTTTAGGCTGTAACTAAGATTGAGAAACATCACATTGAAGACGAAGTTTCATTTCAAGTGTTGCGGACTTTTAAGAATTCTTCCTTTGGTCCTTTGATGATGAAGCAAGCCGGCAACAATCTATGTCGAGACCGGATGATGCAGAGCATGCGGTATATTCATCTTTGGATCAATGTCACTGGTTTTGGTTATACAGGTGGTGGTCCTCACATTGACCATCTAGTTTACCTTCACGAGATTCCTAATTTATTAGGAAAAGTTGAGTAGAGCTCTGCTTTGTGTAGAAATTAAATGCCAAGTTATTGGTTTGACAGATGCTGTGAATAACAAGCTATTATGGGCAATATTTTTCTGTGGCTCAGCTGTGTTGTGTTTTTGTAAGATTCTTAATGCCGCTAGTGTTTCTGGGAAATTAGTTTTCCTGTAACCTCTGAAGATGAAAGTTTCCATTTGAGTCTCCTTTCAACTGGAAAAACTCTTCTGTATAATGAATCACGTTATGCAACATATTGGTCTGAGAGATTTACTAAATGATCTTTCTGTACGGAAAATTGTCTGCTAAACTATTTTCAGCTTCATTCCTTTTGAAAAATGGAAAGAATAAAAAGCGCTTCTTTTAATTCCTCTACTTTCTACGGCCGAAGTGGCCTAAAAAATTATCTTTTGCTCTTGCAAGGTGGAATACAATTATTGTTTCAAATTCAGACTTTCATGAGCATTACTGCATTAACCACCATGAGTACGTGACAGTTGACACTGCTGCTTGGACCGTTTTGACTGATGTTCATCATAAAGCATTAAGCCAAAAGGTAAAGAGGAGAAATTTCAGCAAATGACAGTAGAATTTCTCTTATCAGAAAATATGGTACAAGTACCTCGCATGTTAATCAGCATAAAGAATACAAGAACAATATTCACCAACGGCAAAGGCCAAAAATTAGAGATGGAAAACAGAACAGATTCCCAAGTAGTCTCAACTAATCCGACGTGAGTTTATTTTGTCATAGCTATGCAGACAGGGATCCTAGCCAGCAATCTTGTAGCTTGGATTGACAAGATTTTCCAGACCAGAGACTACTTGTACCGACTCTATAACGTCTCCAACCTTAAGATCTGCCAAATAATCCTCATTCTCGGTTATGTAACCAAACACTGCATAACGTCCGTCCAGTATATTGGCATTGCTTGGAGTTAGTTCACTTTCTTTCAGTAACCAAAATACTTGGCTTGAAGCCGAGTTGTTCTCAAACTCCTGTTATGAGCAAAAAAGCGATTTGGCATATAATTTAGTGGATAAAATAGCATGACCTTAATTATAAAATTCCTTTAGTTTAGAATCCTTACTTCTCTAGCCATGGCCATAGTCCCAAATGCATTGAACGGGAGCTTTGTTTGAGCTTTATATAGACCGAGTTCCTGTTTAATTACAAAACTCATTGTCAGTAACTTATCGATGACACTAATAAGTACTCTCTTAAAGAAATGCAAAGTGGAGCACGAGCTGAACTGATATAACAGCAAAATGACCAATATGCGAACATGTAGATCATCTATAACTAATGAAGACTATATCTACATGCTTGATTTAGCTTGTCTTCCTATCTTTCCTCGAAGACTCTGAATCATCTTTTAATAGTTCTTATTCACTAATACAGATTGCTAAGTGTAACATGGAAAACTTACTTCTAGAGTAGCCCCATACACAGGTGTTTTTTCTCCATCCACCATAATTTCCAGAGGTATTGTGCGGGTCTTCTCCGTACTTGGGTCGATAAAACCCTCAGCAGGCCCTTCTGGATCTCCTGTTTGAACCACAAAACCATCCGCTGCAGAACATGGAAAATAAGTATGAACAAAATATCAAAATTGTTACTGAAAATTTATCAACTCTTGCTTTCTTTAAATTTCCATATGAGATCCAATACAAGCTCTTCAGCTTACCCCTTTGGATCTCCATGCCATCATAAAAATGCCGTTCCACCAAGTCCACAAAATTTCCAGCAGTTACTGGGGCATTATAACCATCAAGAACAATGCGGAATGTACAGTCAACCAAATTGGGATTGTCTTTCACCCTGACCTTCATATCCACAGCTGCTCTGCCTTTAAGTAATGGCATGTCTTTATACTCTTCAGGTACTTCATATGGAAAGCCATCAACCATATCTTCTTCAACACTGCAGAAACCGAATGCCGCAGGAAGATCTCAGCTGCAGTCAATAAGAAGGGTCTAAATGAGAATAGGGCTTTCTGGGATGACTAACTTTTCCAGTTCCCTCACAAAATCTCATGCTTAAACTGTCTCGGTTGTTTGAACCTAAGGGTAGATAATTATGATTTATGATAATAGAGACAAACACTACTGCCCCGAACGGAATTACCATGTCAATACCGGATTGGAGATACAATATGCACCAACTTTGTAGTTCTTCTACTTGAACACAATTCCTAATCAATCACCTTTGTCTCATTTGGTTCTTTAAACATTTAAATCAGACAAGAAACACTTCCTTCAGATAAACTAACAGAAGTGAGCAGAGTGTTACAAGTTCAAAAAGTATTCAAATCAGAGTGATTTGCATAAAGTCATTACTCATTACTACATAAATTTGATATGCGAGTCATATGAGCAAAAAAGAACACTCAAAAGCTTTTCTTAAACTTACCCTCCAACGTAATTAAGAAGTTCCTTTTGCAAAGGGGCAACTGCGTCTCTATTTCTATTCTCAACAACTTGCTGTAGTGCATCCATTCCAACTTCCAATTTGTTCAGCAAGTCCACCCCGTGATCAACCTTGGATTTCGCTAAACCCGACACAATCATCGTCCTTCCCTGCTTCAGAGCCCGAGATGCTTGTCTGACATTCTGTTTTTACAATGAATAATAACAATTCAATTCCTCAATACGTTGCAAGCTGAAAAGGCAAAAGCAATTGGTTAAGCTAATGATCGATAATCTTACCCTTTCAACAGAATCCAAAGCCTTGACTCCAGCAATTTTGAGACTCTCAGTAATGTCTTCAAGTGGCTTCTGCACTTCCCTAATTGCTTTGTTGTCAATGGGCAGTGCGTACCTCAACAGGGCTCCTGGGTCTTTAATTGGCGGTCCAGAAATCAAGACCGAGACATCCGACAATGCTGGATTCATCATGGCATTGGCATTGACATGGCTGGGCACTTCCAATGCTGGCATTCCAGTTAACAATCCAACCGCTAGAGCTATAGAAATTGCACATCGCTTCAGAGAAAATGACCCACTTTCCTGTTCAAAGTGGTCAACTTTACATCAAATTCAGTATCACACTTCAATTCTGAAGCAACTAATTATTTATTACTAACAACAACTACTACTATTTGTCTGAGACAAAGAACTAAAGAATAGAGAGCTTGCCTGCTCATTTGTGGACTGAAATGGAGATGGGCTCCGGGAACAACACAAGGGTCTAGGCAACTCGATGGGAGCATTGCCTCGGAGACGAGTTAACTGAAACTCATGCTTAACATTTGTCAGCTTCAGAGGAGATTTCACGAGAGAAAAGTACTGGTGGCAGGAAAGGGTAGCTGCCATTGGGGAATTAGGACAGTTTTTTCCTGGACTAATTCAACGAAAAATTTGATGACATTTGGGATATTTTTTTCCTATGCTAGAAAAAAGAAAACTGCTGAAAAACGTAGAAATGTATGGGATAATGCAGATAAGATTTTGGAATGATGAATATCTCAAATTCGTTGATGCCTTTCGTAGTCGTTTGGTCAACCGTACACTCTGGATAAGATGAAGAAGATGAGCTGTTTCCTTTCTCTACTTGGAAATTGGACTGACACTTCTGGGCCAAATCTCCCAAAATAATTCTCTACTTTGGGTTTTTCTTTACCCAGATTCTTCAACTGGGCCAACTGATAAAGAGAAAGCCCTTCTCTGAGCTAAGTGGGTTTGGGCTTTTCAGTTCCTAAATAGATTTTTAAGAAAAAAGAACATTAATCGTCAACTAACAAAACTCTAAAAAGAAATCTTTCGAAGGCCTATTTTATTCTAGATCCCAACTAGTCCATTTATCTCAAAATAAAATACTATATTTAAGCCATGATCTCAACTAGGCCTATTTCGAAGTGCACTTCAGATGGTTGTTTAGTCTTCTTTGGAGTAGTATTGCGATAGATGACGAACAGACTGAGTTGAATTGCTCCTAATACAGCTCCAATCCCATTGGGAGTCTACACATAATAATAATAATTGATTATTGACAATCATTACTATTGCAAGATCGTTAAAAGTTACTCTCTTTTTCTGTGCTAAAATTGTTGTCCGATTTGATATTTCACTTTTAATACAATTTCAACTAGAAATAAAAACGGTAAAATACAAGCATAGCAATGCAAACTATTACTGCTGCAAAAAATTAACTCCATACCCAAAATACCGACAATCTTCAACTGCATACAAAACATCATCCTCGTCAATTTTAGAACCTTAGAAAAAGAGAAATAAATTTTTTAAGAAAAAATAGAAGAAAAAAAATTAAATAACATACCCTATCCTTTGACTTTTCAGGGACTTTAGTATCCGTGTAGTAAAAGAATACTGCAAGATAGCAGAAATACAAAGCAAGGCCGAAGGAATTGACGGTGGTAATGAGCACACTATTTGGCGTAACAAAGGGCATTGAATATAGAATCCAGAAAATACAATTCAATACCCCACTTAGGTAGGGGTATGGATGGAACTCCAAAGTCGATTTGCTCTTCCATATCTTAATAAAACGTAGGCCTGCTTGCATCGATGCAAAACAACCATTCATTACTTCTTTTTTGGTATAATTAGAAATGGAAAAATAAAATCGGTTACTTCTAAGTGAATGGCGGTAGCATTAGAAATGAAAAAAATATATTAATACTTACTAAATGACAAAAGAGTAAAAAGTTAAAAGAAGGAATATTGATTACATGGGAGACAAGAACAAGAAGCCAGAGGTCAGATTACCTGCAAATAAATAAAACATCAATGAACAACAACCAGTGAGTCCACATTCAGCCAATATGTCAAATGTATATTTCCTTTGACTAAGAGCAATCTCACTAGATGACCGAGCTACCTCAATACCCAAGAAATACTTGAGAGGACTAAGATCGTCGATATGAAAACGACCATGAAAATACTTCTTAAGTCGCTAGCCTTAAGAGAATCATTACTAGCCACTATTATATCATCAACATAGATCAAAACTGCAATGAAAGAAGGTCTACTACTGTAGGTGAATAGAGATGAATAAGAAGTAGACTCCCTGAAACCAGCATAAACAAGTGACTGAGTAAATTTCTGGTACCAATTCCGAGAGGCTTGACGCAAACCATACAGAGACTTCTTAAGACGACAAACACGTTGCTCCCCCTTTGTGAAAAATTCCTGAGAAATTTTCATGTATACTTCCTCGTGAAGATTACCATGGAGAAAGGTATTAGTTACATCAAGCTGATGAAGCTCCCAATGACGGACCGAAGCAACAGCAAGTAGACAACGAACAGTAACTAATTTAGCAACAAGAGCAAAATTCTCATGGAAATCAATACCTTCAATCTGCGTATAGCCTTTGACAACCAGATGCCCTTGTAGCGCTCAACACGGCCATCAGGAATAAACTTAATCTTGTATACCCATTTGGAATCAATGGCCCGCTTACTAGGAGGCAAAGGAACAAGCTGCCATGTATTATTGGCCTCAAGAGCTGAAATTTCTTTGGCCATGGCATCTCTCTAGTGTGCAAACTGCCTGAGAAAAACTAGTGGACTCATCAACAGAGGAGATGGCCGCTAACAAGGCATGGTGAGCTTTAGAAAAGCGAGAATAGCACAAAGTGTCTGAGAGAGAGAGAGTATCGTCGAGTTGATTGATGGAGAGGCAGCAGACGATGATGGATTAAAACTGGACTGCATGGATGGTGGTAGAGTGTAGTGATACCCGGTGAGGCGCTGGGAGACTTGCCTAGGACGTTTAGAAGGAATAGTGGATGACTGGGAAGGAATATCTGGCATAAGAGATGGCAAAGATGAAGGAGAATCAGAGGGATCATCAGAGGGAGAAGGTGGTGATGTTTCGGGAGGAACCACAGGAGGTAATGGATCGGCCGCGGAGTAGTTAAGATCAACCGTGACTGGAGAAGGAGCGGAAGAGATGTTCGAAGAACTGGATATGGAGGGAAAAATATTTTCAAAGAAAATGACATCTCTGGAAGTGTATATTTCTTGACGATCAAGATCATAAACTCTATAGCCCTTTTGATCATGAGGATAACCAACAAAATTTCCCAGATTACTTCTAGAAGCAAACTTATCCCTATGTTTGCTAGAAACATGAGCATAACATCGAAACTACGCAATAAGTTTGCTAGAAACATGAGCATAACATAAACAACCGAAACTACGCAAGTAATCATAAGAAGGTGGATGGCCATACAAAACTTCATAAGAGGATTTATTTTGCAAGACAGATAAATGCATACGATTAATGAGATATGCAGCAGTAAGAATGTACTCCCCCCATAAATGAATGGGCAAATTTGCCTGAAAACGTAGAGCCCTTGCTACTTCTAATAGATGTCGATGTTTGCGCTCAACCATACCATTTTATTGAGGGGTGTGAGGACAGCTGGTTTGTTTATCAATACCATGGTCAAAAACAAAGAGACAGCAAGGTAGAATGAGAAAACTCCAGACCATTATCAGTACGAAAAGTTTTGATTTTAGCATTAAAATGTGTATGAACCCAGTTAAAGAAGAGAAACAAATAACGCTTTGTTTCAGATTTAGATCGCATAAGAAAAACCCAAGTTGTCCGACTGTGATCATCAATAATAGTGAGAAAATAATGTGCGCTAGATTTAGACAAAGTGGGATATGGTCCCCAAATATCACAATGCATTAAATCAAAATTGTTCAAAACTTTTATTCTGATGCAAAGGAAATGGTAATTGAGTTTGCTTAGCCCGACAGCATGCATCACAGACAGATGTGTTGGAACTATTAAAAGAAACTGAAATGCTAGGATTAAAAAGAGACGAGTAACTGGCAAATGCCCCAAACGACGATGCCACAGAGTTGTTGGATCGCCTTTGGAAACATAAAGGATCCACTTCTCGCCACCATCTTTCATAGGCTCGAGGTAATATAATCCTCCGCGTACTTTACCTATTCCAATCAGCCTCCTCAAGGTTAAATCCTGTATAAAGAACAAATCAGGGCCAAACGTGAAAAAGCATTTCAAATCTCGTGTCAACCGACTAACAGATATCAAGTTGAAACGGAAATTAGGCATGCCCAAAACATTGTCAAGATGCAAAGAATCATCAAGCTTAATCTGGCCAATGGCTTGAACGGGACCTGTTCACCATTAAGTATTTGAACGGAAATAGAACTCTGAGAAAATGTAGGGTTTACCCGTCGAAGACAATTGATTGGCGGTGTAGGGCTTATTCACGTTGAAAGAGACTTGTTGGCCAAGCATTTGAAAATTTTGCTGAAGTTGGGTGGCGGAAAGAGAAGCCAACGAAGCAGGCATTGACTGAGCAGGAGCCGGATCAACATTAGCCACAAAATTGGAAGCCGAAGAGCCACGCTGCTGCTGAGCACGCTTCTGTCGAGACTGTCGCCAACCTGTAGGATAGCCGACGAGCTCGTAGCAGGAATCCTTGGATGATTCGATCGACCACGGTGGCTGCAAGGGGGCTTGGTACAGCTGGAATCACGAGCCTCTCGATGCACCGGAGAAGCCGTCGCTGCCAGAGTAGCAGCCTCAACAACCGGCAGTCGTGAATCAGCCTAACGCCGCTGCTTTTCGTCGCCGGCGACAATGGCGTATGCACGTATCAACAGCAAGAATTTGAGAACGGACTGTCTTGTAATTCTCATCAAGGCCCAGAAAGTCGAAAACTTTCTCCTCCTCGTGCATTGTTTGAATCTGCTTGTTGAGATCACATGCGCAGCCGCCGCACGAACACGCCGGAAAAGGCCACAAGTTTTGGAGCTCATTCCAGGTTGCCTTCAGTTTGCCATCATACGTGGAAGTGAGCAACTTGCTGTAACAGTGCAATCGAACGCTTCAATTCATACACCCGGGGAGCCAAGCCCTGGGTGAAGCGTTCATCAAAATCCTCCCAGATGGCTTGAGCAGTTGGGACGTGAGTTGTCTCGGTCTGAAGCTCCTTGCAAACAGAGTTGCGAAGCCACGATTTTATTACGGCGTTGCATTGAATCCAAGGCTGCAGGTTGGCGGAATCAGCAGCCGGCATCTTGATCGTTCCATCTATAAATCCAGCCTTGTTCTTGGATTGAAGGGCGTTGAGAAAACTACGCCAAGCGAAGAAGTTGCCCCCATTTTCAGCCAAAGGCGGAGTGACAAAGTTCAAACCCGGATGATCAGACGGGTGAACGTAGAAGGGGGAATGGGAATCAGCCGCAACCATAAGAGAAGAAGAATTTTCTTTGTCTCCCATGGTGGAAAGAAAACAGAGGTGGCGGCTGGAAAAAAAAAAAGTTGATAAAGCTGCGGCCGGGAAAAAAAATCTAGGGTTTATGAAATCTAGTCTTGTGATATCATAAAAAGTTGTAAAATCACACTTGTATTGATGTATAAAAGGGTATATTTATACACGTATTTAACTATTTACCAAACCCTAATCATACTAATAAAACTATTTACTAGTTACTTCTTTATAATTAACGAAGGAATGAGCAATTACGTATTTG